AAACCTTAAAAATTACCACTTTTCAAAACACATATAATTGAACTTTACTGAGAATCTTATTTCGTTAGCTATGGTTTTTTTAATTTTTTTTTTAAGTATTAACCTTGTTTTCAATAAATAATTATTTGAATTGGAAAAATGGTTCCGAGTAAGTACTTTAAGTGTTCCGAATATTCAATTTTAACCCTCGTTTAAACTCTTTCTTGGTTATTTTTCATAATTTTCAACGAATTGAACTTGAGAATATAATTCTTTCATAATAAATGTTCGCGTCTCGTGTGTTATTTTTTTTATCTAAAACAAAAATTAGGTTAAACTTTTAGAATGATTTTCACTATCCAAAAACACACATCGCTTTGTAAAATATAGCTTTTTCAATTTACCCACAATCTAAAGTAATTACTTATCTTTTTCAGTTGAATTTTACACCCGTTAAACCATTTCTGCCTTACCAAACTATTTTCCGTCATACCATATTTTTCATTATTTTTATTTACTGTTACGGTTATTTTAATAATTATATACATAAATATTTAAAAAACGAGAAACAAGTATATTAGCAATTACTTTGAACTCGCGGAGACGTTCATCTATTTATTTACACAGACAAGTAAGTAAATCAAATAGTCTGAAATAACAATTCGAGGAGATTGAAAACAAGATTACAAAGTACAAACTATGCATTTTAAAGACAAAACGTCGTTTTGAGAAAATAATGAAACCAATCGCTTTAATAGATATAGATATAATATACATTTTAAATACCCAAAATATTATAAATGATAACCATGTTATATAATAATATGTTCCATTCAGTGGCGTGTGGAATGTTTTAGATTCTGAGTGGAGCTAAAAAGCTTATGATTTTACAATAATGTTAATTTTTGTTTTATCTATAAACAACTTTTCTACCAGAAATATTGCTCCGATTTACAAATGTAACAAGTTTCCTTTTTCTGAAAGGAAATTTGACTAAGAAGGTATTTTCATTTTTTGATTTTCTCAAGAGTTTTCATAATAAATAGGAAAAATCAAAAAAAACAGAAGACAAACGGGAGACGAAAAAATAGGTACTGTATTAAACAAATATTATTAAAGAAAATATTTAATGCATATGTAATTATTTTACCATAATATGACATTCATATTGTTGACAAAGCAACACTATCAACTGAACTCCGCTCAGAATCGTTTTTTTAGTTAGCAATGGTTTATCGTTGCTTACAGATACACATTAGATTCCCGTCTGTGTCCTATTTTCACAACTTCCCGCTTACTACAGTAGCTGCACCTTCGTGCGAAGTGTGTCCGTCTTTTTTTTTGTGTGTGAAACTCAATTATTGTGTAGATACACTTACCTCCACCATTACTATCACATCATTTTTTTTTAGTTCAAACTCGCTATTCTATGGTTCTTACAGTTTTTCACCTCTAACATCTACAATCCACGAACCATCCAATATATTTGATTAAAACACCGCCCTCTAATAACAGTCTTTGTCCACGCGACTGATTCCATAATTATTACTGTTAAAATGTTAATATAATACGTATCCTATTACGTTGACACGGACATATTAATATAAATAAATAAATACATTTTACATTAGGTTTTGTATTACTTCCTTACCTATTTTCCTCTGTCAATATTCAGGTTTTTTCAAAAGAGGGAGATAAATAATGAATCTAAAAATAATGATATTTTTATAGCGTAAAAACGTTCAATATTTTTAACTTATAGTTTTTTATTATTTATAGAATTTTTTTTTTTTTTTTGTAACTCAAGGGTAGAAAATATATTTCCCTAATCTCCATTCTACATAGTAATATTGATTGTTATTATTAAAACTTAACTACCACAAGACTCTATTGAGGCAGTTGACTAATTTGTGTAGGTAGTATAATATTATAATCTAGGTATGCACTTCTTTTTTCGCCTGAGCATAGTGAAAATCCTAAATATAAAGCATAACAAATTCAGAGAAAATCTGTAAAACATAAACTATTATCCATTTATACCTAACAACTATGATTTTCATCAATCATATTATCTATAGGTAATAATTACGTACTCGTTGACAAAAATGAAAACGCAGTTATCTTATACCGTGATAAATATAAACGATAAACCACTACGTGCTTCGTTCTTCCCATTTTATTTGCAAAATAATCAAATTGATACATTCAGTATTGAATTGTATTTTGAATTGTGATGCAGTTATTGACACCTGTGTAATACACAAATGGTGCTTTATTCCAGAGGCTCTAGTTATTCACACAAACGCGTAGATATTATAATATTAAAATATGCGCCATTGACCTAAATTCGACGCATGTTAATTCGGCCAATGTGTCTCGGGCACGACTACAAATTAAAATAATACTAAACAATATTATTATTATATAATTATAGACATTTTTGTACAGGTATCATTAAACATAAAGCATAAAACCGATTAAAAATACGTCATTGGTATTATTGGTATTTCGGTTTTTTTTACCAATAATATTATATTTCATAAGGTTAAGTTAAATAAGCCGTTTAAATTTCAAGGACAAAAACCATCATAGGCACTTAATTATCTTAATACGTTCGTGATAAAAACAAACGGTCAAGCAACTCACTAGACGGCATCTAACGAATCATCTCTGCAGTGTGATACGATAACAACATTGGCCGTTAGAGGCCAGCACCAAAACACTTCGAACTATAATAATTAAGGCTATTATCTTAAATAAGTACACTATTTCCCGTTCGATGAGTAATACCTTACTTTCAACAACTAAATTCTGATTTCCTAATTTAAGACACCACCTAATAACAAAAAGAAAGAGTACATGATTGAAATAATTATAAAACAGAATAAATTTATATTTAAGAATTCAATATCGTAATTTTTTTCGTTATTCCGATATTATAGCTATAATAGCTATTATAGCTGGCATCGTATGTTATAACAATCAAAATATGGCATTAGAACGTAGGAGACAGATTTTTCGTATAAATATTATAATGGAGAATTATTATCGTTAGTATAATATGCAGAATATAAAAAAAAAAAATTATAAAAAAATAATAGTAATAATTACTAGAATTCTACATACATATAGATTAAAATTTAAAACGCAGAAAAATATAATACGTTCAAAAGTATTTCTGTGAATTATTTAAGATACATATTATTACCATTGTACCATTATAAATATGTAAAAAATGATAAGGTTTTTAAATTTTACAATACGTGATTTCTATTTCCACAAAGCGTAATTTTATATAATTTATAAATTCAATAACTGCAGTCTTTCACGCTAATCTATTCGTCATAACTTATAACATATACTTAACGACTTTTAAATAATAGTGCACATCAAATTGGTTTTACATTCTGACTACAGTAAAATAAGAATGTATTGGTTTTAACTTTTACTACAACAATACAATAATAATAATATTGGTCTTTAAAATTCGGCACACAGCGAGGTGATCTATTGATTTTACTATGATGTGTGGTTTGTATTTGTTTTTTTATTATTTTTTTTTTTTTGATTTTCCGAGTAGTTCACATAATAATTAGGAAAAAAAAACGAAAAACGAACAAATTTACGGTATTACGTTATCATTATTTTAAATTTATACGCACGATGTTTTCTACCGTAAATATTGCTGGAATAGAAAAATGGCAAGGGACCTTTTTGATAAATTTTTAATCTAGTAAGTGAATAAGAAAGTCGGTTTGGATTTTCCCGATAGTTTTTTTTTAATAATTGAGCAAAACCAAAAATTGTAATTTGACTAATTTAAGGCCCATACGAGTGATGAGGTCGTAGAAACCAAACATTTTCAATGAACAATAAACTTTTCTAAACATAGTAGGATTGTCAAATCATTGTGGTTATTTTTGAATTATTTATAGGTACTTGACGATCTTATTTAGTTCATATTATAGATTTATTATGGTCTTATGACCATATAAAAAATAAAAATATCGCAAATCCAAGTTACGTTTTTTCTTTTTTTTTTTTTTTATATATAAGTTTTTGAAGTTTAAATTTTAACAGAAATTGTGAAAATCACGTCGTTTTGACTATTAGTTTATATTTTACTTTACCTAATTTAGTGTAAAATTGAGAAAAAATATGGACATACGGCATTATTTTATAATACAGTGGACACCGCTTATAAGACTCATTTTTGGACCAGCACATAGTAAATAATAAATAAATACAAATTTTTCTTCGGGTATATCCTACCTTCCCAATTTCTCATTTATAACAGTGGCCTTCCCGTCGTGCGAAATGTGTCAGTCTTCTTTCAAAATACTAACAAAATCAAATTGAGTAATTTCATAAAAATAATAATAATAATAATAAAAACATTTCGTTGCAAATATAAAATTGGGTAATGTCCTCCTGGATATAAAGCGATATTTAATTTTTTTCGTTTAAGTTGCCTATACGCAACTCCTTAGCTTGCGTGTTACGCTTATTACGTGATACTATTATTTCACTCATTATAGCACTCTGGGAGATTTTGTGTCGAGCTAAAACAAAAAAAAAAAACGAAACTACATTGTTCGCCTTTTTCTTTCGATTTTGAAAATGATATGCGCACCCCGGTCGGAATAAAATACGCGAATGGCCCGGGACGCTCAATTATCATAACCTGCAAACGAAGCCGGACACCGGAACGAGATTTTAAAGGTCGTGCGGACAAGGTAGATGGCGACACGTGGCCGACCGGGGAAAACAAACAAAAAAAGACGGTCGCCCGCGTAGAGGCGGAGCCGCCGGGCGCAAACGTACGTCTCTCTTGACTGTGGCTCCGGGTGGCGAGCGGCGACCGGCTGAGGCGGTGCCGACCCTGGTGGCGACCACCCCGCGTAAAAACATAACCTTCAACTCGTCCGTCGTCGACGACCGCGACGCTACTGTCGTTTTGTTTATTATTTTTCTGGCGCGTGGTTTTCTTATTCCCTCTACCGCACTCTCACCCGCCGCCCCGACCGTTCCCCGAAAACCACACTCCGTCCCACACCTAACCGTCGCGCAATCCTTGCACTGTTTACCGGCGACTCGTTGCCGCCGCCGCCGCCGCCGCCGCGCCGTCCGTATTCACTATTCACAGATTCGCTGCCCGTAGACGCACGTCGTGCCGGCGCGTCGCGAACAGTCTCGTGTGGCGATGGTTAAGCCCCTCGAACACGACGTTACCGCGATATTATACGACGACAACGACGACGACGACGACCGTAACGCAATCCGCATTGAAAACGCACAGCAATAGTGTCGTTAATATTGATAACACCGGACCGGGTAAGTGTTGAACGATACATAATACATTATTATAGCCGTATATTATTATTGAACAATAACAGTGCGATCGTCGGCCAACGCGTGTCGTGCGCGCCGTGTGTAAGCACGTCATTGAAACACGGTCGTTTTATTTCCGCGAGTCACGTGGGTCCGTGTGTTTACCGTGTTTACCAGCCGCGACCACGTCCGGCGTGTGACGGTATACCGCTCCGTCGTACCCGTGGTTTTGTTGGATCTGTTATCAATATTATTTATAATCCGCACAAACCTCGCGTCGAGTTTTTGTTCCTCGGACGGAAAGGAAATGAATGTCCCTACGGGCATTGTAATTTGTTGTTGTTTATTGTGGTCGTTGGCACCGGCAGCTGTTGCCGAAACGGACGTTATCGCCGATTGAACCCGTGCCCGGTAACTACCACGCGGTCGGCGACGAACCTGGCGCGAAATTTCGAAAATCGTGTTTGAACCATTTTGTTTCCGGCCCCGGTTACACCTACCGGTCTGTATAATAAATATTATAATATGATAATATTGAGCTGATTAGCCCCGCGGTTTTCTACTTGTAAAATAACGGTATAGTCGATATTATCTACGGCCGATCGGGCCGCCGTGCCGTGTCTGTGCGCCTATTTTTAACCGCGTTTTTCGCGTCCCGAACGATTTTTTTCAAAGGTCAACATTACTGTTATTGTATCGACAAAGTGTTTCGCTTGCGTGTTGACACGTCCAGCACAACGGCGACGTAGGAAAATATTGACAATACTCTCGCGCTCGTCGCGGTATCGATTTTGAACACAATTCGGTCCTGAGTGGTGCGAAAAAGCTATATCAGTTTTGATAATATGCGAGTGTCCCTTCTCCACCCCTCCCCCACCCACCGTGGAAAATATCATCTTTGCAAATTGAGAAAATTTCGATTTTTTCACCGCGTACCTTATTAGATGCGAATTTTTTATCAGTACCTACTATTAAAATTTCCCAACAGTTTTTCTATAAATCTACAAAATGTCGACATGTACGTGGATTTAATTTTTGTTGATTTCCGGGTTACTTTGGCTGTTTTCAATACACCTTTCAGACTTCACTGCAGTGGCTTAACCATGGTCTGAAATATGACCGGCTTTTTACATTTCGTTATTTAAAATCGAAATCTGAGATAAGAGAAGTCGAACTTCTTCAATTATTTGTTTGATTTCGAAATTGGAAACCATAAATTATTGTTTTGGTGTAGGTATTTAGGTATACTATTCGATATTTTATAAATGGACAGAAAACCAATATTAATGTTCGAAAACATGTATATTGTTCATGTACAACATGTACATCGAAATGTATATTCGACTTGAATTAAATTTAAAATGTAAACCCAATACAAAAAAAAAAAAAATGTAATAAAAATAATGGAACATAATATTGGGAGAAAGAATAAGTTTTTTCTTATTGTAAAAATATATTGACAATCTGTCATTTGAATTACAATAAGCAAATGTTAACGAAAGGTACGGGAAGAAAGACGGGATCGAAGAATTCGCGCCCCATTGACGGCACCCATAAAAATAATAAGTTACATTAAAAAAAAAACTTGTCACCCTATACTGTAAACGGATATAAGTGCAAAAATAAAGACGAACATTCTAAAAAGTTGATTAAAAAAAAATGTATATACCTCCCTACGGCTACCTACTATTTAATTATCCGGGTATAATAGGTACTATTCATTTATAAATTACAGATGTGAATTTCGCAGGATGTTTTAATGCCCGGGTCAACTTTCTCTGGTTAGTATTTTTGCTATAATTATATAATAAATAGCTACCTACGAGTTCAATAAGAATTTTAATTAAAATAAACGTAGGAAGAAAGAGGGGATAGGAAAACCAAAACAGAATTGGTTGGATGCGATTTAAAATGATGCGAGGACGACGTCGGGGATCGGGTCAAGTGGACCTTAGGACAGACTAAAATGCCATAAGAAAGATCCTATAAAGTGTTTCATAGGACAGATATATTTCTGGTCAAAAAGTAGTTCACCGACATAAACAAAAACATGCACCATATTAAAGTCGAGAGTAAAATCAATACATCTACCGCTATGTTGGGAATCTCAAAAATCTAATAAGAATGCGGGTAAGAAAGTCTCTTGAAAAAAATATATTATACTTCTGTTTACCGTCTTCGTCTAGCTTAATAAAGCAAAATTACGCGTCGTACAGGATATAAATTGTTTCGTTTGGGTAACATTTTAATATACCTCGGTTAAAACTATCAGACTTGCGAAGAAAAACAAAAAGTTTCCTCGATATTTTTTTTATCACTTGTTTTATTTAAAAAAAAAAATATATAACCATTAGATTACAATTGTCTAAAACCAAATATGTTCAATAAGATTACCATATTAATGGTTTGAATTTACAAAAATAGATTGTTACTGTGTTATTGTAATAATATTAAAATGTTATGATAACGACATTTATGTTTAATTTGGAATTGGTCAATTCGGCACTTTTAGATTGCAAGCGTAGCAAGGAATGTATTGGTTTTACATTTGTGTTTTTCAGATATATATATGTGAACAATTTTTCTCAGATCTATATAACAGAAATTTTGCTCCTATTTTCAATTTTATCACTTTTTCTGAAAGGAAATCTGACTGTGGTGGTACTTAGGAGTGGTAATTTTTTGATTTTCCCAGCTGTTTTTATAGTAAATGGGCAAAACCGGGAAAATAGATAAAATAAACGTGTTTTGGCCATGCAGTTTTATTGGCAACTTGGTTACTACTTTAGTGAACAAACTATTTTAGCGATATTGTTTACTGTAATTATTTGATAGCTGAATGCACTTTTTGCAACCGAGTTGCTGGAATCAGCAAACAATTGAAAACTACGTTTACTTTAACGGTTACTGATAATTCACTATTAAGGACCAACATTCCATCCATTTTATATAATTTTTACGTATTTTGATTTTTTTAAATTAAAAATAGAAAAACATATTCTAAACGACAGAACTCTAAATGTATTGTATTATCATAATTCAGTTATAGCATTATAATTTTTTATCGTCATAACATAAACAAAAAATAATACACATGAAACAAAACGTTTTGGCGTGTAACCGACCAAGGCTTTAACAAAGCACGCCTATTCAATACCATAATATGACACATTATATATTGTTGACAAAGCAACACTATTTACGGAACTCCGGTCAGAATCGTTTTTCATTAGCAATGGTTAATCGTTGCGTACAGATATACATTAAATTTCCCCTTTACCTTCCCAACTTCTCACCAACAACAGTTGCCCGCCCGCCGTGAGAAGTATGTCCGTCTTTTTTTGTTTTGATACTCGTTAACTCGATTATTCCTCTCAAATCGATTTCGAAAAATCAAAACTCGCCCAATTCTAGTAATAATACATTGTCTAAATAGAACCGCTGTTATAACAAAAGTCGATGGCGATTAATACCAAATACCAAATTTGCCGACTTCAAAAAATTTTCTTATTTTGCCCTTCAATAATAGTAATAATTTTGACGATAATAATATAATATATGTAATTTAAGTCATTATTAGTTTTCCTAATTTTAAAATTAAATTATCGATGAAATGTCGACACAGCAATATAAATGTACAAGTTTTTGAAATGTCACAAGCACAACTGTCCAAAATTCAAGTGATCTGAGAATATAGAAGTTTAAATTAAAATATCCGGCTTCAATGTTTTTTCGGACATCAATTGAAAATTTCTGATAACTGCCTTGCTTTTGGATTTTGTGCTGCAAATCGTCATATTTTATGGTCGTTGAAAAATTAAATCAATTTTTTAGAAAACAATTTGAAATCTTAGAAGAAACGTTTTGAATAAATTAGGCATCTTCTAACGAATACGATGTGTAAACCTTATCGGCTATTTTTATTGACCGTAAAATTGTCACGAGCATAAAACCGAAAAAAAATATAGATATTTTTAAAACTAACAAAAATCAAGGGTAAATGGTATTAACGAGGAAAATATTGGAAGGAGAACGGAGGAACGTCGTGTTTGTTATTATATATTGTATTGATACTTATGATTGTATAATTACGATAAATCGTAATTTCTTGACGAGAACTGATAGCACCGCAATAATAATGCTATTACAGTGATATGCAAAGGTATCGCGTCGCGTTTATACGGCGTGACACACGACGGGTTTATAATAATAAATAATAATGTTATCAATGCGGAAAGAACGGATGTAAAGGGTCCGTTGTGGCATCGTGTATCCGCACAAAATGTTCGTAGCGAATGTTTATAGTACATAAATTAATGTTTATAAAAAAGATAAACCATTTGTAAGATCTCAGCCCCGGGGTCCACTATAGACCTTTAATCCGGCCTAGATGTATATTGTTTCAGTAATAGAAACTATATTTTTCTGATCGAAACAATTTTAAGTATAACTGCGGCCAAATATAATATTATAATATTATAATATTCGTGAATTCGTGCGCGAAACGAAATAAAAAATACTTCGCAAACCGATATCCATAACCAAAATAAAACTGGTACCCGCAAACGTAACCTACACAAATCTTAACAACCACATGCCGGACAACAACGTAGTAAAAGCTTATAAGTAGTAATAATGTTATATAGATTGTGAAATAATATTATAACGAAGAAAACATATCATAAACGTGCGTTGTCTACGACAATGAAGTACCGTAGGTGTTAAACGAGTTCCTCGTCGAACAATCATATTTTGATTTGCCGTCTCTGTCTTTTTATAACGGTCAATGTTTGCAAACAATATTCACGTAAAACAATGGAGAACGAAAAAAATCATTAAAACAGGTAATACGATGCATGAAATATATAGTAGTAACAAATAAAACTCATACCTATTGTAAAATGTATTAATGACAACATTTTGAAAGAACCTCATCGGCGGTTTTCTGCAATATTGATTATTTAAAAAAAAAAATTTAATTAAATATTTTGAATTTTAGGTATGATATCAAATTGAATATTTACAAAATTGAAAAACGTTAACGAAGTTTTTTTCGAAATGTAGTCATCTACAATTGTAGATATATTTTTACGATGGGATTGTCAATCTCTAAATCCGATTTTATGGGCTTTTTCGTTTGTAGAGTACGAGCGTTTTCACGGATGAATATTACGTTTTTGATCAATAATTGGTGAAAAATTGTCATGCGTTATTTACAGTAGTGTTTCCATCATGTAGGGTAAACTACATATAGTCATATACGTCTTATACTCTCAACATTTTATTGAAGAATCACAGTTTAAAAAAATTACGTAAGGTTCATACCACTTATGCCATGAAATAATAATACAAATTGTATTTATTTCAGTAATTACAACAAAAAATTCAAAATTTTCTTACAATTCATAAAGTACTTTTTATAAAAAAAAAAAAAAAAAATACTGATCGTCGTTTAAGTAATTTTAATTTATATATTGTTCAATCTATATACATAAAATCCAAATACCACTGACTCACTAATCGCTGTATCAAAAAATACTCAACATACGCACTAGAAATTTGGAATAGTGGTTCCTCTAATACTTTTACCGTGCAATAAGAAAGGATTTTTGAAAATTCATCCCTGAGGAGGTAAAATAGGGTTTTTTTTGGTACGAATACCTAATTACTTATTTTTTTGTTTATTTACCTTGGTGTTACGGAAAAGAAAACTATTATTATTATTATTATTATTACTACTATTATTTGCACTATTAAGATTTCACGACAGAACACATTTAGTCCGCCGAAAGTGGACTACCCACTTTCCACCTATTTTTTTACATTCAATTCTGACACGGACAACGCCAGGCGCGGGACAGCTAGTTTATATAATATATCCCTATAAAACAGTATAAACCATAAGAAAGTAATAAAATATCCCATGTAAGACACATGGTGTTAAAGTATACTCTCACAAAAATGTATAGGAACACCGCTGCTTGTTTATAAAGTCTATTTACGATTTAAAATTTGCTAGGTTCAAAATAAATTCAAATGTAATTTGGTGATTATCGAGAAATTTTCAAAAATAATTTAAAAATTTAAATCGAACGTTAGGAAATATGTTTAATTCCCTACTACAACTTATTGATCTAAAACGTATGAAAAATATGTTTTTTCATCAAGGGGCGCTTTAGCCCCCTTAATATAAAATCAAATTAATGTAAAAACGTATAGTAAATATTTTCATCTTTAATTTAGTGAAAATGATTTTGTTGCAAGTCTATTGTAAAACCAAAATACCTTTAAAACTCTAAAAATAATTTTTGCTATAAAGTTGAATATAGACAGCAAATACGACTATGACCAAAAACAATAATTATTTCACCAAATTAAAAACGACAATATTTACTATGGTTTTTTACGGGAATTTTTAATTTTCGAGTATGAATAAATTGTACGGGAATTGGATATCGAAAATCCATCTATGAAAAAATATTTAATTTAGTCGCTTATAAGTCTGTGAAATAATATTTATCCTTAAGTTGATTGGTCGATGATAGTCCATGCGTGGTAGCCTATTTTCGAATCGATCCAAATTTAATCTTTATCGATTGAAAATCGAAAGTTGATACATATTCTTTCATATTAATTGATGTCGATCAACTTTTGATTCATTTTTATTATTTTTAATTAAAAACGATATTTAATTAATTTGAGAATTAGGTTTCTGGATACTGTTGGATATACGAAAACGCATTATATTTGCTATTTCGCCTGTTAGAAAGACATACATGAAATGCTTCTTATCTGGACGTGAGTTACGCAGTTCTATTATCAAAAGTGGAAAAAATCTTACTAATCGTAAAAAGCATATCTCTGTTAATGATGAAGATCTAAATATAGTAGTAATTAGGGATGATAGTTTCAAAGTACTTTCTAAAATCTGTGCACAATTGGATGAACTAGTGTTATACTTAAATGTTCATAATTATGTTTTCGATGTTATAGTCTTAAGTGAAACATGGTTATTATATGATTTCAATTTTAATTGTAGTGGATATTTTAATGTGAACTCTACTGGTATGCTCAATAAAAGTGATGGCGTTTCTATGTTTATTAAAAATGATATATCCGTTTCGAATGTAAATACAAATAATATTAATAATTGTAATGGTTTAGAACTAACTTTATTTACTAGACATAAATAATTTACAGTTTTTTGGAATTTACAATTTAATACAATTTAATTTATATTTATCTAAATTTAATAATAAAGAATTAAACAACCTGTAATTATCTGTAGAGATTTTAATATTAATATCTTAAACAATAATTTTAAGATTGTTGATTATCTGAATTTGTTAGCTGGCCATAGTTTTCTATCATGCATAAATAATTTTACTAGAATGAAACTAATAATAATAATTCGGCCACTTGTATCGACCATATTTTTGTAAAAAATATCTTAGTTGACAATATTGATCCTATTTTACTAAAATGTGGCATTATTGATCACTTTGCTACTATTATTGACATAAATGATAAGAATATTAGTTTTAACAATGTTAATAATAATCGTAAACAATATAAAAAAATCGAATCCAGTTAAATTCAAAATTCAAAACTGAAAATAATTTTTCGACCTAATAAATGCCTCCATTTAAATTCAAAATTTCTGCAATTTCGTTCATTGTTTCACTCATTCGCTGTTGTTCGTCATAGTTCGAACTGAGATAGTACATCGCATTCTCTTGAACGCATAAATACATAACAGTGTACTCATTGTTCACGTGTATATCGTATATTTTCATTTCTATAAAATCGGAATATAGGATAATAATATGTTAATCGTGTCCCCCTGTACAGTATTCGTTCGGTTTTATAACACTTTATAATATGTAACGTCCATAGGTCATTGGATCTTTTGTTTTATCTACTAATAGCCTATTATAAAAACAATCATATTATGTGCCAATACCTATACATTATTTAGTATGCATTATAGTTCCTTCAGTGCGATTGTGCATTGAGTTTGGTATTGTTCTCGGCGAGTCGGATTACTCAATACTGCAATTTTTTGTCTAGATTTTTACCCTCTCTTATTATTCTTTCTAGCTATGAATTGATTGAAAATAATACGTTAGAATTTCGACTCTGTTTAATAAAGCTGCACTGTAAGGAAAAAAATCGTACCTATAATATAATTATAGCAGTTTCCAAAAACTTGAAATGAAAGAAATCACCGTGGTAAGTATTGCATTATAATATTCAACTATTATACGGACGTAATACCTATACAATTTGAGCCAAGTTTTTGAAAAATCGTTGAAACTATCTATATAGGTATCGGAAATATTATATTATATAGTCGTTTTGCAATATTTCGTATATTTTATAAACATTAATTTGTCAAAAGTAGAGATTTTCCGGGGTACCTGGCCAACGAATAATAACCGGATGGTCCCTACCATATTCAGTACCAGACTATTACTCGGTAACCGGCCCACTATCTAATTGAACAAAATAAAAAATAATTAATTGATTATTCGCACAAGGTGTTACTCTTTTTACATTTTCTTTCTTCAACACTTAAATCTTGACTATAACAAAATTACACAATGCCAAGAGTCTCGGCTTTAATTGATATTATTATAGTTTACTGGTCTGTATTTGAGACAGAGTTCGATAGACATTATTACTCGACTAAAACTCGGTACCTGATCTGTTAATAAATAGGTAATCTAACCGGACTATCTCTAGTTGAAAGGCCATACAACATATGTCTAATTTTCCCAAGTTACAACAGAATAAATAAATGCAACTAAAAGGCTTTGTGAAAGGAACGTGATTAAAAAAAAAAAAACTAATTATAATCATAAACGTATCCATAAAAACATCTTGTACTGTATCGGAAACTGCAATATGTGGGCCATTCGTCGATTTTTGGATGTCATGACCTATAAAAAAATTATGAGATTATTAATATAATTATTTACATTGTATTTTTATAATATATTATTATATTAAGATCAATTTTATAAATTGAATTGATAAAAAATTCAATTATTTTCCGAAAATCATTCAACTAATAATCACCAGACGTGTTTTAATAGACAAAAGTGGTGTACATTATAATCTGCTGCTTCTGAACAATTAATATTTCAGTGAGAAGTTTGCTTAAAAGGATAGTAGAAATTGTTTTTCTCCGGCACAGAAAAATGTACATAATATTAAAAAATAATTATCCTCTGTAATTATCGGCATCTCGAATTGTAACAAATACGTATATTCGAACAACATGAACAACATTAAGTACTATATTACACTTACGTATACATATAGAATATTATGATTTAAAAATGTAGTAAATTTGTTATTAACACATTGACGGACACTCGTAGTATATAATTTTTATTGTTATATCAATAGTGCTATACCTACATCCAAAATCTATGTAAATTATCAGTGTGGACTGTCGTAATGTGGTAGTCCACTGTCTTCTATAATTTAATAACATTGGAAAGATTACTGCTTCGGTAGTATTGACGCAATATGACATCTTACATATTACTGCTATAGCAATAATGTCCGTCAATGTGTTTACCTAATCTTATATGCGCGATTAGTCGTTAAAATACTTAAAATTTGCGCTGTGTGTAACGTTATTGTAATATCTAATATACCTAATAAAAGGCTTTATACTAACCTAATTCACGTTTATTAATAATAAATCTGGACTTTAAACTCGATTTAAAATTTAAAAAAAATACGTTTACAAACAAGTCGTTTGTCCATAGTTTTTCATTAAAATATAAGGGTTGAGAAGATGAGAAAAATATTATGTAGCTAAAGTAAACACTGCTATAAAAGCTATAACTATTCGCTGGCAGAATGTTTGAAAAAATACATATTATATGTTAGCAGACATTTTCTAAAAAAAAAATACTACTTCAAACGCATTATACATAGTTCAAAACGGTTAATAATTTTTACTCATAAACGGCTCGAAATTCGGTTCTCTAGCTATACGTGTATGCTGGCAGATATTTCTCTCGGTAGATTGAGTGAGAAATTTCACATCATCGAAACCTGGTTTGCATATACTATATTTTTTCAATTCACTATATTCATATGGTACCGAAAGTAATGTAATTTTCTATCGTCTTCTACAGCGCCCACTTTCAATACTTGTTAGTATTAGTTATAGTTATAGTTATAGTATAGTTAATAGTTATGTTGTCATGGAAACGCACATTGTTGTAATCATTTTACTATGATATGATATATACCATATATTGTATTGTTGACAAATCAACACTATCTACTCAGAATCGTTTTTTCGTTAGCAATGGTTTATCGTTGCGTTACAGATATACATTAAATTCCCGTTTGTATCCAAATTTCCACCTACAACAGTAGCTGCATCCACATGCGAAGTATTTTATATATATTTTTAAATAATATGTTACTATTAGAGACAAATTAAAACAAACAAAGTATATTTCTCCGTAAATCAAATACTCAAGTATACTGAGTTTAATGATAGTTTAAAGAAAAAAATTAATTATACCTCTTTATACTTCATTTTTTAAAATTTGTATCAAATCTATATTTATCAGATAATGTTCAACGAACTTTTTTCTCAAAAAAAAAAAAATACACCTACGGTCTTCAGTAATTTATTTACAATAGGTACAATATTATGGTATGGTAAAAAATAAGGAGGAAAATGAGTTATTCAACAGCTAATCAAAATATTTACAATGATATACACGTCCAAACCTATGAATTACCTTCCTGCATTTATATAAAATAGTACCTAATAAAAATTATTGGTAAATATCTACGTAAGAAAAATAAAAAATATGATAGGGTCGCTTTAACTACTTTCATGGGTATCAAATATACGAAGCAAAATTGTTGGCTTTCCACAATAACAAAATATGTAAATTCCAAACACTGATATCAGTAGATTTAATAATTATACAGAATGGTTATTTTATCACGAACCCACGATTATCTGTACGAACTATTTGAAAAAATGTATAGAAAAATATTCTCTTCTCGAATCTAATATTTTGTGTTCCCGTGATTCTTGTGGCGTGCGCAGGGGTGGGGCTGTCTAGGGAATCCACCTTCCTTATTGATTTAAAAATGAAAAACAACTCTGAGTATTTGATTAGAAGTAATTTTATATTGAAATTATATGTTTTAGCCAAGTTAAAACAAAAATAAATTTAATGAATTGAATAAAAATTGGTTTTTTTTGGTGCCAACATTTAAATAAAATTCTCACCGTCGGGTTCTACGATTTATTATTTAGTGCATCCCCTCCCATTGAAAATTCCCAAGCATGCTACTGCGTGGTTCTATAAATAAGACTAAAAAAAAAATTAACTCGAAATCTTTATTGACAATTTATTCGTGGTTAAATAATCATCCTGTATACCTACTTCGTATTTAATATTATTTTGCATAAAACCATTGATATAATAGTTATACTTTTTTATTATACATGTTGTTGCAAAAAGTGTTTCAATTAATGTTCCACAGATAAATGCATTTTTTTTTATGATAAAAATAAAACGACTAAATGAGTTTAACTTTGTATCAATAAAACAAACATTAATTTAATTAACTTGTGTATCGCGTAAATCAAATTACTTTTTGACATTTATCTGCAACCCATCAAAATGGAAATTCTCCATTGTACACTGACGAAGTCAATTAAAACTTAAAAATGTATTTTTTACAGTTAGAACGTCATTTTGGCCTTTATACTTTTCTTTCTGTAGATTTTGAGAACAATGGATACAAGTTAATGTATGTTTGACTATTATAGCATGGGATTATTTATCTATTTTTTTTTTTTTTCAGAAAATGAATACAGCTGCACCAGAAAATGGCAAAACTGCCATTTCCGCTGACTCGAATTCCGAAGAAAAGGGAGATAGAGTCAGACTCAAAAAACAACTTGGTCTCCTCGAAGGCGTTGCCATTATACTGGGCATCATATTCGGATCCGGTAAGTAATTAGATAAAAATTATACGATAATACAAATATTTGAGATCATACAGCTAAACATATCTCTCTCAGTTTATGTCAATCGTCTGCTACCTCCCTCCAGTTTGAATTTCTATGCTCGACTTCTGTGAAGTTGTTGACGTAATCTTCCCAATATTGAAGTCGCGGTCTTCCAAGTGATAGTCTTTTGACTCTCAGATTTTCAAGTGTTCCTCCATCATGACATTATCGGATTATCTTAATTTTTTTGTATTTGATCCGTAGTAGTAACCGAATGATGGGCTTGCAATAACGCAATGTCTTTAATACACCTCATAATCGAATTATATTAGCAATTATTGTTCCATTGAACTTATTACAGTATTATATCCCTGCAGCAGTTAGCACATAATTGTTATTTGATATAAATATTTAATATAATCAATTTTTATTCGTAAAAGCTTTTGCTCATTTAACTCCGATATTTTACTAATCAATCATATACTTTATCAGAGTATCCTAAATTGCACATACGAGTCCTTTAATATGTATAATGGGTACCCGACACTAATTTAAAATAATTATTATTATTCGTTTTAAAAATATTTAATAACTTGTAATTTGCATGTTATTTTAATCGCGTAAAACCATTTATATTTTTCGAATACTTAAGCCACTTGCCAACATTTACTCTTTACGATAATTTCATATATACCTAAATTTCTTTAGGCCTTTACAACAGTCCATCATTTTCTTGTCTGTGAGATTTACATTCCGTAATTTTACAGTCCGTACAGTCCAAATATACATACAAACTGCGCACTATACATGGTATACACATTTTATGATACAAATTTAATTCAAGTTTCTTTCAATAAATATGAACATTCTGTGTGTATCTTCGAAGTTTATACTATTAGCTACCACCAAATAAAAATATATTTTTTAAATATATAGTTACCAGAAAATTGGCCATATATTATACAGGCAATGAAGAAAGAAGATAATGGCAATATTAGAGCAGCTCTAATAGAGTGTGGAAGCTTCAGATATCCCACGATAAACTCAGGAAAAGAGGGATCAACGTTTTTGTAGAGGTTAAAATCCAGGAGTGAAGACTGAAAAAACTAAAGAGACGTGATCATGATCGGGATAAATGGCGTTATGTGTTTTTGGCAGCGTAAACTCTTAAGAGAGTTGTTAAGGCCTGAATATAGGCCTATAGGTCTTAGATATATATGCAATTAACGTAAAAAGTAAATGTTTAACAAGTGGCTTAAATATTCGAAAAATATAAATGGTTTTACGAGATTAAAATAACATGCAAATTACGAATTGTTAAATATTTTTAAAACGAATAATAATTATTATTTTAAATTAGTGTCGGGTCCCTATTATGGGTCCTATTATGCATATTAAAGGACTCGTGCGTGCAATTTAGAATACTCCGATAAAATATATGATTGATTAGTAAAATATCGGAGTTAAATGAACAAAAGCTTTTAAGAATAAAAATTGATTATATTATATATCTTATATCAAATAACAATTATGTGCTAACTGCTCTATAACTGCTGGGATATAATACCGTAATAAGTTCAATGGGAAGAATAGAGAATATTTTTTTAGAATTTTTAATATGCATAACACTTTTATCAGATTTACCGTTTATAAGTTATAACCGTTTAAAGTTTAAACTGAAGGAGTAGGGAAAGGTAATAAATTGCATGATGCACTTTGGTAAATCTGTTATTAATGTTATGCACAAAGTTCTAGAAAAATATTTTCTGTTCAAATCTGTGTTCAAAGAGGGAAGGGGGGCTTTCTATTTGAAAAACAAAAGTGTATACTTATTTAAGGTACATGCAGTAGTGGTAAAAAATTAAAAATGGTTTAAAAACGAAGCTTCTCCAACCTCTAACCTAAACTTAAAAGTGGAATTTCTCGTCAACGGATCGACGGAAATCAAAAATTTCAACACCGAAATTTATTTTAACTAATACTCCATCTATTTATGGGATTTTCAATATAGATTCTCATTTAAAAACCCAAAGTTGATATCGCCACAGGATACTCCTTAAATGTTGTGAAAAATCCGAGTATTCGAAAATATCGGCTTGAACTACGCTTAAAAATTTCAAAAATCAGAATTTTGAAAGAAGTCAATTCATTTCTTGAAATAATGAGTGTTTCACGGTAAAACATTTAAATGGATTACGGGTATATACATTATAATACGAAATCTCATAATAGTTGTATTATTAAAATCGAGATTTAAATGAATTTTTAATTGATTTTTTTCTTAAGTTTTAAAATTTTTAAATGCATATTTTAATGCTCGTTTCGTCAATTGGTAGTGTATGCATAATATTGCATATTATTCACATTTTTAATCGTTTTTCCTTTTCAGTATATTAATTAAATTCGCCGTCTCGCGATTATCAATATGTAATATAAAGGTCATACGGCAAACGTTGAGGCGTTAATTATCAATATTACTTTATAATTTGCTTTTATACACGCAGTGATAAGTACGCATTCGTTAACTATCTCGGAGTAGTTTAAACCCGCGACAGTACGAAATGTCTCGAGTTAATCCGACTTGGGCAAAAACTGTTTTTAATATTTTTTCTATAATAGCCAATTCGGCTCGAACTCTAATTCATATTCCACTACTTACAATTTAGATTTCCCGTTGTATAGTAGATAAACATTATTATGTTCTTACTCGAACGTTTGTTAGATTCGAGAAAAAACGTTATACACCGCACTATTATACATTATTATTTTGATATATATATACATATATATATAATATTATATTATAAACCAGATAGCGTGGCTGCTGCCGACATTCCTAAATCAGACCCGTATCTTTAGACGATTTCCTTATTTTGAATATTGTCCATACCGACAAAATATTATTAGCCTTGAGGTGTAATTGGACTTAAATTATCCGAGAATTAAGAAGTAAAACGAATAGTCAAACATACGAGTATAACAGGAAGGGAAGTTGGACGATGTTTATTTGTCGTGGTCACTTTTATTCAATTTTGTATACAAACATACAAATATTATTAATTACTCGTATGAGTATAAACATGTAGTAGAAATAATCAAATCGTGGCACCCAATCCTTTTACTGTACGGTAGAGGACATACTCGCAAGGAGAAAGATGAGAGAATAAAATGCGACAAAATGCCGGTGCCGTGCCGTGTAGCAGCCGTCTACTGCCACTACGGTGTATGACATGACGGAATAAGCTCAGTGGCGTACATGACTAAACGCATGTTTTCACATTATAGGATTTCGGATTTTCGATGTACGTAAAAAAAAAACTAAATATAAATCAATTTTAATTTTCTGGTTTTTCTCAATTATTATAAAAACTACTTTAGATATCAAAAAACGACTCTTGGATATATTAAAAGGAAAAAAGCAATAATCTCTTGTTATTTTTCGATTGGAGCAATATGTCTAGTGGATATCATAATTAAAGTTTCCAAAAATTAAAAACAATTAAAATCGGTAACGTCGCAGCGCGCCGTAAATAAATTTTGTTTAAAAACTAATTTATAATATCTTAGCTATTATTTTGGATAGTAAAAAAACGTTTAACAGACGTTCTAAATTTTTTATTTTAGTTGTCAAGTATTTAAAACGAGAATATTTTTCTGGAGTATAATATATTTACCCCCCGATAAATGGCCATGGTCATTAGTAAACGAGCAGTTCACTAACACATTTTACAAGTGTTGAGACAATCCGGATACTCTCAAATACGGACAAATCCTGATTAGGATATCTAAAACGTGCTATCGGGAATTTTATTATACTAATGAGTTTTTCAACTTATTGTTACAACATTAATTAGACGAAAATAAGTTTTCTTAAATGTTATATTAATACCCGGGTATGTATTGCAGTTACAAAATGTGACGACTGCGACAAAGGAAACGTTGTTTTGTGTGTATTATCACAAAATCTCGGGCAAAATCTAGTGTTAACGACGTATACGATGTTATGACATATGCGTAGGAAGGTAGATATATATGTTGATAGCTACGAACAATACACTGGTTTCACGTCATGTCTGTTAAAACATAATACTTTAACCTTTAACCAAATTGCAACAAAATCTATTGCTATTATACCTGCGGATTTGCTGAATTTACTATTTCCTTCTTCCCTCGCGGTAAACACGAAGAAAACACGTTTTTAGACGGTGCATCGTCGCCGGACAAATTGGGATTCACATCACGCGTCCATTATTTTTTAAACGAATGAAATTTAATTTACCTCTCAATAATGATGAGCGACCATACGTACTCAACTAAAAAACAAAAACGGTCACCGTCCGCCGCATCAATCCAAACGACGTCAGGTTTTCGGATGGTTTCGTAAAATCCTCGACTTCAGTAACGCGCTTGCAATAAACTAAATACTTGATTAGGTAGGGCTTTTTTCGTGCAGCTTGATACGGGGCGTTTATAAGCGTCAAACCTATTTAAATAATGTCATTTCAATTTTAAACCTATAATGGTTTATACGTTTTAGTATTTCAAATTTATAATACGATTTAAATACAGTGCTTTCTTTACCCATGTAACATAACTCAAAAAAAAAAAAAAAAGGTTTAATTATAATATGATACGACTACAGCTGTACAATAATAATATGCTTAAAAAATATACATACTTAGTTTAAAAACAATATAATTAATATTAGAATTGAGATGGCTGGATTGAAAACTCACATGTTACAAAAAATGGGAAAATGAGTTAGCAGCACCGTTTTTTAGGGTTTTTAAGGTGAATCCGATTCGGTAAACAGTTCGAAATCTCACAAAGCACGAGTACAGGTTTACATTTGACTGGAAATTATAAAACTTTTATAATTTCCAAAAACTTTTTACGGTAGTTTTGATATTTTTAGCGTATATTACATTAGAAAAATGTTTTTTTAGATATTTTCGTTGTACTTACAGGAAATTCCTTTCATACTTTTCATTTCCATACTATTTTTGGAACATATTTTTCGTTTAGTAAATATACTCATTTTCTAAGTCGCTTTGTTGTATTTTAAATTTTTTTTTTCCATGTAAGGTTTAACTATTTTTTTTTTCTTTTTTTTTTATCTGATAGTTCATCAGTATTTGACATTTATTAATGATATCATAATGGTAATAAACTTATAACATGTATAGCAGAGTCGACAATTTGACTTAGTAGAGTAATTAGATCATCTATATTACATTTACCGACATTAAATTTGCAGAAAATTATTCCGCGTCATTTTCAATCTTCGTAAATAGTTTACTTAAGTTGCTATTTTGAAATTCGAAATTCGATATCTATTAAAACTGTATGGGTCGCAGTAGACATTTTCTTGTAAACAAAAAAAAAAAAAACAAAGAAAATCAAAAATGATAAAAACTATCTATCAGATAAAAATGCAGTTCGGCCAATTTATTAAAACGATAAAAATACTAATACTGCCTGTGAATTAAATGGCTTCTTCACTAACATTTGTTTTTATCTATCCGTCTTGCGTAAATATAATGTAGTAACAAAAGCATTCTGCATTTCCGTTTGGCACGACCACGGCCACAACCCCCGATTCTCAGGACTAATGCTTCATTTTATATGAATACATTTATATATATTCAGGAAAGAAGGGTTTAAGACAATTTATAGCATTTTATTTCTATTGTCTAAAATACACAAAATCAACTTTGGCCCATTCTTCCCCGGTACCAAAGACATGGTGTCGACGTATTAGTCGGACATTTCCGATCGGTACGCTAACATTTTCTTGATAATAATATAATTGTGCCCTGTGTTATTGCACAGGTATATTCATCTCGCCATCGGGCGTGATGAACGAGGCCGGATCAGTGGGCCTGAGCCTGACCATATGGTTCATGTGCGGCATGCTTTCCATGATCGGCGCCCTGTGCTACGCCGAGTTAGGCACGTCCATACCGCGGTCGGGCGGCGACTACACGTATCTGTTCGAGGGATACGGGCCGTTGCCCGCGTTCCTCTACCTGTGGGACGCCATGCTCGTGTTCGTGTAAGTATGATTTTTTTTTTTTTCAATTATTATTATTTCGAAAGAGCTTTTATTGTAATTAATTAAAAATTATTATTATTATTAGGTAGGCATTAAAAAAGTGTTTATAGCGATTATCTGAATTGGCCATTTTCTTACGTGTACGGGATAATTATTTTATCGTGAAACACTCATTATTTCAAAAAAGTAATTGACTTTTTTCAAATTCTGATTTTTTGAATTTTTAAGTGTAGTTCAAGCCGATATTTTCGAATACTCGGATTTTTCACAACATTTAAGGAGTATCCTGTGGCGAGACCAACTTTGGGTTTTTAAACGAGAACCTGTATTGAAAATTTCATAAATATATGGAGTATTACTTAAAATAAATATTGGAGTTAACATTTTTGAATTCCGTCGACCTGTTAACGAGATATTCCACTTTTAAGTTTAGGTAGGGGTAGAGTAGTGGAGAACTAATAAAATGCCGCATGCCGCGCCTCCACGCAAATGATATTTCTCCAAAGTGGAATATCTCGTCAACGGGTTAACGGAAATCGAGAATTTCACCATCAAAATGTAAACCAAATTATAACTAAACTATTTAAACTAATATTTACTCCAACTATTTATTTAATTTTCACTATAAGTTGCTGTTTGGAAATCTAAAATTAAAAGGAAAACAACAATATAAATGAATGTACTTGGAAAGAAAAAGAGAGAAACAACTTTTATTTAAACCTAACAGCTCCGGCTTGCCACTCCGGATCCTCCCAAACCTCCGTGGCTCCTAAATAGCTAAAATAGGGTCTGTAGCTGTAGAGTATTATAACCATACACAATTGGAAAGATTACCTGCGACTTGTGAGTGTTTGTTCAGTAGTGTACATCTTGCAGCCAAGTTACGATAAAAAGTTTGATGTACCTATTATAAAATAAATAAGAATTAACTTTCTTGAATTTCGATTTTAAATTTCCATTGTAGGATTTTAAAAATTCTGCGATTTATTCATGATTTTATTATTTATATCGCTCCCATTGAACATTTCTGAGCACACCACTTACAGGGCTAATGAATTGCCACTGAAGTGTATACACTGCAGTTTAAAAATAAATATTAAGAGTTAAAATATAGAGCTAACGATAATATTTCGAAGGAGATCTAGGTAACTATTCACAATAATGAAAGAGGTTTTCTTTCTGATTTACGTAAACATGTTTTTTTAACAAATGTCTTCACGATTACATTATAAATACTCAGTACAACGAGGCCTATTATACCTGTACATGTAGTATTTTTATTTTTATTTTATAAGAGTTTTAAAATCAAATTTTGACGAAAATCGTAAATATTATATGGCCTTTCAAAAACATGTATAATCGAACTTCGCTCCAAATCGTTTTTTCGTTATCAATGGTTTATCGTTGGTTACAGGTATGAATTGAATAATAATTTATGTATCTCACCTTCCCAACTACCCACTTACAACAGTGGCCGGACCCGTCCCCAGTATCAGCTCTTTTTTTTTAAAAATTTTATTTGGATATTATTGAATTGATATATTTTAATTTATTATTATTATTATTATTTTTAAATTTTATAAAAATCACATATAAGCCCTTAAATTAAGTGCACGCGACGTGTCGTCCAAAGCTCTATGTCGCGGGTCGACTCGATGGCGCCGGATTACTTATATTATACTTAAACCCTGACAGCGGTTGTCAGAATTTTAGATAACCAAAATAATATTCCTTATATTAATTGTATTTAAGTACCTATCTATAAGAATTAATCACAGATATACGATACCATCATAGGATGTTATACATATCTTGCATTACTATTATTTGTTTAATAATGTAAATATCAATATGTTAAAAGTTCATTCTCTTTTTTGTCTAAATAATAAACACTTGTGATCAAAAAAATGATGAAATTGGATCATACAAATATTTGAGGTGAGAGCTAATAACCGAGACCCCCGAAAGATGTTAACGCTATGCATACACAAAATTTCATTCTCCTGGCTTCATTTGGAAAATCTGTAGCGACGTATAGAGCTTAAAGAAACCTTCCACCCGCAATAATATGGTTAAATTCAACCCAAACTTAGGCCCATTTGGTCCTAAGCGTGAAAAAGACGCAGTGCAATATTGCCTATATATTCAGGACAATTCGACAGTTATAATGTGTAAACTAACAAGTAAAAAATATTATACAATTTCACATTAAACTTTTATCTATTTTGCGTACACAATAAACATGTTTTTTTTTTTTTTTTTTATCACCGAAAATCATTGTCTTTTTATAACAAACGCGTTTTGATTTAGTTTCGCTCTTGTTGTTTGCATACAGGCCGACCACCAATGCGATCATGGGACTGACGTTTGCCAATTATGTGATCAAGCCGTTCTTCCCGGACTGCGACAACCCAGATCAAGCAGTCAGACTCCTAGCGGCTGCCGTCATTTGTAATAATAATAAAAAAATAAACCGTAACCACGGGACTGTGAACTCGATACGCCAAAAATATTGACTGTGAAAAAAAAACCCCAAAATGGGAAAAACATCGAAAATGGTACCTGCTAAAATGTATAGGGAAATTGAACCCTCATTAAAATCGCCCTTAGGAATGTCGTATAGTTCACAGCCCTTAGCTCGTCGTCGTACCATTCTTGTTCGTTGGACTTATTGTCGCATTATACTGTTTAGGTTTCATAACTTTCATAAACTGTTGGAACGTCAAGGCCACCACTAACGTACAAAACGTGTTCATGTTTACCAAAATATCGGCTCTGGTGTTGATCATCGCATGCGGCGGTGTTTACCTGTTGATGAGTCAGTATACAATTCGATTATTATTATTTGTTTTTTTTTTTTTTTATATATATATATATATAGAAATAAATAAATAAATAAGCGAAAATTGATTTTAGTGATGGTCGTTGGTAATTTATGATAATAATTAAGGACAGAAGCAAAATTCAACAGTATATAATGTGTATGCATTAAAAAAAAAAACTGATACTTCTGATGGGTGTGCTACTGTTGTTATGTGTAAAGTTGGAGAGATAGCGCGGTCTGGACAAGATTCGCTTTTAGAAAAGACGCGAAAAGAGTTAATGATCGAAACAAGATTTCTGGCAGAAAAATTGTTTACAGACGGAAAAATAAATATCATACTAAAACCAATGCATTTATAATCAATTCTCGAGTCCATTAATTATTGTAATATCGAATGTACCTATATGTTACTCGACTCGGCTGAATGGAAATTCAGGTTCGGCTAACACCAATATACGATTTTGTTATACACATTAATTTGCCTTCTCCCGCCGCCATAATCTAACAAATATACTTATATTATCGTTAATTGTCCGTGATTTATTTCGTTCTTGTCCCACAGACGGATTTTCAAAGTTTTCTAATCCGTGGCAAGGATCGGTCACGGACCCCGGAAGGCTGGCCGTGTCCGTTTATTCCGGAATTTACTCGTATTCTGGATGGTAAGTGCTAGCGATATTAATATTATAAATAGGGCTAGGATTTATATGCATTGGTATGTTTTTTTTTGAAACATTTTATCTTATCTTATCAAAGGTTTTGTACGATTAATAAGTATACTGGATAAAAGTATACCCATAAAAGTTAGTATGTGTTTAACAGTTTTGACGTGTTAGGTGTAGTTATCTATTTTGAAATTAGAAAATGCCTCACTTTCATTCAACGAGGGTTTAGAGATTGTTGAAAACCAAATTTAAACTTTGACAAAACAAAGGAACAATTGAAAAGGTCAAAGAAAAATTTTAAAATGTGTTGGAAAAAATCAATGTTTATATTATGTAATATTTTAAATGGAAATAATCTGGATGAAGATTTCTCAAATATAATTTCTGGGAAAGTAACACAAATTAAATACCCGAAAATTATGTCATGTGATGTCAAATGAAGTTTCATTTTAGAAAATTCAAAACATCATGTAATACATTTGATTAACATTAATAATTGTAAAATTTTTTTTTCATTTAATAATATTTTTATTGGTTTATTTTTGCATATTTTTAATAAACCAAATACATAGTTCATAATTTTTTATTGCATATAAATCCTAGGTCTAATTATAAACTTTAATTGCACGTATTATTATTATTATACTATTATTAAATTGTTGTAATATGTATTTGTTATATAGGAACTATTTGAACTTTATGACCGAAGAACTGACAAACCCCTACGTGTAAGTATATAATAATATTGTACAAAACCTATCAGGATATAATATGAGGGTAACAAATTATATAAAATACTAAAAATTATTATTGTCTGTTCATCAGCAACCTTCCAAGAGCCATTTACATATCCATGCCTCTGGTGACCATTATTTATGTTTTGGCCAACATCGCATACCTGGCTGTTCTGACCCCACACGACATGATAACAACCAAAGCCATCGCTGTTGTGAGTATTATTCACGTGTTATTTATTGTTTCAGAAAAAACTTGTTTAATCTCAGAACTAAAGCAATTGTTCAAAGTAACAAATTACAAATATAATATTAATTTTTGTAATTTAGGCTCTGGAACAATGTCTTAATAAATAATAGAAACGGTTAGGAATCTCGAACAATTGTTTCAAATAAAATACTAACAGGTAGAAAATCAGTATCTTTTAAAGAATAAGATGTGAAAGTTTAATAATATAGATTCCAACTATCCAAAATAAAAAAACCTACATCTTGAATCAAACTCACTACACTCATAATCATAAAAGTGAAGTGATAAAAAAAATGAAAATATTTAAAGAAGATCATCATTGACAAACCTCAATCAACTTTTTATTCAGATGATTGTTTTTTGAACAATTTATTGTGCAATGAGTAATGAAAGAAACTATGAGAATTATCGCTGGGTGACTAAACAGCGGATATTTGACAAAATGTTTAACAAAATATTAACAAACAAAAATACTTTTAAGAGTTGTATATTTACAGACTAATGTGAGTAATATTTTTGTTTAGACTTTTGGACACTTGGCAATGGGTTCTTTCGAATGGATAATGCCCCTGACAGTCGCTCTGTCTGCGTTTGGTGGTCTGTGTGTTCACGTTATGACTTCGTCCAGGTATGCCGCAATTAAATAATAATATGGATATATGGTAATGAGCATAAAAGTTTACCAACAACTATTTTTAATCATACTCGATAGTTAACAATAAATATATAAGATTATAAGTCAATTAGAAAATTATAAATAACTTCCCAAAGCCAAAAATTAAATAATAATATCAATAAACTTTTCATTAACAATATTTTTGTGTTTTTTATTTTAGAATGTGCTTTGTTGGTGCACGTTACGGTCACTTCCCGACCTTTTTGTCGCATATAAATATAGACAGATACACACCAACCCCATCTCTAGTATTTTTGGTAAGATATTATTTTTGTACCTACTTATAATATTGATAAATAAATTAATAATATATTGGCTTTTCAGAACATTTTATCTCTACTTATGCTCTTCACCAGTGATGTAGACATGCTTATAACATATTCAAGTTTTGTTGAAGCTTTCTTCACAATGTTATCAGTGTCTTCAGTGTTATGGAGCCGATGGAAACGTCCAAACATTAACAGACCAATCAAGGTACAATAACTTTAATAGCATTAATAAAATAATATAATATATTTGTTATTTGTTTTAAACAACCAACAGGTATCCCTGTGGATCCCTATCACGTATGTCATAGTATCATTGTTTTTGATTGTATTACCGTGTTATGTACGACCTCATGAAGTAGGCATGGGCGTTGGCATCACCTTATTGGGCATTCCAGTTTACTATTCGTGTGTCGTTTGGAATACCAAACCTGTATGGTTCCAAAACATATTAAGTAAGGCTAGCAAACTGGTATACAGTTCCAAATTATTTAATTTTGCTTTTATTTTTTTTTCACCAGAACATATTACCTGGACTATACAAAAATTATTTGTCACTGCTAAAGAAGAGAAAGCAGAGGAAATTTGGGAATAGTGGTCCATTATACCAGTAACACTGTAGCTTGGTTTTCTTAATTTGATGATTTGCTTTATCAATCTTTTTTTTCTTTCAATTATTTTAAGTGCTCAACAATATTTTCAATGAAAATATTCAACTTTTGCCTGCCCTATTCATCATAATTATTGCATAAGTAATTAACTTACAAATCTCATTGTTTTTTTTAAAAAAAAATTTAAATTATAATTGTATGGCAGTTTTTTATCACTTGCCAGAAAAATTTACAATTGTTCTTTAATCGTTTTTTTTTTCAATCAGTATTACAATACATACATATAAAATATGTTTAATTAAACATTATATTTTATAAAATGTCTGTCTCACAAAGATCTATTTTTAAGTAAAAATAATTTTATATTCTATCACTTTAAAATGGTACATCGCATGCTCATGAAATATTTGTAATACTTATACATTAAAAATATATTTTACTTTTAACTTGATTCATTACTTTAAGAAACCATACTGCTGTTTAGACACGTTACTAGATATGTCTTGAATAAGTGTTTCTTCGAGGGCTTTATTTAATACAATACCAGTATGCGAACCAGACTGAAAATAAAAATATATTTTGATTATAATAATAACTATGTATAGTACACAAATTTAAAAAAATGTTCTGCACTCACCAAGATAATCTCATTTAACGTATCTGGCATAAAACTACCAGCTCCTTTTTTTAGTACAGCTGTCACATTTCCTTTAGGCGTGACTGATACAACTATACATCCAGCACCACATATTTCTTCCTCGATAGTAGGATCAACAACGTAATTGTTACCAATCTTGCATAAAGACACCAATACAGGTAAGTGCCTGGCGTCCAAAGGTTTTGTATCAAACGGATCGTCAGATATTTGAAGATCAATATTATTACCATCTTCATAAGTCCCCACAATGTTTGGCAGACTTGTATTACACAGAGCAGCTTTAGCAGCCAATGAAACTGCATCAAATAGATTTCCTTTAAAAGAAGATTATTATAGTTTTATTTATATACACTAAAAAGTTAAAATATTTTATATATTTAAGCATCAACTACTTGATTTTAATATTGATTATAAATTGAGTTTGACAGAATTTAACTATACTAATAAATAAATATTGTAGATCTCTGGATAAAGAAACACTATTGAACTCTTTTATATAGCATTAAAATGCTATAAGGTACCATACTTGTTACAAGTGGCAGCCAATAAGTATCTGAAAATGTCAGTGATCTATCAGATTATAATTTTAATTAAATCTTGTAAAGTTATACATATTTAAGTGATGATTGACCTAACTTGACAACCAAATTAAAGTTAAAAATAAAAGCCGATACTTGGAACGGGTGTAGTCACTGTAATAGAAGGGAAGTTGTAAAGGTGGGATACATAAAAAGTTATTTAATTTATGTATGTAAAATGACATATTTTGAAATATTATAATTTGAATAACAGATACCTACCATATAAAAATACATAAAAAAAAACCACAAAAATCTAAAAATAACAAAAATATTTGAACATTTTTAACCAAAAAACCCAAATTCTGTACACTTTGATGAATTTCCTGGGTTTTTGTAATTATTAGAAAACCTACATGAAAAATCAAACAACTTTTTTCGTTCTCACAGACTAAACAAAAGTTTCTTTCATAAAATATACTATAATTGAAATTTGGACAAAGAGTTCTGGTAGAAAAATATAATCTTAACAATTTTATATAATAAAATTATTGCGCTGTAATTTTAAAAAAACCAGATCTTTTGTCTATTTTGATTAGTTTAAAAGAAAAACAGTATAGTACTTAATACTTTCAAATAAAATATGAATGCATATTTCAAAATACATATTTAACTGAACTAACTTATAATTAAACAGTTTTAAGTCATAAAACAATAAACCAGACTTCAAATTTACATTGGAAATCAATTGGCATTGAACACATCGCTAAAAGATCCCAATGACACCAATTTATATCTGAAGACAGTGAATGTGTTAATACTCCTACAGTACTAATTTATTATTTAAACTTTACATTTAACATTTGAAAAACCAATGTCAATTATAATATAAGCATATAGAGTATACTTTATTATTTAACCATTTTTAAGTTGGCATGCAAAATCAGCTCACACCATGCGCATAATATAGTGCGCAATTTTTTTAAACATATTTATAGGTGCTGAAAAACCTCAGCTTATGGCATAAATAATATTAAATATAGATGAATAGAAGCTGAAATACTAAAATTGTTGACTTTAAAACTAAACAGAAACTCACCAGAATGAATCTGTACAATACCAACCACGCTATCCTACATTCAATAAGTAATTAGAAAATAGCTTCAAGTGTCAATAAGCTCTGAGGTGCATTGCACGATTGGGCCCAAATTTTTCTAAAGTATGATATAAATATCAACTGTTCGGTCCCCTGAACGTTAAAAATCAAAATTTAAAAGGTTACAAATTAAATATTAATCTTCATGGTAGGTCACTTATGTGACAGTTTATTTTACCAACACTGATGTTAATTAATTCTCCATATAATTTCTAAATATCAATTATTCAGTATTTAACAATTTAATACAATTTAAAACCGTATTAACTGACTCCATGCCAATTAATAAAATAATGGCTTTTAACATTAAGTGTTTGTTTATCGCTTGCATTATAATTATAGTAATTATTATAAACCTTACCACCACATTCTAAAATTAAAACGTCAACAAATAATTTCCAGCAAGACTGTCCAGGAACAATACATAATTTACTCAAGTTATACACTGGGCTATGGGCTAAATAAAGAAAACGACTAAGTTCAGCTGCCAACTGTTCTCCGCCACGTCCTTCAAATGCTGGAGTTGCATTGGCTGAACTACAAAAATAAAAAAAAGTGGAAACTATTAACTTTCAACAAAATAAATTTAATGAAGTTATTTATAATTACCAATCAACAAAATATTCTATCTTGCCGTCTTTGGGGGTTTCTGGAAATGGAGAATCAATCTCCACTTTAACGCAAACTAAAATATCAGAGTTTGCCAATCGTAAGCGGGCTGACCCATTAGCATTGCTTACAATGTCCATTTCCAATTCCAACGGTCTGTAATCCTGTCGACTGCGACCATCGCATCGAAAATTTTCCTTTAAAAATAAAATTCTTATTCAAATATATCAAAGCTACATATTATTAGGTAATGATATATTATATTATTAAAAAACTTACCTCGACTCCATGAATAATGTATACTTTTTCCGCTTCATTCAACGACACTAAACTCATAGCTTGGCCGTTTAATTTTTTTAGTGGAGTATTGGATTACCTATTCAAATTTGTTTATCATTAAAAATTGTCTAAAATTGATAAGTAAAAATAATGATAAGAATAAATAATAACCAAGTACCAAGTCAATAAGAAAACAATCACAGCAGCAGCTGCATTACAATATCAGAATTTCTTTAATCGTAAGCTCGGAGAATTGTGTTATCACATTTTTGCTTGTATTTTTTCATACCGCGTTCTCATTGGTCTATTTCAAATTTCGCGTGATTTTCGTTTTAAACATAACTGCTTTTATGTAAATGTTTACAAAATAATCATGTTAATAAATGCCGTGGTGCCAATAGCAATAGTCATTTATCATACGTGAGCTATTTGCGGTACCAGGGTTCAAATCCTTAAGGTTAATATATATTTTTTTTTTTTATATTTCATGAACATGAGGTGGTTTTGCACAACAAATCGAGGGCTGTTATCACAAAAAAAAAAAAAAAGAGTGCAAACTTTTTGTGATAACACGATTCTCAGATCTGCCCACGGATTAAGATATACAAAATGTCGAACGAACGTGTGATTAGTGAAGGCTCCACTGTGAAGAACCAACCTTATCATTTTTGTCAAAGCCACTATAACCATCTATTGATCTAGTGTACTATTTACAAACTATGTCAATATTTATTATAGCTACTAGCAGCTATTCCGCCTGTCGTTTCTTGTTCCAAATAAATGTGGAATAAAAACGATTTCCCCTTAGATTTCTTATTTCATTCTCCATAACTATTACTGCAGACGTCTGCAGTTAACCATTGTTGCCCTTAAATGTGTGAAAATGCATTTTCTTTATATTTATAAATTAGCTGCAATTGATAAGCAATGAATATATCTAATAATTTTTTTTTTTATCCAGCTCTAACTACTGCAGGTAGTCTACTTTTATTGGTCAGATCCAGTATTGAGCCTTCTCCTATGTATACTGTATCATTTAAAAAAATAATTGGATGAGTAGTTTCAGAGATTACCCCGGTCAATTTTTAATTTTTTATATTCCTTTTTTTCCTGAAATTTCTTACACGTTTAATATCTGCACAGTAAAACTCTATTTGGATAACTTGATTATGTATAATTTAATAGGTATTAAAGTTTATTTTTACAACTAATACAACTGATCTACATTTTAAAGTCAATAGAAATACCTCAGTGACAACAACGAAAAAGCCCTCTCAGTGAATTCATTAATTTCAAAAAGCAAAACTCGCAAATTCTAAATTTATGAAATATATTAAGGTAGCTGTAGTCCATGATAATCTATTTAATAGCATTTTTATAAAGTTTCCCTAAATCGTAAACCAGTGATTAGACATCCAATTAGTCAAATGCAAGTTAAATTTTAACTGAATGTAACATTTATTTATCGATATTCAGTATCACTTAATTTTTGGTAGATGGATTCAATTATGAAAATCACTATTCATCTTAATCTTCAAGTTTAACATACATAATCTAGAAACTGGAAGAAAATATAGGAAACCTTCCACAATATACTCCCATATTATATAAGCTCTCAATTTTAAACATTATTGATTTGTTTCTTCTTCTATTTTGTTAAAATACCTAATTTAAATTTTAGAGATTTCTTAGTTACTTAAGAATATTAACAATTTGGGTTTAAAAGTAGGCCTCATTTAATCGTTTCTCAGTATAAATATAAGTCATTATGTATCTGTATAAAGATATTTATGAATACAGGTATGAATTACAGTATTAGATATTAAGATAAACATATTATACTGTAATTATACAATATAGTAGAAACAATTTTAAGGAACAATGTATTTTTTTTTTCATTAATAAAATAAATAAATATAGAAAACATTAATTGCATCATTTGTGCACAATTTTTTTAAAAATAATTATCTTGTTTGAAAAATTAAAAAAAAATACAATGTATATCTGAATTATGACATAAATTTTTACTCAAAACCTTTTGGATAATAAAATGTGTACTTTTAAAGACTAAGAAAAAAAAATGTAATTAAAAAAAAAATCTCATATAAATAGCTATAAACTATAACAAATATAACATTTGGTAGTCCAAATAATGAAAAAAAAAAATATTTTATTCATTAGCCAAGTTTTGATACGCAATCATCAAAAATCTGTTTAAATGTATCAGCCAATTCTTCAGTTTTGAAACGTATGGCTAATAATTCTGTCTGTGGATCCGGACTATCTTCAGTTGTGTTCATACAAGCCCAACAGTATGCTTTGTTTGAAGACTTCATTGGCACCATCTTTATATCCGATGTTATCAAATGGTTACAAACAACTTTAAATACCTGTAAAGAAGTAATCAAATTCATATATATATATTACATACATAATATTAAATTGCAAATTTCAATTTCTAAAGATAATTACCTTTTCTCTTCTAAACAACAGACGATATGTATTCCTTTCAGCATGGTATAATATTTTCATTTCACCAATTCCTCTTTCTTTATATTCCGCACCATCTTTGCGGAATAATTTGGAACGTTCCCGGAATACTGTAGTAAAAGATAAATTATTGTTTTTTTTTTTTTTTTTAAATTGTGTATGAAAAAATTACATATTGTTTCATTTTCTTCGCCTGTGGATACTTCAATTGCATCAGGAAGTGGTATTATGGGTTCAAAATGAGGATCATGACTATTATCAACTTCTTCTTCACCATTTTCTTCCACATTTTCTTCTTTTTTTTCATTATGTTTCTCTTCATCAGTAGATTTATTGAGACTAAACTTCCCTGCCCATGGATTAACTACAAAGAACATAAAAAAATAAATAAATAAATTATCAAAAAACTCTGCTGTTTTAATTTAAGTTCAATAATTATATTATTATATTATTTTTACCTTGGGGAATAATTGTATTACCACTAAACAAAGGTTGCCCAAATACCAATTTAGGTTCATTATTAGTCATTACCCCAAATTTGAATGGACTTTCAGTCTTAGGACTAAATGAGAATAAGGTTTCTGTTCTGCATTTATTGTCATCAGTCTTAGAAAATAAACTTTGGGCAGTATTCTGTGATGTTTCTGTTGATCCTAAAGTTGAAAACATTCCAGTAGGCATCGATAAAGAGCCGAACATTGGTGGGTTAGAAGTAATAGTTGAAGAAAGATCAATATTTGTTGACTTAGTATCATCTGTTTTAGTGGAATCTACAGACAAGCTACCAAAAATAGCTTTGGATCCAAAAATAGGATTAGGTGTAGATTTTTCAAATGTACTGGTAGATTTATCACCAAATAGAAAAGATGTAGGATTAGCAAATTGTGAAAAAGTATTTGTTGATGTTGCTGAAGATTCATTTGATTCCAAAACACTGACAGGGATTTCATCTTGTTCTTCCTTAGCTCTTTCAATTTCCTTAAACAAAATAAATTTTACCTATAATATATTATATATAAAATACACTACCACATTTAACTTGAAAAAAATGAATCATTATAATTAAATTTTACATTTTTTTTAAATGATTAATTAAATACCAAAAATTCTTAAATAAAAATCTAATAAATGACTTCTACAATTCACACAATACAAATACCAATATGTTAAAGTATGGTCTCTTATTGCCTAAGATTTCTTTTAAATATTATTTATCAACATAAATGACCATTATTGATTGACTGATACTATCTAATAATTATAATATGATAATATTACTGCATGACATTAACTCATGGAAAAGAAAATTCTTGGCATGTGCCCTGAATAATAACTGATTAAATATTGTAACAGATTAACCACAATAGATTATATTAACATTTACAAAAATTTTAAAAAAAATACTAGAAAATAAAAAGACCGTACTTTAACCAAAGTTTCAACCACTAAAAATTGTCTTAAAATCTATTTTATAAAATTACTATTTAAATTTATTTATAAAAAAAAAAAAATGTTCATTTATCAAGTGTAGCGCAGAGGCATATAAGTTATTAAAAAAATATTGAATAGAACAAAGGTTATTTAAAATGGTAGATCATCGTAGAACACCCTGTCATATTATCGCGTGACGCTGTTATGTTGTTCCCAAGAAACAACCCCTAACACCTAATAATTAACACCTATTTTAATTACAATTTAAAAATAACAAAAAGACAGGAGCAAAACGTGCCCATAGTAGTACAATAACAAGCTCGTTACATTATGTGACAAGATAATATTAGAACGAAATTATCAATGTCATAAATGCCGATGTTTTGTGTTTTTAGTTGAGTGACTAGTATAAGTCCTCTATCATAGGTAGGGGTAAAACTAATTGATTGACAAAACAAACACCTATTATTTTGAACAAAACGAAAAAAGTTTCAAAATTAAAAATAAAAGTTTATAAGACATATACATTCTCCTTTAACACATTTATTTTTTAAGCATTTAAAAAATTAACCCTCCTATAAATAGTGTACAACTAATAAAGAATGAAGATTCAGTGACTGATAGTGTACTCCATTCAGATGTATATTATGTTACGGTTAATGTCATTATAATAATACTTTAACCTCTTTTGTGCTGTTTGTTTTAATATTGGAGCGATTAGCTTATAAACTGATTTAAGGGTAAGCATGTTGTTTGTATTTGTACATAAGTTTTTTCTTGATATTTTAATTTCTAATCCAGATTTGATAATTTTAATATTGTAATATTTCCATAGTTTGTAATTCACTTGAAAATTTAAACACCAAGAAAAAACCAATGCAAAAAAAATTTAAATATAACATTAACCATAACATATCATATATTCACTGTATATATATTTTTTTAAATTTTTATCTGTACAATGTCATAAAATTACCTTTTCACTATCGGTCTTAGAAGAAGTTATCTCTTGTTCTTCTTGTCCATCTTCTTCTTCTTCTCCGTCTTCTTTCTAAAAAAAATAAGAACAAAATAATAACTATACAATTTTAAAAAAAGATAAAAACTTACAGTATCATTTTCACATCCGACACATCCTTTACACTTAGATTTTGACTTGTAAAGAAAGAAAGATAGTGGAAGTTTTAAATCCTCAGCTAGTCCTTGGTCAGCATGAGATATCACATCTTTTAATGGTTTAATTTCAAGAATTTTTACAGAATCTAAAAAATAAAATTTTCTGTTCATACTGTAATTATTTATGTGATTTATAACTAACCTAGATCACTATCTGATTCTGAATTCACTGCATTTTCATTTATAGCTTCTGGTGCTTAAAAAAAAAAAAAATTATTATTTATTGTTAAACATTATAAAACTACTTAAAAAAAAGTATGAATAGAGCTACATTTATTACCTTTATTTTTGTTTGAATTTGAAGTAGTTTCAGCAACAGATAAATTTGAATTTAAAAACGAAGACTTTTCAATTTTAACTGCAAATCAATTAAAGAACATTAGAAAAATATTATTAGCAAATCATGTATGCAACAATTTTTACTTTTAAAATCAAATTCAAATTAATTAAACAAATTACCATTTGAAGAACTGAATTGGTTATTTTTATCTTTAACATACATTTCCTCATAGTATTCATCACTTTCATCAGTTTCATCTGTTCCTGCATCACTTTTGTCAGAGTCATACTTCACTAGGCCAGCACTTTCTTCTCTCCACGTTAATGGTTTGTTTTGAACTGCAGTTTCATGTGTAGTACCTAATGTATTAGTACTGCTTCTTAAGCCAAGTGAACCAAAAGACATTTCTGTTGATGTACTAAATTTAGGCATTACAAATGGAATAGATGGCTGCGAGTTGGCCATGGTGCCTCCAAATTTAAACATTGACGAAAATGATGATTGTCCAAATGTAAAACTTGCAGTAGCCTCTTTGTTTTCAGTAGTCTGATCATCAACCGCTCCTGGTTTTATTGTACAACATGCAATACATTTAATTTTACTTGCATCATTTGACAAATAGCATGCATCACACGTCCATGAACCTGGTTTAGGTTTGAATTGTGCAAGATCGTTTAATTTAGGTAGATTGTTAGATTCAGGTAGACCACTTGATTTAGGTTGTATATCCTCTGAATTGCTGGACACTTTTGTCGATTCTTGAATTTTCTCCTTTATTTCATTAAATTTATCTCTAAATGCATGAAGTTGTTCAACAGTTTTAAATCTAACAGCAAACAATTCTTTTTTACATTCACCATCAGAGAAATCTTGACCCACCCACGACATAGCCTTGTCTGATGAATACACCGGTTTTAGCTTTAAATCTGCAGTTAACCTTTGATTGCAGCAAACTTTAAATACCAATTCTCTTCTCATTAACAATTGATAATAACCATCATCTGGATTGAATAAAATTTTCATCTGGCCAATACCTCTTTCTTTCCATTCTTTTAGATCTGGATGAAATTTAAGAAGTTTCGCTCGTTCATCAAATACAACTTTGAGTCCTTCCTCACCAGTAACTACATTTACTTTTTCAGGCAGAGGTATTACTGGAGTGAACTCTGCTGTTGGAACAAATTCAGCTTCATCATTTTGTTGATTTAAAGAATCATTTGCATTTTCAACTGGAGACTTAATAACAGCATGGGGGGAAGGATTAGTTTTGACATTAAAAATTGTACTACCTGCACCAGGGAATCCTTTAAAATCAGGAGAGTTAACAAAACCAATTTTTGGCGAACTTTTAGCCAATGTACTAAAGTATGATGTTGCAGATGTTCCAGATGTAAAGTCCAGTTTGGGTTTTAGAATTGATAACTCGTCTTCAGTTTTGTTATTTGAAAATAATGAATTTTCAGTTAACTTAGGAGTATTCTCAAAGGAAAATGACCCCAATTTAGGTGTATTTTCAGTAGAAAATAATCCTGGTTTAGAAGTATTATCAGTAAAAAATAATCCTGGTTTAGGAGTATTCTCAAAAGAAAATAACCTCGATTTAGGAGTGTTATCAGTAGAAAATAATCCTGATTTAGTGTTCTCAGAAGAAAATAATCCTGATTTAGGAGTGTTATCAGTAGAAAATAATCCTGATTTAGTGTTATCAGAAGAAAATAATCCTGATTTAGGAGTATTCTCAGAAGAAAATAACCCCAATTTGGAAATATTCCCAGAAGATGATAGACCTGATTTAGGAGTATTCTCAGTAGACCCAAAGAATGAAGTAGATTGTTTACTATTGACATCGGTTTTAGGTTCTGAGATCGAAGATTTTGAAAACAGACATGTAAAACTCACTGGTGTTCTAGTTTCTACAGCAGGTGTTGAGAAACTTAAACTAGAAAATAATCCCTTAGATTTTTCTGGTGTCTTTTCTTGTTGTTTTGGTGGAACTATTTCATTTATAATAGGTGGAGTGCTAAAAGTAAATCCACCCAATTCGTGTTTAAGTGATTTTACATTTTCTGAAGTCAATGTTAAACAGGAATTTATATTTGCTTCAACAATAGAATCATTAGAAATATCCACGCTAGAATCATTTACAGATGAACTATTTTGAGAACAAGGTTGTTTGTTCTCATTGAAAACTTGAATAAACTCCTCACAATCATCTGCAGTTTTAAAACGTGCACATAAACTTTCTACTTGTATTTGAACAGTATCTGAAAAATCATTAGCTGACCAAAGAACCGCTTTATTATTTTTAGATTTTAATTCCATATTTTCATATAAGAAATGATTAGCACAGATCTTATGTACCTGGTCTCGTCTCATTACTAATCTCACTTTATTTGAGTCATTATTTTTCAATATTTTCAATATACCAACACCTTTCTCCTTCCATTCTTTTTCAACATATTTATATAATTTTGCCCATCGTTCAAATAATATTGTGTCATTTTCTTCTCCAGTAACTTCTTCAATTTTTGCAGGTAATGGTATTATTGGTTGAAATTCGGGTATAGGATCATGCTCTTCAGTATAACTGTCATCAGTTGCAGAGTTCCTAGACTTGTTTAATGAAACATCAAAACTATCTTTGAATGTGGCTAAAGAAGGTTTAAATGAAAAAGTTTCACTGCTCATTGGTAAACTAACTGTCGCTGTGGTAAAAGGAACACTAGACACACTACAAGTACTAACTGACTGAGATTGGTTATCAATCTGAGGATTGTTGAATTTAATACTGCAAGATGATTGCGGTTCAGATGTAGATATATTACTAAGAATATGGTGTGTTGGTATAATTACGCTAAGTGGTGGTTGGGGCACTGGTGGGCCAGTTGGTAAAGTATCAGACAGTGTAATGTTAACATTTGGATTAGGCGCCATTGAATACACAGGCAATGGATTTGATTGAGTTAGATGATTAAATAATCCTAATGACTGGAAAGGTAAGCTGGATGAAAATGGAAGTTGAGCTGGTGGAAACCCAAGAGTCGAAGACAACTGAGTAGGGTTATCAAATGCATTTTGTATACATGACGCTTGATCATAAGTAATTTTGTCTAAGCTCCCATCATTTTCTTGATAAACATCATACAAATCATCTGGTCTTGCTCTTATAATTTCATGCATCACATTAATCTTCTCTGTTAAATTTTCTTCCAACCTATTGATACGTTCAATTATCTTAGAATCATCAACAGAAAAATTCTGGGTAGGAAAATTATGAGATAATACATCAATTTTTTCAAAAATTGTATTTTTTGTATTATTAAAATTATCTATTAATTTATCGACTTTTTCAGACATTGTCCTTAATGTCTCAATCATATTATAATACTGTAATCCCAAAGTTTGGCATTGTACATTCTGTGATTGTATAGCTATTTTTAATTCACTTAACACTTTGGCATCAACTTCATCATCTACAATTTTTTGATTCTAAAAAGTAATAAAAAAAAAAATTGAATAATTAAATATTCCCTATATACTTTAAAAACATGTGCATATACCGAGTTATGCTGAGATTTTACAGGAGTACTAGTTGTATTATGAAAAGAACGGTCACTAAATCTTTTATACAATAATCTTCCAGACATATTCTCTAAACCTCCATTCTCTCCAGATAATAAATCTGAATTAGATTCTATAAAAAAGTAAAAAACATTAAAGTTACAACAACCTTATGAAAATAAATAAATACTGACGATTAATTGATGTCCCATTAAAATCAGATTCTTCTTTTAAATCAAACATTTCTTCCTTAAGTTTTGAATGTAGTGGATGTTGAAGATTATTTTTTATACGTTCTTTTGTAACATTTAACAATTCCTTAACTTTGGTCAATAACAAATTATTTGATTCAGATAATGTATGATCAGAAGATGTTTCAGCTTCCAATCTTATCATTTTTTTAAAAATCTACAAAAAATTATTTATATATAATGTATTCTTTAATTATTCACATATCAAAAAAAAAAAAATTATGTTCCCATTAATATTAACTTATACCAACCATTGCTTGATAAAAAGATGCATATGGTGTATGTAATTTACTAAATGCTTCAATTGCTTCTTCATTTTGTTCATTGTTCATTAACTGACAAGCTAAATAAAATCTACCTTCTTCTAAAAGTTCTTTGATTTCTTCTTGAGTCAAACTTTTTCTAAATTGAAAAATGATTTGTACATCATAACATATTAATATTAATGCATTACAAAGCAATTGCTATACTAAAATTACCTGTAAAATTCAAATAGAGAATTTTTTGACTTGTGTTCAACTCCACTTTGAGAAATGCGTTCCAGTAACTGTATAGCCATTCCCCAATAAAGTACAGCTCTTTTTTCTAGTCCGCTTTTTAAGAGGAAGTTATCCATTATTTTGTTAGCCTTAAAATTAAAATAAGTAAAGTTAAATTGTGTATAAAAAGTAGTAGCATAAAATAACTTTTAAAAACTTCATAATCACAAGTATAGATAATTATTCTAACGTAATAACTTGGTAGAAAATTTTTTATGAAATCAAGTTATATCCCTAGGAATTGAAAAAATAAGTTATTTCCCCAAGAAAAATTGTAACAAAAAAAATATAAAAATATATACAGATAAAGGTTGGCTGTTTTAAAAATGATTTTTATTTCCCTGTGGAAGGGGATCAGAATCCTTTCACGGTACCTACTTGTCGTAAGAGACAACAAATAGGGATAATCAGGTCAATAGCCACTGTAAAATTCTGTCAAAGAATATGAGGAGTTTTAAATAAAACTTTAACATATTGTCCAATCTTGGTTATACTTGGAGACAAGTTAGAGGAATTAACGCCACAAGAGGAGGCCTGAATGATGAAGTGTGTGATACCGGTTGAATAACAAGTGCGGTAACTGTTCCACCATGCATGCAGGCCTTTCCAACTCTAATGGGTGCTAACGGTTTGGGGCAGGGGTCGGCAACCTGCGGCCCGTGAGCCACATGTGGCTCTTTCAGTCTAAAGTAGCAGCTCTCCAGCTACACACACAAAAATTAATAATTTAGTTCAAAAACAATATTTTATAATATAAAAAAAAGTATATTATTTTTGTTGCTTTTGAAAATATGAAATAATATATAACAAAAATAATGTGATAGTGCCCGCATGGAGTACAGTCTATCGTTATAAAATGTTTATTATAGAGTCTAATATAATCGCGGTGCTATCTACAACTAATTAGTCATACGCCAAAATACGGAATTTATATTTGACGCATGGAAGTCTTCCAGAATGCTACAGTGAGGTGAAAAAGTTGGACTGATGGCAATTTTTGGGTCAACATATTCATGGAAGCAAGCGTTCTCTAGCATGAATACAATAAAGAATAAAGTAAGAAGCCAACTAACAAATAAAAATCTAGAGTCATGCTTGAAACTTAAAACAAGTTATGAGCCTAATTTAAAAGAACTTTCAAAAGACATGCAAAGCCAATGCTCCCATTAATGTATTTCCCTATTACTAAAAACTGTTTTTTTTATTATAAATTTATTATATTATTATAATTAATTTTATTATTTTAATGTCTATTAAAATTTAAAAATAAAATTATATTTAAAAACTTGAGAACATTTTTAGTGGCTCTTTAAAATTTGGAAAATTTTGTATATTGTAACTTTTGCCTCTTCCATCAAAAAAGGTTGCCGGCCCCTGGTGTAGGGACATTACCGTAATACAAGAAAAGTATAAAGTAGGTACATTGAATGTTGGAACATTCAACAAATAAAAGTAGAGAATAGGGGCTTGAGGAATGGAGTAGTACACTATTATTTGAAGAAAAATAAATAAAAATAATTATAAGTAAAAAACATATTATGCATTTGGTGAAGAAATAAGACAAGGCAGTTTGGATAAAGTAGAGACAAGCATCAGGTATTTTATGTGACAAAAGAATTCCAATGAGAGACTTTAAGTTCTAAAAAAGTATGATGAGCCTGACTATATTGTGTTAGACAATAGACAGAAAATTAGTGTAGTAGAGATAAGAATACTTCGATGGACAAGTGAAGTGAGGAGAAAATATATATTATAAAGGATACATTAATAAAAGGTAACTCAGACGTGGCTTTGATAATAGGCAAAATAAGAGAAAATAGACTGGAATTGTTTAAGCATGTCACAGAGAAGAATCTTAAGCAGTAAACACGGCCCTCACGCGCTGCACTCAATCACACAGCTGCTTCACCAACTTTCCTATCTCGGCAAGTTGGACCATTCAATTCCAGCGGAACTAGTGTTAAAGTTAGGTAACTCAGTGGTCGGACAATGAGAATTCTATTAATTTATTACCTGACTAGTAAAGTTTTTAGCCAAATACACCATTAATTGTACATCAATCCCATGATTTCCTATCAAACGAACAGCCTCCAATCCTTGGGTTGCAGCCTTTCTTAATTGTGACACATGTTTGATATCAACATTTTTAGAATAAATCTTATACATTGAATTCCACCTAAAAAAAAATTTATATACATTCGTTAATAATAATATTTATATTACTTTTTAAATATTGTGTATTTGGTTTTAAATTTATTTAAAAATATTGAAGAAAATTGAATGAAAAATATTTTACCAATTTTCTTGTTCTGATGTAGTCAACTGATCTGTTATATTAGATGGAAATGTCTGTGGTGCTTTGGGATCACTTCTTTGAGATTGATTATCAAGAAATGAAGCAACACTCAAAACTAAATAAAAAATTAAAATGTAAAAACATACCACTATAAATTCGTCCTACATGAAAAATTCACTTGTTTTGATACTTTATTTATACTATTATAAATAGTTAAATCACTTAAATAAAAAAGCTAAAATAACTAGCCTAAACATTAAAATTGGGCAGGAAAAAAAAACTTTTTACTATTGACTAATGGGAAAAAATTCTCATATTTATTTATTTTTTTTTTTACTCTATATATTTAAAATGTTATAGAACAGTATAAGTACTTTTAGTGTAGTTTGTGATATTATTGATTTGATAGATATTTTCACTAATCGGCTAACCACTCAAAAAAATTTATCGACCCAGAGATGCAGCCAAAACATAAAGGGGCTATGGATAAAATTAAAATCTCAATACAATAAGAATTTAATATAAATATTTTAAATTTCATTAAAATTAAGACTAATAAATATTGTGATAGTATACATTTCTTCAATATCATAGAAATAAAACTTTAATACCAAAAATTGTAATAATCTAAAAAAATACCTATCAAGATTTCTTGGTGTTTATATATAAAACTAATGTTAAGTTTTAAGTGGAATATTTCTTATACATATATATATAATTTTTTTTTTTTTAGAATACATACAGGAAAGCAATTAAAAAAAATAAAAATGCCTAATTGATTTGAAATTATATTTAATAAGAAGACAAAACATGTATTTTTTCATTTGAGAAATGTAAAATTCAACACTTTTATTCAAATATAAAATTATTGATACCTGTAGCATACAAAAATGTATTCATATCTATTTGACTTATAGACTCAATATTGGAAGACGATAATGAATTAGTAGCTAACGGTAGTTCATTAAAACTTTTGCAACCAAACCCAACTGGGAATACAGTATCCTTAGTTAATCGTATGCCATGTTTTTTATTTTCACCCTCTAAAAGCTGTATTCCGTACCAAACCAAATGATGTAAAGATCCAGGCTTACTTATCTCAAATGACAAAACTAAAAAAAAAAAAATATGATTTTATTATTTTAGTATTAGTATTGAACATGTGTACTTACCATGTTTTGGTAAAGCATACTGAATTAGCTCTGGGATATTGTAAATTAATTTATCGGTTGAATAATGAATAAAAAATGATGATGGTATTCCTTGAGCATATTCTGGCCCATTAAATATTTTCTAGAACAAAAAACAAAAATTATAAAGTGATACATTATTTACATAGAATTTCCACATATGTTGCATTAAAATATGCACATGGCATATAACAATCATATAATTTGACTTAATTAGATAGAACAAATTTAAACAAGTTTTTAAATCAAGTTTCTGAAAATTTTTTTCCAATATGTTTTTTTAACTTTAAAATATATAATATATTATATAATAGATATTTTGAAATTGTGGACTTAAGAGTTTAAATACTCTAAGGTATTTTGTTTAAAACAGTAACTAATTCTTCCCAAAACACGTTTCTAAAATTTTAATATTTAGTCAGACCTGTGGTTAATGCATGCCCTTAACATACTATCTGTGCCTCTAGAAAATGTATCAAAATTTAAAACTTATTATCATGTTATTAATGCCTGCCAATTTCAAATGAAATTGCTTAGTAAAAGATGTTGGTAATTTTTTGTATTATGGTATTTATAGATTCAGAGTGTAGCAAGTGAACTATTTGGTGAACATTGGTTTTACAATGCTGTTTATTTCTTCTTTTTCGTTCTTTCTTTCTTTGTTCAAGTATGTGAAAATGTTAAAAAAACGTGCTCAGATTTTTACGCATAACAACATTTCTGAAAGTTCAAGTTGTTAAGACTGTACTTGAAGATGTCATTTTTTGATTTTTGACACCATTTTTTAAATAAAAGCACTCAAGTGAGAAAAAATATAGGGAAACATACAATTTCACGGTTTTTATTATTTGTATAAAATCACTGACAATGTTTTTTTTACCAGAAAAATCATATACCTTTTTTTTTTTTTTTATTTATTTACTTTCTCACCAAAACTTTTAAAGCATTTAAATTTTTGGGAGTTTTTTAGTGTAATTTAGTTATAAATGCACATAGACTTGAAACTTGGTATGATACATATATTAGACTTACATAGATGATAAAATTTCCAAAATCATCGGACTAGCATTTCAAATTTAAATGAAAATCGCAAAAAAAAAATTATGACATTTCAAATTATGTATCACTGAAATGATCTCAGAATCATCTTTTATCAAGTAATGGTTTATCATTGCTTACAGGTATAAATGAAATAACGTTATGTATCCTACTTTCCCCACTTCTATCACTGACAATGTTTTTTTTACCAGAAAAATCATATACCTTTTTTTTTTTTTTTTTTTTTTAACCATTACCATGGCTCTTTCAAATTCACGATTTTACAATTTTATTAAAAATGGCTTATTTACACGAAAAGGTTCCTGACCCCTGGTATAGACCACCAGAAAAATCTCAATCGAATTTTAAATGTTCACACATTTTAATATATATATATACGGTGCACTAAACATATTGGCACCCTAGACAAAACCATTTCTTTGCGTTCCCTCCTAATTAACCTAGTAAAATTATCGTTGGCGTCCCTTAGAGCAAGCACCCTGAGTGTAGGCTCTGTACATAAATACACATATACTTCTATGGATATTTCAAACTAATGATAAAAAAAATATGAATACATTAAATTAATAAAATAAATGTAAATACTTTATAGTTGATCATCTTCCAGTTGGTGATGCACAATAGCCTAACATTCTCAATAAAATTTGAATCTTCTTTTGCCATCATAGCTCGTAAAACAAATCCACTTTCAATTATTCTTCGGGTTCCCTCCAATTCCCATAATGCAACATTTGACTTTTGTTCTAAGCTAAAGTCTTTACTAGTAAAACTTTCAAATGCTTGTTTATCAATTGGAGGCGCCAAAGACATAAGAAATAATGGTGCTGACAATTGATTACTTTTAAACCAAGATATTGAATTTTCCTGAAAGAAAATACAAAAAAGTAAATAACACATTACATACATTACAAAATTTAAATTACTTTTTTGGCAGATTTCATAATAACAGTAGCTAAATGAAAATAAAACTGATTGGACATATGTTGTATTAGACTACGATAAAACTCTGTTTGAGGAGATGATAATTGAATAGCTTTATATAGGGCCTGGTCAAGTCTAAAATTTAAAAAAAAAAACAATTAATTTATATATTTTAGTAGTAAATTATTTAAGCATGTTGGTACCTAAATAGAACTGTATAGCAGTCAGATACACTTTTTTGCTTGCTTGACTTTGTTTCTATAGTTAGTAAAGAAGCTGTATGTTCGTAAATGGGTAGTACTCTTAAATAAAATTCCCAATTTAGTGCCGAATTTGAACTTTCATATGCCTGTTAATAAAATGTTTATTTAATAAAATTAAACAAATAATTAAAATTAACAACTTACTTCACATATTTTGGAAACAGCCTCATACCATGCAATATTGTCTTTTTGGATCTTTGAAGTCTTTTCTATATTAATTGCATATTCATATGCTTCAGATATTCTTCCTGAACTTTCAAATAAGTTTAACTGTTTTATTCTGAGGTCCATATCATCTGGCCTATTAGATATTTCAGCTGGAAAACAAATTAAATTAATATAATTTCTTGTTCATTCTTTTAGTTTAGCTATAAACACATACCATTAAGTAACTTTTCTACTTTAGAAGGATCACAATTTCCATTTAATGTTAATAATCGCTCCTTTAATTGATAAACTATAGGATGATAAGGATATAAATCTTCTGTCTGTTTACAAATCTGTTCAGCTTGTGGTATAATCAATTTAACTGATGGATCAATCATTAACTCGCAACCTAAATAGTGTTATAAAGCAAATATTTACTTAATGTTTAAGTGCTAGGTACTTAGTAAATAATATAAAAAATTATAATTTTTTTTTTTTTTTTATTACGAACATGATAATAGAAGTTCCGGTTGGTTAGGTGACGAAACCAATGATTTTTGGTACTCAGCAACTGCTTTTTCTTTATTACCAAGTTTGTCATAACAATGACCAAGTAAACGTCGACCTTCGGGTGAATTTGCATTCACACTCAAAAAAGTGGTAACATATTGCTTAGCCAATTCATACTCAAAAACTTTAAAGTACATACGAGCAATCGCTAATCCTTTCAGCTTTTTCTATAATTGCAAAAGAACAAAACTATTAGGTATTAGTATCAGCACAGGTTCACTTATATTATAATTGATATTGACAAATATTATAAATATAAAAATTATTATACATTGATATTTGTTTAAAAATATACATATTATTGTTATTATTATTGCCCAAATATACTTTATAAATCACATAAGTAGATGGCATGCTAGTATGTAGGTGTTACAGATAACCTCAACTAATTGGGACCACACCTAATTCAGACAAGCGAAAGTTCGGATACTACAATTTTTAAAAAAAATTCGAATGACAATACGCTCCAAACATATGGAATGTAATATAACAACCATAAAATTATATACAAAAATATTACTGCAGGTATTAGGTAAATTGATATGCTGCCCACATATACATTTTTCAAATAACACATGTATAGTTTTATTACTGTAATTAACAAGATAGTGACTAAACACTGTAAAAAAATATTACATGATTTCCAATTTCAAATGAATTTTGCTTAATATTTTTGGCATAAATGTAAGTTTAGCTCCCAAGCGATAGTTGATAATTTTTTTTTTTAAAGTGTTTTCTAGCGTGATTCATATATGTACATTAAAATGAAACTTTGGATTTTAAAATTAAAAATATTTTTCCAAAAATAATGTTAAGTATTTTGTTTAAAATACCAAAAATTTACATTTAACAAGTTAAAAAAAAAACCTCTGAATTCATTAGCAATATTTTAGTGGAATTAGAAATTACCTATCATACCTACATTTTAATTATAGTGAATAAACCATGTAAAACTTAAGTATGAAGTAATTTCAAATATTTGCTTATAAAAGTAACTTACTCAAAATTGACTTTTTCATTCAGTATTTAAAATGGTTAATAGGTACATGTAAATAAATATATAAATAAAAGTAAATAAATGAATGAATGCGTAGCCTGAAGTATTATGATATATTATTGTATAATATATAAATCATAATACTCCAGGCGATGTATTCATTCATTCATTAACTTTATATTTCTATACATACATTTTTTATCTATATATTTACTACAAAAAGAAGTTTTAGGTGAAATTAACTCATTCATATTTTTGGGTTTAAAGGAATAGGTTATAATTATAAACTATCTAAAACAAAAATGTATGAATACAGATATATATTTTATTAAGTTTTGCCTAACAAATTAAAGTTTATTTAAGTTTTTTAAGCTTTATAAATTCAATATAAATTAGGATATATAAACCAGTGAAATAATCTCAGAGTACTTATTGAAAACCTAATTTCTTGTTTTTAATTTTTCATATTATTTATTGTTCATAATTATCAATTTTTGGGTATAACTTTCAAAATATAAAATGCCAGAATTTTGTGACCAAAAACTTATTGTTTTTTTATCAAAAATGAAAAGTCCAAAAAGTAAATTTTGAGTTATTTTTATAAGCAAATGTTTAAAATAACTTCATAATTAAATTTTGTGTTGTTTATTCACAATATAAAAAAATGAGTACAAAAGGTAATTTTTTTAACTAAAACGTTGAATGTGAACAATTTTAAAACATTTAAAAAATATTTTAGGTAACTTCTAACATTTTGAAGTTTTTGACCTTAACGTCCAACTTTTTATGAAAGAACGTTTTCATAGATCATCATATTGAAAAGAATTGCTTGAAAGCTGAACTACATCCGTTTCATACTTTTGGATTTCACTCTGTATTTCACCGGGTGTGAAATCCCTCTTTCCTTGACATAAAATAACCAATTTAAAGGACAATTTTGATTTATATGATTAATGCATTAAATACACTAGGTAGTTTGGTTATTTATTAGAAAATTTGACAATTAATCAATGCAAAAGAAAAACAATAATAATTACCTCGTGTTCGTTGTTAAGTTTGTTGAATTGCTCTTCCACATGGCGATCGATGTCTTTTCTAGACCGATAAACCGTGGGTGTCCCAACACCCTTCATATTGTTTCTTTGAAGTCACGAACAAAATACAGTCACATTAAATTAAAAAAATCAGCAGTTGAAACAATAACTTCTTATTATACAACCCAAAATAAGTGCAATAAATATTAATAGACGAAATGTTAATTTAATTAATATTTAGGTACTACATAAGTATAAAAATCGCATACAATGGACGAACCCACGAAACGAACCAGAAAACGTTAACCGCAACAAATGAAATGATAGGATACCTAGGAGGCGCCGCTTTCAACAGTTTCAACGTTGGTATACAAAACAACGGTTTTTGCTCATTGGTCAGCATATACCTAGTCATGAAACCAGTGTGACCGGTTACCACTACAAATTAACTGCATACCAGTGTAGCCAATGACTCCGTGATGACATTAAATATTCGGCGCAAGCGAGGATTGTGATGCCATAAGGGTATACATACTACACATAGTCAATAGACATTATTACTTAATAAATAATATGTCTATAATCTGCATAATAGACTATGGACTAAATAATAGTCGTCCATCATATTATCAATTATCTTAGGATTATAGATATTTATGCATCTATGGGTAGGAATGGATGCTACGCCAAAATTGTATTCTCGTAACATGGTGAACGTATGGCGTATCTTCATAATAATTCTTTGGTCTTCATGAGCGTATCCATTCTTTATTACCTATACACAATGTATAGCCCATAACATAGAGCCTCTTAACTATAACACAGATAATCTATGACTTAAACACGTCAACCGCGATTAGAATATAATCATTTTTACTACTAATTCTATGCTACTTCTATGTTACTACAATAGGTAATATTGAGATATCCTGTATCAATGAAGACATATTATATAAAGATAATATTTTACCTTGGAGGTATTTCCATTTATTCGAAATTCCAAAAATCAGCATTTATACTATAATATAGTAGGTACTACGTGTGGTTTTACCGCCATTCATTAAACAGTAGGTAGTTTGGAACGGCATTAATGAGGAGGGGGAGTCAACATTTAACACCAACTTACTAACGATTTCCAGTGGCTAGAACTTAAAGTAAGTACTTGAAATTTCAGAGGATCTCATTTTAAATGAAAGTACCTATATAACTTGATGAAAACCTATACAAAAAATATGGGGTGATTTGAAAAATATGAACATAATATTATAATGTAGGTACCATAAATTAATTTAGCTTCCTATTGTTGCGATGTGCGACTACTATAAAAAAAAAAAAATTGTTATTTTATAATAAATTATATTTAGTCATTTATTATGGGCTGCACTACTATTATATATTTATGATCTACATTAAACATTTTTAGTAAGAATTTTTCAATTATTCACCATAATTAATCTTATGTACTGTTTTTACAAGTACCACCTAGTATTAATTTGGATATGCCTCAACCAAATTTCTCTGTTTGTTGATAATTGGTCAAAGTTGGATTTATAACAATTTGGCTATACTCTTAGTACTTAAATGATAAATGTTCAACTATTGTTTATATTATTCATAGATAGTACCATTTTGTATCTATCTCATCCTAATTCTCAATGTGATAATTTTTATTTCATAATTATTATTTTTGTATTATAGATTTTCAAACGACAGCCCATTATTTTTCTTTGTAAATTCACATAGTATTCTTCTGAAGATTTTAATGTACCTAAGTAAGTTTATATTTTTATATTGGAATATCAATTTATAAATTAAACACCGAATTGTTAAGTTTATGTTGGACAAGTCAAATTTGAATGTGAGAGTAAAATATCAATCTTTTTTAATATTCAAAAACAATTGTTTTTCAAGTACTAAAGTACTGGGTCTTTTTTTTTTGTAGTTTGAAAATTACATATATAGTTTTGCACAAAATATTGTTAATATGAAAATTTCACCATGTCGAGTTGGCCAGCACTAATCGGTTTATAATATTATCCCATTGCAAACTTGTAATATTTTATTTGTTTTCACTTAATTATAAGAAAACATTTCCAAAACAAATATTTTATTATATTATGTATTTTCCTGTAAATTGTTTGCAATTTAACTTTCTCTAATTTTTAGTTTAAATACATTTTTCAAGTCATTTTTAACATTTTTATGTCATTTTATGCATTATTTATCGTGCATTCGTTTATGTTTTTAGGTCATCAAGTTCCGAGCTCTAGTAATAATAATCAAACATTTAAAACAATAAGATTTTAATTTTGGTTTGTCAAAGCAAAATTATATTAAAAATGTCCTTTACTGACTCAGTAATTTGCTGTAATAATTATCTCAGTTATATACTTTAGAAAACTGAGATGCACTCGAAAAGTAAAACAATAAAATAAGATGTTACGTTAAAAATCTGAAACTATTAAGTTGTTGAAAGTGTTTTCTATATTCAATGAATTTTTCTAACACTGTTAATATTAAATTTTTTTTCAATCGGCTTATCTTTTAATGGGGCAAGAACAATTTTGAGAAAAATTAAATTTTTATTTATTCACTTAGAACATTTTAAAAATAGCCATTTTGAGAAAAATGTTATTCAAAAAATTTCAATCTACCACACATTCATATCTGATGAATAATTTCTTAGTTATAGCTGTTTTAATTAGGTGTTAAAACAATTAAAATTAAATAAAATAACATGTTATGCGATAAGGAATTACAATCAGCACAGTAATTCTTACCTTCTATTGAATATTAATCACTTCTATTTTCTAGAAATTCAAACAACTATAATTAAGAAAGAATTAATTCGATATGAATGTATGATACATTCAAATTTTTAGAATAATATTTTTTACAAAATGGTTATTTTGGAAATTTTCTAAATACAGTTATTTTTTTTTTTTGTGTTGAGGGATGAAAATAAAAATTTAATTTTTCTCCAAATTTTTGTCTCCCTGGAAGACATAACAACTGAAAAAAAAACTGATATCAACAAGCGCTAAAAATATCTGTTGAACATGGTGGAATACATTGTATATAGCCCATGACTAATCACAGGCTACTAAATTACCATGTATTAAAGAATTTCATTGATACTATATTTATGTTAATAAAGTCATACTATATAACTTAATATTGGGAACATAATTATTAATACTTATAAAACTAGGTATATTAGGTATAGTTAATTTTTATTAATATTGGTAAAAATATTTTTATAAATATCATTATATCAGTCAAAAGACTGATCTTAAATTGAATTGTATTTTAAATAATAAATAACATTTAGGGATTTAGTCTTATTTAAATACATATATAAAATATGTAAATATTTAGCATTCAAGTTTTTAATAATTAAAACACAATTAAAAATAGGATTGAAAGACGAGTGTTTTTATTTCGAAAAAACAATACTTCGAGTCTAGTCTAAAATTATTCACAATATCATAACTATATAATCGAATGACGTAGATATCATAAAACAGGTAAACACACACAACAAGCGAATCACACGAGTAAAACAAATTAAAAAAAAAAATAAACATGGAAAGGCTTGAGTTTGATTGTTTTCCGTATTGTGAAAAAGGAAAAACCATTAATTAATAATAAAAGAAAAGATAACGCTGAGAAAAGAGACTAAAACTTCTTATTTACAATTACAAGGAACAGAAACTTGGTCGACAGCATACAACATCAAACAAACTTCAAACGATGCAATAATAATAATAATTGTTATTGAAAAATAAAAAAATTGATAGTAAAATAAAATAAATAAGATTACAATAGTTATTATATCGCCGAGTCGGTTTGAACAATTGTATTAGCGACTGAATGGACACGTTGATTAATTTTCGAACTGAGGTATATATTTAAAGAAAATTTCTTCAGTCTCTTTTCTCAGACGGTCTTACACATTATTAAGTATTTACATCTAAATTATGTTATTTTTATGAACACACACAAAAGAATAAAAGAAAAGAGTTAGAAATTAAAAACCGAATACAATGGAAACTACTGTAAACTGTCCGAATAGTTTACATTACAATAAGTAGTCCATTTTAATCGGTTTAAACGAAAAATTTCATAACGAGACCTAGTTTATATATAGTTAACATCAATGTTCGTTTTTGTAATGCTAAATATTATGTAATATTGTTTATTATAAATCTAACAGCTGGGTTGCATAAAAATAGAATCAAATCAGTTTAGGAACCCCTTTGACAAATGGAAAACGAGTAATTGAATAACTCAACAAACCATTAAAACTGTGTGCTCTTACAGATTTATGCAATCCAACCTATTATATATTATTAATCACAAATATAATAATGGAACTAACTAAAATAATAGTACTTGTATTATAATGGATGTATAATATTATAATGTAATGTATTAAAAAAAAAAAGTAATAATAATAATAAAATATACGAGGTTATGCTGCAAATATCACTCATATCACATGTGCCGCTTCGACGGTTATTGCCGTTTGCCATTTTTTTTGTTTTATTTTTAGGTTTTTTTTGTTTACAATACATTGTGAGAATACAATCATTTCCGAACGCGTTATCAGCAAACAAGCTACATGCATTTTAGGAAGTTTCTTATTTTTAGAAATAACATATTTATGTACAAAAAAAAAAAAATATTAAAATTATGATTTTGCAAATAATAATAATAATAAAAAAAAATTATAAAAATTTACAAAATGTGTGCCCTGGAAGAGTTGATGGGTGGGGGTGGTGGGCTGGTGAGATCGTAAGTCTGCATCACCGCTGTGGACGGTCCGTTTCAGCTTTGTTTAACACGTTTCCGAGGTGGTCCAATAGGCGGTATCTGCTGTGTGGCCAAAGCACGAAACGCTTCTGCTATTAGGTGTGGGTGCGATTGAATCATGGTTTTCCATCCAGTGGTATCCATAACATCAGTCGCATGACTATATATGCACATAAAAAAAAAACATAAAATATTATTAGTGACAAACACATAAAAGAATATCAAAATTGGTCATACCAAATAAATAAGTATACATTTTTACACTTTGAAATTTTGTATTTTAGTTTATATTCTGTCAATATTTTATATTTTAATTTTAAATAGATAGGTTAATGTTTTTAAAAAAAACATATATAAAATGTGTTTTGTTAAATATTTTAATTTTTGCTAATATTTGTATGTTATTTTGTAGTAAGCAAATTATATTTTATAAATAGTATTTTGTGTACCGCTCTATTAGTCATATTACGTCAACATAAAAAAACCACCCATAGAATCATCATAACCCCATCCATTTTGTATATTATATATTTTAAATAGATTTTTGACATTTCACACAACTTCAAATAATAGATAGTCTACATACCTCTCACTATAAAAATGTTAAAAAGTTAATATACTAGGTATACTTACGTATTAATGAACTCGATGGTTTGTACTTTTAGTTGATCAGCACTGTGTAAATCGGCCAATATTAATATATCGGCTGCATTGTCTATCGACAAGTTGTTACAGAGTGCTTCTTCACACATTACTTTTAGCCTTTCTAAAGCATACTGTTAAAGAAACAAAACAATAGTGTCAGTATGCACTTTTAAAAGTAAACAATATTATTATTCATTTTGGAAAATGTATAAACGGTTTCTTTGCATACTTTGTCCGCTGCTGCTAATAGATCGTCTGCCATCCTTTCTAAATTGGCTGCTCGACCAGTGTAGATAAACCTGAGCATTTCTCTGAGAACCTCATGATCTACATCTGTTATGGCGACACGATTCTGTTTTCGTTCTTCCATCTCGTGCTCAAACATCGCAGCAAACACAGGACTTCTTGCTATAAACAAACACAATTTGGTTATTTTAATATTATTATAGATAGTAATATTTTATATAAATAACGAGCATATGCGATCAATAATAATTACCAGCAAGTATAGCTTTATGCGCTTGGAATTCTCGTCCACTAACAGATAACGTAACATCACTAAATTTTTGAATTTCAAATAAATTTCCTAAGTCGTCAGGCAAACGGCATTCGGGCACTTTGAATTGAACTGCGTTGGACTGGCCAGATATGTTGACACTATCAGCTACAACACTTACCTGCAAACGAGCCATCTATCAAGTCATTATTCATGTCATTTTTTATTTAATTATTACTATCATTATTATTTTTTACAATCGCCATCGATCAATGTTATTAGGTGTTATAATCAGTATAAGCACTGGTATAGAATTTAAAAAAGAAATTTAAGACAACGGCATGTTGAAAAAAAAATAATAAATATTAATTTGTAAACAAAATATAATTTTAAATATACCTCGCAAAATATGGTAAGTTTATCATCGGGTAAAAGGCCATTGGCTTCGTCCAATAGAAAATCACGTCTAATAAACTTTTTGAACCCCCAATCCTTTCCTTGTACGAATCTGTAGGCCCTTTGACTTTCTAAATATTACAAAATCATTATAAAATTAGTACATAGATATATAGATACTTAATAGGAAAATGCGAGGGAACATGTAAAACTGTATTTCAATAGGTATATTGTTAATAATAGTTACCCATGGCCTTGGTTTCTTCTCGTTTGGCGTTTAATATTGAGAATTTGAATTTTGCTCTAACCTCAGTCTTGTTGCATGAAACTAGTAATAAATACAAAGACAGATAGTCTTTGCTTTCTTCATCTAATCCTTTAGGATTCACCCGCAAACACCTAAACAATTTTTAAAAAAGCACTATTAGTATGTCATTGTCATGTTTTGATCATTTGTAACTTGTAAAAAAAATAAAATAAAAAATAACAGCAATCTCAATTTTATTACCATTTTAGTTTGTCATTAACGCCGGCGGAAAACGTGGACGATTTTAAAACTTCACCCATTTCTTCGCGACAAAAACTAAAGTTGTTGATCGTCCACATATAACTGAATTTCACGACTTTTACCTGTAATAAAAATATAAACAAAAAGTTAGGTAGGTAGGATATATTATGGTATAATTTATATCTGTATTGACGATAGTACATGATTATAAACAAAACAATATTCTGAGCGAAATTCTGTTAAAAAAGGTGTTTTTAATTTTATTCGTATACAATTTTATTCGTGTTGTTAAAGATTTTTAATCCTATAGAAATGTCTATTTTTTTTTTCTTAACACAAATATTATTCTAAACTTATGTTTTGGAAAATTATAATAAAAATAATCCTGTGTTTAAGCTTATATTAGAAAATTGAAACACGATACGTAAAAAACAAGCACGGAAAATATTTGGTACGACTTAACCTAACCTAAACTTAAACTGTCCATTAGATGGCAAAACCCGTAATTTGTTAACCATATGTAGTATAGAAACATCATTGTTATTAAGGGTTGGAAAAGTTCTTTTTAAAAAGGAATCCGTTCCCGTTCCTCGTCTATTGCTAAAAAGAAACTCGTAGACGTCCATAAGTTTGGTTGATCGTATCAAACGATTTTTAGAATTCTTTACATTGTAAGTTATACAAGTGCGTCCAATAATCCGTGGCAAACGGATCGCACGCATTGGCCAGTCGGCAATGTCGATGTGAATTCTCGGAGAAACAACTTTTCCGACGTGTGTCGGTAACGGATAGTCGATAAGTGGACACACAACCGCCGACAGTCATTTTTTGTTGATTTAGGTACTGGTTCCTTCTTCTTCGGCCAATAATCAAGTTTCTGCTTGTCCGCTCGCTACGAAAATGCGAATTGAAAAATTCCGATTGCTATGTGGGATACGGTAGACGAACTACCAACAATTAATGCGTTTGGTATGCGATCTATCCTATGCGCACGTGTGGACGTCTACTTGAAAATCATTCCTTTATAATATTATTATTTTAAACTATTATCGCCAAGACACCGTTTATATCACGGTTAAACAAGTACCTATATAATATTATTGTGGTTCATGATAACCTTGTATGTTAGTAAAAATGGAAAATTAGGGACAGCATTATTGTAATAATATATTGTGGTATAGTATTAGTAACTGACGAAGTGATAACAACAATAAATAATTTCCCGACAATATTATCGTTAAACATTTTTTTTTTTTCATAATAGAAACGGAATTTTGATTTCACGATCCTTATGAACAGGAACTCTTTCCCGTTTTTCGTTACTATATATTTGAAAAGGAATGCACTCTACGCTTTGGTTCTTCCTAACACTATTATTATTGTTCAAATACGTTGCATTTTTAATGGGCATTGAATAAAAGGTAACATAAAAAATTTGAACGTGAAAAAAACCGGACTGTTTCAAATAACTATAAATAACTGAAAAAAAGGGTTGAATGTTTTGAAAAGTGTACTGTGCCTAAAGAAAGTGCTAATATAAATATACGTTAAAATTCTCGGATGTCTATGATTAACTTTTTGCCGAATTAAACCGAAAAAAAAATCAAAACCGTCGTTGCGTAAATATTTCCGTTTTTTCGACGATTATTATAGGAAAACTAAAATAAAAAAAATCGAAAACGGCTCCGCTCGATCAGGCGAAATACGCTACCGGAAGCCGCTCCCTGAAGTTGACCATTGGACCGAGAATTATAACAGAAAAATATTGTCCTAAAAGACGGCGGGGGGAGGGGAAGGGGGAGGCACACATTATTAAAACGCCCGGCATCTAGAATAAAAATAAAATAAATGCACACCGGGGCTTGCTTGTAAATACAAAACGCAACAAAAAAAAAGAAGTTTAGAGATAAGTCAACGATGACTAAAACCGTTGCTGCAGAGCTAATTTATTATTATAGGCTGCGGCACAGTACAAATATAACAAATGTTATAGTTTCATAACAATATAATATCAATAAAAACATTTGAATTTGATGCCTTGACCCAAATTTAATTGTGTTCGGTTATACGAGGAACGTATAAAAAATATTTAATTTCGTTATACATACCGAAGCATAATATTATATAATATTCAGTTTTTTTTTTTGTATTTAGCGGTAAAAAAATTATCGGTCTGCGATAACAATATTATTATAACAACGCCGACGCGTTCTCAAAACGATTAATTTCATCAAAAAAATACTAGGAAGGGGAGGGAGTCACTGATTAGAAATAATACAATTAATGCAGCCTTTTTTTTTTTGAAGTCTGCGTCGGACGAAAAGAAGGTCATCCGGTTGACGGAACGGTTTCGCGGTGTTCACTAAGCGCGCAGCGTCGGTGGTGGCGTGAAAACGAATTTTTAATCATTTTTCGATCGAACAGATAAAACCGCAAAAATAGGCGACGCGATCAGATGCGAATAAAACAACGCTCGTATTTAGCGGCGGCAATATTTTATCGGCTGACAACGAAAAATAACGAGCTGCAAAAAATGCTGCAGCGCTTCGAAGGAATATTATTTATTATAATATTGGTACTTATTTTATATTGCATTCATTTATATAACGGGCGATTTTCCAACCTCCGAATAGCGGACGGAATTCCGATGACCGAGATGTGTGTTCGTTATTTAGAGGATTTCACTGTATACTGCAGTATTACATTATTAATTAGAATAATTGTGTCGTGATAAAGTGCGTATATGGCCGATTGTATTATCGTGTGACGTTAAATCAATTTAGACAAACATAGCGACGGCGGGCGGGGCAAAAATAATGCGTGCCCGCGCGCGCGCGCGTCCGGGCGAATACGAACGCACGCATTGCACAAAGGGCCCGCAAAAGAGTCGGGCGACCTTGACTGCTCCGAGCTAGTTTAGTCGGGGTCATCCTCCGCCTCCGCAGCCGAACGGAGCGATGGCGGGGAACGACGAGGAGCGATGGGGACGGTTACGGCGGGCGGCGGATAACGATGAGGACGGTTATTGCGCGGCGGCGGGCGCTGGTGAAGAAAATAGCGCCGGTCAACGGCCCCACCCCCTCGCACCGTATCATAGAGCGGGCGCTTTTTCTTTCGGGCCAACACACATACACACATGCGCGCACACAGTGCAGCACGGCCACACACACACACACACACACACACACACGAGTCTAACGCACCAAGGCCAATGTACTCTAAACCCAACGCACACACACGGCGATGATGACGACAACGCGACGCTACCGTTGACCTTGTCAGGCGGTAACCGACTGTTATCGGTGAGCGAGGAGGGAGGGAAGAGGGGTCGTGCGGAGAAGAGGTACCGGAAAGACTTATTGTGTTCGTTGCGTATCCGATATAATAATAATATAATATGTCTACAACTATATTATTATAGTACTACTACAACTACTACGGGTGCTGTCTACGCGCGTATGTCGGCCCCCACAGTAACGGACAAAACAGGGGAAAAATAATAATTTCCAGCGACGACGTAGAAATGATTTTGGGTCGCACCCGCTCGTTTTAAGGGAGTCGTTGGGTCGACGACCGATAGGTCGAACTGCGCAGGGGTTCCTAAACGCATCACGGTTGATGGGCCCACGACTGACCCTGAACACCGCCGTCGGCGTTTAAATATAGTTTAGATAAAAAGGAGCGCTGCGTCAGAGGGGTGTGTACTGTGCGCGACCCGTCATGCGTTCGTCACACGCACACTGGTGAGGGCGCGGGCGCACGCGCATCAGACACGATTTGCCCGCTAAAATATAGGAACGGCGTACCGCCCGCCCGACACCGGACACTGTAACTGTACACGAGAGAAGCCGCGGAAAATATAGTATTTTTTCTTCGTGACCCATACAGAACGCGCAGAGGGAGACGAACTTTTGAACTCGAACTTTTAGCCTTTGGGCCACCGGGCGCCGTCGAAAACGGTAAGGGCGCGGTTATTGATTCGGTCGCTGCTGGTGTGAAGCAGCAGCAGCGGTGGCGGTGGCGGTGGCGGTGGCGGCGAGATCCGCAGAGCGCAAAAACAGCTTCGTCCGCCCCGCCGCCGTCGCCGCCCACTCGTTTCCACAAATACGATATTATTCTACTTTCAGTTTGCGAGGCTCGACGCGTGGCTCCCATACCCCGCAAGCTCAATTCCGAAAGGGTCGTAGCGGCATAGGATCGATGCGCGGTCGCCGTGATGCCTCGCCGCCGATATCGCCTCTCACGCTTTTAGCGCGTTCACGCGCTCATAACCTCTAAAATGTACGCGTCCTTGAAGGGCACGTGACAACGTTGACGAAACTGCCACCGTCTCGATGGGTTTCTCGGATCGGACGTACAATACCTACGCGTATTTTAATAAACGCGGATACGAGGGGAGAAACCACAAAAACGATAATAATAATAATATTATAATAATTGAATTTTGGTTTTGTTTTTTTACGATTTTTTTTTTCGCTTCCTACAATAAAATGTTTAGTAATAATTCCGTTTACGTCGATGATGTGTACATTTCGGACGGATATTATAATATTATTACATTACTGTAACGACGATGATAATAATAGGCGTGGCCGCCGCCGCCACCGACACACAGAGGCCAACGGCTCCGGAGGTCCGTTGGGCCAACGAACTTTGCCGCCCGGGAAGCTGTTCACGCATACTACACACACGTATAAATATACGCATCCAAGGGTAAGGACGTTCACCTGGCTGGCGAGCGTCGACGTCGGGCGGTCGTCGTAGTCAGCGGTGTCGGTATACTCGACGCGTACAACCCGGGCGCGTTTTATAACGGGAGACGCATTTTCTCAGAGGACTCGGCGATGATGATGATAATAATAATATAATGACCGACAACAATGACACGATAATAATAATAATAGTGGCAATACCGAATAACATTACTTTTTGCGCGCGATAATAATCGCCATTGTGATGTGTGTGTGTAAAATAAAAAAAAAACCTAGTTTGGTTGCCGAGTACCGTTTTTTTTTCGCCCGACATTCTATACCTAGATAATATAACATTAATATATATATATGCCAAACGCTAACGGTTAACTTACAGAAACACCGTCGTTGTGTAGTAAAATAATTTTAAAAAAAAGGAACTAAACGTTGCAATATTCTAATATCGCATATAATGTTTTTTTTTTTTTTTTCGTGTACGTCGGAGGGTCTTACCTGAGTGTAGCACCAATTTTCCGCCACGGGCGTGTTCGCCTCGGACGACGGAGGCGGGCTCGGTACCCGGGAAACGGACATGGTGCTGCTGCTCGGGGCACCGGCCGCGGCAGCGGCGGCGGCCGCCGCGGTAGCCGTTGCGGACACGCTCACCGATCCTGATGAACCCGCCGCCACCGACACTCTGGCTGTCTGCTGCGGCGAGCAATCACTCACCACCGGCAGCCTACAAAACAAACGAAAACAAAAATTACTTATAAAAATATTCACATTAATATCGAATCGCTAACTGCGATGCCCATAATATATGGCTGCAGTGGTTGAAATGGGAAAAACTTCGAACGGGGATGCACATTTAGGGGCACAATACCGAACAAACCTAACCAAACTTTCAGGAGACAGGACTGCCAAAACGTTTTTCTCTCACACACATTTATACATAAAATCGTTACACAAATATGATTTAAAAATAAACTGTTTCGGTGTAATATCCATGTATTAGTCTATTAATGCGGACTTTCGTTATTTGTATGCAATAAAATATTATCATTTATCATAATAATTGAACTGGACAAAATACGCAGCACCCATCTGCATACAATATTTGTCGAATATTTACACACGAGTTGCAATAACCGATAAATAATAATTACCATGTTTATTCCCATTCAACGCGAACCATGGATTGCAAAACGCAAGTACATTATTCAAGTAGTACAGATGTAAAATATAATAAAAACAACTTTACAATTTGTCATGATTTCGAGTACTTTATCCGCGGATCGGGAGATTTGTTTGCATTTTTTTTTTTTTTTAATATGGCGCATTTTATTTATTTGGTACCTATTTGTTGACTATACTAAACTTGTTATCAAAGACAATTAAAATACACAGGAGAAATATTAATTTTATAATATACGCATACAGACATTTTTTTATTTTTTAACAAAACAATAACGCTTATGTATCAGAACTGAAAAATAAAATTAAAAATAACCGTTCGAGATAGAGTTGTTTGTTTTAAAATATTATAATGCCATTTTTTTTTTTTTTTTTATCAATTATTATTATAAATGTTGTTTTAGAGCAACATAAAAGATAAATTTTTAATATTTGTAATAGGTAAGTTTAATAATAATAATGATATGCGCAGTAATTATTCGCGTTATTATAATCTGTTTATTACTCAATAGATAATAATAATAATATGTGATAAGACTTGACTTGTTCGAGGCGGTGTATATATAATAATATATTAATATATTTTGATAAGAATCGTTATTAATTAATTATTGTTAATCGTCAATTTGTGCGATCGTAATAAATTAATTATAATATTATTTTTATTGGCAATACTATAATTATCAATTACAATATTTTAGAGATAAAAATATATAATCTATAGTTTATAATAATAATAAAATAAAAAATATTATAATGTATATCAGCGCGAGATATTAGTTAGTATAATATATCTATACACAAATTATAACATTATTGATATATAAAATTAGAAAAAAAAAAACACGGAATAATATTAATTTATACAGGATCTATGGATGTCAGCGTGAACTCTAAGAATTTAATAATTAAATTCGATATTAAAGACGCATTAAAGGTATACAAGTGACGGGAACTCAGCCGAATTATTCGGATGTGTCCATCGTTAGTTATTATAATCTAATATTTTTTATGTTCGGAAAACAAATGAAAATTTATATTATTAAAATAAAAAAAAATGTTCAAGTGCTAATACTATAGAGTACAGTGTTCGCTGTTTATTATTATTTGTTTTGCATTTAACCTTGTACCTAGGTAATGCGCTGAATAACCTATTCGGCGGTTCGCCACGATAAATAATTACTACAACATAGAAGATACTAATACACCGGGGAGGGGCTAAGATCGGTTTGTTTTATTATAAAGAAAAACGTTTGATGTTTTCCTCTATACATCTATATGATATTCATGCGATAACAAATTTAAACTGTATACAATTAAATGCAGCGTAATATCTGTACGTTAAAAAATAATTAAAAAAAAAAAAAATGCTCCAACAAAACAACAATTTCTCTAGAAAGAAAAATTGGTTTTCTGATTGGAATGAAATTTGTGATAGAAATGTTCTTTGCAGACACAACGAAAATATAATACATTGAATACTCGAAATATCACACTGGTATTGTGGAATTCAAAAAATGTAATGCCTACAATACAAACGTATACCAAAGGTTATTACCATGGATACCAAAATACTCGGGTGTTATGTTTTATTTTTTCTAGGGGGAGGGGGAATTCACCGAAAATAATCGAGTGATATTTACAATTTTCAAAACAGAACCGATCACGTTAAATAACCTCGAAAATATATTATAATATTTAAGAACTGTTGAAATTATACATTAAGTAAAATAAATAGGTATATCGATTATAGTATACTATATAGAATACAATTGAATTTGTCCAACAATAATTATTGTACGTAAACCTTTTTCGAAACGGTTATAAAATGTTCACGCTTTGGTAAACGACTGCACAGAAAACAAACGCGGGGAAGTGTGATGTGTGTCGCGTGTGTGCAATAAATTTAGTAGAATAGTTTTTTTTTTTTTTTTGTTATATATAACGAACGGATTTGTATAAAAAGCGTTTTTTTTTTTTTTTACTTTTCGTTGTTTGCGAAAACTTTATCAGACGCGTGCCCGAAATAGAAACGACCGGCGACGACGAAAGAAAATTGCACCATTTCGCTATAATATATACACAACGCATAGCAATACCTACCCCTCCGCCCTCTTCACTCTCACGGTACCGATCTAAATTTTTTTTTTTTTACACATTATTTTTTTTTTTGTACACATGCCAAATCCTACACACACACACGCACGTCGCGCAGCAGCATTCTCGTATAGGTACTTAGGAGAATATATAAAGCTAATATATAGACGACGACGCTACTAATAACGGCGCGTGCACGCGATAGCGGCGGCCCCCGTGGGAGAACATGTGTACAAGGTGATTATTTTATCGCGATTCAGCGATTTTCTATACATACGAAGAGTTAGTAATATCGATTTTGGTTTTTTTTTCCTCATCATTGTACAGTCGCTACAGAATTCGTCGACCTCGTTTACAATAATTTTTTTTTTAAATTTTTATTTAAAATATCACTCTTATACTTCAGCACACCGTATGAAAAATACCGACTTTTGATTTTCAAATAGTACCCCCTCCCCCCGCTCCCTCAATCACTGTTAATACACAAATTCGAAAACAACGTTTTACTAGACATTTCGATACGCGTAACACTAAAGTCGGACGAAAATGTAGACCGTAAAAAAAAAAAAAAATGGCCAAAACATTTTAATATAAGGACAACTATCAGAATGTTTAGAACTAATTCGAATTCACGTTGGAAATGTCATTGTGACGGGGAGGTAACCGTTTGAAAATCGAACGTGCGCTGTAATTAATAACCATTGAAAGTATATACGTTGGGGTGAGAATTCGAAAACAGTGTCGAAACAAGTATCTAACGAATCCACATTATTATAACGATAACAATGAAAAAAAAAAACCATATAAATCCAAATTCGTTTATAAAAACATTGTTGGGAGAAAATCGCCGGATAGCGTCATAAAATAATCGCCCTGTATATTATGTATGTATAATACATAATAATATTGGTCTCGGTCCAGAAGTCATTCACCTCTTATATAAAAACTATACGCACGCCGCCGCGGCGAACTGTTGAACTGAGAAGAAGACCACGCGGGCCGCCGCGCAGAGGAGGATGACATCCCGATGAACCGGTCGGTCTTTGTCCGCTACCGCTGCCACGCGCGCCCGGTCAAAGACATCCGGGCGGTTTCATAGCGGCGGCGGGTCGCCGAGGATTCGCCGCGCGTTGGGTTCAAGAACGTACAACGACGCCGTCCAACCGTCGTCGTAGCCGCCGAGAGATGGACCGCCAAACTTCGGCTACACCGGAACTTCAGCACATCGCACGCGTCGTCAACATTAGCTCATTTGGTATATTTTAATGCGCACGACGAATCGTTTATTATTATACGGAATTTCAGCAGCGCAATAACCCCTGGTGCCAGTGCACCGCGAATGGCCGGTGTTGATATTATGCCCGCTCCGTTGGACTCCGCGTGATTTTCATTCGTATGCCATCAAGACGCGGTGTTCCCATCAATTTTTTCGAGAGCATACCTATACGTATCTATTATATTATCCCGAGTCTCACATGAGATACTTTATAATATAATTTCGCTTACGGGTTATTGGCATCTACTGTGTATAGGAAAATTTAATATTTATATCAATAATTACACAAACATCAAATTGAAATTATCGAAATAAAGCATTCGACGAGAAAATTGCGAATTTTTCCATATTTGTAACTAATTTTGTTTGTTTAATAAATTATTTGAGAGTACACGGCGCATATCGTTGCGTTGTGCGTATACCTATAGCATTAACGCAAGGGAGCGGGGTCAGGGCCATATCCTTCCACGTTGAGTTTTCACCACAACCACGATTTTTGTTTTTTTTAAATTAATCGTTTGATCGGCGTAACTATTAAGGGACAGGGTTTAGTTCTTATTCCAGATCTTTTTGCCCGAGGACGTTTCCCAAAATAATATATACGAATAGGTATTTTGAAAGCCGAGTTGGACCCCGGGAAAGTTAAAAATCCTCGTTACGCCTAGTGTATTAACGATCTGTAGGTGAAGTGTATAATACTGATAATACAAAGTCGAAATTGTTGTTTATTTTAGTTCTAAATATACATAAACACACATACTGAAAAAAAAAAAAATCCGTAATAATGTAGAAAATATACATACATAAAAAACAAATCGGAAACGGGCACTTTCAAATTTTATTTAATAGGTATATTTGAAATCGTTGTAGCGTGACACAAAATATTTTCATAATCCTACTATAGATTTTATGTCGAGCCAAGAAAAAAAAAAATAATAATAATAATAATAATGAAAAACAAATACATAAGCAAAAGGCTAAGGCGAATGTTGGTCATAATATTATATTATTATGTTTTACGTGCACAGGATTATCGTTTGTATTCGCTACGATGTCGTAATATATTATATTATACAGCGTGTATTGTCAGGTGTAAAACGACCGGAGGAAAAAAAAAATATCAAATTAATTTCGTATTATAATAGTCGACGATTGCATAAAAGAAGCGTGCGCGATCGGTGTGGTTTAGAAAATCGAGAAATCGTGGAAATATTATATCGCTGGACAGGAAGCGGCGAGGCGCCTGGGCATCGCCGAGTGAAATCAGTTGTTGTCTAATTATTGTGTTATATACGCTCTGGAGAAACGATTAGAAAGCGGGGGTTCACGACGAATAATTCAAAACCGATATCGAAAACTGCTGCAAATTGTTCCGTCGCGTATATATTATTATTAATGCGTGTGTAGAAATCGGGTATATTAAATCGGATTTATTAAAATAACATTGATCAGGGCTCGGAACTTTTAGCAATTAAATTCTATACGAATCGCTTTAAAAGTCTAACAGCTCTAACTTATAAAATTAGACTTTTTAACGATACGGAAATGATTAACACAAAACACTTTTTTTTTTACAATACGTACAATTGTATTAGTTGGAACATTTAGAAGGAATAGGAGTTTTAAACCCGTTTTTGCTTTTTAAATATTGTTTTTATGTAATTTTTTTTTTTGTAAATTAAAGGGCTGCAAGCTCCGAGCTCTGGTTATTATAAGTCATATAAAACGCGCAGGTAAATAGTATGTACACCTACTGTGTAGTGTGTACATGAACAAACATTTTCTAGAAAAAACGCCGCCGTCCCTTCTTCCAAACACTCGTACTAAACAACACAAGCTTAGTAACACAAGGTCAAACGGGAGATCGACATTTATACTGGGACCGTCATCGTCGTTATTAAAATATAATATTATTATTGCACTATCTACCTATCTGTACAAATAAACGTCTTTTGTTTTATCGCGCGATTAAATTAAAAGGAAAAAAACCGTCGATATCCAACTGCGAACTATTAAGTTACAATAGTTGAATATTGACTTATTTAAACTTACAAAACGAAAAATCGTCAGCTTTATAATGGATGGATGCCTTATACCTATACCATTATCATTTGCCGTACTATCATCGCCTATAAGACCTGTTGCGTTTCCGTTAACCGCATGCGGATATTATTAAAACGACGTGCCGTTATTTGTGCCGACGGCATGACGGCGGCGGCGGTTAGCTGTTTTATTACTATTATATATATTTTTTTACTTCTAGTCGTGTCGGCGGTACAGTTCGCGTACATATGTATAATGAGAAATAAACACACGGGTAAACCAGATTAACGGTGCACACGCACGCCCGGTCGAACGGATAAAATAACGAAACGGACCGTCGTCCTGTCCTCGATATGTTTTTAGTATACCCATCTCAAATACTTATAACAACAATGGAACTATACAATTATTCGTACGTATTTCAAGCGATTGTTTCGCGATAAATTTTGCGATGATTTTTACAGCAGATACCGCAATTATCGCATATTATACCGCAGAAGTATAATAATAGAATAATGCGAGTAGGACATTTTTACAAACATTGACTTAGTTCCATATTCGCGATATGATGTATATTTTAAAAGCATTAAAACCCAAATCCAGTGTATAATAAATGCATGGATGGCAAAAAGTATAAACTTTTATATGAAAAGTCCTTTTTTTGAGCATGATTATTGATTATACTCGAATTATGTAGTTTTCTCTAGATAAGAAGGATTTTTGTGACATAGTGTCGTTAATTGATTTCTATGGTGCTCATCTGTAGTCAACTGCAGTATTATTTACATTATTAACAAAATACTACTAGGTTAGGAAATATACATTTGATTACGTAATAGAATCACCGACTGCTTATTATAGAGCTTAATATAATAGTACCGAGTAAGAATTTATTAGTTAATATTTCAAAACAAATTTTTTATAATATTTTCGATTATAATCGCGTAAAACGAATGCGTTTTTTTGTGTACACAATTAAAACAATAATTGTAATAAAATCATTGTACTATAGTGTATTACTCGTAATATCATAATGATTAAAACTATATAATTTAGGTAACGATTGATAAATATTATATTATAATGCGTTTTACTTCTAGATTAACTATACGTTAGCTATAGGCTAGACCAGCTCTATTAAAATTTTGGAATAATATGAACACTATATATGGTATTCTAAAGTGTTTGTTATTGACACGCAGTCGGTATAGTCCAAATATTGAAAATGTTAAATACTTGAAATTTGATAACAATAGTACCGACCATTATATTATTATAGTGTTATCGCCAGTATATTACAAACAAAAAACATTGGAATTATTGTTAAAAAATATGTTTAAATTAAAAGAAAAAAAAAACGATTTAATATTTTGGTCTGGTTATTGCACAACGCGGACGTTTATCATCACTACAACACTTTTGTATTGTTTTGTAAATCAAGAGCAATAACAAAATACGAAAATCATATATAATATTCTTTATACATAGAGTACATACTCGTATATACGAAAATAATATAAGCAATTATTGTAATACCTCATTGACAGTTTGAAAAAATAGCCTACATACACGTCACACACACAGACATGCGACTAGGAAAAAAAATTAAATTGGAACAATGCAATATGAACCGGTTGACGTGACTACCTCTTTAGCGGGTCAAGGAGCTGACGGACTAGGGCGAAAAACGTTTGTACATTTTATATATTAAATGGCACACGGCCTCGTCGTATTTAAACCTCCTACAATATACGAGTATATTATAATAATATATAACCGATTACTTCCTTCCTTTCCAATAGAATAAAAACCATTACAAAAACGGTTAAACGGCTCAACGAAACAATCAATATAACGCCCCTAACCTCAAAAATGTAATTTCATAGATAATTGACTAGGAATATAGTCGTACGTTGCTGCTGACATCTGACAAATAATACTATTAAAGTATATACTGCTATTTTGATATTTATTATTAAAGAAAATGTACCTAATCAAATGTAATTTTACTCAATTTCATGCTTATCAATTGTGTCATTCAATATATAATATATTAGGAGCGTTCACTGTTTTTTTTTCAATGCCTACTTTTTGTTTAAATTTCTATTTTCTCTCAAAAAATTAAAGTTTCGATGCGTTCTATTTAAATTAATACACTGAACATAAATCACTCAAACTGACAGATTAATATACGTACTAAAAAAAAAAACTACTGCTCTATATTGAAAGGTTTTATATAATACAACATACAAAATTAAATATGCCTAATATAACCTAATCGGAAATTATTTATGAATCATAAATAATTCCTATCATCATAATAATTATGATGATAACGTACTGTTGAAAATGTGTCGACGGCATAATATAAGCCAAAGTACATAATATAATATACAAAATAAATTTTATTGTTATAATACCTAGAAGTATAAAGGCGATTTACTAAAGTTTTTACACAATTTTAGATTTTCAATTTGTTCAATAAAAAAATAAATAGATTTAAATTCTGTTATCAAAATTAACTACAGAGTTTATCAAAAAAATATTATATAGGATCTCAAGTACAATTTTAAAATTAACTATGTATATAATTAATTTAAATTTAAAAAATTGTAGTTTTGATTTAGGATTTAGCCTCATTTTTCTAAGTGAAAATGTGCGTGTTGACATTATCCGATAATCATTTAAAATTACAACAGGTTAGTTTAATATAAAAAATAGAGTTGTATAACATGTTTTTTATTACTATCAAACGAATACATGTATACACATGTATTTTTATATATTTGATTTCAAGCAGAGAAATATTGAACAAAACAAAATCTATGTATAACATTTTAAACAAAGAGTTTTTTTTTATATAATATTCATCAACAAAGTTATGGAAATTCTGAAATTCGTTTAAACACGATATTTGGACGCGTAAGTACACAAGTAAGAAACAGTTCGAGACATATAGGAAGTAAATACAAATATTATAATCAATTATAAAAATAAAAATCAGTTCATTTGGATTTAAAACACCTTGCAAAACTAATAAGTACCTTTATATCTAATAAGATGTGAAGAAGGGAATGAGTACGATGATGAGAGAGAAAGAGAAACCACCAATGTCGGTTAATTGGAGCCGGTCGTTTGGTTTTTCATAATACGACCGCGTCCTCTCTTTTAAGTTGGTTAACAGGTCAAGGAGTAAGAGCGAACGGAACATTCAATATTTCGGGTTTCTCGAAGTACAATAATGCATAGGTAGTATATTATATGACAAAAGATCTCATATAATATATCATAAAGACATATTATAGTATTATATACGGTGATAGGAGTTTAAAAAAAATTAATAAAATATTGTTTTTATTTTTATTTTTCATTCAGAAACTACATACCAATATTTTATAAAAAACTACAATTTTAGGCAAATCGTTGAAGTAACTACCTCTTTAAGCTTGTACACATAATATATACGCTATATGTATTACAATAATATATTACATTGACTGCAACTTATCGAATATTGTTAATACTAATATTTTTTTTTTAAATACATATATTATAATAATGTAAAATACTACTTTTTTTTTCTTTTTATTAAAAGACATACATGTACAAATAAATACCTACTTAACCATAAATGTGTTATTATTATTATTATTTTTTTTTTTGAGGTAATCTGGTGACCCTCGCATTTGATGGCCCCGCAAATTATACAAATAAATAAAAAATGAGGTTACGGCCTTGTTACACTTTAAATCGTCAACTTATACAGTAATATTGTATTGTAGAATTACAATATTTCGAAGATGGGCCTATATTAATACATATAGGTAGCAATAATATGGTACAATATTATTATAAGTAATCATAAAAAGATTCACTGGTTTAAGTATTATTGTCTGACCGCGCACTGCCGTGTCAAGGGTAACTAAATAGCCTAAGGACTCCCCGTGAACTAGTTTACGGAAATATTCATAATTCATAATATACAGATCAAAAATAAATACAAATAAATAACAAAATTAGCATATAAAGCGCCTTTATAGAAAATCAAAGTACAGGGCTGTATTATTATTTTCCGTATCCTTGAAAAAATAAGAATATTTTATCCCCCGTAAAAATTATATTTTGTTTTACATTCTTAAGAAACTCATTAATTAAGCGACACTCAAATTAAATTCAAGGCACTCATTATCTCGAAAAGTATTTCCGGAAACAAGTAGTTCTAAACGTTACATTACTGTTATTTTTTGTTACCTTAATTTTTGGGGGTAAAGTAGTACCCACTTTGATTTTCAAATAGCAATCAATATTAAAAATTCCACAAATAGATGAAGTTGTAGTCTGAATAAATTTTGGTGTTGACATTTTTTATTTCTGTCAACTCGTTGACTAGATATTCCATTTTTTAAGTATGACATATGGAGCAGGAGGAGAGTATTAGAACATTATTTGTGTTGCAGCGCGGCGCACGACGTTTAAACAGTACTACTATACTCCACTATTCTCTTCCTATCCACAAAACGACAAATTTAAAAGTAAAACATTTTTTCAATGAGTTGATGGAAATTATAAACGTCAACACCAAAATGTATTCAATCTACAACTTCATCTATTTATAGCATTTTTATTGCAGTATTAGGTTGCTGTTTGGAAATTAAAGACGGGTAGTGGTTTCACTCCCAAAAATAAGGATGACGAAAATAAATATAGTGTAAAATTTTAGAGCTGCTTGTCTCTTAAACTTTCTAAAAAGCAAATTTAGTAAAAAGTTAATACCTTCTGAGATATCAAGTTTTTGCGTTATGTTGATCGCCCTGTAGTAGTTCAATAACTATAGATAATATATGGATTAAATTTGGAAATTATAAAGATACCTACCTACTTACATGTTTCATTTATATATACAAGATTACAATTTTTGACGAACGCTTTATTGGATAATACGGTTTTCAATAATTTCGGGCATCATAAAGGTAATTATTTTTTGTTTTGTTTTGTTTTTTTTTTTTTTTTTTTGGCACCTCTAAGGTTAACATTATAGTGCCAGAAATATTTCAATATAATATTATAATATGCAGTATGTACACTATACACATATGCATGGGTGGCAAACGGAAAAAAGAACCTCCGACCTTCCGGAAATAGAGCTAAGCTAGAAAAACCCTGAAGCACCTGTTCCCAATCGAATAAGTTAATAACATAAAGAATTCAAGTACAATTTGTTGAAAAAAATAATAATATAACACATTATGCGTGGATAAGATTTGGTACAGAAATTATTTATTACCAATATATTTCATAAATTAGTATTATAAACGATTGTAAACTGTATTTTAAAAAAAATTAACAATTAATATCTTTTTAATTCGCGAATTTCACAATCACTATTCATCATAGATTCTAGAGAACTTTTTTCTTATTAATAACTAAAAGAGAATAAAAAATGACACATAAAATTTACATTTTTCCAATGATCCATTTTCAACGTATGAATAGTATTATATTTATTTAAACTAAAATTATGTATATAGTAATGATATCTATTATTTTTCAACTAGTTGACTAATGTTTATAATAAATTATACAGATTATAGTAATACATTACAATGAAAACAAAATTTATGTAATATACGATTTATCATGTAATATTAATGAAAAAATAAAACGAAATACAAGATATTATTATTTTTGTTAAATTATAATATTAATATAGCAGGTACATATTTGATTAGATTTACATAGATATTTTATGATGGGTTTATAATAACGATAATAATAAAAATGTGTAATATTTGTTTGTAATTTACCTGAAAAGAACAGCAGCATCGTTAAGAATTTGAGTAATATTATACGAACTACGTAATTTCATTGTTTTTTTTTTACTAATTATTACTATATAAATAGCTTACATGTATTATCAATATGATAATATAACAAAACTAAACTAATATAACAAGACGGATAAAAACTCCTCGCACAACTGTTTAAAACTGAACCGACTCGGATACTAAATAAATATGGAAAAATGCACTGTGCGTTCGGGTGTTATATCAAGCGACTTAACTACCTGCTGTGGCTTAGCTGGGCTCCAATGGAGAGTTATATTCTTTTTATAGGTGTATATATATATATATTTTTTTTTTTTTGTATAAAAGGTGGATAATATATAATGTGTTATACTCGGGGGCACAGGTAAATGCTTTGCAACGTACACTGGCGGAGAATCGTAAAAGAAAAAATGATAATAGAAAATAAATCCCCCTTCTCAGTTGATTTTTTTTTTTTTGGTTCAAAGCAAAAGGGACAATGTTACAACGTACAATAATAAATATAATAGAGGCGGTATTGGAACGTGTGGGTGTAAAATCATGAGCAGATGACAAACCCGTGATCTACTATAAGTAGGACGGATCCTTGTGCCACATGCACGCGGTATATTATATGTATGTGCGCAGTTTCAACACGAATGAAATACGTTTAAATGCTAATTTTTATCCGAAATGTGCAGATTGTTTATTACATAATTTATTTGAAATTCGTTTAAATTATTTGAATCAATTATACCTACATAGTTAAACAAATATGTGTATCTACTGTAAAAATAAATTATAGAATAGGTACCTACTATTTTTATGAATAAAATGTTTTAAATAGATAGTACAAATTGTATGTTTTTTTTATTAATTATGAATTATATTATTGTAACTAGATTAACATGTAACAATCCTTAACTACATGACATTCTGTATAAAAATTACGTACTTATGGAATACTTAAGGAAAAAGAAGAAATATCACGATAATACGCATATTGTAAAGGAAGTCAGCAATAGTTGATAAATGACTCTACCGGTAATGATGAAAGGCCCCTACCACTTTCGTCAGACCCTATTCGTACTCAGTTTTTGCAGATGTGAATGCGTATATGTACGTATATTATGCTATACTGCGTTAGAATTATTATTTAGACGGGTACAAACCTAAAAAGGGTCGTTTTCCCCTTCTATATTTTAGCCCTCGTCAAATAGCACGTCCAAAAATGTAAGAAATAATATGCGGCGATGGGCTGCGATTTTCTAACCGTTAAATGTTAAAACGTACTGCCTTTATTATGTATTTTCTTTTTGGGCTTTGGCATTATATAAAAATATAAAAAGCCGACAAGTACATGTAGACATAGTAGACATCTACTATGCTATTATTATTTTCTGTATTCATAAAATATATCCGATATTCTAAACAAAGATACAATCGATAAGAAATAATATAATAATAATAATAATATTTTACTTTTAAATTGTATTTAAGATACTTTATAACGTAAAATCTTAAAATTTTCAACATCGAATATAATAAAATCTAAAAACTAAAATTAATATAAGTGTAGGAAATTAATTCTAAATACATAAAATAACTTTTTATCTAGAATGTTGAATCTCTCTACGGGATTCTATATATAATATATATTTATATAAAATCTTCGAATCTATGGACTACATAAAAAAGATTATCGTTATCTGGCTTGGCTTATTTATTATCTTGTAAAATATTAAATTATTAAACATAAAAATAATAAAATTAAAAACGCACCTATGATTGATTTCACCCAATAGAACAAAACGGTAAGTACATTATACTCAGGTGCATGTTTACGATAAGCTACAATAAGTATGTATTTAAATAAACGGAACACATTTGTTAAAATGGTATATGTTTTAGATTTAGAATTTGTGTAGTATTTCAAATAATTTACAACACTTCATACCTATATAAAATAAATAATATTATATAGATTTTTCGTTTGTTAGCAACAAGCCGGCCTTGTAATCAGATGACATTGCTTAGGACGCACCGGTTGTCCTTGTTAGGTGCAATTCTTCCTGCAATGGCGTAACCTCACTTTGGCTAACTTGATTTTTAGCGAAAATCAATTTTTATTTAGTAAAAATAGGTAATCGTTATTTTCTATACTTCACATATTCAATACATTAGCTTTTTGATTAATTTAACGATAGGATATACTTGGTAGACACCAAATATAGATTGTACCTAACAATCTATATTGTATTTAAGAATATTAGCTACTTATTTCAAACTTAAAAATATACGTTCCAAGCAACTAAATTGGTTTTTTCGGTAACTCTTTCGGAAAAAATACACATCCATTATAAATTGCTTCTTAAATAAGATAATTTCGAAAATGTCTGCAGGCCGCACAAAAACATTATCCAAAATAAACTTATAATTGAAGAATTGTAATAGTTCCATCGTTACGATTATTTTGTAAACTTTGAGTATTTTTTAAATGTGAGACACAATTATAACACAATTATAAGGTCTTTGAGGATTTGTTAAATTTTAGAAATCTTCATAGCGTGTATAAATATAGGTTATTACCTATTAATAATCAAAGACTTAAAAGATATTCTAAATCTTATTGCATTTAATATTCATATTTAAAAAAAATTTGCGTTTTAAAATATTGACTTATGTTAACATAAAGTTAACCTTATAGAAGTATAATATAATATAAAGGGCGTGTTTTATTATCTCGTGACCTCGTTTCCACCACAGTAATAATATTTTCTTATTCACCCTACATAATAATAAATCGTTCTGCGAAGTACTATTCGATAAAAGTACTTATAATATTCATTCGAATCATAATCTAAAACTTTTGCTTTTTCATAAGAACAATAATTATTGCACATAGGTAGGTATCTATATAATATAATTCAATAAACAAATATTGATAAGTAACCCATCTTTAACAATTTCTAATAAGATACGAAAATAATCCTCAAGATTATAGACATTAATAAAGATCGAGTTTTTGTTATTATTTTGAAATTCACAACCTTAAGCAATAATATTATTTAACGTAATTCAAATGTTTCCTACAACACATAGTGCGCGAAAGAAGGGGTACGGCGCATGATATGACGTAAATTAGAGGCCAATACTTAACCTTGATAATGATTTCGAATTCGATCAAAGTTTATCATGGTTGTAAACGAAAGATGTTTCAATGTTAATATTGTAATCTAAGCATTTTAAAAAGAATAATGAAGAAATAATGCATTAAATATAAATGAAAAATTTTGGACGGTGTCAACATAAAAGCAATCATGAACAAATATGTATTAAGTACCTACCTACTACTTAACCAAATAATAATCAAAATTATATGACTATGGTAAGTATGATACATAAATACTTTATAATAGTAATTGCCGAGGTATAAAAAATAAATCCCAGTAAATATACAATTTGTATAATAGAAATACAAATCTAAAAACAAACAAATATAATATTATATTTGTATACTAAAAATCAATTGGTCGATTTTACTATTATAGTACAAAAATTTATAATTTACTAGAATAATATTTTTCAAGACAAAAATTACTTTATAAATTTGATGAACATTTTCGTCATAAAATATTACAAAATATAAATTGGCAACAAAATTGAAGTATGGGTACACGTCGTAAAAAATGATTTTTTTTAAACTTCGTGTCCAATCTCACATTGTTTCTGAAACACCAAACGTGTAAAAACTACTTTTAAAAAAGTTGATCATTATATAGATATTGGAGGAGACCCAAGGGCAACCTTGGCTATGACATTGTATCATTACAACTCATGATTGTGTTTGTGTTATGTTCCTGTACGTCAATTGTATAAATTAAAACGAATATATTTAATATTTTAATTACAGAGGTCGAAATTAGAGGGCCGTGTATGAAATGTATACGGTATGACGTACGAATAATATATTTGTATAAGTACCCAAGTTGTTTAGCCTGCCGTGTAGGTATACCGAATTATTTAAACGGATAAAAATAAAATATTTTTCTAGTTAAATTATTATAAATTGAGCTCACCTGGCTAGAGCCATCCTAAAACATGTATCGATGTTTATGTTCAATTTAACTTTTGAGTAATCCACTTTTGGCACAGCCACTTTACTTACTTATCAAAAAATTATCAAGAATATTGCACTGTATTATTTACTTTATATCGTATATCACTGGTTTTTGTTCAAAGTTAAAATATATACAATTGGCACTGTTACGGGAATTAAAATTAAAAACGACAGAATTTAAAAAATATAGATATATAATAATGCAAATGAAGATGACCTTTAACCCGGCGATTCTAATACGACACGTTTTTTGATGAGATCGCACTAACCAGCGAGGCAGCGAACACCACACCAGGCTGGAACGGAATGAAACTAACGAAGTGGATACCGTCACGAGGCACGAGGTTAGTGATTTTAGAGGGGAAACCGTGAACAGTGTGTACGAGTACAATAAAAATGTACAATGTATACAATAATTTTGAAAAGTTATGTAATTGATCATTGTATGAGAACAGCCGTACATTTCTATAAAAGTTAATATTTATTTGCTATACTAATATATTATAATATATTATAATATATATATTATATTAATATTATGGATGTATGTTATAAACATATATTCTTTACACGATAAGACATATGTCAAATTATTAGATATTAAGAAAAACTCACCAAATCATTGTACACATATTTCATATTAAGTACCTATCAAAAAGGATGTTTTTGTTGAATTCAAAAAAGTGGGCTTGTCCCATATTTCAGTTAGTGGTACGTACAATATAATAATATTATGTTTAACAAAATATACAAGTGGAAAAAAAACGTAAAAAAAGTAAATTTTTAATTACTTAATAAATATGACCCATAACCTAGATTCATTAACTATTGAAGGATTAGTTTAAAATAAAGTGAATTACACATACAACTTAAATTATTATTAAACAAATCAAAAACTTGTACAAGTAAATAATAATAACATATTAAAATGTACCTACTCTAAATAAATTTAATTTTGTGTCATAATTTACACATATTTATAATTTCATTAAATTACGTATATTTTGCATTACTCATAATTTCAAATGAATTTGTGAAAGTTATAGCCAATAAAATTAATAATGCGCAAAGCAAATAATAAGGTTATTTGAAAGAAATTACTGTCAATTGTATAATTAACAATACACTATAATAAAATATTTAATATTAGTAATTGGTTTTATTTAATTAGTGTTAGAAGTGTATGCGAATTGGTTAAACATTTTTATTATAAAATGGATTTGTAATCTATGTTATACCATAATGGAAAATAATCAAAAATATTGTACAGTACACGGACCACGTGAATATGTAATATTCATGAAAAATGACATTAAAATGATATTATAAAGATACAATACAAAATGTTATTTTGTGTTCTACTTATATTACTACAGTCATACCCAACGCTGTCTGGAAATTGCTATTATGATATTATCAAGTTATAGTAAAATAAGAACATCGATATTATCTATAAGATTTAATTGGAAAAATTGTAGGTCACTAGGAAGTTTAAGGAGGCTGGAACGTTTTCATACGTTTGAGTATTTTACAACAATAATAGTGGGAAATTAGATTTACTTCCCAATGTTCGATTAAAATTTTAAATTATGAATGAATTTGTTGACAAATTTTCTAGGTTTCGAAGTCTCAATTTTAGAGACTTCCACAATTATGATATTATTTCTGAAAATTCCGTGAAAATACCTAATTATATTTTTTGTATTTATTTTCGTTATATTAAATTTTTAATTAACTTCCTAAGAAACCTAGGCAATTTTTAAAAAAATCCATAAATATTTATTAATTTAAATCAAACATAGGGATGTATTTCTAATTTTACATAAGTCTAAAAGTCATATTCACCCGTACAAATGACCATATCCTTTTTCTTTAGTATCGGGAAATACATAAGTGGAAAAGTATTATCATTACAGTGGTCAAAACTAATTTTGAAATTTAATTTAATTGAAGAAAATTTGGAAAAGTTGTTCCGTCTTCATTTAAATAAATATGATAAATGAATCAGACTGCACGTTAAGTGCAGTTTGAACAGTTTTCAATTTGGTTTAATCAACACGATAAAATGTTGGCAAACGGTAGATAAGGGAATAGCCCCATTGGAAATAGGGAGATATAACCAGTTCAGAATTCACGCATCACTTACAATTTTCTTTATTCATTTCACTCATATAATTTAATAATATTTTATATATATATATATAAAACAGTTTGTTTTTCTATACGCGATTAAAATATTAGTTATCAATATAATTATTGACTTCATAGATTTTGCTTTGATAAAATATTGTAGGTATATATTAAATATAAACATACTATGACATTATACATAGTATAATATTCTTCATGTGGGAGGGGATCAGAATACTCTCACAGTTGTAAGAAGCGACAAATGGAGGTTTATTTCCTTGGCATCTTCAACATAAAATTTTGAAACGAAATCAAGAGTATTTTTTTGTACTGATTTGTGCCGTTATTCCTGACATTTGTACTTTTAAACTTTCCGAGATACAGCCATTTTAATAAAGTGCAGCTGGAGAAATTAATGGCTGCACTTCCTTTTTTGAATTATGTAATCAAACCAAGTCTTTTAAATCCTGAGCAGAGCAAGGAATGTATTGGTTTTACAATGATGTGTATTTTTTTATTTATTTTTTGTGGATAACATTTCTAGCACTTTTTTTGAAAAGAACATTAACTATACATTGATTATAGCATGGGATATAATATTGCAGTATATTATCAATCAGTTATATTAATGAAATTAGTGGTTCAGGGGCAAGAGCTGACCTATTCTAGAGTCCTTAATTTTGAAAAAAAAATTTCTTACATGTGTATGTATATTTATTTTAAGTGATTTAAGTATGAAAATAAAATGTTTAAGAAGAATGTGTTAAAAGAAGTTAAAAAACAGAAAAAGTAGGACTATACTTATTTTTAATAAATATTTTCATGTCAAAATATTATGAAAATGGAGGGGAGGAAGGACGGTGGTAATAGAGAATTCCCTACAAAATAATAATTGCGTAGGTCATAAATATAAAATCATTACATGCCTTAAAAAAAATATTTTAAATTTTATGAGGTTTATTTCTGAAACTTAAAAATGCAACACAATCGTATTAAAACTAGAAGTTGTTTGCCTTTTTCACTTAACATGAATGATAAAATTTCGCTCTGTGTCACGTATATGGTGAGTATAGACGGATATATACGGACACGCAAATGTTTCGAACAATACTAACAAAACTAGAGAAATTATTACTACTGAACGTACATTTTTATGTGTATAGTTATAAGCTTATAACTTATACGATTATCAAACCAAATCAAGTTTTTTGTATCATTTTTATCAGTAATGAAAAGTCATAAATATTTTGTGTATCGAAAAATCAAATTTAGATATCAGCTTTATCGATAAGTTATTATCATACACTATTAAGTATAAATACCACAAATACATAGCAATTTAAACAAGAGCCAAGTTTTTCTGCCGTATAGGATTTTTATTATTTTGTATTATCATTACCTATTTATTTATGAAATGCATAATGCCAGTGTTTCTCAAACTATGGGTCGTGACCCACTGATAGGTCCCTAGTCAATTTTTGGTGGGTTGTGAAAATTAAATTGTTTTGAATTATATTATACTATTTAGATTCCAAGAAATTTATGTGTTTAGATTCTGAGCGGAGCGAGAAATGCATTGGTTTTACAATAGTGTTTTTTTTTTTATTATTATTTATTTTATCTGTAAACAACCTTCCTACCAGCAATTTTGCTCCGATTTTCAAGTCTAGCACTTTTACTTAAAGGAAATCTCATTGGGGTGAAACTTTATCAAGGTAATTTTTTTGATTTTCCTGACCATTTTCATAAACTACTTTTGGAAAAGTGAAACAACCATGTGAGTCGCAATAGATTTTTGGGAAAAAATTTGGATCGTGGTTATAAAAATATTGAGAACCACTGCATTATATAATGTAGGAACTTAAATGTATAATTTTTTCCGCCGTATAGGAATTAATATACGCATTTATTTTTTACCTTATATTTGTACCTTTTTATACCGTATAGGAACTTACATACGCCCTATATAAATATGTTTTATAAGCACTAATTCGTATGGAAATTGAAAATAAACAAAAATAATAATGGTTTCAAGAATGAATAATAAAGAAACTAAACAAAAAGTTTTACTTATCAATAGAATATATTTGTATGCCTATATTAAATTAGGTACTATAATTTTCAAAATGTAAATGATGCACAATGACTGAAAAACTCCGAATAATGTATCAAAAACGAAATTATAATATTATATAAAAATACAATACTTAAATATTACCTATTGAAATTACAATTTTAATTTTAACTTCTAGAACCCGATAAATATAAGGCATTATTTACTGTCTCAGTACAACTAGCAGGCAATATAGCAAAAACATGCTTAAGTAGACCGAGTAGAACTCGTTTAGTTTTGGTTATAAAGTAAAATTGCTTATTATTAAACTCGAAGAGAACAATATTCGGAAGGATAATACACTGCACGTTTTTTCCATCAACCCACATAAAATACATATGACGTTAAAAAATAACGACAGTTTCAATATTTTAAAATGACTGCAAGTTTTCAAAAAATGTAGCATTTTACCCTCCCGAATATCGTCTTCTTTTGTTTTATAACAGATGATTTTACTTTAAAGCTAAAACTAAGCGAGTACTACTCGGACTGTGTAAGCATGTTTTTACTATGAGGCCTGTTGGTTAGACTAAAACAGCACATGTAGGTATCATGTCCTTTTATTATAAAAATGTCTATAGCATTGATATGAGCTTACAACTAAACATAATTAATTATGCGTAAAAAAATACGGACTTACGATAGCTATTTTAAATGTCGAAAGATGCAACTACTCCAGCAACATCAAAGAAAAAGTGTTTTATCTTAGAAGAGATGAAAGCATAAATGCCAGGACTTACGGAAAAAATTATAATAAACGTAGCACAAATCAATGGCATCCTTAAATTTCAAAGTATAAAGGTAGGTGTGTAACCTTTTTCGCAGCATCCACTAAGAAAATCGGCTCTATTTCGAAAAATTCCAGAGTACAAACGCCGGGCACAAATATAGCAAATATAACATGTTAAAATTTCAACTTTTGAAAGCATATATACAGCAGTATTGGATAAAAACGCGTTGATATTATACAAATGCAGCATTAAGTTTAAAGTAAATGAATCTTCATTCCTTTCTTTGATTATAGAAATTGTATTTTAGTAATAGAATTATAACCTCATGGTTAAACTATTTATTTAACTAGTTATCATTAACTAGTTTTTAATTTTTCATACATAATTTTTTTTTGATAGATGCCGTTAAAACTGTTTTCGCTGGAATGAAATGCATGAAAAACTTATTAAATATCTCGCACACATTTATTTGCATTTTATTGTTTTAGACTAAAAATGCATAACTTTTTAATTTTAATACCTAATACATCAAAATTAAATAAATGCAAGATTCTTCTTAAGACGATATTACTGTTAATAATAAATAAATGATAAGTGAGATATCCGAAATTATTTTATTTTTTAGGTGAAAATCATCAAATAAATATTATAGTCCCAATGAATTCCATGAAAAAAATTATTTCAGTGCATTTTGGGCAATAGGTAAAATCTTTAGAATAAACCCTGTACATAAATATTATATTAGTAAATAGTAATTACGTAGTAAATATATATCAAGTATAATTTTATCCAAGGCTGCAAGTTACTAATGAAAACATATAATATGTATATGCAGTGGCGTGGCAAACTCAAACATTTCTAGAGGCGAGTATCATGACTCACCCATTGGCTATACATTTACTATATACATGAAGATTTAACACTGAGTTTTTGTCACTTCCTTAAAAATTGTTATATAAGTAGGCATATACATAGACCCCTTAAAAAAAGTCGGAGGTGACTGACTCTCGATTACCCCCTTCGCTACGCCTGTGTAAACATTATGTGCAAAGTATACAATTTTGGAGTTTTCTATAATGGCCGGACATTTTATTAAATACCCATTGTATATAATATTGAGCAATATAGATTTTGTAGGTAATATTAAACCAATATTTTTTTTAATAAACAAAAATAAACTTCCGTACTTAAGTACCATCTAAATGAGGCATATGTCATAGATATGATTGTAGTATTTATTATAATAATAATTTTTATTTTGGATACCTAAAAAACCTTTGAGGTATATGTGAGGAATGTACAAATCTGGAATCTGAAGTTTTATAGATATTGAAATCAGAATCCTACAAACCTGAAAAGTAATTTCGATAATATTCTTAAAAACATGGAAAGTACAAATCTGAAATTCCAGATCTTTACATTCAAGGTTTACACGTTTTCATTGTTACTATGCTTACAAATTTTATCATATAATATTGATTTTGTGAAAATTATAGTATAGTACTATAAATAATTAATATATATATATATATATTTGATATAATATTATATATTATATACATCAATAGTAAACTTTGTTTATATAAACCTTTATAACAATAAATTAAAAAGGCACAGAAAAAATGTAATTTAAACAGTTATAATATTCAATTTCTTACAAACATCTATAAATATTATAACTATTACATATATATCTGAAATGACAGAAAGTAAAATAGAATTAGGACACTACGCGATCAAAATATAATTATGTAATAAGTTCCAAAAAGAATGAGAAAATTTTTAAAAAACTTGTGATGTAATATAGGTTAGACATTCAGACCAAAGACGGGACGACTAGAAATTGACTACCTATCTAGGCTATGCATTATTTTAGTTATTATATTATAAATTTATTCAGCTATAAAATGTTTGTGTTTAAACAATAGTCTTTTTTTTTTTTTTTTTTTTTTTGTTAAAATAAACCTATATATTTATCACGATTTACTTTGTTTGGTAATATATAACTTGATACAGAAGTATACGCAAATTTCTAATAGCTATTTATCTAGAAAGTATATTGTATTTATTTGTATCAAATTTAAATTACAATATTTTAGTTCAACATGCAAATATTACTAATTAAAAGTTAATGCATATTCATGCCGTTAAATATCTATTTATTTTTTTTTATTACACAATTTATTTTATATAAGGTTATTTGACTTATTTTAATATCGTGGTAAGTAATATTTTTAATTCAAGAATATTAATACAACAATATGATTTACAGGACATCTATAAAAATCTGTAATGTACAAATCTGTAATCCAAAGTTTCACGGATATCGAAATTGAAACCGAATTTACTTGGAATGTAAAAGTTCGGAATGTAAAAGTTCGGAATGTAGAAATCTGGAATAGCTCTAATTGTGGGGAACAGCTCGCTACGCCTCTCAGCTAGAGTTGCCATTTCAAGTACCACTGGGCAGCCCTTTTCATAGAGGGCAATAAAAGGACAAGGACAACCTAACTTAAATCTAAATCTGAGTATACCTCAAGAATGATAGTGTTCTAAGCTTCGTATTATTTTATGAAATTTAAAAATTTCACTTTCCAGATTTTCTGGACTTTTACATTACAGATTTGAACATTATGGACTTACATGATCCAGGTTTGATTCGGTTCAGATTCCGATAACGATAAAACTCAAGATTCAAAATTTAAACATATCGAACTTTTAAATTCCACATTAGAACATTTAAGATTTTTACGTACTCCTATGATTTAATATACCAATATATAATGAATTATATCAATATTTAGCAAGTTGTATAATATAAAAATAATATTATATAATACATTTTTACTAAAATCATTAATTATTTTAAAATTGTTAAGTATTTTTAAAAAACTATAGTCATTTACAAAAATAATGATATAGTAAAAAAGTTCTATACTTTATCAAGGTTTTCAACAGTATAATGTTTTAGAGGCAAACTATTTATAAAGACGTAGTTATAGATAAATCACATTTTTTTTTTAAATTTCTGCCTTTCTTATCAAAACGGCGTAAGTCGGACACCTTTTTGTCTCGGTAACCCGGCTACTATTAAACGAGGACGCTTTGCACAAATCATCGTATATTTAAACAATAATAATATATAGAATTCTAGGTTAGAACGGGCGGTGGCACAGATCACCATCGGCCGATTCCGGACCTGCTAATTTTAACGCAGCTGCCAGCCATAACGTTAACCTCTTATAATAATTTATCATCGACCTACCACGTTTTGAATGCTGAAAAATATGTCGTATTTGTTCGATTACTTATCAATATTAGGAACACCAATCCATAAAAAAAAAAACTAAAAAATACAGAAAGAAACCTTTAAAAAAACGTATAGCAAATAATTTCTTTTCTTTAGTACATATTATTTTCTCTACAAATAACGTAATTTTCAATTTATGTATTATATTATTATGTATAAATAAGGAGCAAATTCATCGTATCACCAATTTTTTTTTTTTAAGTTTTATTAGTGATACTAAAATCAACGAAATTAACGAATTTTGAACGAATATAATATATTAAATTTATTTTTTTATGTAGAGGTGACTGTTCTATTTGCTCCCCGATGTAATTATAACATATGTATGTACATCATATTTATATTCAAATTAAATTTATGAACTACAAAAATATTCTCAATATTATAAGTGATGTATAAACACTAAAAACATCATATATTACATTTGTTTTTATCTAAAACTTTCTAACATATTATATACGTTTGTTATGGTAAGTACTAAGTATTAAATAGTAGTTGTTTCAACGTATTTTATCGGTCTGGCCCTGATATGATGTCAGAAACGTCAACTCCTCGACTGATACGGAGTCCTTGGCACGTCTGTACAACAAGCTCTTTATCATTTTTATTTTTAATGATTCGTAGTTATTTTTTATGACTTATAATAATAGCAAAAAAGCATAAAGTGAAGGATAATATTTTTGAAAATGCGCCATCTATAAGATTAGATAAATTAATTAGATTGACGGTAATCAATTAGCCTCAATATGATAATATCCAATATAAATTTACTTTACAATTTTAGTTTTTACTAAAAATAACAAGTGTTTTAAATTTACATATCGGATATATTTTTCATTTTAACAATTGAAAATTAATTTAAATTTTAAATGCGAACCAAATGAACAAAGAAAAATTAATGATTTATTTGAAAACCCTGTGAAAGTACACAAGGACAAAAAAAAAGCAAAGAAAAACTTCAGACCCCTTTCACCTGTCTCTTTCTCCAAAAGAGATCGACACAATTTCACGAGTACTTACGCAACAATGGTTACGCGTGCTAATGTTAAATCAACTATAATATAGGTACTACTCGAACCAGAAACATAGCATTGTTTAGTAACAAAAAAATTAGGTTAAAAAATGAATATAAACAATTTTAATAGTCGATTTTTAACATCCAACAATCAATAAATTTAACTGATTGTTTATTTTTCAAAAACAGCAAGTTTATATGTAAACAATATACGTAGCTACATTTATTATTAAAAATACCTTCCTAAGTATACTTATTAAAATATTTAAATAAAACATAAACGACTTACGACATGATGGGCAGATAAGTGTCAAATCAAAATCTAGTTGTGTTCTGTAATAAATAAAATGCTTACATTAATTAATAAGTTTTAAACTATATATATACAATGTACATTTTTTTACATTTTAAAAGTTTAAACATCATCAATTTTTGGATTGCCGCTGAATAAAATGGAGCACATGTGGTCCAAATTATAATTTAGTAACTAGGTCAAGGTTTCCGACAAACATAAAATTGTATAGCTGCAAATGCAACATATGCCATACATCAGCATATTTGTAAAGTTTTAAGTACTATATATTCGATATAGGCTTAAAATCGATAAAACTTTTTTTTTTTTTGTAAACGAATGTTACGGTCATTAAAATTGGAATTCATTGATGGGACTGTTTTTATAATGCAGAAAATTAATGTAATCAATTCTGTGTTTGTACTTGTGCATGTTAATAGTGTTTTAGATCCTTAGAAAGTGGCCTAGAGAGATTTACCATGCTATAATAAACATAGAGAACTAAGAGACCTCCAAACGGAGGAAGAGTTAAAAATATGAAGGTTGAAGGTGTTTCCTGCTGCTACAGGGCCAAGCACTTTCCATTATATTACATTTAAACTCATAATATTCTACTCCACATAAATTTTTTTTCAGATTGATTATTCTCAGGGCTATAAATACGAAGGCAACTAATATCAGACTTATACTTCAAGATAGCATTCAATAAATGTAAATATTCCTAACGCGTTTTGTATTTGCAATCAACATTAACGTGTATTAGTTTCATTTATCAATGTAAAAAGCACGACTAATGGATCATACAACTTTTGTAATGATTTAGAGTATATTTTTCTTTAAACTTTGGGTTTTAGTTATTTTGACTTTTTATATTACCGTGTTTCTGTAATTTTTATAAGACTCAGATTTTAAAATTCTAAACATTTTCATACAGTTATGAGTTCAACATCATAATAATGTTCCATACATTTATAAGTATTAAACTATTAAAATAAAATATTAAAAAATCATTAATAAATATGGAGCACATGATTGTATAATATAAATTTATGTGAATTAAAATTAATTTAATCTTTAAAATAATATATATCATTATAGTATATACCTTGATAACATATGATTTTTGTCATTCAATTATAACGTTTATCTGAGAAAAAGTAATCAAAATTGAATATCAACTATAGTTATATATATATATATATAATTAAATTAAATAAATTGTTCAGTTATTAAATTATTAGTGATTTTTATTATGTTAGCTACATATATTATTGAATCGCCTATTTACACAATTGATAGTGTGAATTTGTCAAGGACTGTTTGGTTCAAATCTATTAACAACTGCGTGTCTGGTAATGTTCCATAACCATTAAAATGTTTAAAAAGTGGTTAAATAAAGTGATTGTTGCTATTTAATACTAAACAAAGTTTACGACATTATTATTTATTATCAAGAAATTAATTTATTTTAAATTATTACCTATACTAATCAACTCCATTCTTCTCCACGTATAATATACATCATGACACTTTAAATAACTAAATTAAATGTTTTATTTTGACACTATATATAATATTATACACCATTTAAGGACCTAATCAGAAGGTTAAAATATAATTTTGGATGATCGCTTTCTAATAGAGAAATACGTATAAATATTGTTCAACAATGATAGTTGGTGAGAGTTTTATACATATATTTTACAGAGAAATGTACCATAGTGTTACGATAATGACGCTAGAAATGAAGCTGCCTGCTGTAGAAATCGGACGTTTTCTCGACTTTCCCATTCACCCAAACGCTATAAGGATACTTAAAATATGGTGGGCGTTTTGAAGAGCTTGTACAGTCATACAGTCGATGGATATACTTATTTAAGTTACAAGTGTGTCTATCTAAATAACACTAATATAACCTATTTTATCTACAAGGTAATATGTAAGTCAATATTGAAAACGAGAATATAATAATAATGATAATAATAATATAATGGACTGTTATCAAACCTAACATAAAATTATGTTTATCTACAAAGCTATAATATTCATTACAATGAAACGCATTGACATAATATTATGTTGTGTGTTTATCAACACAAATACATCGAAACATCCTACGTACCGAGGGTCAAATGTATAATCATGAAAATATCAATGGACTATTATATAACAACTGGTATTCGATAGTAGTATACAGACCATACGTACTTGAACATAATACTGCAATCAATATATTATTCTAGTGGGCTAAGGTATTTTTCCAAATATCACCATATATTTCACCAGAAAACTACTATGAATATATTATAATAAAACTATTTTGACAAATCCAAATAAATACAAAAGTAATTAAACTGTTTAGGTAATAACGTTGTATTGTTATATATAATTAGAATAGGTAATATGCGACACCATTACACGATGTGCTTTTGACCAGTGGAAATTAAAAAACTAGTTATTTGACCAATATAAAATATAACATATATTCTATTTACTATATTATAATATAGAGTTAATTGCGAGCCATTTTATATTCAAAAATAAATTTAACGTGTTAGACATCATACAAATAAGAGTAATAACAGTACGTATAGAGATATTTTAAAATAGTGCTGTACCTATATAAACAAAAATATTTAACTTGAAATTGAAACGCTTGAAAAACCTATTTATTTAAACCATGATAATATATGCGTGTATATTATAAAAGAAAATTTAGTTTAAATAAAATAGTATACTTATGACGGAGCATTTAGATATTTTAAATAGATATAATAAGTATATAGGTACCCATACATATACATAAAATAGATGGAAAGCTGGAAGGAAGTATGTAGTTTAATAAGGATATTTATTGCAGAAATGAGAACGATGCGAAGGTACAATGTGAAAATCATGTTCTGCTCAAATAATGCACGAACGGCTATTTATTTTCGTCTATTGTTCCGATTTTGTTCGTCGGCAGTGTTAGAGGCGGAAGTTTAACCGCATTATTCTAACCTAGATGCTGGGTATATTATAACGCGTACGCACCAGAACTCTCTCTGGTGTATCCATCGGGCGTCGGCGGTGGCGGTTTGGTGTACTCACTGCCGGGTATTTCGTAACATCTGCCCTGGCCGCCTTTCTTTTAATTTCGAAAGCTGCCGTTAAACGGACTTAGCTTTCACAAAATTTGAGACAAAACTAATATAATATATAAAGCCTTTCCCTCCACAAAGCTTAATACCAAATGGCAACCATAATATTATTATTATTATTATATGCATAACGGAATATTATAAACATTCAGACTTTACCCTCTGGTCATGTTTAACAAGTTATTATCATTTTCAAAAAAAAAAATAATACAAATTGTAATTAAACACAATTATGTTGAGTTAGAGAAAGTATAATAATTATTGGGCTTCGATTTTAAATTATTAAAAATAATTCAACGGATTAAATAATGACGTCACGAGGTATAAAATAAAGTTAAACTTACATGGGATAGATTTACATTAGGTTAGGTACTTTAAACATTTTGATACGTAGGTATACGCAAAATATAAATATACTATAATATATTTTGTTAAGTACAACAATTAATTAATTATAAGTCACGGTTGTTACGTTTTTGGATTGTTAACTAACAATTGTACATTGTTTTGTACTTATAAAAGATGTTTGATGCGTATACAAAATTAACCAGAAGTTTTATTTTAGTTAGTAGTTTAAAAGTACTATATTAAACTTTAATCCTTATTATATACAGAAAGCTCTTGATGAAAAAAACCTTCAATCTGAACTCCAATAAGTTCTAACAATGAATTTAATATATAATTAAGACCAATCAAATATACTGCATTGAATAATAATAATAATAATAATAATAAAAAGCTATCCACTTGAAACGTAATCATTATATTCCACGATTCCAGGACTATAATACACAAAATCGTTGTAAGATGAAATTTATAAAATATTATTTTATTTAACAATTTGTAATAAAATAGGGTTAGTACTTTTTACAACCATGTATCAACTCTCAATAATACTGTCTTTACACATGTTTAACATTGAAAATACATAAATAAATAACTACTATAGATACACTGTATAAAACAGGTCGGTAATAATATTATAATATTATATTGTATGCTGATCAAATGTTTTTTTTTTTTAATAATGCAAATAATTTTGTATATTAACGTTGTGGGAAATTGTATTACTTAATATACTTTCATAAATATTTGTCTACTAAAAATAAAAGATTCCGGCCCATGACAATACAAATAATAGGTACAATATTCATATTTTCTCTAAATACATTACAATATAATATCATTATCGTTCACAGAACTAATAAAATAATCGATTTATCTATCGATTAGGTACTATAATAGATATACCTACATAATAAAATCAACACTATCACATTAGTTAGGTGTTCAATACTTCAATGATTAAACGATTTTATTCCATATATGTCAAATAAGATGCATTACAATTTATTATTTTATAATAAGCCCGTATTGAAATGTTACCGGTAATAATATTATAATATATTCGAAATAGAAAATTAGCGCCACGTGTTTTCTTCTAGCCACGTGCTGTCCACTATATGTAAAAGTCCTTGTAAAGTTCGATCGTCTTCATTGTTAGCCTTGTATTTAGCGTTTGTAAGTCTTTCCCATTGTGCGTTGGACCAGACCGGAGTCATTTTACGACGACGCCGTCGTCGCCGTTGGCCGACGCGGGAAGAAAAAAAAAATAAGACATTTATATTCACTTTCACTCTTATGTGCGTTCGTCTCTTTCCCTCTCTACTTTTAGACCATCATATCGTTATACAAAATACACCCGCCGTACGAGAAGTTCCTCTGTTCATAATAATATTTTGAGCTCTGATTAAAAACACATTATGCGACCTCAACGTTCTTATAACGCAATGAAAAAATGTCCAGTATACGATTATAATATTACATACCTACCTGTTCACAACACACATCTTCTCTTTCGTATATTATAATATAATATTTTACATGTGGCATCGAAAACCCTAAACAAGGCTGACGATAGTAATTCATTAATACCACAATAATATACTAATATTCTGAAGGGAAAATTGTTGTAAATTTATACAGTCATTAAAGTTATTTCATACATATGTATATTTATAAACACAATAACAAACAATATATATTATTAGAATATTATAATAACATTAAATTACGTGTCAAACATATTTATTATAGTATTATATTATATTATAGACACTGAAAAATTGTGTTTATGTTTAACATTTTGCTTTAATTGTTTCAATACTAATACTACTATTATAATGAATTTAATGACATAAAATGTTTAAAACATAAACATAATATATAAAGTATCTAATATTAAAATACATTGTTCAGAAGTTTGATATTTTATGTCTTACGGTAATACGGTTACAATATATTCAACGTGAAATAAATAACTCGTATTATTTGAAATATAATAAAAAAACAGTATGGTTCTCAACCGGTGCGTTTTTTTTTTAATATTATATTTTTAATCAATATTATTTGGTACTAAGTGGGTAACCATTAATTTAGACGTAAATCAAGATATCAGCGTGAATAAAAATCAGTAAATTCGATTATAACAAAATAAACGACGTTTGCTAAAATACATCAAAATACTCACATTCAATTGATAAATTCTAAATCATAATTATTTATAATTTTTGAAAATTATCAAATAAAATAATATAACATAATAATCTAATTAAATACTAGCTTTCACAATTTCACAAGTTAATATAATATACATTATTATAATATTTTGTAACATCGAACACTAATATACAAGTATAGAATGAATAATATAATATTATACAAATCCAATATTAAGTACTTAGGGACGATTTAGTTTTAAAAGTAAATAATATTCACAAGAAAAATGTAAGAAGTATGATTTTTAATTATTATGAAAATTCCTGGGAAAATCAAAAAATGACCTACTTCAGATTTCCTTTCAGAGAAAGTGCTACGCTTGAAAATCGCAGCAAAATTGTAAGGAGAAAAGTTATTCTTTTCTCCTTAAAAATAAAAATAAATATCATTGTAAAACCAATACATTCCTCGTTCCACTCAGAATTTAAAAAGAAGCATCTATTAAAGGTTTTTTAAGAGTCCAGAAAAATTTTGAAAATCCGCCACTGCATATACATATTTATATGATATTAAAACAAAAATAATAAAAAACCAAGTACCTATATTATTTATAATACATAAATTTATTGAAAAACACAATTTTAAACAAAGTGATGATAGGTTAAAACTTAAGGCAAGGTAAAACGGCAGGTGAGAACGCGATAGGGACTTAAGTATGTAAGATATCATTTATAAAATAACAATGGATATTTAAGAAGAATGGGATTGAAACACAGGATTAAGCGAAGAGAATCACGGAGGTGCTATGCGATAAGCGGATTCCGATTGACCTGAAAGGTAAATTCTACAAAACTGCAGTAGTGGGACCGATGATGTTATATAATACACAAAGATGAACAGAGAGCAGAAAGATAATGTAGCAGAGATTATAATTTGCTTAAATGATGGATGAGTGTAGTCACTAAAGAATGGAAAGAATAAGGAATGCGTTTTTAAAGTCGTTACAAGCGTTATGTCAGATAGTACATGAATGATAATGGATTGAGGTGGTTGGAGCGTGTGATGAAATGAAATGAGTTAAAAGCTGTAAGGGTAGTTTCGCAAATATATGTGGAAAGAGTAAGGGTATATAATGTAGCAAATGTATGTGGCAGGAAGACTAAAAAATAGATAGTCGAATACGATTTAGAGTAAATAGGAATATATATTAGGGTGTGCACAGATGATGTAAAAAATATAGAGCCAAGGTGGTTAATCTCAAAATAGTTCAAGTTGGAAAAGATGAAAAATTACTATTATGTATAGATACAAATTCATTGAAAAATCAAAGAAAAATTAACAAATTGTAAAAAAAATATATTTTATTTTTATGATAACAAAAATATAAACTATAAATGTTATTATATAGAAAATATAGGAATTGAATGGTACACAATTGTTTTTTAACGTTCCTGAATTTATAATATTTGGTAATTAGTATACTTACAAAGGTATAATAACTCGCAATCACAATACAGCATGATCTTTAAATAATTATATAATATATAACTATTTATAGATCATAGATATACTCGTATAATATATATCTCTCAAGTCATAGATTTTCCTTTTTCCACTCTATAAATATATAATATTATATATATACACATAATTGAGTTCTTGAAATAATATAATTGTGTTATTTGAATAACATTTTACTTGAACTCATACCTAAAGAATTCGTTAAAAATATAAACAAAACTATGTAATTAAATAATAATTCCAATGATTTAATTTATTTTAAATAATTACATTCCAACTACTGATATACCTAGTTAAAATGTATTAATAAGTCTGCAAGTCTTCTAATGACATATTAACCCATATAACTACATTTTATATCAATTAAATTTAAATAACCATATTAATAATTAATTTTACATTAACAGAATTGCATTCTGCAAAAAGGAACACATCATCAAATTATGTCGTTACTGTAACACAAGTAATATAGCAAAGATAGAAATTTTAAAAATTATGAGTCATACATCGAAATGGCACAAAACGTTAATACTAACCTAAAGTCTTGACCAAACATAATTCTCTCAATATTTTAGTTTTGAAAATAGCCTATACGTTATATTTTATTTATAAAATAAGCCTATAAATTACCTAAACATTAAAATATTAAACACTAAATAAATGGATTACTCGAATATAGAAGGTAAAATTCATCTTTATATTTAAACAGATTTAAAGTTTTAAAGTTCATTATTCAAATATCATTCGTCCAGGACTGTGATATTTTTGTAACAAATTATAATAAATTCGAGCTAAATGTCCACTGTTTAAAGTCAGTTATACACACGAAAACACAATTACGTATTATATATTGACTTCTAATTTGAATGCCATATATGATAATTAAAAGTTAATATCGTGTTCTAAAACAAATTTTTGTAACACTCAAAATTAAAATTAATTAATTTAAAATTTTCGATCTTGAAAAGACGTTCTAAGATAATGAGGTCAGGTGCGGCCACTGTTAGAGGTAATTGAATCTAAGCAACGATAAACAATTTCTAACGAAAAAACGATTCTGAACGCAGTTCAGTTGATAGTTATGCTTTGTCAACAATATATATATATATATATGTTATATTATGGTAAAATAATTAAATAGGCATTACATACTTTCTTTAATAATATTTATTTAATATTGTCCGATTTTCCTGTTTATCCTGCGTTTTTCTCATTTTTTCCCGGTTTTTCATATTTGTTGGGAAAATGACCTCCTCAAATTACCATGAAGATTAAATTTCCTTTCAGAAAATAAGCTAAACTTGATACATCGGAGCAAGATTTTTGGTAGAAAATTTTGCACAACAAATCGAGGGGTATTTTGCAATTAAAATAGTCTGTGTGAGCGATAACTTGAGTCTCAAGGTATACCCAAAATACATTTGTTTTAGATTCTGAGTGAAGCGAAGAAGTTTATAATTTTACAAAGATGTTTTTTTTTTAAATTTTTTTTTTTTTATCTGTGCGCAACTTTTCTACTTGAAGACTTACTCGAATTTCTATGTGTAGTACCTTTTCTGAAAAAAAAATCGTCACGGGGAGGGTACTTAAAGAGGTCATTTTTTGATTTTCCCAGAAAATAAGAAAAACCAGGTAAAGCATGGGAAAACAGGGAAAATTGTAAGAAAACTGAGAAAATTGGTACAATATTGAACTAATTTTATTTAAGAAAATACATAAAGCCTATTTAATTATTTTAATACAAAATGACTTATATATTGTTGACAAAACATCACTGAACTCTGCTCAGAATCGTTTTTTCGTAAGCAATGGTTTATCATTGCTTACAGATATACATTAAATTCCTATCTACATCCTACCTTCCCACCTACACCAGTGAATGCACCCGTCCTAATTGTCTAACCTTTCTTTTTTTTCCTTGTTTAAGTAAAAGGAGAAAAAAAATGGAAAAAATTTGTTTTTGAAACACGAATTCAAACTAGCAAACTCTTGGATGAAAAAAGGTGTGTATAACCATTCAATCGTGACAAACATCCTTTAGAGAAGACAATATTTAGTTATTTAATATAATATATAATATTTGCATAATATCAGAAATTTAAAAAGCTATAATTTTGAAACTTAGTCAGTCCGCTCAATTCTGACTTCACCATTGTTCTTAAATCGACAATAAACTAATGTCAAAAAAAAAAAATTGAAAAATTAGATTTGTTACACAATATTTTTCGTCAACATTTGATATTAAAATTCCTCATAAAAAAAAAATACTACATTAACCTCATTTTTTTTTTTTTTTTGCCACAAAGTAGGACTCTTAATGAACCTCCTGTTAAATTTTCAAACATTTCTATTAAACCTAAAAATTTTACCACAGAGTACCTACCGAATAAAAATTACGTACAAAACTCGCAAAATTTAAATCTCTATAAAAAGCTCAAAAATGGCTTAAATTTTTTGAAAATGTTACCATGTCTATAAAAGACAAATATAAGTTTTCTATCAAAATTTCAAGTCTCCATGAATATATTTAACTACTTATATTTAACTAACTTTTTCTTGCGTTTTATCCTGGCTTTCCCCAGATATTATGGAAACCAGAAAAGATGGAAAATATAAATGTGGAAAGTCAAAAAGTAACCTCCCAAAAGTATCATCTGGACAACATTCCCTATCAGAAATCGTTCCGCGCATTAATATCTAAACAAGATTTCTGATCAAATGTATACAGTTTAAAAAAAGAAAAAAACATCTTAGTAAAACCAATACATTTTTTGCTACACTCAGAATCTAAAATTATGTATAATAAAATAATACAATTATATAATAATTTTTCTTTTACATTCATAAATCGCATTGGTTTGAAAATATATATATGTATTTGGTTAATGTGCATACTAATTGAAATTATTATCTTTCATTTACTTAAAAACGTAGAGTAAAACATATCTCTCTATTATACAATCATGTGACAACAAACGAGTTAAAAATATTGAGAAAAAATGAAACACGAAAAATGGAAAGTAAAATAATATAGGTATTTGTTTATTAATTATTTAAAAGTACATAATATATATGTATTTCAAATACTAATGTTGATAACATGTATTGAGTAATAGGACTTACACAAATAATCTAGTCTCTATTACTCACACTAAATGCTTAATATTAAACAGTGAATTTTAATTTTACGAACATCATTGTCAAATAAATTCCTGTCAGTATTCTCTTTGATATCTCTATTATAACCTAACCAAATTATGTATTACATCTATAATTTTGGATTTAATTCTATATAATTGTATATATTTATGTACTGAGATCTTTTAATTTTGGTTGAGAAGCATTTAAAGTTTAAAAATCCCCAATTTATACTTATAAATTCTTTATGGGTCATAAAAAATAATCTATCAGTTTTAAGGTTTTTTAATGGGACGAGGAGGAATTCTAATCAAGTTTTTAAGTTTTAAGGTTTATAAACAAACATATATCTACTAATTATACTATAAGAAAAAAATAGCGAAATAGGGAGACAAGAGTTTAAATGTCGAATTTGAGCACGGCACATCGCATATACATACACATAAACTAACATATACTAACATATGGCTAACAACTCGAGTGTAATAAATGATATCCATCGTGTTTAAACTAAAAATAACAATGCACCACAACGCTATCCTGAACTGAGGTGAGTGAAGCGTTAAAACAAGAGCTGAAGTGAGTATCCAATGTCTGTTACAGTGTTGAACTGAATATTATTTTTTTATTTTTTAAATATAAGGTTATTATTTTTTCAGTATATTAGTTTTACTATTTTAATTTCTGTTTTCTAAAAGTTGTTCGAATTATTGACGTTCAATGTTGCACAATAGCGAAAAAGCAAAAAAATAAAAATAATAAAAACGATTTTATCCGTCCCAAAATATATTATGCTTATATTAATCTAATTTAAACAAATTCAGGGGACATGTACTTATAGTATCTAGAGGCGGTTATAATAACGTATTCGATAATTTGATCCGGCTTCTTAAGTACCTATATAATATAATATCCTTCTCATCAAAGGCCGCCACACACACTACGGATGATTTAGAACGTCTAAGGCCTTCTTGTATAGCAGCTGCTCTGACCCATTCGACCTCGGCACATTATTAGGGTCCAGTCATACACAACCACTGTCTGCTCTTTGTTGTCTTAAGGACGCAACTACACAAAAATTTAAAATAAAACATACATGTGCAAATTTATTACTAAGCTGCAGTTGTGTGTTCACGCGTCTGCCAAAATAACGGTTTTATTTAAAGACAGGTGAACACAAAAAATAAAAACAAAATAAAATCATTCATGCGTTTTCTCCAATTATTTTTCGAAAGTCTTAGAAAAACTAATCATCATATAGAAATTATGATTAGGAAAAAATGCAAGGGCGAAATTACTGAAGAAAATTTATTAATTTAATATACCTAATAGTTGAAAATGATGTACATATTATTATACGTATATATATTTACTTTACAATAAAAAATATGATTACAAATTATTAGGGAACAAAGATAATAGAGATAAAAGCTATGAAGAAAAACATTTTTCACGGCCCTTTAATAAGGTAAAATTTAAATTCATATTTTTAATAAAATTGTTTCATAAATTATTTTAGAATTAAAACCAGGTAGATATTTAAAACAAAAAATTAAATTATAAAACTGAAACAAGTAAAAATACCTCAGTAGATTTACCGTTTACCTAATAACCTATATATGCGTATATAATGTATTTGTTAGATGTTTTTTTTTTTTTTTTATTTGCGAAAACCAATTGGATGTTTATGGGGCACAATAGACGCAGATAAAGTAAAAGGGCTGTGGGTGTTAGGACAGAAAGACGGACCTAGTTAACACCGGTTTCGAGAACGAGGTCATCATTGACTTATGGTAGAGCACCTGGCCGACCCGACACAAATACTCTAAACGGAGCTCCATTATTCTACATTTTCTATCGGACCAACCAGTGCAATTTACGAGTATTCAAATCTTTTGTCTTTCAAGCATTATACATACTATTACTCAACTTCGAGTTAGATCGATATCTTTAAAAGAAATAAAAATATGAACTGCATAAATAAACCTCACAGAAGTTGGCCAAAAAAAAAAAATAATAATAAAAATAGTTAGAATATTGTATACGTATACTTGTGTCAAAATAAAATGCTGAATGATTATTAAACAAAATTAATAAACCAAATAATACTAATACTAGTTAAATAAATAAATTGAGTATTTTTATTTTTTCTAATACAAGTAAATTAGATGTATATAAATTCACGTTATCACAAATAATTAAAAAAACAAACGGACATACTTTGTACGGTGGGTGGGCCACTGTTGTAGGTGAGAAGTTGGAAAGATAGAGGGGAAACTTAATGTATACCTGTACGCATTATTGCTAACGAAAAATGATTCTTTGGAAAATTCAATTATACATGTTTTAAAAAGCAGAAATATTTACGCTTTTAAAATAATACATTTCGTACAATTTTCTGTTTTTCCTACGTTTTTTTCTCATTTATTATGAAAACTCATGGGGAAATCAAAAATAATCTAAAGAACCCCAGTTAAAGTTCATTTCAGAAAAGTGTTACACTTGAAAATCGGATCAAAATTACTAGTAGAAAAGTTGTTCATAGAAAAAAAAATAAACATCATTGTAAACCAATATACATATTCCAGCTGCGCTCAGAATCTAAAACTGTACCAACACTGATTTACTGTCAACCGCATAACCGCTATAAGTTACGATGTTCTACAGAAAAAATGTACATTATATATGAATTAAATAGGTTAGTGTGATAATTTTACCCTATAGTAACCACGATAATATTTAAAACGAACAATAAACTAACGATAAAGTCTTGACGAAGCACACCAATAGGTATCCTTAACACGCACAAACAAAATTTAGATCATACCTACAGGCTACATTAACTCTTGTATTTTGTATTTCCTACATATACCAAATATATTTTAGGCACACAAACATTGAAATACATCTTATAATAACAATATTATACAAACATACGCGTACAAACATTTGATTCGAAGAGAGGTTAACTGTTTGATAAGAGGGCAAATAAACGCGACATGTAAAATACTTTCTAAGAGAAATGCGGTCAACGCGTGTGTTGGTAAGTAGGGAGGTCGAGCGTTGTGCAAAACACCGGCTGGGGTTCGATTCGTTCCAAATTTCACGCGCCTGTCTCTTTACCGTCATTTCGGTCAAGCCCCTACAATATTCGATTTATTGCCATCTCTCTTCTTATAAGTTACATAACGCGCGCAGACTTTATAATTTAGAGAAATCTATACTCATACATATATATAATAGTAATACATAAGGTAACGAAATGTATAATATTATGTTATTTTACTTCTATACAAATTTAACAAATTAAAAAAGTTATAATATATTTTACATGTATTGTACGAAAAAAATGTATATATGATAGCGTATATTTTATTTTAACATCGTAGACATTGTTTTTAGTTAGTTTTATTTAATATTTACAAAAGCTTTAATTAGCAACAAAAAAACAAAAACGAGTTTCTTGTTATACATAATATTATACGGAACAACTATATTTTTTTTTTATAATTACTTAATAACTTAAAACGTTAAAAATAAATATGTTATAGATTGAAAACTGGCCATTTACACTCAACTTACAAGGCGCTATATTATATTCAATAATCAAAAATTATTCAATGAAATTTAAATTAACACAGTTAATATAGTTATAGTTTTTAAAAAACATAATTTAAGTGTATGTATATAATTATTATTTTTCGACTACCTCTACTGGTTTTAAAACCACTCCAGTGTTAATTGATATATATTTTAGATAATTGTATTATAGGCCATGTATTAATATTGTATACCAGGTAATAAAAAGTATTGATTAAATTAATAATAGATAAATAAGTAACATATGAACGAAAAAATACATAGAAATTTAAAAAAAAAAAAAAAAGGGGGGGGGGAATAATTGTCACGTGTTGAGTGAACGCTGCCTTAACATATTATAATAGCCGTTATTTGATCTTCTAAAGTTTCATTACGCACGTCCTCCTTGTAACAATGTACCACACACCCATAAATCCGTGACATTATTTTTATCAAACGTATGTATACTGTGTTAGAGGTCCCAGCTCATTCTTATGCTAATATAGGTAACAGATAGATACGGTCCAAACCACGAACAAACAGTATAAAAGTTATATGTTTACCAATGCATGACAGAGAAATTAGTCATTTATCATTGATTTTGAAACGAGGTAGACAGAAAATTAGGAGACCGTATACTTATTATTATTATCACGGAGCATAGGATACCTAAATTGAAAAAGAATATATTTCTGTTTCCATAATTTGCATTAATAGAAGAGGTTTACATAATTTTAAAAATATCTATACGTACACGAAACTAAGATTTTAAATACTCAATAATTTGATAAAAAAAAATAAAAATTTTGTACTAGGTATATATAAGTAAATATAAGTTAATTACTAATATGACCAGAAATAGGTTACCACTGCGATTCACAAATTTTGCATTAATTCATTAAGTATGTATTTGCATAAACAATTAAAAACGAGTAACGGCATAATTTGTTAATTTTCCAGTTTTTATTTTAGATTTAAAACGGGAAAATAAAAAGCAAATGATTTTTTATAATACTTTTGTTTTATAATATTCAAAATAAGAATACCGATGTACTTTCTTTTTAAAAATGTATAGCTTAAATATTATCTGTATGACATTTTTTTTATATATATATATAATATATAAATATGTTAACGGTTATTTTTGAAAGATTAACCATTTTATAAATACACAGTTAATAGCATTTTATTCTACGTTTGACAAGTTTCGACGTATTGTTAGCAATTAAAAACTCTTTACTAATCACGAATAGTTTTTAAAATTTTAAATTAAAACATATTATCCTGTACCGAAGTAAATATAAATTCCAACATTATATTATATAATATGTATCGACCGCTCTATTAAATAACAAATTATATTCTTGTCAAATTTTTTGTAATTCCGTTTAAAATGCAAAATAATAATTCAAATTAGACACCGTATCATAATAACGTCATATATGGTTGTACAACACGAAAAATTATTATTTTTTTATTGTACATAAAGAATTTTGAAAATCGATATTAAAATAAAAATATTATTCATTATGATTTTTAAATAAAAATAACTTATTTTCTTTTTACTAAATAATAATGGCGAAAAAAAATATTTTTTGCAATTTATTTCATTTAACATGTATGATAACACAGTTATATAGTAGATAGTAGGTATATAATAATGACGTATAAATCTCTTATAACTACTAATTCAATTTAAAATAAAAGTAGGTATATAAATAATTTTCTAGACCAACACAATTTTTTTTTATTAATTTTTTTTTTTCATAACAACAATAATGCATATTCGTAACCCTAATCATACAATATTAAGTCCACCAGCTGATGCACTTTAGATTAAAAATAATAATTTTTTAAATAGGTATAGTGAATAAAAATAAAAGTATCCATAATCGTATATACAGGGATAATTATGCTTGCTATCAGTAGACATGGAGTAGTGCAAAAAATATAAAAATGGTATTTCTTTAATTTAGATTTAGCTAATCTAATTTAACTAGACTCCCGAGATAATGCGTCCTGTTAACCTCATTACGTTCCACACGTTACGGACGATAGCGAGTATAGTGACTGCTTACAAGTTATAAAGAATCTATATAAAAACTAATAAATTGTAATTCAATTGAAATAAAAATGTTAAAACTAAACGGTTGCGGGGTGGCAGAGATAAATTAGTAACATACATAAAAAATACACTAGACGATCAACAAGTATTTATTTTTTTTATAAAATAATGTATTAATAATACTGTAAACAAAAAAAGACATTCATATCGATTGTCCTAAATTTACTTTAAAGCACTATAAATTACAAATACGAATTTACTTTATGGTGTTGTCGGAGTATGAAGAGTATTTGTAATTTTTTTCCCTATAAAGTCCAATTGTTAAGTTATAGAATTATTTTACAATAATATTTCAATTCGAATAGTAGCGAAATGGGACGAATATAAAGAATAATAATACTATCAGCCCCTAGTGTAAAAAACTGAGAACACGACAAAAATATGTCAATTAAAAACTCAATATATTATGTATCATAAAATAATGTTCAAGTATCTATTATATTGATTGAATAAACTATATTAGTTTGTTTATAATATACAATATGCTTAATAATCATTGACATAATATTCACAAAAACAAAATTAGGGTACCTATCTATAATAAATTACACACGAAAGGCCCCACCAACGTTAAAATCCTACGTATATTATGATATTATTTATAATATAGCCAACGGATACAAAAAAAGGTCAAATGTTTAGGTTAAATGTTATGGTAGAAAAATCAGGTTAATCACAGTAACCTGTAGATATCTGCTTGCCCCAGAATAAATCTGCGATAGCAAATAATTTAATATCCTACCGTGTCGCAACGAGATTTAATTTGACACTTATTAAGCATAATGTAATATGTACAAAAATATTTACACAATATGTAAAGGCATAATGTCTTATTTCATACTTAGGTTCGATATTCATTAATTATTTTTTATTTTATTTCAAACATCAAATATGGTATATTTTGCATTCTGGGTGGAGTTAAAATAAAAATTAGAAGTGAATAGTCGCATGTTACCTAACGTTCCGTTTAATTCAGGAATCTATGGGAAAAAAAATTCAGTGACCCCTTTAAAGTTCATACCAATTATCATGCATGTTTATTGTTTAATAATAAATAAAGTAAACCGATGTAAGTTTTAACCTATGTTTACTTGATTTACTAGTTTTTCCGGGGAACACTAATAAGTTCCTTGCTCTGTTCGGAATCTAAAAATACCGTTTTTATAAATATGTATACTTGTATAGAAATAAAATAATTGAACTAGAAATATTGCATCGAATTACATTATCAATGTTTCTAGGTTGGTATCTAACAATGGAGAAGGCAGACACACATTAGTAGATCTTATTTACTAACTGTTCCATCATGGTGACCTGAAACTGTACGACGGCAGTATTCGTACAGTTCGCGTTATTCTAACGCCCACTATTGACTGTTTGACCTCTTGAAATCGTTTCATTTGCTACAATTATTATTCAGGATAGAAAGTACACAACGGAATAATCCACTTTGGCAATTATTATAGAGATTAATACGACCTATTATAATAGACTGATGTGTTTTACTTTAATTTTACAATACCTATCAATAATTATTATTTATTGCACTAATTTAATCAATAAATTCTTTATTAATAATATAATGTTCTTTGCTTTTTAAAAGTTACCAATTTTTGTACATATTTAAAATTCTATAACAGAATATTTTCTGACAGGCGCATGTACAAGGAGAGGCGAGATCCCTCCAAATTTCATTTTGGTTTTTAATAGTTTATAATTAGTTGAATTTCAAAAGCTCATAAAAAAAATTCTTAAATTAAGCTCAATTTCTTTTTTTTTTTGTCAACAAGAACAGTTTCAATATTTCGAAAACAATAACATTTTTATAAGACGAAAAAAGTATTTGTTTAAAATGCCAGATTCCTATGATTATTATTTTATAAACTTATAAAATTATTGATATTTTTTTAGTAAAATCAGAGTCGTTTTTAAGGAAAACAATAGTGGACTGGATCCCCAAGGAAATAATTTTTTTTAGCTCTGGGCAGAAAATTCCTAATTGCAGCTCTAGATAAACTAATATATTATTTATTAATTTTATTATTGAGTGTAATTTATTATATTGAAAAAATATTCCCATAATATTTATACCTACTAAATATTAAAACAAATTTTTAGAATAAAAGCCAAGACCTTTTTTGGGTGGTTAATATATAACTGGTCAAAATTTTCAACGCACTATTTGCTATATTGAAAAAAATATATTTTGTCAAAAACCAGTTTTGCATAAGTTTACATGGTTTTTAACTAAAATACAAGTAATTTCAAAAAACTGCATCCAAAATGTTAACAGGGACATTATTGATTGAAATATTGTTTTTAAACAGAGCAAGTTACTGTTCATAAATAACGTGTTTAAATAATAGTTCTCATTATTATTAGATTACCTACTTATGAAATCGCAATGCTATTCAACCTATACAATAAGTATATTATTTAATCCCTACCAAACTTAAAATAATATTTAAAACAATATTTTTAACATGATTCACCAATTGACATAATTTAACATTTTCATAAAAGAAACAATACTATAGCTTTTAGCTATAGTACTTAAACTTAGTACACAGTATATACTTAAAACAAAATCATTGAAATTTAAAATTAGAATAGGTAATTTAATCAAACTTTATTTTACCTTTTTTAAAAATTATTTTCTAAGCTTTTGCAATTTTATCAATTTTATATTCAATATACATACCCTATGTATACAATATATAAATAATCTATATTGTTATAGGTACTGTTTATTCTTTTATATCCATGTTACAGGCAATGTGGTTAATGGTTAGACATAAGTAGAATACACATATAATGATTATAACCATGTGTTGCTTACACAATTATGTGTACAAACTCACTACTGTTATAATTGATGCATACAAAATAACTATATCACAGAAATAAAATGTATAATTTAAATAACAAAAAAATATATAACTATATAGGTACTTATTTATTTATACGGTTAAACTGAAAGTACCAGAAACTAAATTTATACTTATTGGAAGAAAGTGGTCTGTACATTTTATAATTTAGAAAAACATACTATTATAGCTTTTTTATACTATAAAACAATCATCTAATTATAATACATAATTTAGAAAATAGAACAGATTTTTATTAAGTTTATAATAATACATATATTATACCAATATAGTGTAAATGTTTTTTTTTAAATTTTATTAGGTATACAAATAATTTATGTTTAAAAACTTGAATTATACTTTAGGGCATAGATAGATTAAATTTATCATTAAAATAATAAGTTTTTAAAAAGTTGATTCACAATTTCAATTACATTTTTTAGACTAATAGTCAAAATATTAATTTATTTTTAATAATTGATGTTTTGAGTTTCCCTAAACTGTAAAATTCAAAATTAATAATGTATTTATAAAACATTTTAATGGTTCAATACATTTTATATTCAATAACTTACTTATGTATAGGAGTTTTTCTTAAATTATGTTACAATTTCTCAATTACCTATACAATATACAAGAAATGATAATATTGACAATAAATCTTATTTAAATCAAATTCAAAATTAGGTTATAATTTTACAAAACCTCTTAAAAATCAATTTTTAACAATATTAAAAAAGAAAATATTAAGATGTACAATAATAAATATACAATATGTGTGATATATAAAAAATCATGTGATAAATTAAATATGTACAGATTTGAAGATTTGTTGTATTTGGATAAGTTTTATTCTTACAAAAAAAAACATACACACTACAGTAAAAACAATATCTACATTAACCTAACCTTCTTCCATCTAAGTACTCAAATTGTAATAAGTATACAAGGTTCTGAGATGTCTATAGTAAAAGGTCGATCCTAACACAAATTTCCAATTATAAATTGTCAAAAATGATCAAAAATTACAAATGTTCATGAAAAATTGAGAATATTAAGGATATTTTGCTTTATCAAACTATATCTTATTCAGTGTTTGAAAGTTCATATTAAAAGGAAAATTTCCCATTCTTACTCTAAAGAAGGATCGGGTCCCAGATTCTTATTCCTTTAATAAGATATTTTTTTTATTATTGGGTATATATAAATAGTGTATTCCAAGCTAATTTTGTTATATTATTAATTTTGAAATACAAATACAATTACTACAAATACATTTTTAGTAATTGTTAATGTAACCAATTTGCGTTTAATAAACATAACTAATAACGCACAGTATAGTTTTACATACTACATAACGTAGGTAGAAAGCAACTGTTGATTATTCTCAGTACAACAGTAGTTTAATATATTCATTTATGATTGTAAACGGGTTCTAATAATGAAATTTAAGTATAAATGACTTTGACTTATATCGACAAATATTGTATTAATTTTATAGGAATTTCCTGGGGACAAAAAAAAATTTTAATAAAACTACTTAATAAGTGTAGTATAAATTTAAATAATTTTTAATTGTTTTGGATTCTGAGTTTAACAAGGAATGTATTGATTTAACTGTATGTGTTATTTTTTTCTGTATGTTAATATTTTTCTATTTAAAATTGTCTTCCAATCAAAAAACGATAAGTGAGCTTGGTGGTAACGTACCACCCATATAACTCTTCTTAAGTATGTCACTAATTGGGAGTTTTTAATCCATGAATATTAAAAAAAAATCAACATTATAGGAATGAGACATTATAGTGTGGACAATTAAAAAAATAGATATTATTATAGCGAGACATTATTTAGATCTTGAAATCAATATCTATAATACAGATATAGAGGCTATTATAATCTCTATGCATAAAAGAACATGTCCTAACTGACTGACTAATTTATCATCGTCTAGCCTAAACTATTCGATGGAACGGATTGAAATTTGGTATACAGATAACTATTATGATATAAGAATCTGCTAAGAAAGGATTTTTGAAAATTCAACCCCTAAGGCAATAAAATATAGGTATCTAAGTATTATTGGTATGAATATCTAATTGTTCATTTATTTATTTTTATTTTTTGGGTTACCTGGGTGACATGAATGACAATTTAGTTGTTACGGACAAGAAAACTAGGTTTTATTATTATTACTACTCTACACTAATTAGATTATTAACTATTGTTAGATAACAATAGCAAAGCATAGAACATTTTTAGTCCACCGAAGAAGGACTATCAACTTTCCACCTATTTGTTTTCATTCAATTCTAACATGGTCAAACCAAAATTGAATATAGATAAAAAAAAATAATAAAAATTGGCACGGGCAACGCCAGGCGCGGGACAGCTGGTTAATTATAAAAGTATAATATTTAAGCTTATCTGCCTACTCTGTCAAATCATCAAAAGTTAAGTTAACAAATATACTATAAGTATACTGTAAATTGAAATTATGCTGACAATACTATTCTTAAACATTTTATAGGTATTTCTATTTAGTTTAATAATATTCTTATGTATAAATACATTAGACATAGGTAAACGTTTTTATTGAAAAATTATAATATAGTTACCTAATTTAAAAAAAAATAATAGTTAATAAAATATACCTAATTAATTTAATTACTAAAATAAATAAAAATAACTTACCAGAGTGTTGATGATGACACATCAATAATTGAAATGTTGTTGAACAATCTAAAAACATTAAACCGATGGTCAATAATTAAATTAGTAGGTAGTTACATAATATAGGTACCATATTATAAAATTGCATTTTAATAATATTGATAAATTCTCATAAGGTAATATTTAATTGATTAAATCAAGAACCCATTTTCCTACTGTTAAATAAGTATAAATGTACAAATCATACTTACTACGATAATCTTTAGTTTAGCAATCGTATTAAAAAGAACACTTAAATATGAATAAAACCTTGACACTAATGTTATAAAAGCAATATTTATATTAAACAAATTTCTTTTAAAATAGACGAAATTGTAATATCACATAGAGATTAAACAATACACGTAGCGAATAATTAGTAAAAACATAGTTATTCTATTAAAAAAAAGTTTAAACTTTAAATCTTAAAACTCTAATTCAAATATTGTGATATATAAATATAATATGAATTATTAATTTTTATAATATAGATTACAGATAATTAAATAAATCTCTAAGGTTAGGTATCTATAGATTCTTATCAATTGATTAAATTGTTAGGAGATTACAACTTACTATGAACATAATGATATTTATAAAATCTTTGTATTACAGCCTTGTAATCAAATTTGATTTGTTATGGATATTCAATATTCATATCAAAGCGATACAGGAATACTGAATTACCAATGTCCAACACTAGTCTTGTTTTGTATTTAAACCACTAAGTAAAAAACAAGAATAAACAAAATTAAAAATGTTGATTAGTCATTAGTAGTTAATTCTATTTACATTTTAATAGCTTTACTTTTATAACTAAAAAATGTTGAAATTGAATCCGCAGAGTTAGTATTGTTTTAATTGTTACATATTATTCAAAATAAATCATTTTTCCTTAAACATCATTGTTTTACATTAATATAGAACAATACATAAATACCAGTTGTCTATGATTTTAGTGTGATTCGACTGATACAGCAATACCTAAAGGAATCAAATCTAATGAAATTTCTACAAACCCCTCAAGTAGTGTTGTATTGTTTTATACAATTTTAGTAATGGATACAGGTACATTGTTGTACGATAACTTATTTTTTAAGTAAAAGATCAATTTCAAATAAGTAAATTATAATGTTTTCAGAAAGAAACTAGTGTATCATTAAATACAGTAGACAGTATTGATGATTTTATTGCAAATATATATAACGACTATTGGAATACAGTGTTAAAGACAGTACAGTCTCTGAAATTACCAGATAGTAAATTAATTAATTTATATGAACAAGTTAGTTACTAAATATTTATAAGGTATGATTAAAATGGTTCATTTCAATTAATTTGTAGGTTGTATTTGAACTAATAGAATTGCGTGAACTTTGAGCTGCTTGGTTACTTTTACGTCAAACTTACACTATGATTACTTTTAAACAACATGAACAAGATCGTTACATATACCTTGGTACAATTATATTACATTAATAATAAATATAGGTATATTATTTGTTTAAAAAAAATTTGTTTATAGAAAACCTACTAGCTTATTTTGACCCTCATAAGCATATCCAGTATGCACTTCTAAAGAAAAATGTAGACTTGCTATTGCTCTATAGCTGGTGAAGTATTTCTAGTACCATCATCAAGACCTCTAGCACTTCTAAATCAAACATAAAATGGCAACAGCATCAAGGACTTGACTCCAGATATTTCAAGAATTATTGTTAGGTAAATCATGTTATCCCTTTAAAATTCTAAAATAGTAATAGTTTATGTTCTCATGTACATATATGTATTTAAAGGAAAAGCAGCAGTTCAGGATTTAGAAGAAGAAACATTAGCGGATGAAGCTGTTAACAATGTATATCTTTTCTTTAAAAACCAAAACAATTTTGTTGTTTATAATTGTTCAAACACTATTGTAACAATGAATATGCAAGGCCAAGTGAATTAACTATATTCAAAATGTATTAAAATATAAGGACTATTGATAAAAATATTTTCTAAAGATTGTTAGGCCATTTACAAATGGTAAACGTGAAGGTTGCTATTTTGTATGTTTCACTGTCACCTAGAGGCGATTGGATTTATGCAGTTGCTGAGGATTATATATTATATTGTTTTTCATTAAGCACTGGTAAATTAGAGAAGATGGTATGGTAAGATTATGGAAACCTTGAATCGTTTGTATTAAAATTATTGTAATTTTTTTTTTCATTTGACAAGTTTTAAACAATTTAATTCAATAAAATATTTTTATGATGTAAAATGAGTGTGGTTTATTTTTGCGTGTTACCTTAAATAGATATTTTTAATATAGTTTTAAATACATAAAACAATATCTTGCATTGTTTATATCTTTAAGAAGTTGTCCTTCAACAAGTTTAAATGATAGTGTAAAAATAGTCATTGACATTGAACCACCCTTAAAAAAGAAAAATAATTCAAATATCACTAATATAGATGAATATATAATGGATTATTTTATGGATAATATATATATATATATTAATGGACAATTTTACCACAGATATCACCTACCAAATAAAAATTACGTATAAAACTCAAAATTTAAATGTCTATATAAATAGCTCAAAAATGTCTTAAATATTTTGAAAATTTTAAATCTAAAAATTCGTCCAAATTAAGAACATAGAGTAGATATAAATATTTTTAAATGAATTTCAACAAAAATATTCAATTTTTTTAAAAAAACTCAAAAATGACTCAAATGTTTCAACATTTTTACTAATGGCAAATATAAGTTTTCTGATCAAATTTTAAATGTCTACGAAATGTTTAACTAACTTATAACAAATAACAAAATTAAAGTAATAATGAAAGTGTTATTTTCGTAAATTTTCCGTTTTATCCTGGTTTATCCCAGATATTATGAATACTGCTTGGAAAATCAAAAATGTACATCCCAAAAGTACTATCTGAACAATATTTAATTTCAGAAATTGTGCCGCGCGTACATATAGGATCAAGATTTTTAGTAGAATTTTTGTACACGGGATAAAAAAATTTAAAAAATAAACATCTTGGTAAAAACAATAAACTCTTCGCTACATTCAGAATCTAAAATGAATAAAGGTAGTAAAAAATAACTTGATACTGCTAATAAATGAGCGACTATTGTAAGTGGGAAGTAAGATAGATACATAAAGTTATGTTAATTATATCTGTAAGTAAGCAACGACAAAACTATTGCTTACGAAAAATGATTCTGAGCCAAGTTTGGTTATATTTGTTTTAAAATACCTTAATATTTAGGATTTTCGACAAAATTTAAATAAAACATTTATATAAAAAATACTACTGCATTACATTGTTCTATATTTGTTTACCACTAAACACAAGTTATAATAAATCTCCTATTCAATTTGCAAGCATATGTGTTAGGTCTATTTTATCTATACAGCACATATAACAATTAAAACTACATAAAAAAAAATCATTTAAATATTAAATACCTATAAATAGCTCGTACCCAAAATGATTTGAAAATTTTACCACGTCTATAAAAATATTCTGTGCAAATGTCATCTCGTTACGATTACAACAAAAAACCAAAATCGAAAATAACGAAAAAATTATAATGTTGTCAACTTCTCTCTGTTTCATACGTTTTTTTTTTATGATTTTTCCCAATTAGGAAAACTGCTCGGAAAATCAAAAAATGTCCAACAACAGACCTAAGTCTTTAATTTACTCATTAACTAGAACCAAAATGCAATTAAAAAAGTCGATTTATATTCTTTAATTAATTTAGATTTTTAATAGAAATGTTTATCACAGCACACACAAAAAAAAAATATCTTAGTAAAACCAATACATTCTTGGCTACACTCAAAATCTAAAAATAGATTTTACCGAATATTTAATATATTGTTGCAATTTAACTCAAAAAAATACCTAATCGTGATACATATACATTGGAAACTAATTAACTTGATTTATATTATATGGTAAGGACTTACCGCGGTTAAGTATGGTAACGAATTTAGTAAATCAACATGACATGCTTAATACATACATATTACGTGTGGTTTCACTACAAAATGAAAAAATTCATATAAAACAATGTAATTCGTGTATTAAATCTTATTAATATTAACATTAGGAGAGTGCAAGGGAAGTGAGAAAATTGTATTTTTTACTTGATAGTTATATTGAATTTGCCTTCTATATTTTGTTGTTTAAGGGCCCATTGCAAATATTTTCCCAAAGGCTCAATCATGAGCTATACCGATATTGTACCTTGGATACGGATGCAAAAACAAATATTATTCGGTAACTGGATTGTCATGGACAAATTCTTATTATGTTTATGGTAAGAATTCTATGAGTGTCATGATTGTAAAGAAAATATTTAATTTTGATTGCCTACGAATAAATCAATATTGTGTAAATGCACTTCAGTTCATTGGTAATATATGTAAGGCATACGTAAAACATACGATATTATAAGACATAGCTATATAACTTCTTTGATTTATCGAACAAGCCATCGTCGATAGTTATGCCCCCCAAACGGTAATCGATTGGTCGATTTACATTTGAAGCCCGAAAGAAAAAGACATTACGATCAACGGAAAGCAAGATTAATAAAGGATAAATAAAAAAAAACAAAAAATATTAAAAAATTGACATTTGGCATATTTAGTTCTTCTGCCCGACGTTGCCAGTACCAATTTTTTAGTATTTTTTTTTTTTATATATTTATAAAAGTCTAAGTGTCATTTTGACGTCCGGGGTCATCTCCGAAACTACTCATCCAATCGTTTTTTATATTTTTAAATGATTCGCAGTATATCGTGGAAATTTTAAGCTATTGACAACATCGGTCTGACCAGTAGAAGTAATAGACGACCTAACCTGCAGTAGTTTGGAATGAATAAAAAAAAAAAATACGAACCTACTTTGCACGTGAATATAGCTTCTTTTGTAGGTGGAAAGTTAGAGGAAGGTAGAATACAGACAGGAATTTAATATACATTTATAATTAACGATAAACCTTTGCTAACGTAAAAACAATTCTGAGCGGAATTCAGTTAATAGTGTTGCTTTATCAACAATATATGGATGTATTATATTATGGTTAAATTATTACAACAATTAGCGTTACCATGACAACAATGATTGTTTGAAAAAAATTTAAAATAATAAAAACTTAATAACAAAAAATAAATAAAAACAGTTGCCAAAACAAATCTTATTTTTAATATTTCAAACTTTTTTAACCTAAAGTTTGAGATATTCCTAATTATTTCAAATATTAATGAGAATTTCAAAAAATGACCTCTCTAAAGTACCACCTAGAGAAAATTTCCTTTCAAAAAAGGTGCTATACATGAAAATCGGAGTAAGCTTTTGTTAGAAAAAGAAGTGTTTACATAAAAAAAAAAATATCATTGTAAAACTAATGAAATGTATTTGATACTTTTTATTGCTTAACAACCATATAGTTAATTTATATAAGTTTGAAAATAAAAATAAAGCAAATGCATTTTATAACATTTAAGGGCAACAATAGTTAAAAAGATTGAAACAATAAATCTAAGAGGAAATCGTTTTCATTACACACTTATATAGCACAGGCAATGCCGGGCAGGGCAGCTTGTATAAAATATAAGACAATCTTTGAATTTTGATACATATTTATGTGCATACTGGCTTTGTTAGCAAATTCGAGTGTAACAGGCAAGGAGTGACTAACCAAATCAAAAATTGTCGAATAATGTACATGGTTTAGTTAGGCGCTCAAATTTTTTAAATAGTTTTAGATTCAGAGCGTAGCGAGGAATCTATTGGTAATACTATAATTTGTTTTTTTTTCTGTTTGTGATCAATTTTTCTTCCACAAAACATGCTTTGAAGTATAGAATGTTGCACCTTTTCTGAAAGGTAATCTAGATAATTTGTAATCTATTAGGTAAACAAGAAAGTTGTTTTTTGATTTTCTTTATAGTTTTTTTAATAATTGGGCAAAACCGAAAACAAAAAAGGTAGAAAGTACAGGAAATAGTAGGAAATAATTCTTTTATTATTTTAAATTTTGTTTTATTAATGTTATTTAGTTTAACATATTCATGAAGACAAAATTTTGACAGAAATTTATATTTACTTTTTCTAAACGTAGTAAAATTTTCAAAATATTTGATCTATTTTTGAACTTATTATGAACCTTTTGATTTTGAGTTTTGTATGCAATTTTTATTTGGTATATACTCTATAGATATAATTGTTTGACTAAACAGAAATACTTGAAAATTGAACAACCTATTATTATAAATTAGTGGGGAAAGGGTAAGTAAATGTGAGCCGACCATAAAAAATGTTGATCATAATTAGATCATGCTTATTGTGTAAGGTTAAGTGGTAACATGCCTGGTTAGGCTATAATTGTCTCCGGGTACAGCGGTATGTTGCCCTAAGGGTGACATTGTACATATTGTACAGTTTCCACGAAGGTATCCTTAATCCTCATGTCCAGGGAAGGGGCCAGGGTCTAGACAAGAGCTGCCGATTAGGGTTTCCCTTTCCCATGTCAATAGGTAGGAGAAAGGGGCTAACGGGGATTCTACACCTCTGGCAGGAGCAACTCAAAAGATATTATACATTTTTTCTGACTAATCATTACAAAGTAATTCTTACATAGATTTGTATAGTAAAGCTTCTAGATAAAGTTAGAATTTAATATCTTTGGAATAAATAAACCACACACAATTGTTAATACAATAATATTGTTTATTGCCTAAATAAACTTGTTCTATTTTTTAAACTAAAAATATGATTTAATATTAATCAATTTTTATTTTAAAATTTTTATATACAATATAATAAAATAATATTACCGATTACATTTTGCAGGTTGTTAAAAACCAAATAATATAAAATTTGAAATAGAAATTATGATAAAAATGTATAGTGTGTGTACTTAGAATGAAATATATTATGACTACTATTCTTTGGGGTTAAAAGAAAATATAAAGTGGCAGTTTGATTAAAAAATTGACATACTACTAAAAATTTTGATGCATTTGAATTTTTCCAGATATTATACTTACCAATAACATTATAACAATAATGAAATCTAAACTATATAATTCGAATATTTAAAATAGTAGTTTGCAAAAAAAAAAAAATAATATCAATAATATAATTAACGATTATAAAATATTAAACGTACATCGAATTATAAGTATAATTTGTAATTAAATAATGAAAAAAGATAAGAGCCCCAAAATGAGAAGCAAGTAAGAACATTTTAATATAACTTAAATACAAAAAAAAAACCTGTACTGCAAAATAATAATAAAATAAAATATGGAAAGGGGGACAACACTTATAAAACCTAAGGGTGGACTTAAATTTTGATACTCAAGCTGACGCATTGCAGCAGAACTGTTTAATTTGGAATGCAGCCGAATCATTTGTGTTTGCTGTAGTTGCATCTATCCTGATTGGCTTCATACACACTTTGTCAATTTCGTCCCCATCCATACTATCCATTTGACGAGCTGATACTTTGCGATGGATTTCTGTATGATAAAATAAAATTGAAAACTCAATTCCACTATTTATATTAAAATATTTATCTTGGGACATTTGTCAAATAATATATGGTTAGATTAAAAAAAAACCTACATATTTTCATCAGCAACCTGTAAAACAAACCTGATCTATGATGATTGGCAGCATTGTTTCCTGACGTTGTCAGAGTTGACTGTAGGTTTGACGTCAATTGGCTCAATGTTTGTGGGCCGTATCGTATCACCCTCAGGAGGGTCTCTCATTTGCTTTTGAGACACGATGTTATAGATTTCTGAAGAATGATGAAAAACCCAACGAAAAAAAAACAAAAACAAATCTACTCAGTACCAAAATAATACAATACATACAACTAAAACATCATTCAGAAGCAATTTAATTAAATATCAACTATGATCATATTATGGTATAAAATAATAAAATAAACAAAGTAAACTCATTATATGGTAGATGAAATTAGGTTTACACATACGTTTAACTAAACTATAACAATTACTTACATAAAAAGGAATAACTTTTCAAGCGTTCAATAAATAATGCAAATTCTAAACTTTTGTTACATGAAATCTATTAAGCTGTTTTATTATGAACAAATATTTATTGAAAACTGTATTAAGGTGCCTGATATGATTTTTTACAAATCGTTAAAATTTGCTAATAATAAATTTTTAACATTTACAATTAATATTTTAATAACTTTCAACAAAATTTAAATTGGTTTTAATTTTTCCGTACCTGTGCACGACCTATTTTCTATGTTTCAATACATGTTTTACAAGGTGAAATTTCCTGGTTTATATAAACATCCGATTTCGGTTTTATTTTTATTTAAAAGAGAACTTTCTATAGAGTGCAATGAACTTCAATTTTAATTTTGTATCAAAAACAAAAAAAAAAAATTAAAAAAATCAGTCATATTCAAACTTGAATTAATTTTGAACCACATATACATACACTACAATGAATAAGTTGGTTTTCATTGTCACAATAAAACACATCAATCAAAACTGATAATGAAACACACCAGTTTTTATATCTAACGAGTCTTAATTTTAAACACAATTTTTATTGTGACAATGAAAACTGTTATATTTTATCATAGTGTATGAGGGCCTCAAGCCTCAAGCAAATAAGATTTTCAAAATCTAAGTCTAAAGAAACTTGTATAAATTCTTGAAAAAAAATATATATATAATGATCAAAATTGGTTCCCTATAAAGCTGTTTACCCTGTGAAAAAGTTTTGGGACAAAAATCTTTATAAGTAGTTTTTTTTTTTTTTTAACTAATTTCATATGAAAATGTAAAATGTTTATTTATCATATGGTGATATCAAAATCTTAAACCAAAATTTCACTTTATGCACCTTAGTACTCAACTATATAAGTAATGGAAATACCACCTCTTATATCTAAATAAAATATTTCAAAACTGTATAACATATGTAAAATGCATGCAGTAAATATAGTATGTACAGCAAATCTACATATATATATTTTTTACATGAAAATTAACTGTACAGCTTTTACTCAATCAATGTTATAAATTATCAAATTTGTTTTTTTTCTGGATTTTTTTAGAAATACTAATATAACAATTTATTAAATTTACAAAATGTTTTCTTTATCTATCTTATTAATTTAAAGTTCTTTAATTATATTCACTATATTTAAATAAAGAATTTACAGTAAAATTATGACAATAGTTATAAACCTTAATAAATATATATAGCACACGTGCACAAATTACACATATTAAGCATTTTGACAGACAGCTTATCAGTGACAATGACCAAATACATAAGCTTTAGAAGATAAGCAATAAATATAAAATAACCATATGTTGCTAATAAATATAGTAACCTACAAGTTTATATTTTAAAATTAATATATCAAACAAATATAAGCTTAATATATTATATATGTATATTTTTGAGTAAGTCATAAAAATTCTAATTTAAATTTAATATAAAATAAAAATGATTATATACCTGTTAATATGTTTTCAAAAGCAGTTTCAACATTGGTTGAATCAAGAGCAGAAGTCTCTATAAATGACAAGTTATTGACCTCGGCAAATGCTCTAGCTTCATCTGATGGCACAGCTCTTAGGTGACGCAAATCTGACTTGTTGCCTACTAACATAATGACTATGTTTTGATCAGCGTGATCACGAAGTTCACTCAACCATCGTTCCACATTTTGATAAGTTAGCTGTTTGGCAATATCATATACCAACAGTGCACCTACTGCTCCTCGATAATAACTAAAAGTTAACATTTAATTAATCCAACATGTTGTATTTTCAATATTATAAAAAATAATATTTACGCTGATGTAATAGCTCTGTATCGTTCTTGTCCTGCAGTGTCCCAAATTTGAGCTTTGATCATTTTCTTATTTACCTATTTAGAAAACTAGTAATTATTTAGTAAAATGATACTTTTAATGACTTCAAATTTAAAGAGAACCTTGTATTCAATATATTATAGAACACTGATTATTTATATTTTTAGAACTACTATCATACATTTGGCAGAAGTTGTATTAGTTATTTACATCTTCTAATTATCTTATTAATTTATTATTATATTAATATATGATGTATACAAAAAATATAAACATTATATATATAATACAATATTCATTTACTATTTTTTTTAAAATAACATAAAAATATTATATTGGTGTAAGAATAAAACAATTTTTAATAATTTTTTTATTGGTAGGCATAATTTGCAAATAACATAAAAGGTTTTTTAATAAAACAATTTTGCAACATTTTAAATTTTGTTATTTACTAATAACATTTTTTTAATAATAAATAAAAACCAAATAGTAATAAAACTTTGAAGAAAAATAAACCCAAAAGTCAATATTAATAAGTTTGCAGATAAACATATTGCTACAGTATTATTATTTTATTTTAGCGCTAGTAGCAATTCAATTTAAGTAACTTAAGTATCTTTCTTTGTTAAACAAAAAAAGATACATAGATAACAATAGGAATACAATAAAATTATGTATTTCACAATATGTTTATTATTTGATATACTCTATTAATACTGCAATCAGTAGTAAAACAACAATTAAAATTACATTAAAAATAAAGTTGTGACAACTTTTAACCTAACCTAACATCATATTTAATATGTTTTAGTTAAGAGATAATTAATATTTAGTATAAGTTTATATTTTTATATTTGAAGATTTTATTGGCAGTTTTGAAAAAATATATTAGTAGATAACCTATATGCTGTTTTAATAATTCTGTTTATAGTTAAGACAATTCCTAAAGACAATTTTTAATATAATGGCACTTATACTGATACACATTTATTCAATACATAAGTACATAAAATATACATTATAAATGCATATTATTAAAATAAAATAAAAATGAAAACTTATAACAATACCATTCATAATACATAATATTATATAATACCTTAATACTTCTTGTAGCAAACTCTACCCCGATGGTAGATTTTGATTCTAGATTAAATTCATTGCGTGTAAATCTAGCCAACAAGTTACTTTTACCAACACCAGAATCTCCAATAAGAACAACTAAAACATGATAAAATAAAATATTTTAATCAATTTAATAAATATAAAATTAAAACATAAAAAAAAAATATTAAAAACTATTTATTTTATGTATGAAATTGAAAATCTATCTGCCAGATAAACAAATCTGCAGTTTTATTCCAATCTTGATGAAACTTTGCATACTTAAAATTCAAAACAAAAGGAAGACCACAGTTTATTTTTTGTATCAAAATTTAACTAAAGGATAAACCACTGTTCACATTTATTTTTTGATATTTTAATATGAAAAATTGAATTCTTTATTCGGGTTGATTTTTGGGTTACCTTAAGTGACATATATGAATTTAAAACCACAGCTCCTATTATTTTATTTGACTGTCACAAACAAGGGGAAGTGCCCTTTTAAAAAGACAAATTACCGGGCAACAATGATTGACTATGATATTGATAGGGGCAAGCACGAGAAATACTGGGTAATCCAATTATAAATAATAAAAGCTAATCAAACCAATATTACACCAATTCAATTTATTTTTCTTAATTTATCATTACAGTCAAATCTTGAATATTTACAATACATATCCAATATGTTATAGGTAATATTACATAATATAATTAACAATAAATGATACACAAATATATTATTATTATCTTATATAATTATGTATATTATTTTGTGTAAAGAAAAGAAACCAAAAATCATAAAAAATTTCTAATTTTTGTATTCAAATTCCAAAATGAAAGTGACTAGAGGTGCTAAGTATTTCTTGCCCTTGCAGTATTTTTTTTTTTTTTAGAACATCCAAATTTATGATTCACACCATGCAAACATACTTTTTTATATTATAATAAACAAAAATATAACCATCCAAAAAATAAGAGTTAACCTTTGAATTTTAAGAATATGTTTATTACATTTACTATTTAGTGTTTGCAATACAGGTTTAAAATGTCTTACTATACCTAATGTAACTAAAAACCAGAAACTAAATCTATACTATTTATACCTACACAATTTCGTTTAAATAAAAAAAAAATATCATTTAACATTATAAAAAAAAGTCACCATAAGTAATACAATTTAATTGAGATAATAATATAAATACACCATATAAAAATCCACTACTATTTAAGGTTACTTAAAGAATGGTATACATAAAATAATTTATTATCTCGAAGCAAAAAATTCCGGCACTGTATATTACATACTATTGTTAAAATAATATAAATAAATTGCTTTATTAAGCATTCAATGATTTTATTAAAGCCAATAAACCACTCTATTAAAAGGTCAAAACTACAATAAGGTGTTTTCTAAATGGTAAATCATAAAATAAATTAAATGCATCTATCCAAGAATTTAACAAAAATATTAATTGCCAGAACAAAATATATAATAATTAGTAAGTTAAAATTTAAAAAGCTATATCATGAACTACAATATTTATTTTGAATAGTTTTATTATTTTAAATAATATTGGTACCTAATACCTATTGTTTTTAATAGAGTCAATCAGTGGGTAATAATAAGTAATTTGAATAATTTGAGAATTTTTTATGTTTAATTATTTAATTTGCACGTTGTACTGTTATTCACAAATTTATTCATCTATGGCCTGATATAAATTTCTATTGTAAAAAAAATATACACCATAATTTGTGCATTACAATATACACAAATGGATATAATCTGATTCTCCTTAGAGAATAGTGTATAATTATTTTAACAGTTAATTAATTTGTGTGCCACAATAACGATCAATATATATACATAGGATTAGTATTAAGCTAATAAAAAAAAATGTAACATGATTTTGGAGGAATATCAAATACATATTAATTAATTGTTTTAAATATCTAAATATCCAACTACCTAAACTTACTATTTTTAAATTAATTAACAATAATATGTACTAGGGATACAGCAATGCATAGGCATATTAACTTCAATACAACATAAATAATAGTCCTAACAACTAATGTACAAGTTATGTGTAAGCTTACATGTTAAACATTTTTTAAGAAACAACTTTAATTCTTTGTTACCAAAAAAATGTATGATTTTGGTATATTATTATTTTTTTTTCATTTAACAGTTTATAAATTGCTTACAAAGCAGCTTACTGTGCAATACCTTTGTACATTGTAAGTAATCATTAAATTCAGTTAAAACTAAAAAAACTGATTAACTCATATCCAATATCTTAAAACTGGTATCTGAATATACTAGAATTCTTATGAAATAAAATAAAGACATAGATAATTTATAGGTACTATTTAAGATAAATTGTAATAAATACCAACCTTTAATTCATAAGTTCAACGTCAAATAAATTATATATAATACCGATATATATATAAAACATTACAAATAAAAACAAATAAACTTAATAAATCTAAATAGATTCCGCATCAAAATTAATAATATAAACAATAATTATTACTAATAATAATTAAAAAGATATTTTGTAATTTTAGTTTTTATATAAGAAATTAAAAAAATAATATAACAAATTAATGAGTTTCATAAGTGGGTAGGTAGGTATCTAATTTTTAAACCACAAAATACTTATAAAATTAAAATTAAAAAATATCTACAATTCATTAATTAGTTGAATTATACATTACAATATATATAAAAATTATTGCTCAAGTAAAATTAGTTGAATTTTATTATTTTAAATTAACCAATATTAAAATTAGATAAGTACTTATGGATTGATCCAATTCAAAAACACAATAAGTAACCCAATCTCTAATAAATTAACATAAACTGTATATGTGGAATCTAATAGACCTACATAATTATGTATTATAGATAATTTCAATCATTACAATTATATCTTTAGTAAATTAATACATACAAATCAATTAATGTGTTATTAATTAAAGCCAACTATTATATCTGAGTAATTCTAGAAAATATATAACAATGAAATTTCTAAATATCCAAGTAAATATAATATTCTAAAAAAATGTACTCAAAGTATTATAACTAAAGCAATAAAATTGAAAATAGTATTTCTTTTTTGTTATGCTGTTAAAATAAAAACAATCTTTGACAAACATAATTTCATTAAGTGAAATATTTGAAAATATTGCCTATAAAAAATAACATAATCACATAATTACCTTTGAACAAATAATCGTATTCTTCATCACCCGTGCCCATTTTTGATATCACTAATATAATACAATAGAGAACTAGTCCGGAAAACAAAAGATCACGTACGATAACGTAATTTAGAAACCAAATGCGTAGGTAAATAAAAAAGTAACAATTAACAAAAATACATTTTAACTGATCATCGATGACGATGTTTGATAAAACATCATTTTAAACCAGTTGAAGAAAAAAATTAAATTAACGAATAGAATAAAAAAAATTTAAAAACGCAAAATAAAAAATATCTTGATTACTTTAGTGAGGTTGCATCAAATTTTTCCTGTGACAATTCACGAAATAAGTTATGACGATTGGATGATTGGCCAATCAGCAGTAAACAGTGTGCCAGCGAGTGATAGATCGAAATTTCTTTCCTAATCAGATACGCCCAACATTATACCGCCAATAGTTTAAAATAAGCTTACACTTGAATATGATTAAATAAGTTATAAACTGTTATACGATTATAGCTAAGTATTGTACATTATTTTTAATTTAAACAATTTAAATTTAATTATCGGTATACAATTTGTGTATAATACTTAAGTAAAATATTTTTCAAACTGTCAATCCCGATAATTTACCAATGTAGGTGGTAGGTCACCAACTATCTACTTAAATTGTGTACCAATTATTTAGTAATTTATTGATAGATTCACAACAAATTATGAACTAAATAATGGTAATATAGCCTAATAAATAAATAAAATAAATAATCTTAATTCGTGAAACAAATATTTACTGGTTTATAAACCAATAGTTTACTATTTATTTGAAAAGAACAATTTCGAATTTTTTTTTATTTTAAAAATAAAACTAAATGTTTCAATCCGTACAATAACTATTATTATTTTCGCAAATAGGAAGGAGATTCGCCCCCCCCCCCAAAAAAAAAAAATAAAATAAAAATCAAATTCTTACCAAATAAAGACTAAGTATAAGAAAATAATAATTAACTGATTAATATTTTTTGGGTTATTTGTGGTAATGCTATTTACTATATACATATATTATATAGGTATCTACCTATACCTATCACACACTAATAAAAACTACTATACACCAGTGGCGCAACCAGGGGGGTATTATGGGTGTTTGGACACCTACTACATCCGTATTTAAGTAATATAAATATGTTAAAAGACGTGATTTTTTTAAATGTTAATATGTTTATATATTTAATGTATTTTTTAATATGCTACACCCCTTCAAAAAATCCTGGTTGCGCCACTGCTATAGGTACACTAATATTGTCAGTATAACTTTTTATAATTTTATCAAGGCAATGTCAATGTAAAATAGAAATAAGTATATTGAAACCTGCGTGACGAATGTGATGACGAATATGCCCAACCTTTATATTTGATAAGATAAACGTGCAATTTCCGGATTCGATAATACCTACCTACTTACTTTATTGGTGGTACACTGGTACCTATCAATAATTATATTTGCGTATTTTTCAATCGTTTTTATAAATGTAGCCTTGGAACTATTTTATACCTAGTTAATTTATGATTTATTATTAATACATTTTATTATTTTTCGGTTTTTACCATAATGAAATTTTTAAACAAAATATTACATGACTTACTCCAAATGATTAGGATGAAGTCAAAAGTCAAAATAGAAGAAAAAGAAATAATCTGTCACATATTATTAAAAAAAATTATATTAAATTGTCTAAACTGTATTATTTACCATGACTTGATTTGCATTGTTAAATGTGGATCTTTTGATCTAAGTATTGTTTTAATTAATAATTAAGTTATACATCAAAATGAAAATAAGAGAAAATTTGTAAAAGGCGAAAAAAAAATTAAAAATAATTTCCGCCCGGACAGGGACTTGAACCCTGGACCCTTAGGTTAAAAGCCTAATGCTCTACCGACTGAGCTATCCGGGCTGTTAAAAGCCGGTACTTTTTCAAAGATTTTAAGATATTTTTTCTAAAAAAATTATATCAAATAATTAACAAAAATGTATGATTAAAATTTAATATGTTTACTCATTACTTATTATTTAAATAAAATGAAATACATAAGTACGTAATCAATTTTGTTTCATCATTAAATTAAATAACTGGTTGTATAAGTTTGATACTCATTACAAGATGGCGCTGTAAATACGTCACCGTTATGTTGTCATGATTCGGGCGTGCCATCCACCCAAACCATGTTACCATCTAAACGAAATTCTTTAATCAAAAACTACAAAACCAGCAAAAAGCAAACAACTCTTTAACAGACATTAACAATAAACACAATATTATACAGTTATTTTTTTAGTTTTTTTAACCATTCAATATTTTTTACTCTGAATTAATGTTTATAATCAATTATATTGATTAACTTTTCTTGGAATATGTTTTCTAAATTTTATACGTAATTAATTTTTTTTACAAAATGACTAAAACTTTAAATATTGTTTTAATTTTTATTTCTTTATGCTGTTATGTTAAAACTGGTTAGTAAAAACTAATAATTATTATCAACTTAATATTTTATATTAGATAGTAAAAAAAATGTAATAATCACATTTCAAATATCAGTCAATTAATACATAATGACTACTTTAGTACATTAATTTAATTGAATGATTAAAACATTAAAAAAATATTGTTTTATGTTTTTATTAATTATATTTAATTGATTTATTATAGATTCTGATTGTGGTGAACCACTATTAGAGAAAGCAGTTCTCAAAGCAACATCATCATTACCTGACAGAGGTCCAGAAAATGCTATTCTCAATGGTAAATATTAATTTATATTTATATACCTAGGTACTAGGTAGGTAGTGTTATTGATTGTCAAAAGGCTCTGGTTAAGAAATAATAATCATTAATAGTTTTCATAGGAACATATATATATTACATTATAATAGGTACATTACTTTACTATATTATATTTATCAGAATATACCACCTCTTATTATTCAATTATTTGATAAATCAATAAATATCACCTCCAAATTAATTAAAAAGCATGCACACTTAATTATTATTATTTTATTTTATTTTTAAATACATATTTAATAATGATTGTTTAAAATAAATAAGTACACTAATGAAACAGTTATGAATATATTCACTCGATATTTTATTATTAAGTAAGGCGTATTTTTCTGATAAGATTATTAAATTAGCATTTAAATACAAATAATCAATTCTACTGAAATCCCTGAAAAATATATACTATTTTTATACTATCAACTAATAGTATATTATAGGTATAATTACGATGATTTGGATGATAAGTTTAAAAAAGTTGTGATTATAATTTTTTGAAAAATTTGAGTAAGTTCTTAATTTGTAGGAGATTTTTGAAAGAAATTCTATGGTATTATTTATTTTCATTTTTTTATGGATTTTTACAAATGAACTGTAAATCCAACTAAAAAAAAATTTCATAAAATGTATTTTGAGGCTCACTTATAGAACACACTCCCATAGTGTGTCATTTGTTTCTGATGCACTCTGTACATATAAAAAAGATTATGTAAATAATAAATAACAAATCACCATACGCCTAAATTCTAATTTAAAAAATTGTTCAACTTAAAAAATTATAAATTCAGTTATTATTATATCATCAATCGGTAAGGCATATGTTTATTATTTATCTATTTAATTAATGTCACATTGAAATTCAAAGTACCTACATACAACTTATATAAGTAGGTATTGAAACAAGTTTTTACTAAAATATTTTATTATTCATTAACTGTGTGTTGTTAAATCACTGAAAATACATTTTGTTTCACTACTCACATAGTATGTACATTTTCATTTAATTCAATATATTTGTTGCTTTTTTATTATTGGATATAACATTTATTAATTGCATTTATTAGTTATGTAAATCTTAATGTGTTATATTTATTCTTTAATTAAGTACATTAATAACACATATGAGGTAAGTAGTATACATTTTAATTTAAAACAAATTGATTGTTTTAAAAAATATACTTTATTGGATAAAAAAAAAATAATGACTTTCTACATCAAAGTAATTTTTAGAAATATATTATTTAATATATAGGTTTACGCCTATATTTAACTGCTCTTTAAAGAAAGTTCAAAAAAACATATATATAATCAGGATATATATATATATATATCCTGATTTTCTACTTATAACTAGGGCAAGTAAAAGCAGGTAGTTTGGTTTAACTTCACTAAAAAGAAAAATAATTCAAATTACCCTAGAATTTTATATTTTTATTCAGTTATTTTAAAAACTGTTTTATCAAATTTTAAACTAAAATAATTATACAAAACTATCTAATAAAGTAACTTGTATATGTACTCAAATTATGAATATGTATGTCTAAATATATATTTTATTATTACTAATAATTATTCAGTAATAAAATATTAATTATTACTCATTATTATTAACACATCAATATTCTCTGATTGTGATGGCTTTTGAAATGATTTAGGTTATTATTATTATTAATTTTTTTTAGTTAAAAATAATTTAATTAAATACCAGTCAATAGCATTTTTGTAATTTAAATTTATTTGGTATTTTAAAATTAAAAAAATATATATCAAACTGAAGGTTTATATTTTGCGACTAATAACATAATATAAAAATTAGGTTTAATATAAAAAGGATTTTGTCTTATTTATTTCCTACTTACCATAAATAAGATTGTGGTTATAATGACAAATAAAATATAGTTGAAGCTGTCTAAAATGGAACTCTAAAGGAATCAAAGAAAAAGGATGTGTATGTCTATTTTGATTTTTAAATCATTCAAACCCGTTTTATTTTATTAAATTAACTATATATTATTTTGTACAAAAAGGTTTAACATTTTAAATAATAAGAATATTGGTTAAAGATATTACCTATATTTGATACAATAGTAAATTATTTTATATAGAAATTATAAATACATATTATATCTTTTAAACAAAGCAAACTATTAAATCTATTGAATTGAATATATTAGAATTATTTTTCAATTGGTCATTGACTTGGGTTGTTTTCCTTTGTTTAGGTGTTTAAATGTATCATAGTGGCTGTTTTAATTTCCCCAATGAAAATTTATTTTAATGCACATCATTATTAAGAAAATTGCACGATACAATTCTACAATGACAACATCAAACAGGGTCCGTTGGGTATTCGACTGTGGCAATTGGTTTCCATCAGAAAGTGATTGGTCTAAAGCATCTCGTTCTATACAACTTGAAGAAAAAGAACGAATTGGTCGATTTGTATTTAAACGAGATGCTAAACGTTCAATTATAGGACAATTAATGATAAGAAAATTTTTAACAGAAGCTACTCAATTACCATGGTCAAAAATAAAGACAAAAAGAGATCATAATAATAAACCCATAATTGAAGAATTAAACTTAAATTTTAATGTATCACATGATGGAAATTTAGTAGTTTTAGCAGGTGAAGAAAATACTATTGTAGGTATAGATATTATGAGGAATTGCTATAAAGGTGGAAAAAGCTTGAACGAGTTTTTTAGAATAATGCATAGAAATTTCCATATAAATGAGTGGGCTTACATTAACAAGGGAACAAATACTGACAAAATTAATTCATTTTATCGTTTTTGGTGCTTAAAAGAAAGTTATGTAAAAGCAACAGGTACTGGATTAACAATTGACCTTAAAAAAATCTGTTTTGTTCCAAAAAGTGAATTGAAAAAAGATAAAGTATTATGTGATACTGAATTATTTATTGATGACCAATTAATGGTTGAGTGGAGTTTTCATGAACTATTGTATGATAATTATACGATAACTGTATGCATAAAAGGATCAATGGCTCCAGTTAATTTTCAATTAATAAATTTCCAAAACTTAATGAGTAATTCAGAAATGATTTCAGAAGAGGATGAAAATTATTGCAAATCATACTTGAGTAAAGATGAACAACCATAATTATTACTTAATAATTAATTTGTTTGAAAATTAGTTTATTTTGTATAACAAATGGAAATATTAATCAAATATGTTAATATTATTTATAGTCTAACAAATTATAGTTATTTGAAAATAATAAGGATAGGGATTTATTGTTTCATGACAAACTATCGCATGTCATTTAGTAATAACTATTATATTTATGAGAATTGGTTGTATATATTTTGTTTTTTGACAATCATAATAAAAGGGTTCATGTGATTATGCGTGCCTTGTACAAGTAGTTGCAAAATAGGAAATGTTATTGACTGGTACCACTAAAAAAAGATAATAATTTTATTTTTAGACATTTATGTTCTACTTATTTTATGTACCAATAAAAATATGTACATACAATTAAATAAAATAAAGAAAATTGTCTATAGTATACTTGTTTTATATTATATATTATGTATCTTAAGAGTTCTAGTAGTTGTAGTTAACAAAATAGAAATTAAAGAGAGACTGTTTTGATAAAAAGAGTATTATGAACTGTAGAAAGGAGAATAAGTGTTATTGAATTGGATCAATATTTAAGTTAGGAAATATTTGGACAAATGTTTAGAAAAATAGTTTCATTTAGTTTTGAAATACTTGTATGAAGAACAACATTTATACTTTATAATTTACAGAATGTAAAATATAGTTATACACTCAATACAGTACATTCCTCAATCGAGATAATCGTCACTGAATTTACATTTAACAGAATATGCTGTATCAGTGTTTATATAATTGCTACTATACATGACTGATTATGCTTACCTTGAAGAAGTGAAAGAAAAGGAATTTTCTACAAATATTTTTTTCAATTAATAGACATTGGTAGCTAGTAATTTTCGTAGTTTATTTTATTTGGAACCGTTAACAAATGTTAAGAATACACAGTGTTTGACTTTGTATGCATGTGTTACAAACAAACCCAACTATTGAGTTGATATTAATTAATAGATTTCTTGACTGTTAAAGATTTTTAAGATTGACCACTTTTACCATTATAAATAAAGATTTTTATTTAATTTTTAAACCAATTTTATAGCTTATTACTGACCACGATTAATTGGTTATCTTGTAAACTCCGTTAAATAATTAATGTTTACATTTGTGAGAACGGCCCTTAATAGTGTAAATGACAAATTAAATTTAGATTAAATTAGCAAATAAAAATAATGTATGAAATTGTATAGCTGGAAATAATATAAATATAATTAATAAATTAAACAATCTAATAAAAAAAAAACTACTATATTATTACTGTATTTGTAATCGTTTTTGTTTTAATATTTACGAAATTTAGTTGGAGCAATTTTTTAAAATTGTTCATACATTAAATCATGACAACAGATAGGTATGATCACAGTATTACAGGTTTTTGTTTAGTATCAATGTAATTAGTTGAAAATCCCCTTCTAGAGGTTATCGAGTTTGAACCCATCATTTGTTAAACTAATTTCCTTTGTTACTTACCCGATATAATTTTTACGATAGTTATTTTCAATTAAAAGTTCATCATGAACTCGAGAGTGGAGGTGGTCAAAGGCTTGGACTTACATAACGAGATTTGTTTACATATAGGACACTATCTTTTCGAAAAGGGGTGGCACATATACAGGCTGTCCCACGAATATATACTCCTTGTATATCTCCGGAGATATACAAGTTATTGTATACTGGTTTTTTTATATTACTCACATGGACGAGGACTACTAATATTTATTTTTGTATTCAATTTTTTTTTTTAATTTTTCTTATTTTATTATTTTCGTAAAATTTGAGTGTCACATATTAATTATATCCGATGAATAATTTCTAAGTAACAACTGTTTTATATTCTATTAATTCATGTGAAAACCATAGATCATGTTATGCTATGGATAGAGCTATTGTACAAATATTTGAAGCAAACTTAACTAAGGGGAGTTGGGACAGATGCGCATGCACAAAATTTATATCACTTGCAATTGGTCGAATTCATGTAATCACGTGTAACGTTCCTCCCATCACTTCCTGATAGTAAATATGAGACAAGTCCTGATACGCATTCGTAATCAGTCGCCTTAGCACTCATTAATAATGATGTCGCGTTTATCATGCAATAGCATATGATCTAAGAAAACCAATGTTATCGCGTAACGCAGTTATAATATTATTTTCTAGATAACAATGGTTATCACACGAATTAGAATTTAAAACAGCTCTTAATTAGAAACTATTTATCTGATATAAACGTGACGCATTGAAATTTTCGGAGATATTCAAGGGATATCTTTGTGGGATAGCCTATATAGAAAAATTAAGCGAAGCGAGTCGTCCCCCGCAATTACAAACTTTTATAATAAATTAATCAGGCCAGGCCCCCCTCCCACATCAAATCGTGGGCCCTTGTTCTAAATATTTTTTTCGGGTCTTTACAAATCTTTCAATAATACAATTTACCATAAATTATTAAAAGCCAAGAATAATAAACATTTTAATAATAACAATAATTTTTTATATCAGTCCTAACAATAACAGCACACACTATCGAATTTTAAACGGCTGAAGTTGCATAGGACTATCTATATCTTAGTCCATAATTCACATGAAATATTATGACCACGATTTAAGAAACTTTGTATAGGTATATAGTACTTAGATCATATACTATGAATGAAGCTACTTGTGTATACTCTACATAATTGTGTTAAATATAAACTCCCCTCTAATCTTAATATCATACTTTTGGGTAATATAAATAATGCACATGTACGCCGGCTGCTGCCGTTAAAATTATCTTGAACCAAACTATCAAATCTATAAATTAATTTTTGCAATTTGTCTAATTAGCTGCTGTACTAGTTTGAGTATGAGCATTAATACGACGTATCAGCAAAAACTATGACAGTAAGAGGGGGGAGTGGTTATTTGGATACAGTGAGTAGCTGACATAGCTCTATGAATAGACAAATAAGTAGGGTGGCTTTATCCATAGTATATTATCGTGATTGTGATAATAATTAACTACCTTTAATAAATTTGTAATGTTATCAGGAAATAAATAGGTAATTAATTTTTTTAAGAGGTTGGGAAGGGGGAATTACTTATAACTACCTTAGTGATTTTAAAAGAATATTTAAGATTTTAAACAAAAGACCATAAAAGTCGTAAAAATTAAGTATCATAACCTGAAATCGTGGAAAATAAAACTAAGACAATTTTTTCCTGAAAATACTGTTCCAATTAAGTAATTTCTTTATTCATATACTGTCTCTTCAGTGGCAGTTTTCAATATTTTTCTGATATGGGTCTTAAAATCATGTGTATTTAAAAAATATCTATTAATAGATGATAAACTTCTTTTTTAGATGAAGTTTTCTAAAAATTATATTGGTGTCTGAGGGGTCCAGACCCCCTGGACTACCATTCTTAATCTACCACTGGTTTTTTTAAAATTATGTAGCAATAATTTAATATAAATAAATAAATACAATTATTTTGCTTATATGTAATATTAACTATAATAATACCTATGTCTTATCTGCTGATAATCTGCCAAGAAATAAATTATTTTGCACTTTTAAAAATAGTTAAGTAATTGTTTTGTTTGTTTGTTTGTTTGCTTCTATTGTACTAAAGGCCGTAATGCATGGACAGCATACAGTTCTGATTTTGCTCAGTATCTTATTATTGACCTGGGACAAACTATGACTATAACATCAATAGTAACCCAGGGTAGAGCAGAATCTTCAGAATATGTAGAAACATTTGGTATTAGTTATGGATCAAATAGCTTAGATTATGCTGAATACAAAGAATCATCTGGAAATACTAAGGTAGGTAACTATATTATTATAGTCATCATTTATTAACATATCATATACTAATAACAAAATGTTTAATATTATGTTCAATAAAAGTAAAAATACTTACCAATTATATATTTATTATCAGGGTTCAGATTTTATAGATAGCACTAAAAAGTGCTAAGATATGCGCTATAATATACCCTAAAAACATAAAAATAGTTTGTTTTTTTTTAACTTATATTGATCTTAAATTAATTTTTTTGATAATCACTATACCGGGTTACCTACTTAAAAAGAGATAATAATCCAAATTATTATTTAATGAAACAGAAATTGGGTATTTTACTTATCGATTCATATAAATTACAAATTTTTCTACTATTTATAACTTAATTCAAAAAAATTATTTTATAAAAACACATCAATCATCCTTAATTTAATTAACCATTCTTATTAATATATATTATCAAAAACTAGCCCCAAAACTTGGAAAATATCTCTAAATATCCAAAATAAAATTGTATATTTGAAATTCCTGATGTATAAAACAAATCTAAAGCTTACTTAATACTTTACTATTTTGATCTGTACTCTATAATAGTTAACAAAAATTGTAGAATCTGAGCCTTGGGTATTATATTTTTAATAAAGAGTATAGTTTTTTTTCTTTTTGTTAATACCTACATCTAAGAATTTTGTTAGGATACAAAGCATGGAGTCCTTCATATGATTCTCTCGACCATTCTTTGATTGTTGAGTTTGAAAGTAAAATGAAAGTACACTCTATTTCAACTCAAGGACGGTCTTCTACCTTAGAATGTATCACTGAATATTATATCCAGTACTCTGATAATGGGCAGGGTTGGAAAAATGTTGAAGACTCTCATGGTGAAGTTGAGGTTTGAGTTTTATGATTGCCTGGAGTTTTAATTGTTAACTCAGTAGTGTTGTAAAAAGTGTTAACTAGTGTTTTGGATTTTTGCATTCTATTATTGCACATTAGATATTTTTTGTGAAATTTCTAATTTTTATGTTTGCTTTTTTAAATAGCTCATTATTAATAATAGTACATTTTGTGTTTTATATTATTTAATATTGTAATAATAATAGATTTTATGTTGTGTTAGTTTTTACTATATTGGTAATACATTTAATATTTTGTTTTATTTATTAATTAAATGTTTAACTAAGATCAATTTGATTAATTGAAATTAACTTTTAATTTAAAAAATAATTTAATAATTTAAAAAAAAGAGACTTTTAAACTATTATTAATAAAGCATTAAGGTTTAATTAAACACTGCGTAGGCTTACTTAAATAGTTCTTTATAAGCTTTAAGTGCTAAGTAATTTGTTCAATTAAACTATAACTACATTATTATTTTTTATATATTTGATAATGTAATAGTATATCTGTATATGTTTTAGTAATTTAGTAAGGATTTCTCAATGGTAGGGAGGGGGAGTAAAACATCCAAAATAATATGTCAACGTTAATTATTTTAATTACATTTGGCTATGTACTATTTACTTAATCAATTAAATATGAAAATAAATTGCATACACCATAAATCAACATAAATATGAAACAATTGATATAAGAAATAAAATAATATATTAAAAAGTTCTGCCAATGGTAGAGTGATGTCAAGCTCATGTACACATATATATTAGACCTCGTGCCCTTCTTGGCTAAACCACTTATATGTTGCAGTAATAATCAGAATTTAGTTATATTTAAGGGTATTAGCTTAAACACATTTTGATTGTGTATGTCTTACAAAATATTTACTTTTAAATCATTAAATATAGTAGACCAATAAAATTGATAACTATTGTAATTGGTTTCTACATATATAATGTAGAAATAGCATTGAGTCTCACTGAGTTAATCAATAGTTAATGATAAACAATTTTTCCCAAAGGTGAAGTTTAAACACTGAAATTGACTACTTGGAGGTTATCTACAGTGACTTACTTATAGTGTGAAGTCTGTTTGTCTTTTTAAGATTCTGAGTGGAACAAGGAATTTTATTGGTTTTACAATATTTTTTTTTTCTGTGAGAACTTTTCTATCAGCAATTTTACTCCGATTACCAATAATACCACTTTTTCTAAAAAAAAAAAATGGGAAAATAAGTACAATTTTAAACACATATTATTATGGAAAATATATAATGCATATGTAATTATTTTACCATAATATAACATATATATTGTTGACATAGCAAGATTCAATCAAAAAGAATCAACCAAACTCTGCTCAGAATGGTTATTTTCATTAGCGATAGTTTATCGTTGCTTACAGTGTATAACAATGTATAAGTATAAAGTAAGTACAATAAAGTATAACAATGGCTGCACCTGTTTCCAGTATTCCAGAACAGCTCTTTTTTTTGGTTTCTTTTTAGATTCTGATTTGAGGGAGCTATTGATTTTACAATGCTGTTTATTTCTTCTTTCTATGTTCTTGTTTGTTAACGTGTTTTTTCCTAGTAAACTTACTTTGGTTTTTACATGTAGCAAGAGAGGTAATTTTTTGATTTTCAACACCATTTTTTAAATAAAAACACCTAAGTAGGAAAAAAATAAATACGGCTCCAATTGAAAAACGACAAGAGACAATATTTTTGTTGAATTTTATTTTTTTTAATAAGTGTTTTGAAATCAAATTTAAACGAAAATTGCAAAAAAAAATTTACGGCACTTCAAATTATGTATTAATGAACTGCACTCAGTATCGTCTTTCGTCAGCAATGATTTATTGTTGCTTACAGATATATATAAAATAACCTTATGTTTCCTACTTTCCTAACTTCTCATCTACAACAGTATCTGCTTTTTTTTAAAAATTAATTTGATATTCTCACATGTTGTAAACTAATACAAATATATAAAACTCACAAAGTAATATACATATATCTTTGATTAATAGTATGATTTAAATTGTTGATGCCAGGACAAATATTAGAATAATTGTGTTTTGTATTTTTATCGTAAATTTTTAATAATTATTAGTTAAAAGTAAATATGTATGTCTTGATTGAAATAATAATTAGTTGTAACAGAATATATTTTTATTTCTAGCTATTCAGAGGTAATATTAATGGAGATGACCCTGCAAGAAATATATTTGAAGTTCCTATCATAGCACAATGGATTAGAATTAATCCAACCAGATGGAGAGATAGAATTTCATTGAGATTAGAACTTTATGGATGTTCTTATTGTAATTATTATTTAATCAATTTTATAAAAAAAAAAAAAAATTATTAAATCGATATAATAAAACATTTATATGTTTATTTTAGCATCGGATAGTCTCTATTTCAATGGTACTTCATTAGTACGTTGGAATTTAAAGGATTCTCCAGTTTCTGCTCATAGAGAATCCATTAGATTTAGATTCAAAACTAATGTAGCAGATGGAGTTTTGTTGTATGGTATTGGATCGCAAGGCGATTACTTAGCTTTGCAACTTAAAGATAATCGATTACTGTTAAATATCAATTTAGGTACCTATATTAAAATCACTTTCAAAAAAATATGGTGCTTATATTGAATTTTAATATTTTCAGGATCACAAATTATGACTAGTTTATCAGTTGGAAGTTTATTAGATGATAATATTTGGCATGAAGTTATAATAATGAGAAATAGGCTTGATGTTGTGTTTTCTGTAGATCGTGTTACAATTCAGGGTCGCATTAAAGGCGAATTTGAAAGACTTGATCTAAATCGTGAAGTATAAAAATTAAAATACTAATCATTTAATATTTATTAATAAATAAATAATATTTATGTATGTATTTTTCCCAAAAGATATTTATAGGTGGTGTACCACATTTAGATGAAGGGCTATTAATTAATAAAAATTTCTCTGGGTGTATTGAAAACCTTTATATGAATTCAACTAATATGATATATTTAGTAAAAGAATCTTATAACTCTGGAGATTCATATTTAATGCAAAAATATCAAAAGATAAATACATTGTATACTTGTTTGGTATGTCTGAAATTGAAAATAAATTTTCAAATAATTATTAAAATATAATTTTTATTAGGAATCACCTGTTATACCTGTTACATTTTTAACACGAGCATCTTATGCGAGAATTAAAAGTTATGAAGGAATGAAAAAAATTAATATATCATTATCATTTCGTACTTATGAAGAAAAAGGATTGTTGGCCCATCACAAATTTTTAACTAACGGATATGTTAAGGTATTTTAGTAAAATGGCTTCAGTCGTGTTTTACTTTTTGACTTTGTGATTTACCTGATGATGAATTTTTTTGTAACTGGTTGTACAATATACAGATCATAAATTATAATTTATTTATTTATTTATTTATATTTATAAATTACTTATTTATGAGTGTTAACCATTTAATAATATTGTTTTTACTTTATTATTTTATTACATTTATTTGGTTGGTTATTGTTTAGTTATACTTGGAAAATGAGCACATTAAAGTGGAGGTGGTAACCAAAGATGATACACAAATAGTTTTAGACAATTATGAAGAAAGTTTCAATGATGGTAAATGGCATAGTGTTATTTTAACACTTAGAAATGATTTTTTGGAACTTAATGTGGATAATAGGCCTATGCAAACCATTCGACAGTTAGATTTTATGACTGGATTAAATTATTTTATTGCAGGTAAGATATTATATTTCTATTTGATTGTTTTGTTCCTTAATATTGAATTAAATAATAAAATATTATTCTATAATTTGTAAACTATTTTATTTCAGGAGGTATTTATCGTACAGCTGGATTTGTAGGGTGTATGCGTTTAATTACAGTTGATGGAAATTATATGTTACCAACTGATTGGAAACTAGGAGTACATACTATAACAGATATATTTTGTGAAATAAATAGTTATTATTGATTATTTTTTTTAATTTTAGGAAAGTTATTTTGGTGAAAAAGATATATTATTTGATGCATGTCAAATGATTGATCGTTGTAACCCAAGTCCATGTAAACATTCTGGAACTTGTAAACAAAATGCTGACGAATTTTTTTGTGATTGTGGAAGTACAGGATATGGTGGTGCTGTGTGCCAAACACGTAAAAAATTTAATTTATATACATATAAACATATGTATTTTAATTGATTTTTTTTAATAAATATAGCATTACATCCATTATCATGTCGTGCATTTAAAAATGTAAATCCAGTAGGACAAAATTCTGATATCAAAATAGATGTTGATGGAAGTGGACCATTAAAACCATTTCCTGTTACTTGCCAATATTATGGTGATTGTCAATTTTATATTTATTTTTAATAAAAATAATATTTAAAATTGTACTTTTGTAACCTTTAAATACAGTTTTTGAATTACAAATAATTTAATGAAATTTGGTGAATGTTATGAAATAAAAATTGTTAAACTAACAAGTTGCTTAAACTTATTAAAATGTTTAGCTGATGGAAGAATAGTAACCACAGTTAGACACCAGAGTGAGAGTGGTTCCACTGTTGATGGTTTTCAAGAATCTGGAAGTTTTAAACAAGACTTCATATATGATGCAGACTTGTTTCAAATTGAAGCACTTATTAATCGATCACATTCATGTTGGCAACCATTAAGTTATTCTTGCAAAAAGTCTAGATTATTTAATTCTCCAGGTATTAAATATAATAAAATTAACTTTTTACAAAATATTAATTACATTTAATAATTAAAAGCAAATGAATTGGATTTTCGACCATTTGGATGGTGGGTGTCAAGGCATAATCAAAAAATGGACTATTGGGGTGGTTCAATTCCAGGATCATATAAGTGTCAATGTGGTATAATTGGTGATTGTAAGGATTCTACTAAATGGTGCAATTGCGATTCAGGTAATGATAAAAACATAATAAGCAATATTTACTTCATTATTGTCACTATCCTTATTTCATCTAACTATTTAAAATTGTCTGTAGGTTTTGATACTTGGCTCTCAGATGGAGGTGATATAAGAGAAAAAGAGCATTTGCCTATTAAACAAGTAAGATTTGGAGACACTGGAACTCCTCTTGATGAAAAAGAAGGAAGATTTAAAGTTGGACCTTTAATGTGTGAAGGCGATGGTAACATCTTATTTATTATTTTTAATAGATATTTATAAAATAATTCTAATAACCTTAAACCTTTCATGGTTTATTTTATAGATTTATTTAACAATGTAGTAACTTTCCGCAAACTAGACTCACAAATTCGTTTGCCAACATTTGACTTTGGACAAAATGGTGATATTTATTTTGAATTTAAAACAACTATTGAAAGTGCTATAATTTTTGAAAGTCACGGACCAAATGATAATATAAAATTGTCCCTTATATGTAAGAAAAAAAAATATATTTTTCTTAATGTTATAAGTAAATTAATTATTATTATATTTTAAGAAAATTATGTGATTATTTTATTTGTTTATAGCTGGTCACACTTTACAATTTAATTATCAAGCAGGCAGTGGACCTTTAAGTGTCCGCGTTGAAACTTCTGACAAACTTAATGATGATCAATGGCATTCAGTTGTTATAGAAAGAAATAGGTTTGTTATTTCTCAATTAATCAAATTCATTTTTATAATCGCTTTATTTTGTTCAAATTTAGAAAAGAAAGTAGGATTATCGTAAATGGTGCCTTAAAACAATCAGTAAAAGAACCTCCAGGTCCTGCACGTGCATTACATTTAACATCGGACTTTGTCATTGGTATGTGGTTATGAACTAACTATCTTTTCATCAAATGTATTATACCTATATATATATATATATATATGATTGATATTTTAGGAGCATCATCTGATGAACAAAATGGTTTCATTGGTTGCTTGAGAGCATTTATGTTAAATGGAAAACTAGTTGACTTAAAGTCATATGCCAACAAAGGATTGTATGGTATTTCTCCTGGTTGTATTGGTAAATGTGATAGTAGTCCATGCCTTAATAATGGAACATGTTTTGAAAAATATGATGGTTATACTTGTGACTGTCGATGGACTGCATTTAAAGGACCAATTTGTGCTGATGGTAAATATATTTTTTTTTAACTTAATTTTTTAAAAAAATAGTTAATATTCATACATTTTTTACTATTGTATATTTTTATGAAATATGTTTAGAGATTGGTGTCAATCTTAAGGCTAATTCAATGATTAGGTATGAATTTGAAGGAATATGGAGATCAACTATATCAGAAAACATAAGAGTTGGTTTTACAACTACTAATCCGAAAGGGTTTTTACTAGGGCTATTTTCAAACATTTCAAAAGAATATATGACAATCATGGTATCTAATAGCGGTTAGTATTTAATAACAATATAAAATTAAATATTCAAATTACTTAAATACAAACATTAAAACAATTTAATTAATTTTTTATTATTATTGGTAGGTCATTTACGAGTTGTATTTGATTTTGGATTTGAACGTCAAGAATTAATCTTTCCAGATCAACATTTTGGTCTTGGACAATACCATGACCTAAGAATTAAACGAAAAAATGCTGGTGCAACTCTCGTTATGGAGGTATTATATTTAAGTATATAATAATTAAATAATAATAATAATTTAATAAAATTATTATTGTATACAACTATACATATTGTAACTATTAAAAAGGTTGATGGGTCTGACCCTAAAGAATTTAATTTCAACATCAAGGACTCTACTGACGCTCAATTTAATAATATTCAATATATGTATATTGGGCGTAATTCTTCCATGACTGAGGGTTTTGTTGGTTGTGTATCACGTATTGAATTTGATGATATTTATCCTCTGAAATTGTTATTCCAACAAGATGGACCTCCAAATGTCAGTGGAATGAACAGTAAGGATAATAAATATATATATTATAGTAAACCTAATAACTTATAACTAGGTGATTAGTGGATGAATATTTCAGTACAATATATGAATTATTAACTACTTACATATTGAAAAATTTAATGTATAATTTATTTATTAAAATTAACTAGCCACAATAAAAGAAGATTTTTGTGGTGTTGAACCTGTCACACATCCACCACCAACAATTGAAACTAGACCCCCTCCTATTTTAGATGAAGGTAAAGTTAAGGATGCATACAATGAGACTAATTCTGCTTTAATTGGTGGTAAATATTTGTATTAATTATATTTATTAATTTTTCATGATATATATTTTATTTAAAATGGTTTGTCTTCTAGGGATATTTTCAATTATTTTAATAGCAATTCTCGTACTTCTATTTTTGGTTGGTCGATATGTGGCACGTCATAAAGGAGATTATATTACACAAGAAGATCGAGGAGCTGATATTGCATTGGATCCAGATGATGCTGTCATGCACTCAACTACTGGACATCAAGTACAGAAAAAACGAGAATGGTTTATTTAATTAAATATTGTATTATCATTATTATTATTTAATCAATAGAAAATTCCTTAAATTTTAATTTAATATTAATAGTGAATTAATTATTAAATAATTATTCATTATTTTCTAAAAGTACATTTCATAATCTTATAAAATTAATTTTAACATTAATACACATACATTTTAATTGGGTATTGTGCCATTTTGTATGGAATAAAAAAAATCAAATTTATACCCACCAATAATTGAATAATATAAATTATTCAATTGTTGGGTAGGAAAAAAGAACAAAAAATATGAATGCACAAAATATTATTCGACTTAGTACATTTCAATTTAAACAAGTATTATTTTATTTAATAACAATTTTATATTGTATTTTTTTATTTTATACAATTATTATTATTTTAATGTTATATTATTTAAGACTTACAATTTTATTTTATTAGGTACCAATGATTCTTATCATTTTAAGTTATTTGAATCTCGTTTTTTTGGTAAGTCAATCTACCAATACTGACTGTCTAAATTATAAATAATATTAATATTAACTGGTTATGAAACATGATACTTTTATGTAAATGTTAAAATATAAAGGTGAATTTAATAATATAATTTTAAATGCTGTTTAAATTATTAAAGCAACATTTTACTTAAAAAAAAATATTTTAATCTGTTACAATACATTCACAGTAAGGATTATTTATTACTGACTGATTATAAATTTTATAAATGTTATTATTTTCACCTTTAATTTTTAACCTGTTACCTATAAAGTATTAGAGGCACTCAAACTTATTTTTTTTAAATATTTTATACACAATCCGTCCATAATATAGTATACCATAAATTTAATTATTTTATAAGAAATTTTATATTATAGAAAGATTTTATTCTTTGTACTCCAACTTAAGTTTATAATTTTTATGAAATGTGATATTTTATCGAAATTTAAAAAGTATTATTTTTATTTAAGTATACTTTAAATTATTGTAAGCTGCACTTTTGTACTAAAAAAAAAAATTGTTTTATTTAAAATTCACATAACAATGCAATTTCTAACTACATTTTTATAAAATTCATGTATTTACATCAAATATAAATATCATGAACAATTTTTTTGTTCTAGAAATATTTTTTAGAATTATTAAAAATTTGTATTTTTTTTGAAGAACATGACAGTCTATTGATGATTACTCTTGGTTGATTGTCCAGCTTATGGTTTATTAACCTGATTATATATATATATTAACAAATCTCCAATATCAGTGGCGGATATATCCTAGGGGGCTTTTTTCAAATTTAGAGGTTATGGATTTTGTTCCCTCCAGTGATTATTTTAGAACGTTTAGGTAATTTTGAATTGCATTTTAAAAAAATTTAATGATTGAACTACACTCAAATGAAAAAAAATGGTTTTACTTGCACGCATTTCAAAAATGTTTTTTAATATAATTACAAGTAGATAAGTATTTTTTACCTATATTTTAATATAAAATACAGTCACGCAAGACCTTCAACTACACAATATCAGAAAAAAGCAGTGATACTAAAAAATATATTACCTTGTACACTCAAAAGTCAATTACTAGAATTGTGTATTTAAATTAAATTTCTGATTAATATAAAAAAAATTACTTCAAATACTATTAAAAATAATCTAAATTGATTCAAATACGCTTTTTATTTATGTGTACACTTAAAACTCATTTTTAACTTCACTAATAATTAAAATCATTGTCAGTGTTAACCCTAAAAGTGGGTAGAGAAAAACGAGTGTTCCTTTCACATTTTTTAACCTAAATGCAATTTGACCATTTTTACAACTGATATTTTGGTTGAAAACCTTATTTTTGAAACACTACATGTTTCAGAGATATTGTAGACATATCTTTTTCTATAATATTTGATCAAATCTACTATTGATATTTTAAAAAAAATTTGATTTACAATATTGGCTAATACTAATACTCCTCGGTAGTATTTATATTTTATTAGTTTAAATATTAAGTTATATGTACCCTTTAGTGGCATCAAACCTTTATATTAGTTGTGGCAACTGCCTCATCCAATTTAAGGGTTGTGTTTACTCCCTAGCATTAGTAGTTTACTGTAAAACATTGTACATTTTACAATATTAATATAAGAAGCAGTAGACATAATATTAAAAATAATGTGAACTAGTCTATTCCTAGATTCCCATAGTGTATACTGTGTGATTGCATTAATAAAACTGATAATTAACTAACTATTTAATTAAGTTTTATAATAAATAACCAATAGTACCAAGTATATTTCTAAATCTATAATAGCGACTACTGCTAGTTCATGGTATTGTACATATGATATACAGAATGAAAACAAAGCGATAGCATTATTATTATTTTACAATTTTTGGTTACATTTTTTTTAAATATGTGTTTTTCAATACTAATTTTGTTTCAATTTTTTGATCATAATCATTAAAGGAGTTATGGAAGTTTCAAGTTTGTTGTATTAGCACTTTAAGTGCAACTATAGAAATCTAGTGGGCTCACTGGCCCATTGCTCTCCCTCGGACTGTTTTAAACGAAAATAAGCATAGATTTATTTTACAATACCACGTCGAGTAGGTAATAGAAAAAAAATTTGATTGAGTGAACCTCGAGGAAAAATCAAAATGTTTAAATCACATACGGAGATTATTATTACGTGTTTATTTACAAAAACAGTACCACGCCGGTAAAATGTAAATAAATGGCTATAAAACAACTATGTATTTAACCAAAAACCGTAATAATGACAACTTCCATAACTTCTTTAATAATGTTTTCCGCAAAAAATTGAGAGTTCTGAAATCAACATAAAAAAACGCTCATTATAAAAAAAAAATTTTAAAAAAAATGGTGTCCAGTAAAACAGATTTATACCATTTGCTGTTTTCTTTTGAGTTTGTACTAATTATTTTGAAAACCCCTAAGAAAATCAAAACTTGACATCTTTAGTGCACTAACTAGAAAAACAATCTTTCAGAAAAAGTTTTACATTCTATACATCGAAGCAAGATTTCTGGTAGAGGTTTTTCACAAACAAAAAAAAAAAATAATAACAATACAGAAACACACATAGTAAAACAAATATATTCCTGTCGATGTCAAATATCAATATAAGTTTCTATAATGGTCAAATAAATAATTTCTATGTTAATTAAAAATTAAAGTACCTATTACAAGTTTGCTAAAACCTGGTCTAAGGATCATTTATCTCTAATAGGTACTCTAATAGATATTCTACTCTAGTCTTTAAACATTTAAACTAATACATTCGTAATCTATTTGTTTAAATATTTAATGATCTAATATTGCAGGTATGTTTTTATCATACACATATTATAATATTCTATTAAATGTATAGATAAATAAAAATATTTTATATATCTATGGTTTTTATTATCTATGGTTGGTATACGGTTATAGATAATATTCAATATATAAAATCGTGGTCCAAACTAGGTACTAAAACCTGAATGATAAACCACGACAGGTTTATAAGCGTTATAGATGAACGAGGAAAAAATTAAATCCATCTGAATTCGATTTGAACTTCAATAGTTCAGTCTTTTAAATTATATATAATTTTATAATTGACATAATTATATAATCACTTATTTTAATCTTTGCATTAATAGTTGAGGAAATTGTATTTAGTAAAATATTTTAAAACTGAAAAACGATTATTGAAATCAATATCAATTAGTTGGTATGAATAAGTACCTACTTTACTTTGTAAGTAATATTATTTACTTGATATGTTTTATATTTAATTTAAGTATTTAAGTCATGGTTACATACAATTACTTATAATTTAAATTTTTTATTGTATTAATAATATACAAGTTTGAAAATTTACTAATTTGATTAAAAATAATAGTCAGGAGTAGGTAACACTATTTTTTGTATTTAGTGATCCAAAATATAGTATAACTACTAGAAATACAATATAGTTATATTTATATAGAACACTATAGTAATTTAAGTGTGGTGAATTAAATATTAAAAAATCAAGGTTATTTTAATTCAACAACTAGTTACTATCTATCAGTAATAAAAATTTTGGTTGAAGTATGGCTTTTGGGCCCGAGAAAAAATGGTACATAGATTTTTTTGTTTGTATAATCTTAGAAAAATCTCCATTGGTCAGATTTTTGATTTTTCCATTTTCAGCCTGTACGCACTCTTAAATTTTTTTATTTTTTATTATGAAATTATATATTTGTAAGTACTTATTATTATTTGTGAAAATAAGATTTTTGAGTTTTTATCAATTCTCTACATATATATGAATTGTAAATGTGAGAAGTGAATTATCGTGTACAACATTATGTAGGTAATTCCAACTATTTTATTTTAATTAGTAGACCAATTGAAAAGATCTGTGCAATAACAAGGTAACTCCCCTTTTCATAACTGTTCAGGAGACAAACAATTTTAAAAATATTGTACCTATTTCCAATAAAATTAATTTTAAAGTCAATTTATATACATTAGAAAATGATAAAAAAAAGATTCTGTAGTATTTGGTTTGGTTTTCATAATTACTTTTAAGATGAGAGCTAATATTAACCTTAATTTTAATCTGCCAAAATCCCATTTTTGAAAAGAATGGAATTACTTTGTTATGGCACGGACCCTTTCAATTTAATTATTGTATTGTGAAAATTATATAAAATGTGTAGGTACTTACTATTAAAAATTTGATATTAATTATAAACTGATAAAACAAATATTTTGTATTTAAAACTGTTCTTTTTAATAACAACCCTATTAAAACATCCCTTTTTAGGGTTACCAAATTTATAAATTCATTAAAAAAAATCAACATTGTTTGTAAAAATCAGTTGAAAAGTATGAAAATCGAAAATTTGATTGATGGAAGTTTTTCTATGACAGCATACTAACAAAAAATGTAAGAGATGTTTATCGATATTCTGACATTTTTTCTCAGACCCAAAAGTCAACCATAATATAATATAGATTCACCATCATGTTTTTATTATTAATAATTAATTATTCATACATTTTTAAACTTTCGAATATTTTTGAAAATAAAATGTTTTATTATTTTTCAGATCAATTTGTGATTATGAATTCTGTATCTAATATAGATGACCCTCGTTTTCGAATAACTCCAGTTCAACAGATGGCTGCTGCATGTTCAGGAGCATTAATCACATCATTTTTTGGTTAATTTTTTATAATATAGTGTATATATAAAAAACAATGCAATTAATGTACATTCAATTTTTTAGTTACTCCGTTGGATGTTATAAAAGTGCGCATGCAAGCGCAATCAAGAATTACTGCTAAAAATAAATGTTTTTTTTATAACAATGGATTAATGGATCACATTTGTCCATGTAATCCATTAAAAAAAAATGGTTCAAATGGTTATTACAGAAATGTTCCATGGTTTGACAGGCCTAGTCAATTTACTGGAACTCTAGTAAATACTTCTGCTAATGTTCATTGAAATAAAACAATTGAGATATTTTTTTATTAAATGTTTAGGATGCTTTTAAAAAAATCAGCAAAAATGAAGGAATTTTATCATTATGGAGTGGTTTAAGTCCAACATTAATACTTGCATTGCCTGCTACTATCGTTTACTTTGTATCATATGAACAGATTCGGCGTTCTGTTCAAGATTTAAAAAAGCCATATTATGACACTAAACATAATCAAAATCAGCCACTATGGATTTCTGGCTTATCAGGATGTCTTGCCCGTTTTGGTGCTGCTACATGTGTAAGTCCGTTAGAACTAATACGAACAAAAATGCAATCAAAAAAACTTAGTTATTTAGAAGTGCATCAAGCATTACAAAGTTTATTACAATACCATGGTTATAAGGGTCTTTGGAAAGGCCTTGGTTCTACTCTTCTTAGAGATGTTCCTTTTTCTGGTAAATAATTAATATTTTTGTTTGTAAATAGTATAATAATTTTAATTTATTTTCCTTTTCATTGCTCCAAATATATTATAATGTTCTTATTAAATAGAAAACTAAATACACGACGCTCATATAATACCTAAGAGTGGTGATTATACTGAAAAATAAAAAAATGTAATCCATTATATTTTGATGTAAATAAATTTTTAATTTCAAAATTTGGTTTTGTAAAATTAAATTACAACAAATAATATTATTTTTATGTTACATAGATAGATTGCAGAGCATGATATATTTTAGCAGTGAAAAGAATAATGTTTACAATTTGTATTCCTTAAAATGTATTTAAAAAAAAAATGTTTTTATTTTTATAAGGAATATATTGGGTTACGTATGAACGTATTAAACAAGCAACTGCTAAACCTACTTTTATGTATAATTTCATTGCTGGGTGCATAGCTGGTTCGGTAATGTATTTTTAATTCATTTTATTATTGTTAAATTAATATTTTGTAGCTTTCTAGAAGCTTATTTGTTATGCTCTTGGGTTCATATTGTATTTCTTGATTTTGCCGAGTATATTTATTAATTTTTTATAATCCATAGATTTGTTTAATGATGCAATAGAATTTACTTTACGTTTCCTAATTTCTGTGTCTTTTTCCAGCTAGTTGTATTATTTAACTCAATTGAAACTTGCAACCTTATCATATTTCAAATAAATTATATTCTATCTTTGGGTTATAAGAACATTGCATTGGTAATAATTGTGTGTTTCTCTTTGTAGAATTTGTTCAGTTATTCATCTCTTTGAATTTGGTTTTCAAGTCTAAACTTTTTTTTATAAAAAAAAATATTTCCCTACCCTATTATATTATTCCAGTATCTTTGTAGAATCTATTGCTATTTTTGATATTTCTTCATTCCTGTAACTGTTGACATGTATATATTATATTGGTTTTATAAATATATCTATTAGTTTTAAATATCTATATTTATTTCATTGAAGATTATAATATACTTTATTTTTTGTTCTTTAGTACAATTATTACTGTGATCTTGTATTAATTTCTATTAAAACATTTAATATTTTACTGAACAAAAATTTACATGTCCTTTCTATTTCAAATAATCAATGTTTACCTAAGACATTAATACGTTAATTTTGTAATATTTCACTTCAATTTCAAATTGTTTACTTACTTCCTTGTAATCCTCTCTCACATAAGTAGGATAAACTATGTATAAGTTTATTATAAATAAGATAATATATATATATATATAAATATTACATTTATTGGTTTAGTTTTTGTTAATTCTATAACTCTATAACCCTGTAAACATTGACATATTTCAATAAGTACTTTTAAAATGTTTTAGTTAGCTGCAGCACTAACAACACCATTTGATGTTGTGAAAACATTTCGACAAATTGAATTAACTGAAAAAGAAATCATTACAGGTTAGTTGAATTCATTATATAATTTATTAAAGAGGCTACCAAATGAGGAAAATATTTCAAAGAAACAAATTATAGAGACATGTTGGTATAATGGAATAATATTTTGACTGTTAGAAACCTATTTAGCATAAGTAACACTTTTCTTAAAATTCTTAATTCACTTTTTGGTATTTTATAACAAGTGACAGAAATAAATCTATTATGAAATAATATTTTTCAGGAAATCATAAATCACTGACAATATAAAATAAGAAAATAAAGATCTTTTGTCACCTCACACCACCTAACACAACCAACCTCACCCTAATAATTATTAAACCTGAAAAGTACGGTTTAATATTTCATTTTCTTAATTTTTACTACCCATAAATTATGTTGCCTCGTGAAATATTATTTTTTATTAGTAAATTCCTTTATATTATTATTCTCATATAATACTATTCCTAATCAAAATTTAATTCCCTAGAAATATATTATTCCTTAAAAATACAGTTTTATTCAAATAATTTACTGATTTATATGTACTCGTATGTTAACAAAATATAAACCTAAGTTTTAATTTCAGAACCTCCTGGGAAAGCTTCAAAATGGACAGTAAAAGCGGTTATTGATATTTATCAAAGAAATGGTGTATCTGCAATTTTTAGTGGTTTAGTTCCTCGGATGATCAAAATAGCACCTGCATGTGCTATAATGGTATCCACATTTGAGTATGGAAAACAATTTTTTGAAAATAAAAATATGGAATATTATAATAAAAAAATTGAATAAAATGTATTTGTTTGGCAATTCATTTAATGATTTAATGTTTCTTTCAACAAATTAAAAATAAATATAGAAAAATTTGTCTGAAAAAAATCAAATATAATTTATATCATTACTTTAAAACCATAGAAGTTGTTACCATTAGCATAGAAAACGAAATGATGAAATAGACAAATAATTCTAAGTTATTGTTAATTAAAATTATTGTTTTATTTTCCATGAAAAATATAGTTATTAACCATAGGGTTATATGTATATTATGTCTATGCTATTACCTAGAGAGCCTAGATAGTAGACAATCTAAGCTCTTTACTATTACCTAAATAATAATTTATTATAATGGATACATTCATCATTTTATTATGAACTAGAAAGCAATTTACTCAAACAATTCCAAGTGAATTTGATTTCTATTTATTTTTATAAAAATTATGGAATCGTTTATTATAACCATGATATACAAGAACTTGTATGAAGTTCTTCTTAGGCCATGATTATAACACTATTTTTAATTTTATATCCCTACTCCTTATATCTGAAATAAGTATCCACTTTTGAAATATCCTGCCTTTGAATCACAAATTCAAATAGAGAATATTTTTCTAGACATTTTGTTATGCATAACAATAATATTAGATTTACTTTTTATGAGTTAAAACCTGCATGTTTTTTAGTTTTGCTATGTCCAAATAGAGTTTTAATGTGCAATGTTCACAATTTATATCTTCTTATGAAAATGCTACTATTTTTATTTTGCATGATTTTGAATATATTAAGCTTGATGCATTTTTGGTATGTATTATTGTATTTAAATTTTAAACCGGTAATAATTAAACTAATTAACGTATAAAACTTGGTTTTTGGTTAAAGATAAATTTTGTTTTTATAAATACAATCTGTTACAATATGCGATAATACTTTGAGTGTTTGACGGATAAACACAATAAGAATATATAGGTATAAATAAAAAATTTATTGGGTATTAGTGTAATACACACAATCCCGATCTATGTTGTACAACACGTTCAGCTGTTCGTGCATCATTGTAGTAGACAATATTTTACAGTGTGATTTTTATTAAAATGGAAAAATAAAGGATTTAAAACTATAATCAATAAATAAAATACTAAATGGCGAATCAGACGAGGCAAATTTTAGTTGTAATTTAACAATCTTAACACCAAGACAAATTATTTTATTTAAATATGTGCCAACTGCATCATGTGATGTTAAAAGAAACTTCAGCCAATACAAATCTATACTACGATCTAATCGACCATCATTTCTATTAGAAAATTTTTAACATTTAACACAAAATGCCTAAATTTTACATTTTTTTTCTATTTTAATGATTAGTTAAAAGTATAAAGTTTTATATAATTTTGAATGCATATCAAGGGCGTCATTTGGGGGAGGGGCAAGAGTATGCATTTACCCAACCCTAGATTTTAAAATAGCTTTAGCTGGCTGCCATGGATCAACTCTACAACTACTACAGGCTGTAAAATAACATACATATCATTACCCGTTTTTTAGGATTAGAATATAATAAAAATGAAAATGCAGCAATTTCATGATTGAATAAAAATGTAGAATTATTTAGTAAACTATATTATATAATAAAGTATTTAGGTAGGTACTTACTTTGTACAACTTTTTGTTACCTATACAGTGGTAAATAGAAACACAAAGAAGTTCACAATCCTTTAACTATAAGTTTTTAATATTTTTTTAAAACCAAAAAAATTATAATGAAATATATTATTAATATCTAATATTATGTATATAATTTTTGTCCAAGCAACTTTTCTACCAGTACTCCAATAATCAAACATAAGTGTGGTTTTGGGTAGAAAATGTTGTCTAGTTTGTTTTTATAAAGATTTTTTGATTTTCGTTGTAGTTTTCTTAATGATTGGGAAAAATAGGAAAGTTTTCGGATTCATTAATTCCTAGTGTTTTTTTTTTTGTCATTCAATTAAAAATAATTTTAGAGACCTTAAATTTCAAGGAATAGGTACTAATAATACCTTCTCTACACGTGATCAAATTTTGAAAGCATTCCAGCGATTATCCGACCTTATCAACTTAGATATTTCAATTCTAGACATCAGATTAATATTTACAGACTGTTTTTTATACAAATCACGGCCTTAGACAATAGCTAAATTTCAAATAAAAAATAAAATAATGATTAAATATACTTATTTACATTACAAATTTATAAGTATAACATTATAATTTATAAAAAAATTAATTTGATGTAAACAAAAAAATGTTTATACTCCACAATCTTTAGGATAATGATCAGAATATTTCGATAAATGATCTTCCAATGAGTTCATTTGAGTTCTGTAAAATGTAAAAAATAATTCTGATTAATTTTACTTAACATGTATGTGTGTATGTTTTAAGTATGATATATGTGTGTTCTGGGCATAGTGAGGAATGTGTTGGTTTAACAATGATTTTTATTTTTTTTTAGATTCGGAGCATAGCGAGTGATATATTGGTTTTACTGGTCTGTGAACAACTTTTCTACCAAAAATGTTACTCCAAAATGTTTTACGAAAATCATAAAAATCACGGCATTTTTAAATCTGTTATTAAAATTATACGACTCAAGAGAAATGCTTAAAAATTAAACATAAGTCACATTATAAGTTGTACTTAATAAAATATCAACACAAATTATTATATTTCAACAATATTATTAGACTTGTCTCAGAACCGAAAAGCTTTGCGATAAGAAACGAAAGCCACTAATTTAGAGAAAAATAGGTAAATAAACACACTTCACTGTACAGGCATATAAACTGCATAGGGGTGAAGTCGTGAACATAGTCACTGATATTACAGCTAAATTTGTAGACTAAATAATTTAATTTAACAAAAATATGGCCCGGAAAAGCTAGCGGGACAACTAGTTTAACAATAATAGTGAAGCAAAACTGGTAAACTTAGATAATGTAGTTAAATAAACTAATGATAAATAGTTGTGTTGCGGGTCTTCAAGAATAGTGAATACCATGTGCCTTTTGCAATTATAATTGCAAGAGTAATTGCAACAATAAATGTTGTCGTGTCATTCCACGGGGCCGGAAAGATGTGCAACCCAATGCCATCCTTGAGGGGAGCAGGGTCAAATGCATTAAACTTAGATTTGTGATGTCACGTTAAAACAAGAAAATATGAAAATATTTAAAATTTCACCCGTTGCCTCGCAAACCTTATGGACAGCCATATAGTTAAAGAAAAACAGTATGTCACAGATGTATTTCTTATACAAATTAATACATTAGGTATATTATGGATGCCTTACATAACTCCATATTGTGTTTCATTCCTAAAGTCACCTACAGAAAGTCTAAATTTCCTCCATGGGTGTCTTTTGAACTAATAAATCTAACTCGTAAAAAGAATCAACTGCATGCATTAAGGGTGCTGAATCCAAATCTGTTATCAGTTTTTAAATCAAACCCTAATTCAGGGTATTAATGACAGAGTCACACTTTAAAAACAGTAAACACATATTGTGTCCCATTGCATAGAGACCATTTGAGAAAACATTTTTGAAAAATCTTGTATTTTGGATACAATTTCACTTTCATATTCAAAACTCCTTTTTTGGTTGTTGTTTTTTTACGAATTTTGTAAAGTAAAATATTTTTTGATTTTAGCTAGGAAAGCTTCATTGCACCTTTACCACATAAGAAATTAAATAAATCTTCGTGGGTAAAATGTATAATATTTCTACCAATACTACAACCAGCTAAAAACCCAGTTATATTATTACAATATAATATTTTTTAATTTCACACAAGTTAAAGGGGTTAGAAATCTTATTTATTAGTCAAAATATCTACATACAATTTTAAAAAAACAGACAGTTGCGTATCCAGACATTTATTCAAGAAGAGAGAACAACATTAGAATAGATTCGTGTTAACTTTATATAAAATATAAAATGGATATTTTTAAATTTAAAAATCAATTTTATACATTTTAATTTTTTAAAAAAATATATATATTTAAATATTTATCTAATTAAAATAGGTTAATAAGTTTATTACCTTTATATGTACATTACATTGTATGTACAAATTTACTCAAACAATTTCATTATTAAATATATGCATGGATGCACAATTTGAAATAAAATGAAACAAAATGTGTGTGAATGCAAATAATAGAGATATAATTATATAAATTATAAACTTTATCTGGGATTAAATAATATATGACAGTTATTTTAAAAATACGAACCAACTAATGGGTATGTACAGATAGTATGTAATGATAATATGTTATAAAAATAATATTTTATCTTGGTTAATAATTTGGATTTTATGTATACTATACATACTTTTCACTTCTTAAACCTGCCGATGAATAACAAAATAACATTATGTTCCGTATTTATACTTACAATAGATGCTCTGGAATTTCGTAATAAACATCATTAAACATTTCTTTCCAATTTGGTTTATTTTTTTTGGATGCAATTGTAAATGTTTGCATTAACTAATATCAAATATTTCAAAATTATTAAAGAATATAGTTATTAATGTATGTAAGTTGAATATATAAATAAAATAAATTATATAAGTATTATTTACTTGTTTTTTGGTTTCTTTCGTGTATTCGGAATCAAGTTGATCATTCCAGAGATCTTTTGTCTTTAAAAATTGTTTAAGTCTTTTAATTGGACTCTCGTTTGACCAATTTTTAATTTCATCTTTAGATCTATACGCAGTACTATCATCAGAAGTACTGTGGTGCCCCAGCCTAATTAATTTTTATACTTTTACGATAATGGTTTATGTTTGTTTAACGGTTTAACGTAGGTAGTTAAATATCATTAAAAAAAATGAATAACCTGTAAGTCATTGCTTCTAATATTAATGGTCTTGTGTTATTCATTACATACTCTCGAGCTTTTAAAATCGCATTATATACAGCAATAATATCATTACCATCAACACGTATAGTAGCTATTCCGTAACCTGAACCATGACTCACAATACCATCTCCTCGATATTGTTCATGAGCTGGTGTTGATATAGCATATCCATTATTACGACTATATAAACATAAAAGTAAGTAACATTAATTATGGTAAAACACACGGGTATTTTTTTTTTTTTTTTATGAACCAACAATTATAAGTTATAACTACAAAGATTTTGAATACAATTAATTTTGGTTTTTTCAGTCATTATAAAACCGTTAAATTGTACTAATTACTTATCCTATTTTAAATATTTTAGCCTTACATCATAAATACATATCAATTTTTGATTTTCAAATAGGTAATAGCCATCCCCATTTTCAAAAGGTTCAGATTCTACGAAAGAAGCTTTTCTAACATTACTGTTATGCATCACACTAAAAATGATATCAAAAATGTAATCTGTATTAGTCGTGTCTTTTTCCAATTTAATCAAAGTAATCCAGACATCAACAAATCTAAATCCAATGTATCGTCATTTTTCATCAGGTTTTTTTATTTTTTTAGAAAATCTGTTAAGGTACAGTTTCCTGCAGTGTCCAGACGCCGAGACGCCTAGATTATGCATTTTGTGTATGACTGGTTTCCCTGCTGGCGTTTGATGCGGAGTCCGGGCCAGTGTTACATCCAGACGCTTAGCGTCAACATATCAGCAAATCACAAATTTTCATTTTCCTCAACTGAAGACGAAACTTTGATTTTCACTCACAGAAAGTAACAGTTATTTTCGATAGTTCCCATAAAATGCACAGAGATAATTTTTTCAAGGACAATATTTAAAAAAATATATTTGAAGAAGTAGGAAGATCAAGTCTGTAATGAATACTGTTCAAAATTAAATTTTGATTAATTTAAAAAAATTTAAAATTCAGAACTTGCGTGGAAGCTACGTGCAAAAGGAACAACGGTCACAGGGGTCCATAAGTTTGTAAAATTAAACTAAAAGAGGGGGATAAAATAATGAAATCTACGGCGTCTGACGCTAAGAGAAACGGAGTAAACGCTACATCTAGACTCTGCAGGGAAACTGTACCATTATAAATATAAAAACGCATTTGTTATTAAACTCTATTATACAATATTATTATACATTTAAATAGTATACAAATTAAATCGATATTTGCATTATTATTAAATTAGACTAGAGATGACATTATCAAAATAATAATTAATTATTAAAACTCCATACATATTATTATGAACTGCGAACACGAAAAATCAAAAACTGGAGCGCGATCCTAGTGGTGAAAAAGTCACGTCATGTGTTTTCAAAATTCTATAAACAACTATCTTAATTTTTTTATAATTTAGGAAAACCGCTGATTGCAGACGGGGAACGATTCGCAGTATGGCGTTGGGCACGTGTATATCATAAATTTTGTTATAATACAGATTATAAATGTACAACTATAAATAAACAGAGCACCCATAAATTTTCATCCGGGATTTACACTTATCGGATATTGTATTATTGCAGGATGTTTGAAAATACGATAAAATATTTCTGTACCCGTTATTTCCAAGAAATACACATTAAAATTGTACGCTTATTAAAATGTATTATTTTCATCAAATAATTGTTATAATTAAATAATTTTCTTTGTAATTTTATGGAACCGATAACAACTTGAACGAACCTAACATATTTGTATTTTTTATAAAAGGTTCTGGTTCTAGTGTGACCGTTGATTACAACTCCCGACGATTTGTACAGAAGGAATTGAAATCTACTACAAGGCTATTTATTTTCGATTCTTTTCAATTCCTTTCAATTTTGACTCCTTCCAATAATATTTATCGAGTTCATTTTTCTTTTATCCAAAACTTTTACTTTGGTTTATGGTTGATTTTTTATTAGATAGTTACCGGAAAAACTTTTACGTGCATCAAACATAAATTCGCATCAAAGACTTATCCCGAGTATATACGTATCACTAGATAGATATATTATTAATTTACTGCAAATTATTTACATCATGGTAATCTTAGGTACATTCATAATTTTATTTTAATATTTATAGATTATTTATAATATAATATTCAAACAATTTTTATAGACAATCGAGTTGATTCTACGAAATATACAATCTTTTATCGTAACTCAATAATGTAGTGTATGTAAATTACTGGAAAAAAACACCTACATACAAAACGAATTTGAGCGGAGTTCAGTTAATAGTATTGCTTTGTTAGGGTATACTTACCAAAAAAATATTATTGGACAATCAAGTGTTGATGCAAAATTAAAAGCAGCATGTGCATCTCCTTCACTTGCAGCTCCTTCACCAAAATAAACAATAGTACAGCGATTGTTTTTTAATTGCTTAAAAGAAAATGCCGTCCCAACGGCTTTAAAATAAAAATACATATTTAAAAATAACTACCTATTAATTTAAAAATATTTTTATTATACCATATACCTTGGGGTAATTGAGTTGTAAGTGGAGACGAAATAGTTACAAAATTAAGATTTTTAGATCCATAGTGTACAGGCATTTGTCTACCCTTACCAATATCATCTATATTACCAAAACATTGATTCATAAATTGTTCCGGGGTAAATCCTCTATATAATAAGATTCCTAAAAGAAGATTAATTTTAATATAATATTATCATTACCTACATCCTACAATAATTTATTTAATTAAATTCTGTATATACCAGATTCTCTATATTGACCATAGACCATATCATTAAAATTTAATCCTGCTGCACTACCAATTTGTATAGCTTCTTCACCTTCATTTGTCATATAAAATGATATTCTTCCTTGTCTTTGAGATTCATACAACAATTTGTCCATTATGGATAACAAAACCATAGATTTATACATTTTGAGTAATTCATTATTTTCTGGTATCTACATAATATTATTTTTAGGAATAGTAATAAATAAAATATATGAAAATATACCTGCCTACTAGCTACTATATAAGTTAGTGACAGTAGTGGTGTAGTAATAATATATATTCCGCTACTGCCGTTTCAAAACAAACAAAAAATGCTATACAAGGTAGGTACTCAATTATAATAAGAATAACTAATAGGTAATAATTATTGTGCTTCATAACTTGTACTCACAATTATAGAATTACAATTGTTAGTAATCTCTCCGTTGTTCTTTAATATTCTAAAAATAGGTACTGTGTTCATAGGAGGTTCATCAATATTCAATTTAGATGTATAATCAATTTTCTTGATTCCTGGATATATTGACTTGTCTACATTAACTGGCATAGTACTGCTGAATTTATAATATTTCTGTAAAACAGATTTTATAATATTATTAATAAGTATTTATTAAAATGGTTAATGGTTGGTGAACAAAGATTTGGAAAACCTAGGAACGACAAGAATTGAAGATGACAAATATGGGGAAGTTTGGAGAGAACCAGTGAAAGCGGCAAAAAAGACCTAATGGCTTGTAAGTATCAAAAAAGAAAAAAAATTTTAAAATAATACATTTAATAAACTATAGTAGTAGAAATCAAATAAAAAAACAACTTTTAGTTCTGAACTACAAATCGTACATATAGGTAGAAACTTACAGCTAGTAATAATTATTTACTATTTTTAATAATGTGCTATTAGCTATGTTTAGAAACTTATTGTCTGTATATTATTATGATCCTAACTGTAGGTACCTACAGTATGGAACCTACGTGGCTATGTACTCTTATTTGGACAGTTCAATTATGATGACTATCTTTTCACACTGGTACCAAGTCGATCGTTTCATAAAATTCAATAATACAGTACAAAAAACTCAATTAGGTAATTGAGTATTGAAAAGACTTATACATAAAAGGAAAAGAAAAAATATTTACGGACAAACTTCGCACGATGGGAAGGCCACTATTGTAGGTAAGAAGTTAGGAAGGTAGGATATTGAGAGGAATTTAGTGTATACCTGTACGCATCGATTAATCTTTGCTATCGAAATACGATTCTGAGCATTAATTCAAATATTTAAGAAAATGTAATGTTAAATACAAATTAAAACGTGTTAAAAAGCTACTAGTATCTATTAGGTAATGTTTGAAAATGTCATAAATGTTTCAATTGTTTTAGAAATGTTAAAAAGTTAATTACTTTATTGATTTAAACATTTTTAAAATTAAATATTTCAGACCTAAAAATTGTAAACACCGTAATTATTGGTACTTACTACCTATTAACTATATAAAATGTAGGGACTTATGCAATTTTAACTATTCATACAATATTACCTATATACAGAGTGATCAATATAACGTAAGACACTTATTATTTCGGAACGTATTAATTTTTTCTAATTTGTTTTTTAGAAATTTTAAGAAATAAGCCGCTTTAAAATAATAAATCTGTATTATTTTTAAGTAACTCTATTAAAAGTAGGCTGTGATTTCACCCAAAAAATAATATTTATGTAATATTGTAGAGCTGCTTGTATCCTAAATGTTGAATAAAATAAATTCCGAAGTTAATACTTTCCGAAATAATGATTATCTTATGTTATGTTGATCAGCCTGTATTTAAAGTCGGGCAAATATTGGTTTTTTGAAATCGAGTCAACCACTAATTGTTTACTGTTAAGGAGAATTCTACAAGAAAATTATTAAGTAGGTATTTGAAATTATACGAGTTTCTGAAAATTTACTATGTACATTGGAATTGCAGAAACACTATATATATGAATGACAACTACTTCTCTTATTCTTCTTTTCCTTCTGACATAATTACTATCTTAGAACTTTTGCCATCATTACTACACGTTGACATCTGTCCCTATTTTAAACTATCTCTTCCCAATCTTCAGCTTCTAGGGTTTTTAGATCTTATTTTATATTCATATGTATACTATTAAAATTTAACTCTATAATTTATATGTTTAGGGGCTAAAACAAATAGTTAAGAAAAGTCGAGTATTTGCTCAACTCTACCTATATATTGTTGTAGGTATCTATAATAGAATACATTCTATTAAATACGATCAACGCGGTTGTTCAATTGCATTAAAATAATTGACTATAAATATGCAATATGAAAAGTAAAAAAATAAAATACATTTAGTCTTGAATTTATTTTTGACTCTAGGAATATGGCTCAAAAATATGCCTCCGATGGACGATGAAACCGGCGGAAATTGTTTGAAGACAATCTCTCGAGGAAAATTTGCTTATTATTATATCTATCACTAAACGTTGCTTTCAATGAAAGTAGCATTCATCATAGGAGCGCAAAATATGATTATGTTTAGGATTCTGGGAAGAACCACCTTTATCCCCGTAATGTAATCACCAGTGGATTTTATAGCACTGAAAATAACTCAAATATGCGCTATAATATGACCTAACACATCTTAAAATAAGCGCTATACATGGCCTAAAATTTTTAAAATTAGTTTTAGTATGTCATAAAAAAAACATGAAAAATAACTAAATAGAATTTTTTTTTTTTAAATATACAAATAGACGAAAGAAGTCATAAATTTAAACTGTTCAATGAAACAATACGCAGAGCTACTTAAAAATAAATTATAATATGAAATGAAAATGTAGGTATTTTTCTTATGGATTCACATAAATGAAAGATTTTTTTTATTATTTATTAAAAATACAAAATAAATCTTTATATATTATACATATTAGCAAAAAACAGCTCAACAAATTTACAAATAGCACTTAAAGTCTTAAATACTTTAAATATGTAAAAAAAATAGTTATATAAATTTCATATTTGGAGTCCCTGGCGCATAAAACAAAATTTAAATCTCACATTGCTATTTTTATCTGTATCCTATAATATTTAGCAAATGATATAAAATCTTAGCCCTGGTAATCACATACACAAAATAAAGATTATATATTACGAAACGTATTTATAGATTATAGAATAGGTACTAATATCTTCCTAACTTTTCACATACAACAGTTACACACCCCTACTCAGTATTGGCACTATTTTTTTATTATTCTCATTAAAAAGTTTAGCCTTAGGGCTTCTCTATGTCTTAATCTGGACTGGAAAGTATAAATCATCATTCACCTAATTAATATAGCTATATAATATACAATAATTGACAAAATAAGTATAGGTAAATAGAGTAAAGAACTATGATAAAAAAACTAATTTATTGCCAACCGGACAGTTTATATAATTAGGTGTTCGTGAAACTTAACTTTAGAGTTCAAACAATGGAAACTAAACTAGGTAAGTTACGTAACAAAAAAATTCATTTTTATGAAAATTTTTTGAAAAATACAGGTCTCCAATTGCCGCCAAGTACGTAGGTACTGTAGGTGGTTCAAATGAACCAACTAAATAAGGTGGCTGGGTAGTAAGTATATAATTTTATAGGAATAATTGTATAATATTCAAATAATTGAAATTATACCTATTTGTTATACATTTGTATAAGATATTAGCTATTGGTTGGGCTATTACAGAATGGGTGGGTGGGTTATATGTACATACATAAGACATAGGTACATAAAACATATATATCTTCTTTGATTTTTCAAATGACAATCTTATTTTTAATCTTTAAATTTTTTGCAGTTAACTGCATGGTTAATGGTGACAGAAATTGAAACAAGTAATCTAGGGAAAATCGTTTTTATTAAACATTTAAATATCATGGGCCATGCCGTGCAGGACAGCTAGTAAAATATAAAAACCACGGTCCCTATATTATATTATAGAAGAATACAATATTCATAAATTTCATAATATTTTGTACGAATAACCACAATATTATTTCCAAGATTGTCGGATTAATACATGATAATTGTTTATCGGTTAATCGTTTATCACAGTTAATAGGCCGTCTCAATCGTAGCTGTAAGGTAAGGTCAAAATCTCGACCTTTGATTATAATTTATAGTACCTACCTAATACAAATTACAATATTATATTGTGTTCAATATGTTACCTTTTTATGAACTTCACTCATTAAGAAATTATATTAAAGTACTTAAAATTTTAAACAAAAAATTAAGTACTTTAATATAATTTTTTTATAATGTTTTGTGGGAGATGAAAATTGAGTGCTTTAAGCAAAGCTGGACAAGTAAAACAAATTTTCAATTAGTTAAAAGTAAGTTACTTCAATATAAAAGCTAATTAAATTAGAAGGAGTACAAGTAGGTTTCTGAAATTAAATTTCTAACTTAGTGAAAATGAAAAACAATAATTTGAATGAAAGTCAAAAGTAGGTTTTTTTTTCATAATATTTAAAATATGAATTTAAAAACCCGTACTAAATACGCCAGTAAATTTTAAAAATAAATAAATAAATTATTGGTTATTAATAGAGTGCGGATTTAAATGCTCTAAAAATGCCTTGTATGCAAAATAAAAGTTTTACATTTGATTTTTAAAACATTGCTTTAAGACATTCAGAAAAAAATACTATTTGCATTAAAATCCATACCCTAGTGATAAATGATAATTGATCAAATGTTTGAAATATTAATCTTAATTTATTGTAAATATAAAATATCGGGAATATATAATATGTATAACAATTAACAAAATTAAAAAATAAAATACATATAGATAGATACATATAGATTATACAATCACATAGAGTCAAACAATCCATATATGATATGAATAATCAAGGCACCAAAGCACTGTTAAAAAGACAGACATACTTGGCACGAAGGGTGGGCCACTGTTGTAGGTAAGAAGTTGGGAAGGTAGAGAGGAAATTTAATATACGTATATCTGTACCATTTCTAGCGAAAAACGTTTTTGAGCGGAGTTCGGTTAATGGTGTTCCTTATGTGTCATATTATGGTACAATAAATATATATATATATATATAATATGCATCTTGCATTTTCTTTAATAATATTTTATACTAAGACGATTTTCCTCAATCTTTGATATTAAAATGTGTACAAAATAAAAATTCTACATTACCCTCAATTTTTTTTTTTACCTAATGAAAATTTGATCACGTCTAGAAAAGCAGATATAAGTTTTTGTTCAAATTTCAAGTCTCTACAAATAATATTTTTAACTGAAACAAAATAAAAAAAAAAAACACGTCATAAATTTTTCCAATTTTCTTGTTTTTTCCCGGTTTTGCCTTTTATTGGGAAAACTCATGAGAAAATCAAAAAATTACTTCCTTATAATACCACTTAAGTCAGATTTTCTTTCAGAAAAAATTCTATACTTTAAAATTGGAAGAAAATTGCTGGTTGAAAAATGTTTTCTAAAAAATAAAGATAAATATTGTAAAACCAATACGCTACTCTCGGAATCTAAAATACAAATTATTTTAAATTACTTGAGTTCAGTGACGCCGATCATCTAATTTATCTATAGTAGATTTTATACCTGGAGGGCACACTCAATGCCTTATAAATGGATATAGATTTTTTTGGTGCTTTAGTTCACAATTGTTAAATTATAAAAAAATTTGGAGGTCCCTTGATGTACGATATCATAATATATTTTAAACACTTTGGTGCCACTACTTGACTTACCGATGCAGTGTCTACGGACCTTAACTCGTAATCTACAGTAGATAACCGTGTATTACAAGGAATTTAATATGATACGAAATGTATAGGTATTACTCGTATATTGAAATACTATCTAATATATTCTATTGGCTGGTCGGCCGTCACCACCATAAATGATACAACCAAGAATATATAGGCCCTTAGAATTTAGATCATATACTAGTTCACCACTATAGATGGAGTTACGTGTGTTATAATCAATTGTGTCCAATATTACCCCCAACCTACTGTCGTGTTTTCGGTTCACACTCACCACTCATCAGTGTGTCTGTTTGCAAAATGCGTCACCTAGAGCCCAGACCTTTATACTAATAGACAAGCTATCATAGAAAATAAATTGTATTATTTAAATATATATGCATATAATATAAATTTAATAATTATCTATGCAAGCTATGCACGTTTATGACGCGGTCAAACATAGAGCGCGCTTTTAGTGACTGAGTGACTTATGTACGATAGGTAGTAAAATTACCGTGTTCTTATCGTTTTATTTTATCCAATGTGTAATAAATTATATCATACACTTTTTAAATTATTAGCTAATGGCGTTTTAAGTGATTATTAATAATATCTTAAATTATTTTTAATAATACAAAAAACGGACATACTTAGCACGTGGGTGAACTACTTTTGTAGGTGAGAAGTAGAGAAGGTACACAATAAAGAGAAAATTTGATGTAATCTATAAGCAACAATTAACCTTTGTTCTCGAAAAAACGATTCTGAGCGGAGTTCTGTTGATAGTGTTTCTTTATCAACCATATACTTTGTCATATTAAAGTAAAATAATTACATATGCATTATTTATTTTCTTTAATAATACTTGTTTAAGTATTTAATATTGTACCGATTTTTCATGTTTTTTCCAGATTTTTCCTATTTATTGGGAAAACTAGGAAAATCGAAAAATTATCTCCCTAAAGTACCTTTCCAGTCAGATTTCCGTTCATTTGTTTAACATTGTACCTATTTTCTCGTTTAAGGATAGGTCACTTCTATATTAATAAAATAAGGGCAGAGACTATGGATAAGAGATAGGCTGCTTTAAATATCTCTCTACCCCAGCAAGAAATGTTATCATTAATTATTCTTCAAAATAATACAAAATTTATAGTATATAGACCACGGATATAGATAATAACCGTGCTATAAACATAATCCATTTCAGTTATCAGCGTGATCATAAGTAATTAAATCGTTTGTCACTATACCGATTCTCGTAGATTTGAAAAATATAGTGGCCACATTTAGTATTAATAAATTTAAATAAATAATTAATGCATAATTAACATTAAATATTAAACATGTGTTAACATAAGTATGTTAATTAAATAATTAATATAAGTTTTAATAATTCTGTAAAATACATATGGTGTTGCATAAAACAATTGACTAATGGACAACATTACGGGATAAAAAAAGGCATATTTATTTGATAATACCAAAAAAAACTAAATATTAAAATTATTATCAACATTAAAAAAGTCATTTTTTATTTCATTATTTTATATTATTGTTCATGCCTATTTGAATTTTTAATATTTGTTGTGACTAAATTAATAAATAAATTAATTAAAAACTGTTAAACATAAAATATTTTATAATAAAGATACTCTTATTAATTTGTATTAATCCGCTATTTCTTTTTCTTATTATCATATTATTAACTAATCTGTACAAATTACAAACACAAAGATAAACCTACTCTGTGTGACATCAGTTTTAATGTGCACCAAGATAATGTTTATTTAGTCATGGTAATAATCATTTATATTTCAATATCATATCTCAGACGGCCGGACAACAGTAGAAACGGTTATTGGTATTTTACATTTTTGGTAAGAAAAACACAAATTTAAAAAAATAGGGCTACTAAAGTATAGTCTGAATCTCTCAAATAAGGCATCGTACCCATTGTAAGAAAAGCTTGACTTCACCTATGGGTAGACCCATAGGCCATGACTAAGCTCGGATGCTCGATAATATAATAGATCGCCAAACCGATCAATCCATGTACAGACTATAATAATAGGTTTCGATATAAATTGGTATATAAGTTTTTCATTTGATATTGAACTTAGAAACTATAAACTACCTGTAATATCTTATTTTCTAATTGTATAATTGTAAGATCTATTCAACGTTTTATGGAATGTTTTATATATAGGTGATTCCAGCATGAACAGAATGGGGGGGGGGGAATCAGCCGAGACTGTAACCTTAGGGCCCAAGTCCAACCAAAGCAACCAGGTCTTATAATTTATCTAATTTAAACATTAATATAAAAATTATTTGTAGTTTAATTATATAATATTTTACTTTAAAAATCAATAAGTATATTATGTTGTATTAAAAAATAATTGTTGATAATTTATAAATTACTTTGTACTATAATAGGTATGTGTGTTACTAACAATATGAATTATGCTTTTAAATACATTATACCTTAAACCTTCTTTGTTATTAATATTTTTAAGGACGACGCTGGGTGTTAGTGGTAAGTTTAATATTTTACAGTAGGAGAAATTAGTTTATCCCTAGGACCCACCGTGATTTCTCACCTGGCTCTAGGTAATTCTTGGCAATATAGAGATCGATGTGTTAATGCCAAACTTCATTATGCCAATTCATCTTTGTATTTATATTTCACAGTAAATAATCAACTAAACATAATCCATGATTAATATATATGATTATTTATCATATATTCCATGCTTATATGTGTGTAATAGTATATAGTAATACCTATATAGTATATATATTCGATTCTATTATGATAGAATTTATGACCACGTGAATAAACACAACACACTTAAACATCAATAACATCTAGTCAATTAAATAAGTTTTAATAGCACTTGAATATTATTATCGTTTACAGATAGGAACCTAGACCAATGAACTTTTGAAATGCTTGATTAGCTATTTTGTAAAATGTCGAACTAGTTATTAATAGTCTGCGAACGGTTATAGTATTAGATTATCTACCCAGAATATGATAAATACCCTCTTTTTTTGTGAGGAGCTAAACAACTATAGAATCTCGAGTGATTGGTACCAAAGTTGGTATTCATAATTCATAGGTTTTACTTTTCTAGCTAAGATGTAACGGTTAAACAATATGACGTCCGTATTCAGTGATGGCACGTTATCAGGAAATTCATGAATCGGTCGTGGGTACAGCGCGCATATTTCAGATGAATATGAAAAAATAAATAATGCAAATCATCATAACCATAGCCAAAGTAGATAAAATCGGAACACTGGTTATTTCCTGTTCATTTTACGATCACTTGGAGAATAAAGAGGGTATTTTAGTTCACTTAATTACCGCTTTTGGTCTAGGAGCGCTTCAAACCGAACTTTATTACGGTTATATTCAAATGTTTAAATTTATTAAAAATGTTCAAAATTTACGATTTTATTAAATTTATATTATTGATTTTTTTTATATCTCATGTTTGTAAATAAATAATAATATTAATTGTTAAAATGATTAATATTAATTTTTCAACCTAACCTTAAAATACTCATTTACGCCCGTTGCGCCTTTGAATGAAATAGATACCTAGGTATTAAACTAACTCTAAGCGATCGAGTTTGTTAGCTCAGTTTTCCAACCTTAACTTCTAACTTCTAAGGCCGTGGTAATAACCCATAACCACGGTTCTATACACGTAGATAGTTCTATCTACTACCCTACGTCCGTATTCCGTACTCATAACGTAAATAATCGAAAATTAAAACTTATTTCCAATCACACCATCATCTTCAGTAATTATTATGAAAAAATACTAATAAAAAATTAATTAATTATAATATATGTATATTTAAATAATTATTACTTTCAAGAATTTGAGGTCGATCAATCTCCTAACCGTGATCTTTGAATACATCATGTGAAATTATTAGGTAGGTATCGTAGAAAAAAATTTGAATTAATTTCTAATGATTTATGGGTAACCGTCGGTTATAAAACTGCACTGTCTCCACTTACCACCTGTCACAAAACATAAGAGTACACACTACGCACTATAATTGTGCGCCGGGCAGCTGAAGTTAGCTAGCTGTGCCGGTGAATAATAATAATAATAAATTGACACCTGTAACCTGTTTTATCTATGTAGGTACGTGACCGACGAACCCGCCGCAGGAAACGCGACTCGCGCATCCGCCGCCATACGGCGCGTGACCACGGCGCATGCGTATTCACTATTCACTGTTTATTTTACACTACGACATTTTTTTAATAAAAACGTCCGGCGGCTGCAGTGTCGCAAGTGGATGGGATAGCGTGCGCCAAGCCGAAAACATTGGGCACACTGTCGCTAAACTGACGCCATCGAAGAGTCGGGTTTGTTGATTCGTATGTTGTTGTGTTTGCGAAGTGGTTATTCATTTAGTTAATATTTCATTCGGTGCGTTTGTATTCATTTTTTTATTCCTAATTTAGTTATTATACATTAGCAGTGTAATATTTTAATAAACTTCCAATATCCGTCAATAGAGACTTGCTGCTGATCGGTTAGATTTTAGTTATCGGTGTTGGCTGTTGTTATGGGCGGAACGCTGAAGAATATTCACTGGTTCCAAACAGTACCGAACGCCAATTGCTAAACCATACTTATAGGTAAACTAAATCAATATATACGTAAACGATTTATCTACGCTTACGGTCCATGTGTGAACATTTGTTTTGTCGTTCTATTTACATGTATGTTTGCGCGTCTGCTATGATCCTTTAACGCGCTTTCCTGGTATCTCCATTAATGTGCATATGGGCTCGTACATTCTCCGAACATCACTATTCCAATGTGTTTACCTGGTAGCTAATCTTTAAATATAATTACCAATTTTAAAATAAATAGTTAAACATTGTTGCTACAACACTTTGCTAGCCGCTTGACTTATATTCAAAATTTGAAATCATGATTTAGAATTGAAAGTGAAGGGTTCCTACCTATTATAATTGCAAAGAATATTATCAATGCCGTTGGTGTTTACTTGGTGGGTTGTTGTGTACCATCCTAAAATACCATCTTAAATACTATGTTTTCCTTTCGAAAAGGAAATAATATAATAAGTAAATTACTTGGATAAATATATTTAAACATTCATATATACTTGTGTGTTTTTTCCTTTTTAAAATGAAATTTATGTTAGTTATTTCTTAAAGTATTAAAAAAAAAAACTATTAAACAAGTGTTATAAAAATTAATAAACACACTTTATGTTACCTACCTATGTATTACTTGGTGTATAGTAATACACCAAGTTTTACATACACACATTTACAAGTGTAATAATTATTATCAATTGGCTAACGTCACTAATTTATATTTAACAATCAAAGTAATTAGGTATCTATTAGATTTATAAAAAAAAATAAACTAAAATGTCATAAATTCTTTATATACCTATTTATTATATAACTTTTTGTATACCTACTTGTCATTACATTTTAATACAATTATCTAGTCTTTTTTTTTTTTTCATTAATCAAATAAATATCCTAATTCAAGACATACGATACAAATATGTCTATTGATATTTTAATGAATATAAAAAAAATCTCAATGATATTAACTTTAAAGAAATATAAAATAATCATAAAATTAAAGATAAGATAAATTGTTTGAAAATAAAATTCTTACGTATAAATAAAATATATTAAAATTAGTTGTGAGTTTCAACTAATATTATTTTTGATTTTGTATAATTTATGTATGGAATTTCCAGTATCTATAATTATTTTTTATTAAGTCATTTGGTAAATATCAACTTTTAAACTACAATTTTTAATACTTTAATTTAATATAAAAATATACAAGAAACTGTAAATATAAGTTAAGTGTTATATTTATATTTTCTTCTCTACTTCATACTAACTAATTGGGGTCGACCACCCTCATCCTATACTTCCACTTGACATGGACTTAACATTATCCGCGCATACACGCACAATTATCATATTCTCAATCACATCCAACCATATTTGTTTTCAGTTTTCTTTTCCTAAGTTTATTTCTATTACAATTTTTTACTGCTTCAGATTCCTCTACCCCCGTGACATATCCAAATCATCTCGTGTCTATTTTCTCTCACTTTGTCTGTTATTGATGTCTAATCTGCCTCTTAGGTGTGTATTCTTTACTATATTCTCTTGTCACTACTTATCCACCTATGTATTCTCATCTCAGTTACACTCAGGCCCGGCAGAAGGCACAGGTAACACAGGCCTATGCCTGGGGGGGCATTTCCTTAGGCAGGGCCGTATTTAAGATAATATGTTGTAATAAGAACATTTATTATTTTAAAGTACTTAAATTTTAACGAAAATGTGGACTATATAAATGTACTATGGCTTAAACCCAAAGTACACGTGAATATGTTTGATGATATGGTTAAGGGAAAAGGGGTAAATAGAGAGATTAAAAACGAAAGGGCGTCAAATTTTGATTTTGCCTATGTTTACATTTTGTTTAGAGCTGGCCCTGGTTACACTCATTCTTTGTTCTATTTTTCTCCGCCTAACATTCCAAACCGTACAGTATTGTTTGCCATGCTATACTCTTGTAGAACTTACATTTAAGTCTAATTGGAATTATCTTGTCACATAAAACACCTGACATTTCTCTCCACTGTATCAGACCTTATTGAATCCTTTATTTCACATCCTCGTCAAAGCCATCATTCTTTTGTACGAAAGATCCTAAGTACTTCAACTCTCAATCTCGCCTATTATGTCAACACTTATTGTCATTATGTGTCTTCTTTTGTTCCTTCAAATTCGTACGCTGTTTTATTTCTACTTATCCTTAGTCTCTTAATTTCAAGTGCTACTCTCCATTCCTAAAGTCTATAGTTAACTCCTTACAGATTTCCTCCTATTAAAACTATATTATTTAACAACCATCATATTAATATATTTTTTTTTGACTGTTTTATAATATTAAAAGGTCACTTGCTATATTTTAATTAGATGGTGTTTCATATCATAAAATATAATTTGTTGTTGTTTACATTTTTAATTGTTGATTATAAAATAAATTAATATCTTAAAAACGTAAATAATATATAATTTTTAATTGATATTTATATAATATTATATAATATAAAATTTATAAGTATATGGTGTCTGGTACATTTATTTAAGATAAATTCTTATCAATATTTATGTTATAAATTTATTTCTGTAATAGAATAATAATTACAGTCATTAATTTTTTCTATACCTGTTGCTGTACAAACAAAAAATATTTATTTATTTTAAGATATCAAATGCAGGTATATTTAAGTCTCCATAACTTTACCATAAAATAAAGTCATATGTTCAATAATTTTATTATTTATTCCATATACCTACATTTTATTGCTCTAATAAAAAGTCTTTAAAAAGTTAGTTTTATTTTTAAAAAAAAAACCTTTTAATTCATTCAATTAACTTCATTTAAAATATTTAAGTACCAAATTTTTTTTAAAAAAAATAAGTCAGTAACAGTATAACTATATTAGTATGTATAATTTTAGTTATCTTTTATTATTACTTAAATTTTCAATACATGTTCATTCTTTAAAAAGCAATAACTGTTGTTGTTTACTTATATTAAGTTTCACTAAAAAACTTAGGTAAACATGATATAACAGAATATGTTGTACAAAGGATTATATTTATGAAGTATTAAAGATCACTAAAATAAAATTGATATAATTAGAACTATACGTGTAAAAGCATCTAATATTAATTTATAATTTGCAGATTGATTTTTACTTAATAAAAATGAATAGTATTGGAGCTATGAGTTCTCCAGTAAAGCAGTCTATGCCAACAGTATTGGCTCCTCCGACTATTTCAAATTCTTCCCCTTCTAAAGTACAACAACCACCGAATTTAACACCATTGAATTTAAATACAACATCTCAATCAGTGCAACCTTTGAGTCTTGTAAATGAACATAAAATGGCACCAATTGTTATCCCTCCACCTGTTATGACGTCTGTTGAAAATCTTGTTCAAAAATCAGCTTCTTGTAATGGTATACCCGACGTTAAAACAATTGGAGAAAAATTTGGTGAAGCCTTACCAAAAATTGAATCTCAAATACCTTACAATCAAGTGAATAATTCTGTTAATGATAAAAATGCTAATGAATCATCTATTTCTGGTGTGAAATCTGAAGTTGAGAATTTATCTCAAAAGAAGGATGATAAGAATAACTTGTTAATTAGTCAAACAGATAAAGGTTTTTCAGAAGTAGGAACATCTGCTAAATCACCTAAATCTGAAAATGTAGTTGCCAAACACAAAGAAAATGATAATAAAATCAATCAAGAATCAGCTGAAGTTCAAGCTGCAGTGCAAACAAATCAAGGGCAGACTGCTTCTCCTGAAAAAACCGAACAAATAGCACCAAACACTTCAAAAGGTGCTGTACGCCGGAAAAGGGAACACAAAGTAATCTATGTTAATACTATTATTTCAGTTAACTAATTTAGTGATTCTATAATTAAACACAATTAAAAGCCATGGTTAAGTGTCAAACCTAACTTCAACGAGTAGCCCAACTATATTTATGTAAAAAAAAAAAAGTAATAATAACTTTAGGTTGATTACAAATCAATTGACTTGTATTTCCAGTTTTATCTAAATTAATTTGATTTTATTTAACAAAAGTAATAAATTGCCCAATAATATTTAGGGTTTCTATGATTATTTTTTAATTGAATAGCAAAAACAAAATTAAAACCTTTATTTTCCCCATTGCACCAATTAGATAATAGGTAATTACGACCTTTGAAATCATTTCCAAAAAGTTTTGTTAGAAAAATTATTCAGACAGAAAAAAGAAATACATTTCTCATACGCTTAGTATCTAAAAAATTACTAATTTATTTTATTTTAAAGCAATTGGAGGAAGAAGACCAAGAAAAAAAAGAAAGAGCAATGAAAAAGGAGGTACCTGCTGAAGAAATTAAATCTAAACGTACCAGACTTCCTACTCAACCTTTTCAATTATCTTTGCCACCAGAAATGCATCTTATATCCAAAATCACTGAAAAATCAGCATCTCCAAAAGTGAATACTGAAAAATTAACTGTATTTTACAAGTAATATTTTAGATCTATATAATATTAAATTATAAATTTTAATTAAATAAAATTGTTTTCTGTTAATCAGAAATGAATTTTTGGCTGTTCGAAATGAAGATGGTGGGTTTTACTTATGCCAGGCTATGCAAAATATTCACAGAGCTAGTCGTCGAATTCGTATCCGGTGGTTAACTCAACATCCTAATGATGAATTCACACCAGATTTTTATGATCATACAGGTTAATACATTTTTATTTTTGTATTTTGAACATGTGTACTACAATAAAATCACTTCTAAAACAATATTTATTTTTTTGGTATGGGTAGGTGTATCATAGTGTAGTTTAAAATTTACAAGACTATATTATATTATATTTGAATGTAATAAACCTTCTGTTTATATATAGTTCATAGTAAAGTTATTATATCTCTAAAAAATTTTTTATAAATTAAGATAGTCTTGAAATATATTTTTTTTTTCAAAACGAGCTCACTAAGTGTATGTACCAATATTCAACACATATTTAACTATAAATATAACTCCATATTTGGTAATTTTCTGTAAATTTAGTTGTTTTATAAAAAAATTCAGTTTGCAATACACATTATTTAAAATTAGAACAAAAAATAGTATTGTTCATCTGGCATTTTCTGAAATTAAAGAGTAATAAAACAATAGCTCCTCTCCTGACTTAAACTATGTTTAAAAATTGTTATTATACTGAATTATTCAATTTAATTAATCAAAAAAATCTTAATAATCTATATTTTACAGAGTTTGATTGTATATTAACCAATATAACTTTAAAAAAAATTCAAAAAGAACAATGGAAACTTCCTGAAAAAGAAAAATTAAGAATTGAAAATATTTTAAAACGATCTATTGATGTGGAAAAGGGATCAGAAAAACCTTCAGTGACTGAAGAACATCCAGATGGTTGTAAGTACAATATTGATTTAAATATTTTATATATTATATTCCTGTAATTTGAATCTAAAATGTATTGTATTTTATAGTGGATGTAAGTTTATATAAAGATGAAGCTCAACTAACTAAAAAAAAAGGAAGCAAGAAAATTGTTACTCCAAAAAGAAAGGGATCAGTAGATGATCAACAACAACCAGTAAAAAAGTCATCCAGATTGTCAAAGAAAAAACCTTCTTATGATTTTGGACATTCGTCATCTGAAAGTGATGAGGTTGATGGTAAAGATGACAATAGTAACAAGAAAAAATCTTCAAATAAAAAACTTGTGAAAAAAAAAGTTTCTGTAAAAGAGCCTACAAAGAAATCAACAGTTAATGTAACTAAACCAAAAACATCAACAACGAGAAAAACACCGGCTCCTGTAAAACCAACTTATGTGCTTGCATCTGTTTCATCAGCATTGAAAAAAAGAGAAATAACAGCTACAAAGCAAAAAAAAGAAATCGGTGTTCAAGAAAAAAAGTCTTCCAAAAAAGTTGAACCTAAGACTCCTGCTGTTCCGCTTCCTTCAGAGAGATCGTCAAAAACTAGAAGTAAAACAATTTTTTAATTGCAGCTATAGTAATTTTGTGTATTTTTGTCAAATTATCAAACAGTTAAACAGAGTAAAAAAAGTTATAGTTTTCCAGTTAAAATTAAATTTTATTATACAATATCCATACTATAATATTTGTATAAAACATCCTTTTACAACAAAGATTTGATACCTGAAATAAATTGTTCTGTTTAATATTTTAGATTCTTAGCGGTGTGAGAAATATATTGGTTATACAATGATTTGTATTATTTTTTATAATGTACAAAGTTTTGCATCAATGTATCTCCTTTTCTGGTTAGGTTAAGGAAAGTTATTTTCCAAGCAAATTTCATAATAATTAGCAATACATTTTAGGACAATTGGGAAAATTTACAAAAATAATACTTTATTATTTTTAATTCTAAATTTATTATTATAATTCAGTTCAAATTGTGTGTAGATTTATAATTTGGACAGAAAATGTATATTTGTCTTTTTTTTTTATAAATGTAACATTTTTTTTAAAAATTATCCATTGTGCTATATAAAGACATGTTAATTTTGCGAGTTTTTACTTAACACTTATTTGGTAAGTATTGAGTGGTTAAAATTGTTAGACCAACAAAAATTCTTGACAATTTAACATGAGGCTCATTATAAATTGCACTTAGTGATTAACAAGAACAAGTTGAGTTTAATATAGTTTTTTTTTTTTTCATTAAAATTTTAATAAATAAACAAAAACTGTAAATATTTTAGCCTTTTAAAACATGTATAATCCAACTTCTCTCAGAATAGTTTTTCGTTAGTATTGATGTTGTGTATGGATATACATTTAAATTTTTCTTTACTTCCTTAACTTTCCATCTACAACAATTGTGAGGTTTACCTGGTTTTTCAAAATGCTTATAATAATTTCAAGAGCCTAGCATTATGATTACTCTTATTTTATAGTTTATAAATATATTTAACTTCAAAAAATATGAAACTGAACAAAAGTTTTTTTAGGTACCAGATCTTTGTGTTACACCCTATGTATGGATTACTGTCAAAGCAAATGAAATTTAATTTAGCCACAGCTTTTTTGGTGTATTTACTACTTCATTTAAAGTTTAATAAATTTGGTTTCCCAAATTAATTTTAAATACTAATCGATAGTAGATTTGGTATAGTTAAAACATAAATAAAAGTATGTTAAGATTATTGTCCTGAAAAATAAATCAATTCTGAATAGAAATTTAGTAAACATTCAGCTATACTGATATTTTTTTTACCTTCAATGTTCTCTCAACAAATAAATCCAAGCACAAAGAACATATACTTTCATGTTTGGCTCATATTCTAATCATTCAGTCATATTTAGATGTGTGTATATTGGTAAATTATAAATATCAAGTAGTTTCATAAATGTTTTAGTAGCTAACAATATAATATTTTATATGTATTGCTTTAATTAACCTACTAACACATCATAATTTATGATTTTGAGATAATATGTTGGTAAAGAAATCAGATTTATAAATCACAAACTATATATCTATTTTATTACAATACAATATTTAACTCTTTTATTATTGTTATTTTACAATGACCAGTTAACCTATGTGGACCAATTGAGATTATTGTTATATCGGTCTAATTAAATGAGTTTTACTTTGTTGTGGTTTATAAGTCTTTGATATTTTACCACATCACAGATTTATAATTGACACTAAACTTATGCTTTGCCATTTTGCAGTGGGGATGACAAATAATCCTTTCGCATCTCACAGTGAGTGCTTTTCAGATACAGTCAAAATGGATTTTATATTTTGCATAATTCATACATGTTTAAGATTTTTCATGAATTGTTTTTTTTTCATTATTATTCTAAATGTTGATTTCAAATTTTTTGTAATCAAGAATGTCAATTATAACATATAATATTTTTCAGATGCTGGAAATGCTGTTTCAGCAAAAATAACTACTGCTGGTATTGGTGTAGTTAAAAGCAACCCTAAGGATCGAAAAACATTAAGGAATCGTAAATGATGACTAACATAATAATTAATTTTGTAAGTAATGTAGTCTACTACTTGTTTGAACAATATTTAAAATAAACACTTCAGTTTAATAATAATAACATTATTATTAATTAATTTAGTTCTGATATTATTTTTGCAAGAATGTATGTTAAAAAGTATAAACATAACCATATCACAAATTGTTTTAAAGTGTGTATATTTACACATTCTTGTTTGACTTTTATAATTTTATACTTTTTTCGTTTATTATGTTTATTAAGTTTTGAATAACTCGGGTAGCTAATATAATTAAATTTCAAATTAATTAGATATTGCCTTATTATTAGGTAGTTAAAAGTTGAGTGATTGTTTGATTTTTTTTTTTCATGATAATATGTTTTATAACATTAAATTGTTTCATTTTTAATATATTATAATAATTTATCTTTGTAAAATGTCAATGTCAAAATGAAATCAAACCTATTTGAACTTGCTCACAAAATTCTAAACCATTTTCCATTTTCAAGCTTAAATATATTATTTGTAGGTTATTTACTTTGTATATACAATATTATATATTTTTCAATTTAATATTATTTAGTTTCTATAATATAGTTTGATAAATCGTAATTTATTTAAAAATAAAAATTATTCCAGGTAAATATATTATTTTCATAGCTTATGAATAAACTCATTATCTACTAGCTTATTATTTTTTGACATTGGCATTTTTATATACAAATTACTTTAAATTAGTTTCATAACAATTTTATATTTTTAATTTTTAAAATTTGTATAATTTTTTATTATTATAATTAGAATAACAGATATGCACAAAGTTCTAAAATATAATAACTTTGTATTCCTTTCCTTTCGCACAAAAATACTTACTTTCATGAATAATTTATTACTTGCAGTACAATTCAATTTAATATACAAACGAAAATTGTAAACTCCACATAATAATGTATTGTACATACGAATTAGGATAATATAGCCAATAATATATATTTATATAAATATAACTATTTATGAATAATATTAGATTAAATTTCTAATTTGTATATTTATTAGTTATGTAAGTCTTAAAAAATTATTGATTCGAGTGACGTGGTTTTGCCATATTTGCAATATCATAATATTTGTATTTTGTTTGTGTGTTGTAAATAACCAGGAATCTAATATTCTGGTGTTTGTGTCAACCTGCTTTGATGTTGTTTATAAATTTATTTTGATTTTAATACCAATAGTAGGTATGCACACATTAGATAAAAAATTCAATATTTATTTACCAACCTTTTGATTATATTAAAAAAAAAATAATACAAATATATATATACAAGAGTTATAATTGTAAATATTACAAATTTGATTAATTATTTTAAGTGAATTTAAAAATATATTCAAACAATTTATTGTAAAATTTATTATCTGTGTTTTACAATTAATGAGTTTACTTTTTAGTGTTTTGTCAACAAAGAGTTCAAATTAAACTTTGATACTTTAGGAACATTTCTTATAGTCAATGATATACGTTTATTTCTTATTAATGAACCTCCATTATTTATGAGTGATCCACAAACTTTTAAATTGGAAATTCTATCATCAATAATATCATTTTTAATCTCATCAATACCATGCATATACTTGTTGTACATATTTTCCTGTAAAACAAGTAGACTTCTTCTTTCTAATAACAAACTGTATGCTTTGTCGATTGACTCAACTTCTTCTTCAACCTACAAAATATGAAAATATAAATTTTTATAAATATATATAGGTATTTAATATTATAAATATTAATGTGGTCCTTAGTTTACCAATTTAAGAATTTCTTTTGGGGCACTTATCTTGTACTGTATAATAAAAAAAAAATATATCCTCAAAGTTTGAGGCCATTTGGATAATATTTAGTTAATGGCGCACAACGTTTTAATATTTAAAATCAAAAATAGTGTACAAACAACCATAAATTGTTTAAAATTGATTTTTTTAAATTAAATCTAAGATATCTTTTAAGATCTTAGTGACTTTAATACCATACATGGCTACATGGAGATATATTAATTGAAGACTTTAAGAAATTAATAAGCAGTTTATTACAGCCATTAACTATTTTAATCACTTAGGCTTATCATTATTTTATGTTTTGCTAAAAATAAATTTGAATTGTTAAGTTTTTTGTTTTATCAAGACTCGAGTTATTTTCGAGTTGTAACTCTACTGTACTTTGTTAATATTATAAGTTTAACTATTTTAATATAAAACAGGTAATTTCATAAAGAAATGTTAATTTCAATTGATTTCTGATACTCTTGAACAATCCCCATGTATTTAGTATCAAAATAGACATTAAGATCTAAGGATTAAAATAGGTTGTTTTTTATTTAAAAAATAAAAATAATTTTAAATTATCCAGTTTCACCGCGATATGATGCTGCCTACAATAGCAGAAGAAAGAAGAAATCCAAAAGTTTGATCATAAACACGAGAGGAAATTAGAGGACCATATCAACCCAATGGCCATCGAACTGTTAGATATCAAGTGTTTAAATTAAGTACAGGAGCCACTTCATTGGAAGTGTGACTTCATCAATGTGTAATGTATATATATTATCATCTAGTATGTAAGATATATCCTGTTAAACATATTTATAAAGACCATCAGGTTGTTTCAATAATAAAGCCCCAGGGCATTTAAAAAAAAAAAAAAAAAAAAATTATCCAGTGGTGATTAAATGATTTTGTCATGGGGTGGGGGATAAGAATCATTTTTTGGAACAATTAATGTTCACTTAATATTTTTTTTTATAACTATAAAAAAATAATGCAATATACAAGGTGATTTAAGCATTTGTATTCTTAAATTATGCATACATTTTAACTTTAATTTTTGGAATTTTTAAGTGCATTGAATGAACAACAATATTTTCGCATACTTAGATTTTTCACAAGATTTAAGGAGTCTCCTGTAGCGGAAACAACTTAAGTTTTTCAAATGAGAACTTGCATGTTTTATGAAAATTATCAATCTGATGATTTTTTTGAAAATGTTGACATATTGTAAACAAAATTTGAATGAAAAGTTTTTGAGTTTTTATGCTTTAAATAATAAGGATAATAACATTTATTGTAGATTGGATACCATCTATTTCATGTGTATAGATAATTTTTTATTTTAAAAATAACTTAGAAAGATCATCTGATTGACATTAAAACATGTTCTCATTTGAGAAACCACATTTGATAACTTCTCAGATTACACTTAGAAATTTCAAATAGAATTTGAATTTATGCATAATTTTACCATTAAAATGGAATAAACCCTGAGCATATTTAAAAAAAGCTATTCTATATATTATTATAAATGTTTAAGAAAAATTACTCAATGTAGAAGGATATGTTACCCTCATTCCCCTACTGTTTGACCACCAATGAAATGATTTGTGGTCGTTTGTAAGTATTTCCATTGGTTTCATGCAATTGTTTTGTTATTGAAACACCATGCACCTACATTGAATATTATCCAAATGACTTTAAAATATAAGGATTTGTTTTTTGTTATGCAGGTGTCCCGAAGAAAATATTAAAATTGGCAAAATAAGGACCACCCTAATATATATAAAATAAAATTAAACATGTAATGTTTAATATGCATTAAACAAAAAATAATCTATCCTAAATAAATTTAATAAGTCTTATTTTATTATATTATGTTTTAGAGCAAATTATTGGGTATGAGATATAGGTGTATGTACTAATATAAAGTTTGTAATTTACATCATTAATATTGGATATTTAAACATACACTTTTTACTTGTTTAGTACATATATCGAGATTAATTGTGTAATCAACATTTTAAATTTGTTTTGGTATAATATATCAGACAATAAAATTTACCAGTAAGTATTATATTGTATGGCCATTAACACATTGATAACTTTGAATATTATTTTTACTGTTACATTATCAATGCTATACCTACACCCAAAATCAATATTAACTGACAGTGTGGACTGCTGTAATGTGGCAGTACACTGCCTTCTATAATTTAATATCATTAAAAAAAAATACCTGCTTCGCCACTGTTGATATAACATTTTTCATATAACTGCTATAGCGGTAATGTTAGTCAATGTGTTAAATATTAATATGTAAACCACACTTAACTTTCTAAAATATGGTAAATTTTTCAATAAAATTATAATTTTTAATGGAAAATACCATTTTAAACTGTAGTTAATATACAATGACACCAACTGGATCTAGTTTTACTTACTAAAGATATATGCAGTATAAAATCTATTACGAGTAATTAACACAGGAAATCAACTTGCTGAGATTTATTCTATTAATGTTGGAATATTTATAAACACCAAAACGTATAGTTACGGCAGCATTATAAAATCAATTTTAAGGTACATTAGTAATAAAAGAGAATATGAAAATAATAACTTATTTTAATTTCATTTTTGACAATTGTATAGTTACTGCACATGTTCCTATGAGGGTAATATATACCTTTTTATTCATGGGTTAATTAGATGCAAATTACAAACTTCTTATTTAATAAGCTAAACATTGAGTTTACCTATCTCCTAGAATAAAAACTAAAATTGTAACATACTTTAACTATTAATATTTATACTTTAAACATTTTTAGATTAAAAAGCTTATTTCATAATTCAAAAAAATAAATTTTAGAAAATTTACTTTACAATAAAACTAAAGACACTACTTATATGTAAATGTTACAGAATAATATTATTAACTTATCATTTTTGATACTGTCTTAAAAAATAATAGCTAAATATTGAGATTATAAATAAAGAACAAATTTTAGTTTTAATTGCATTCAAAATTATTTAGTTTTTTAAATACTATATAGTATTAACTATCAGTGAAAATAACAAATACAATTTTACAAAAAGAATCTTACCTTCGGTAACTTGTAAAAATTGAGTACAGTATGGGACCCACAATTTATAGTACTTATAGTTGGATAAAATAAACTTCCATCTAAATGAGGCTATAATGTATCAAGTTTATTATAAAGAAACAATTCTAAACATCTATAAATTTGTACCATAATTCCTTGTCCAGGCAGATATTCATTAACTAATACATGGTTTGGCATGTTTGTTTTAGGAAACACATTGAGACTTTCTACTTGATGAACAAATCCTTTTAACCACTGCTTATAACATGTATTTTAGTATATATTAGAATTATGTCCCAGTAAATAATAAATTTTAATAAATTCTTACATCTGGAATTTTTTCAGGTATGAGCCCTTTTGGGTGAGGTATACCTCCCCAATTTTGAAGCCTTCTGTTCTTTAGTTGACACCATTTTGGCTTGGGCGCATTATTTACTTTTTCTAGTATATATGCTTCTTGTTGTTCAGTTATAAAATTTGGTATGTAATAAACTACATTTTCAACCTGAAATAATACAAGAAATTACCACCATAGTTTAACACAATAATATGTTTTATACAAATTACATTAGTTAACTTATTTTCTTTCAATTCTATTGAATCCATTTGCGAATCTAAAATTACAATGGTTCAACGGATAAGTGGATACGTCGACACAACACAATTCAACAATATTATCAATTCTATTCGTTCTTCAGTTACAATTTTGAAAATAAAATATTAAATTAAAAAATTCAAATTACACAGTACGTATTTGTGATAATTGTGTTTGGTATCACTTTATCAATAAAATCCGATAAATATCACAATGGTATTAGACGATGACATGCCTACAAAGGTACAATTATTTTGTTTCACATGCATGCACTCTGCCACTTTGTAGCACTTATATGCAGTGATAATTATCACTGAGGAATCGGTTAGATCATTAACATAATATAATTCATGTTAATATGTCAATGGGTTACCTTGTGACCATAGGGTCTACTATGATCCTGTTAACAATAGTGCGACTAGGAGGAGGAACGTTGTGAGACACTTGTATGCGGCCCATTCATCGGAATGAATTTCTGATCCTGCCTCGCATTCACGTTCTATTATCGGTAGAAGTGTTTCTCGATCGCGTCGATGAACATAAAAATAACGACAATCGTTCCCATTTTTTAAACCAAATACCCGGGAGCCACGTACCCGTGCACCGTGATTTCGGTTATTGATTACCTTAGCGCTTATATCTTTCAAAGAGGGAGGAGCGTCTCCAGCTAATAATCTATCCCTATTGTACTTCCTTCGGCCAGCGAAACGAGCTTCGTCAATCTGAATTGGATTTTGTGCATTTTCAACCACTTTTTTTTTAGTCTTCAAAACAGCTGTGCATACCTCTCGGCACATTTTAAACCAGTCGGTGACACACTCAATGCTTTTTCCTGTTCGTTCCATTGCCATTTGTGTGGGCAATTCCAATACAAACATCATAAATACAAGTTCAATAATTTCACAAAGTGTTAACCCACTGTTGCAACGTTGATTCAAGTTAGTAAAATAAAAAAAGCTGCAACCAGTTCGTATCGATCTTGTTGTCTGATCTTATTAAACGTTTGTTTACTGTTGCTAATGCAGAACTTTCTATTGCTATTTTGTTACACTGAATGTTAATAATTAGGTATGCAAAAATTTCAAATTACGAATCTGTGAGTTATACGTACCTAAGTGTAATTGTGTCCGCAATGCTTGCGCACGCAAAAATAATAAAAATAAATAAATATGATTAGATATTATAATATTTCGATCGTGTAAAATATGTAGGTAGTAGTTATATGGTAGGTATTGGATTGGTACCTATGACACAAGCAATGTTATTGTTACGACAATGTATTATTGTTATTTGTATTTACATTTGAAAACCCGTTGCCGCAATTAACCGACGCAATAAAATTATGATCGTTTCGATAATATAAATAAATCAATATCCGCGAGAGCTTCGTACCTAAATGTAAAATGCCGAAAGTGATAAATCACATAATATTATAATTTATAAGGCAGATATATCTAATATTAATGTATTCGAATCCAGTGCCGGATTGAACATACAAAGAGGTCCAAATTATAATTTGAAGCAAATTCAAGTCCAACATTGAATTGAGTAATTTATTTTCTTAAATCGTTTGAACGACATATTTTTACCTCAAATGCCATTACTCATTACAGATACAAAATCAAAATCGATTTTACATATACCGTTGTTCTAGTTCCGTAGATTAAAAGTGTCCGTTTGTCCGGCGTAATTTCGACGTTTTAGTTTTCTCATTATAGAGAAATTTAGATAGAAAATGACAAAATTACCTCCATTATGCACTGACCAAATAATATTTTTATACCAGAAACTACGGCTAAAGTTGACGGATTTGGTCAATTGAGACCCATTTTAGAATTATTAGCTAAATTGAATCCCATTTAAAAATGATGAATGTGATAAATTGAGTCTCTGATAAAAATGTAATATTACAGCATATTTACATTACCAAGGGACATCACGTAAGGGTTGGCTGGAAAGTCTCCTGAAAAATCTGTGAAAAATTTTATGTTGATGCCTGTCAGGCAGTCTAGACATAATATCCTCAATGAAAAAATCATAGCACATTTCGTGCACAAAAGTAGTAAACCAAAAAAACAATTTAAAAAAGTTACTTTCTACGAAATTTTGTATTTTTTTCCATTAATTTTGCCCAATGTAAGAGAGACCACCTTTTAATATATTGGCCATACTTGTAACGCACCATCACTCCCTATGCACCCAACCACATTCTTTAATAACTATTTTCTTTTTCTAGAAAAACAATTTTTCGGTGAGTAAAAATGCTGCACATTTTTTACGCAATACCTTAAAAGACGTAGATATTCCGTCTGGTAGTACTTCATTCGAAACGTTTTTTGCTGAAATTGTCTACTTTTTTTTCTATAGTCTGTCCCAAGAGAGAAAGGTCCGCTTCTGCGCATGTTTTCCCCCTCCACATAGCCGATTGTCATTTCTTCCGTCGTCGATTTATGACTATACACCGCTAGGATATTTTGTAGAAATTCAATTGTTATTATTATCAGACATCGCACATCGCACGTTTATTTACCTTTGCTGTTTTATAACCTCTTGATAATTTTTCAAATCGTAAACTATCGTATATACAAGCAACTTCTATAATAATCCAGACTTTGTTTTTTTTTTAATACATATTTATTTATTTAATATCTTATTGAACACTGTAGGTATAATTCAGTAGGTATGATACAGTAGATATAATAAAGTAAGTATAATACAGAGGTATATATTTAATAAATAATAAATAATTATATTAAAACATTTCATTTTTTATTCGTTAAAATTACAATTTATCATTTTTGTCATATTGGCGATAAAAAGTGGACTATCGACAGACAACAGTGCATTATTTGAAACGCAGTGTACAAAACCTGTCGATAGATCCGGGAGGGAATAAATGGATAGTGTTGCGGCGTGGGGATGCGCAGTAGCGCTTCGATTTGGTCGGAGAGCGGACCGTTCTCTCCCGGGACAGACTATAGTACAATTATTATATAATACAAGACGAATCGTTGATGCAAACATATTATATTGGCGGCTTACACACACACACACACACACACGACTTTATGTAAGGTTACGACTTGCAACGGTAATAAAATGACGACAACAATAATATTTACATATACTGCAGCAGTGCTGCACGTACCAAAGTGAAAAACACTGTTCAGACGCCATAAAGCTGATATATTATTAATTCGCAATCAACTGTCGTCCGTTATTGTTATATTTCATATTATTTTCCATACCCATCTAATTAACATTATCGTCGTTTTCCAAGTGGGCTTACGACACGGCCGTCGTCATTGTAACGATACGAAACTGTAATTATTATTTTTACATTGGGTGACATAAACTCGATGATTTTTTGCCCAAGTGTGATTATCAGACTTGAGTAAAGTCCTATTTTAAAGTATTCAGAATAAATATTTGAAAAATATTTGTCTAACTTACTAAACAACTATTGTCAGATCTGGCAGACTATTAAAAAATAGTATTCAAAATATGTATTTAAATACTTTACAACAATAATATTTTAAGAATACACGTTTAAAAAGACGGGCATACTTCGCACGTGGATGGGCCACTATTGTAGGTGAGTAGATGGGGAGATTTAATGTATATCTGTACGCAATGATTAACCATTAACGAAAAACGATTCTGAGCAGAGTTCGATTAATAATGTTGCTTTGTCAACAATTTATGTATCACATTATGGTAAAATAATTACATATGCATTATATATTTTCTTTAACAATATTTATTTAATATTGTATCTATTTTCCAGTTTTTTTCCTGGTTTTTAACATGTTTTTCCTATTTATTGGGAAAACTCCTGAGACAACGACCTCTTTAAAGTACCATCCCAGGAAAATTGTCTTTTAGAAAAGATGCTGTACTTGATACTTCGGAGCAAGATTTTTGGTGGAATTTTCGTACACGATATATAAAAAAAATCATTATAAAACCAATACATTCTTCGCTACACTCAGAATCAAAAAAATGTAAGGTCAGGGTTGAGATTACTTAAGGGAATTATAGATATAATGATGATAGGTAACATCGTTATACGTTATATTTTAACAATTGGAAATTTCGAAAAATATTTTCGATTTAGTACTACCAGGTGAACAATTACGCATCTTTTGAAGTAATTTTAAGAATGAATTCGCTGAGAATCATATTTCGTTGCCAACTGTTTATCGTTGTACATAAATATAAATCAAATAACAGTACGTGTCCTACTTTCTCGACGAAGAATATTATCTGTGTTCTAGTATTTTTATTTTTTTCGAATTTCGACTCAATTTTGATTTACAAGCATTTGAAAAACACATAGAATTATGGAAGTTTGAGATACAATAACTTTTTTTTAAACAATTTTATCAAAAAAATAAAAATGCTGGAACTCAGATAAAATTCTCTGCTATATTGAGAACAAATTTTAAATTAGCAGAACGATTACAGCTCAGTTAAAATGCGTTGCCGCAAAACTAATTTTCAATATCAATTTGTGGTATTCGGACAAGAAGAAATGTATTTGGTTAGTGGTATCCCACTGAGGTATTCTGTGTCTCAAAACTCGACTGCACCGTTACCAAACACCTGACTTTTAGTTGCCAATCCATATTATCTTAGTTCGTAATTTTATTCCAATCCAATAATATTAGACATCGTTGATGAAATTATTATGGCTTTTTTTTTTTTTATCAAATAAACATTAAAGTAACATAAAAAAGTCTTTCACGTCTGTGTTCGAACGCGTTGTTTCCAAACTGATATAATCCGTCTACTTAATTTTTTTTTTTTTTATATAAATGTTGCCATTTTAAAATCTTAAGTAATAGTCGTTTCATCCCCAGATATAAGGGTGTCAAAATTTAACGGTAATTTAAATGTTTAGAGCTACATGTTTCAAATAATTACTGTCAAAAAAAAAAAATTATCTTTATAAAAATCAATATTTTACGAAATAATAATGGGTATTTACGTTAAATAAATCACCCTGTATATAATATATATAATATAACGATTGTCTTTAAAACTTGATATCTATGATTGTAACGTAATTGAGGCTCCTGTAAATTGTTACTGGCTTAAAGCATTAACTTTCGACAATATGTTTGGCAAAATAAATAAACAATGTGCAACGCTGTTGCAGCATGGTTACGCGGCCGGAAAAATCGACCGGGTACCGACGATCGAAAAAGACGCTCACTGATGTTTTCTCCGCCGCTAAGATATCATTGCCATTAGAAAATTTATTACAATTAATTTTGTTTCGCGTTATTTTTTCTCTTCTTCTTTTTTGACAATATACTGATCGTAAGTGTACTATAGGCGGTTTAAGATTTAATTAAAATTAGCGACTCTTGATATTTATCATTTATTATTTTTATAAGTTGTCAAAAAACTATGGCCGAGAAAATGTCTACGGCTGAACGAATCACGAAAGTCCGCTTTTGGAGATTATACTACTCGGCAGTGATCCAGCAAACAAACTCCGTTGATGACGTGATACATTTGCTGGAAAAAATTTATTACAAACCGAAAGGAAAGGTTATATTAAATTATTATACATTATTCGTTATAATCGAATATTGGAAATATTTATTCTCAATATTGTTGTATTTTATACTCGATGATATATTTCAACATTTTTAAAAATATTATTTTATCCAACCGTTTTAAATTCAGTTTAAATGGTTTTTTTTTTTTTTTACTGTTATTCATAATGCGCGTCCAATGTGAAAATTGTTTAGAAACACAATATACAATTGTTTTAACGTTTTTCAGAAAATAATGTCTCAAATGTTGGACCATTTATTGGGGCAATATCAGTATTTTTCCACGTACAAGCGACACGAACTGATATTAGCAGGTCGTCTTTATGGTGGCGTAATAAATAAAGCGCGGTATCATCGAGTAAGTAATCTTCCAAGCGTTATTTATCGAGTATAGTATGAACAAGTATATTTTATTAGTATTATTTATTTATTTGTTGAAATGACGAAAATTTGCGTACAGCATTGCAATTTGTATTGGAATCGCTTAAACAAAATAACAAATCCGGTATATTTGCATTCGGCGTAAGTGCTGTTCACCAGTTCAGTAAATGCGTGAAGACCGATCGCGTGCGTCAATATCTAAATTATATGCTGGATATTCCAAATATTCAAAAACACGTATACGAGGTATGATTAAAAACAATTAAATGAAGTTATTAATAGTGTATATTGAATGTAAAAACTTTAAAAATTGCGTAGAATCTTTGAGAATATTAATGTGAAACATACATTTAAAACAAAAAGAACAATTTATTGAATAATCTTTTTTTATTAGGTATTTCATTAATTTAAAATGTCTTTTAACATCTATACATTATTCTTGATGTTGATAAATATCTTAGAATAAAATTACGAATGACGAATACAATATTATTGCTCGAATACGTTATTCATATTTTTATATTTGTATTATGTATTTTGTGTTAGCATTTGATTGAGAAAACCACGAAAGAAGTTTTATCATGGTCTGAAGAATTTTCACAAAATATGAAAATAACCCAAAATACTGGAGACGACCAACAATCAAAACGAATTAAAAATAACGATAGTGATAACGATCACGTCGGCAAAAAGGCGACGAAAAAGATATTAAAGAAAGCGTACAAACGGAAATGATTAAAATCTTAAAAGACTTGAATCAATTCAACGTTCAAACCAAGGTTAATATTAATATTTACTCATGCAAATTTGAACGTGTACAAAAACAAATGTCATTAAAATACTTTATACATATAGGTATCTGTTATAATTATCGTGTCAATAATTTATTTGTATTTTATAAAGTGCGACGAAATCCGAGAGATATTGACCGACGAATAACCTCTTCCCATTAATCAATTGATTTTTTTCCCGATTATAATATAATTTTTATATTTTATTAATAAGGTGTATAACACCCAACATCCGTGGACGACAAAAGCCATGACGAGCCTGGCAAAATTGTATGATGCACCGGGCTTGAACTGCATGATACAATTTCAAATCGAAAACTTATTTAAAATATTAAATGTGAAACTCGAGGTGAAAATTAATTTAAAATATTTGAAAACCGCATTAAACTTATATATAAATTGTGTTTTAGGATTTTTAAAGTCCGGTTCATTAAGAAAGCTTCGGAAATGTTCAAAAAATTGTGACTAAAATTTTGTATTACTTTTCATATTCATTATTCATTTTACTATTTCCATACTGTTCATGTCATTATTACCTTGTTTATTATGTTTTGTTATGTTTTTGTCTTTATATCTACTTCATTACTTGTATTATTTTATTTATGTAAAACTCATTAAACAATTATTGTACATTTGCAATTGTGATATTTGTATTTGATTTTTATTTACATTTATTTATTGAAAAGTTTGAAAGTATTTATAATAAGTTTAAATATTGTTGAATAAATAAATAACATAATAATATTATACAATATACATGTAATATCAGTGAATCGGTGTGCTTAGGTGTAAAACGGACGCAGATATCGAATTCAATAATCTGAATTATATTTACGAGTATATCAACGCATTTGAAATGAGAAATGCGTTTTATAGGGAAAAATTGGGGTTTTAGGTACAGATACCTATCTTGCAAATGCGTTACCGTATTGTTTTTACTTTATCAATAATTGTCAGTCGATAATCGGGCCAAATTTTATCTAAGACTTAATAATATACATATACGTACGAAATATAAAGAGAAACGATACAGATAAAAGAAATACGTAAGTAGCAAAGTTGCATATTATTTTTGTACTGAAATTAATAAATTAAACGCCGATTCTATCTACAATACAGGGAAAATAGCATAACGATATATTAAATTAACGACTAAAAAATCTTAGCTTGGTTATTTTATTATTATTATTATGTTTTTTTTTAGAGTATCTTCACTTAATGTTATTAATTTAAAAAAAAAAATTGATTAACAAGATCTGTTCGGTCGATTTGGTTCGAGTGTATGTCAGTTAACCGAGCTCTAGTTTTCGATTTGATAATTTTCATTCGTGAAAATATATGCTCGCAAGTGTAAGTTCTATCAAAAAGAGTAGGTAATTTAATTTACTAATTCTTTCGATAGCGATTGCCGTTCTAATTTTATCGAAATAGAAAAAATATGCTATAATTCAAATGTGATCGCGGGTCGCAAATAATGACAAGGATGGGGGGTGCGGGTTGAAGACCCCCTGTTATAAGTACATTTCTTTTTTGCTTACCGCTTTGTTTATTTAATTAAACACATGGATGAGATCAAAGTAGATTGACTGGCTTGGCATTACTTAATGTACACAGGGATATAAATGCATTTGTTGAAAAAATCATAGACAGATTTTCGATTGAAAAAAAAAAGAACATTAAAGTTGTTATTATATATTATATTGTTTAACTATGTTACTGTTATGTAAGTATAGATGATATTTTTTTATTATACCTACTTAAATATATATCTGACTCTTTTCAATTGAATAATATTTTTAATTTATAGTTATAACAAATTATTATGTAGGTCTAACTTATTGTTTTAATATTATTCAGTTGTCATGAATTAGTATGTAAGTAAGTATATACGAAGAAAATAATGAAAGTATGTAATAATGGAAATTTACACACCCCTTACTCTGCCATTCATGGTTGAAGTTCACTTGAATTATATATATGATATAAATTCGCCCCCTCCTCTTAAATGTTCTTCGGATCCGCCCCTGCAGGACGGTAAACGAAGAAGACGAATTAAACTAATGTTCAGGCAATTTATATGTATAAACCTTACTCGATTTAAATGTTTTTTATATTTTATTATTAAGTAAATTAAATAAACAGAAAATCAACAAATATAATAACCTGTTTATTTATTTTGGAGCCCCACAATATATACCGTCCACGGGATATCAGATATCTAAATCCACCCCTGTCAAGCCTTGAAGGTGGACGTTGAAGACTAGTAGCAACTATTATTAAAAGCTCTTCAACGGTTGAGGATGGCATTCTTGTCAAATTAAAAAACAAGTGTGAAAGCTGATGTTTTTTTAACATTGTGTTGAAATCACCAAGATTTTAACGTACATAAAGCATTGTATGTACGCCATCTTTAATATCTTTAATACATACAAATATAATAATTTATCAATATTATACATTATATAATTACCTAACAACTTATCTTCTCTCAGACTTTAAATTATTTTCTGAAAGATATACAAACCAGGAAAGATTAAAAACTCGCCTTTTGTGTGCATAATTGTTATAATTGTTCACACATAATCAAAATACAATTGTCTTTTAAGTTGCTGATTCATTTTACATTTAGAAGTTAAAACTTAAAAACAATAAAAACATAATATACACATGACATTTCATACTTGATAAATAAAACCTGCGAAGAATAGACCATGTTCGTGGTTATAATGATTAAATGATACCTTATCATAAGTATTTTATTTTTTTTAAATTAATTTAAATTTAAATTTTGGCCTTTGTACTTTGTAGTGACCTTTTTTTTTTTGTTTATGAAGAGTTTTAAATATGTACTGCATTATTATTTATTAATGTTTAATATGCTTAAGCTCTTATGTATTATTCTTGTTTAATCAGTATTGAAAAGAAAATTATTTGACATTAAACCATTTATAATCTTAGTTAAATATAAAGTTAATATTCAAATTGTAAAATAAAAAAATATTGATTATTTAAAATAATTAAATATTTTTATTTAATATAAAATATAATTATCAACATGATGACTTTTAGAACAGGAAATGTATGTTAACTAATAATAATATATTCAATATTTGATTTAGAAAACATTTATAATATGATTTTAATACGAACATCTTTATGCATTAGAGTTATATAAAAACTACTATACGACATATATCAACGTCTTCAATTCTTAAAGACGTTTTCATTGTAAGTGCCGCGAGAACTCCAATTGGCTCTTTTGGTGGATCATTAAAGAGTCTATCTGCTACTAAGTTGGGAGCTATAGCTATTCAAGTAATTTTATTTTTATTCAATCTTAAATGTTCATGTTTTATATTTTAAATCAATTTCTTATGTTGAGAATTATTTTATTTTAATTTTAATTAGAATAAATTTTCAATAAGTTAAAAACTAAATTAAACTTTTACAATGAAAAACAAATTAACAATTATATTATTATAAATGTAGACATTTAAAAATGCATGAATAATATTTAAATTTATGTTAATTTTAATGATGCTCTGATATGCAATTTACATTATGTTCTGCACAAATATACTATTTATATATTTTTTATTTTTATTTAATATTTGAATTAATCTAGCTACGATTATTGAAAATAAATTCAAAATTAAATTATAAATATATTTTAAGTTTATTAATACTTAGTTATAAAATGAGAAAATTGTAAATTTTATTGGTGTTTTATAATTGTATTCTCCCATTCAATGTGTTGTCAATTATTTTTCTAAGAATTTATATCACCCAGTAAATTAATTAATGTAGGTAAATACAAAAATAACTATATGGCTTAGTAAATTATAATATTTATTACATTTAAAACAAAAATAAGTGGTCATAGATGGCGTCTCCACCTTATTTCATATTAAAATAATAGGTAAAGCAGGAACATTTTCTGTACCAATGCTAATTAAATAATTAACAAAGTTTTGCATATATTATAAATGATTTATTCTAATTTAAAAACAGAGTGCAGTTGAGCGATCTGGTATTTCTAAGGATGAAATACAAGAAGTTTTTATGGGAAATGTATGTCAAGGTGGTGTTGGACAAGCGCCAGCCAGGCAAGCAACATTATTTGCTGGTATGTTTGTATAGTAATTATCTTAAAATATTTAAATATAAACATTATATTTCTTCTTAGGATTACCTAAGTCAACTATATGTACTACCATAAATAAAGTTTGTGCTTCCGGAATGAAGTCCATTATGTTAGCTTCTCAAAGTTTAATATGCGACCACCAACAAATAGTCATTGCTGGGGGCATGGAGTCAATGTCTAATGTACCATTTTATTTAGCTAGAGGAGATACAAAATATGGTGGTGTGAATTTATCTGTTCGTTTTTAATAAGTATTATACATTTATATAAAACAGTATATGTATATTTATATGTTAATGTATATAATAGAATTATACACAAATGGGTTTTAGTATGAAATAAATGTATATATTTTTTTTAAATATAATTTTGTTAGTACAGTTGCAATGGGTAATATACCAAGTCCTTTGAGACTTACTGCTGCCAATTTGTCTGTATATTTATATAAATATATATGCATATTTAAATATATAATATGTATTTTAAATTCATTTAACTACAATAAACCCATTTTTTGTTAGGATGGTATTGTTTTTGATGGTTTAACTGATGTTTACAATAAAATCCATATGGGTAGTTGTGCTGAAAATACAGCTAAACAGTGTGGTATTAGTAGAAAAGACCAAGATGATTTTGCCATAAGTAGTTATAAAAAAAGTGCTGAAGCATGGAAACAAGGAATTTTCGCTCAAGAAATTGTTCCAGTTAGTGTTCCACAAAAAAAAGGTATTACCATTTATTAAATCAATTAATGAATTGTATTATTTGTATCATGTAAATCTATCTTCATATACAACCAAGTTCAATAACAATTTAAATATGAATACTTTATAGGTAAACCAGATGTTATTGTATTAGAAGACGAAGAATTCAAAAGAATAGATTTTGAAAAGTTTACAAAATTGAATACAGTTTTTCAAGTAAATATACATTTATTTTTAATATTTGTATACATCAATATATATTTTATTTTAGAAAGAAAATGGAACAGTTACTGCTGGAAATGCATCAACGATAAATGACGGTGCTGCAGCTTTGGTATTAACTAATGAAAATGTTGTTAAAGAACTAAATTTGAAGCCTTTGGCTAGAGTTGTTGCATTTCAAGATGGTGCAACTGACCCTATTGATTTTCCAATTGCTCCAGCATTTGCCATACCTAAAGTATTTATGGTTATTAAATTAATATATTTTAACCAATTATATTATTATAAAATTAAATTCTAGTTATTAAGCAAAAGTGGTGTGTCCAAAGACGAAATTGCATTATGGGAAATAAATGAAGCTTTCAGTGTAGTTGTTTTAGCTAATATTATGAAATTAGATCTTGATCCGTCAAAAATCAATGTGCACGGTGGTGCTGTTAGCTTAGGACATCCTATTGGGTAAATATGCATTATTTAATATTCTCATAATATAAGATGTCACATAGAGGTTTATTATACTATTATAATGAAATAGGAAGAAATTAAATATAATTTCACACTTTATAATAGTGAGTATTAAAAAAGACATTTATGTATCTAATGAAAACTATTTGTTCCTTTTTTAGCATGTCTGGTGCTAGGATTGTTGTTCACTTAGCTCATGCATTAAAACCAGGACAAAAAGGAGTAGCTTCTATTTGCAACGGTGGTGGTGGAGCTTCTTCTATTCTTATTGAGCGTTTATAATGTATTAGAACTTCAATTCAACTTTTATTTCAATAATTATCAACATTTCTACTTTAAATTAATTTAATTGCAATTTTAAACAAACTCATATTTATTTACAAATATTAACCATTTTAATAATTTTGTTTTTACTTATTATTTTCCTAATTTTAAACAATTGTGAATTATAAATTTGAAAATAAACAAAAAAATTGTTTATTCATTTAATACAGTTATTATTAATATATTTGTATAAATAAGTATATAATCTTTAATGTACAATTTTTTTAAATATTCAAATATTATTATATTATATTAAAAATAAATTGTATAATTGAAAATGTCATTTGTTAACTCTCATTTATCATATACAAATCTGTGTTCTTCATTATATATATAAAAGAAGAAACTGGCATATAAACTCATAGCCCAAATCACTAGATTTATACATTAGAAATTGTGTATAGAACTTTCTTATGTAATGTAGCTAATATTAAGGGACTTTTGGAAAGAAAATCTTTAAAGAGGGGCTCACAAATAAAAACCAAAAAATTACCTTTCCAATGCACCAACTAGACACAACTTGTTATGGAAAATGATCCCTGATGATGAAGAAAAAATATAATACAAATTAAATTGGAAAATAGTTTTGTAGCCGTTTACAATCATGTACTAATATGTATAGGCTTGTGTATAATTAATTTATCTTAAACTGTATTGAAGAAGATGAACATATAATAGTTAGAAATCATACAGGCTAAAGATATTGATATATTGTTGTCTTTTAAAAATTCCATTGATAAAGAAATAAAAAGATGTGCATTATGTTTTTCTAAATTTCAAAATATTCCAATATTTTGGTTAAAATAGAATTATTACACATTTTTCATGTTCAATCAACTCATTTGACATATTTTAATATTTTCTAGTACATATTTGAACATTTATATGAATGTTTTCAAGGGGCCTGCTTATAGCTATTTAAAATGGGACAAAATTGAGGTAATTTTTATTATTGTCAATGCTGCGTGGTATATATATATTAGTCGGAAATAGTTATTTATGTAAATACAATTTTATTTGTGTAATTTTTCAAATCTAAAGGACCTTGCAAGAAGTTTTCTTTATAAAAAAAAAATAAAAAAAAATTGAAATTGGACTACTTTACAAGTCATATTTTAAGAGTAAAATCATTAAGCTCTTATTTAGAGCTACAAATAACAAGTTTTAAAAAAAATATGTTTACAATTTTAAAGCTGAAAATGAAAAACCAGAGGGTATTTATTATTCAAACAACAACATTCAATTCAACAACATTTTCAAATTTTATCTTTTATTTTTATTAAAATAGTTTTTTTTGGCATTTTGAATCACATCATCTATAAGTTTTAATGCAATCTTTTTATCAGATCGTTTTATTTTGAACTTTGTAGTTTTAAATTGGTCTTTGTTTTTAAATTTAATTGGTTTAATTTCAAATTTACTCCAAAAATTTTCTAACCATTTTTCATCTTCTGGAAGATCCTGTAATACAATTCAATATAAATAAATAATTTGTAAAATAACACTTTGTTTTGAACTGAACCCGATTCAAATTTTTATTTTTTATTTATAATTCTATTAAACCTAATGTCCAAACTTATATTAAAACAAATATGAAATTATGTTCTTTGAAATAAAAAAAAAAAAAGTGTACTATTTGTAATTTTTAGTATATATTTTCTTAATTTAATTGTCAAACTCAAGCTATTGTACTTTTGGTTCAGTTCACTAATGGATAATTTTTAATTTTATTTCAAAAATAAAATTAACACTTGAATTAAGTTCTATTTTTGAAAATAAAATTGTATAGTATAATTGATGTAATCTACCTTTGGAATTCGAATGTATACATGGATTTTCTCTTTATTATAAGTTAAAAATAAACAAGGTATTTTTCCATAAATATGATCAAAATCAAAACAATTATCATTGAAGTATCCTGTATCACAGTTTACATAACCAATGGCATAATTATTTTCACATAATTGTTGAACAGCATCTTCTAAAATTTCTCTAAATATAATAATAGTTAATAGTTAACACTTTAATAATTATGTTAAATTGAGTTACGTATTAATTAATGTTTTTATTTATTAATTACTATTGAATTATTATTGTTATTTACTTATTTTTTTCTTTTATTAATTTTTGAAGTTTTCTTTCTGTTGTAAATATATTTTTACTTATTTGAATTTGATCTTTCAAAGGTATGTAATTGTGAGAAATATTTTTTAGTTTAAATTTCAATTGACTTATACATTCCATTAATAATTGCATCTAAAGTTGATGTTTTCTTTTAATAGTCAAATACTAGTTAGTATTAATAAACAGCATACCTTTTCCGCAGTAATGTTATTTAAAGTAGTTGAATTTATTAGGTTTATGGCAAAATTTGATTTTTCCAATACAGTTTTACCATAAATTTTTACATCTCTACACAAAGGCCCAGTTATTGCCATCAGGGTGCATTCATTGCTGAGACATTTATATTGAATTACACAAAAATCGATTATGTCCAATGTATTGTGCACATGTGTACCACAACAAGCCTCTCTTGATATATATGAATCACTAGTATCATTGTGCATATCTATAACATGCACTTGATCATCGGGATATACTTCTCCTGGAAGTAAAGTAACTTTGATTTCGTTTAAATCATTAGATGTCATTGTAGTTCTTTTAACAGATATAGCAGAATCTATTACACTGTTGATTTGGTCTTCTACCACTAAAGCATCTACAAAATAATTAAAGTTAATTATAATTGACTAGAAACTATAATAAAATCAAATTGTTTACCATCTGATGAAAACTTTTGACCAAAGAGTGCAAATGAAAATGATATGAAATCTTTTTTAACACAACTTGAAGATTGAGTAGTAACAACCAAATATGAGTTTAATACTGAATTTAATATGTGAACTGATGAATGAGCACGCATTAAACCAAGTCTATGATTTGAATCAATCTGTACAGCTACTTCCTTTTCACTACAAATTGATTTATATAATATGTAAGTTTTTTTTTTTATTATAATAATAAATTTAAAAAAAATACCGTAATAAAATAGGCCAATCATTTGATTTTATAAAATGCAACACAACACCATTTTCTTGAATTTTTTCTACATTATGAACATCAAATATTTTTTCATTTTTGGTTTTAATAGTACCAATATCATTGTTTTGCCCACCAGCTTTACAATAAAAGCTAGTTTTATCCAATACTACTGAGACCGTTATTCCGTGCTTTTTGATATCAGGCTCTACCACAATATTACCATTTATATCTACAATTCCTAAAACCTTAGCAGTGATTGCTGGTGATTCATATGTTTTATCGTTATGACGAATCATTTCATACTTTAAACTGTCATCAGTTTTAGGGATATTTTCCATTATATAATTATCTGATGGTTTTTGAATATTTATTATGGTTTTTGTTTGTATTTTTTTTAAGTTTACATCAAATTCATTCCAATTGATTGGTTTTTCTATAAAATATGTAATAAATAATAAAAACAATATTAAAGTGAATTTAGCAATAATATTTTACTCATAACTTCAGCTAGCCTTGTGATTGTTTTTTTTTCAAGACCAAATGCGTCATACAATGTAAAAGCTGGTGTATGAACCATATCTTTGTGTTTAATCAAGTAATTACAAGCTGGAACAAACCCAGCACATTCCTCATATGGATTAAAATGACTCAATATTGGACATTGTTCAATGGCAATTGTCCAATCTTTGGAAACTAATGATCTTAATTTATCAAATATACAATATTCATGTTTCACCAAGTGCTTTACCTAAATGATAATATGATAAATTAAAGCAAAAACTTTAAGAACCAAGTAGTACTATTAATGTTAACCTTTTCAATGTTTTTAACCAACTCAGGATATGCATAACCAAGACTCTTTGAAACTTCATAAACAATATCACACATCAGAGTATACCCTGGTTGAATTTTGAAGTTTGTTTCAGCCAGCAAAAAAGTTTTTCGCATAATTCTTCTTAATTTATGACTGAAACATTATAAAAATCTTTAATTCATTATGCCCAAATTAAAACTCTAAGAAAAAAACAACTTATGGCTGGGAAGCATATTATCTGATAAAGCAACTGTAATCATTCGTCCATGATCCGCTAAAACACGATAATGAGTGTCCAAACTAGATTCATCAAATGACCCTGTGTATTTTGATAAACCACATGTCTGAAAGTAAATATTATTTAAACCAAGTTTCTGTGATTTGTTTTTATATACACTATAAAAAGTAAATCATAATACTTTCTTACATCAGATATAATTTTGAATATAGGTACAAATAAATCTGTATCATATGTAGATTTTTTCTCTTGCAACACCATTGTTAGCCGTTCTAAACCCATTCCAGTGTCTATGAAATAATTTGGTAGCTTACGAATAAACCCATTTCTTTCTCTATATAAAATAATTTTTATTTATTATTAACTTAAATATTTATATTCGATAAATAAGATAATACCGGGAATATTGTATAAAAACAATGTTCCAAAGTTCAATAAGATTTTGTCCGCCTGAAGGTGGATAATCTATGTGTATTTCTGTACTAGGACCACAAGGCCCAGTTTCTCCCATTTCCCAAAAATTATCTTGGGCTCCATTCATAATAATGTGATCATCACTTACTCTGCAATGAAATAATAAGTTGTGTATTATGAACAATATAAACAAAATATTATATGTAACTTAATAACACACTAACCCAATATTTTTCCATATTTGGAGAGTTTCATTGTCAGTTTTTAAATCTAATTTAGCATCACCATTAAATACAGTACAATAAAGTTGCTTTGCTGGTATATTGAAAGGTGGTAAAGTCAATAAATTCCAAGCTAGACGACATGCTTCAGCCTATAAAGGAGAAAACTTATAAATTTGCCAACTAAAATGAAAATAAATTCAACTTTGCCATAATGTCCAAAAGACCAGTTTCCAAGCATTTCAAAAAATGTATGATGATATCCATTGGATCCCACAATACTCAAATCATTATGTTTACCACCAACTCGTATACACTTTTGACTATTAGCAACACAATTGGTTCCTAGAGTTCTTTGTCCAAGTAAGACACTCTTAAACTATATTGAAAAAAAAATTATACATAACAAATTTCTTGCATTATTAATATATTTACCTGACACATTCCAGCATTTACAAATGCTATTGTAGGATCATTGTATGGCACTACTGAACTAGACTTAATGTACTTATGGTTATTTTCCTTTACAAAATAATCAATAAATCGTTTACGTATTTCATTTGAAGACAAAAATGACTTGAATCGTTTGCTGTGACCAATACTCAATGGTTTAAATTTAAACTTAATCATTTGGTATCTGAAAAAAATCAAATTGCAAAAAAGGTTGAAGTACTATACCTAGCTTTTGAATTTAAATGAGAATGAAGTGTTTCTAAATAATTTACATATATCCATAACAGACAAAGTATTAGTAATTAAAAATAAACTCATGAATAACATTACAAAAAATAAAGTAGCTTTAAAAGTGTAATATATTTTAAATAACTAAATACTAACGATTTTCATTAAAAATAACTTTAAAAGCATCTCAAATTTTAATTCAAACTTCATCTTTTTATCACTGTCACAACCAAAGCAGCTGATATCTTTTGGGTCTGTTTATACGCAGTCGATTAGACCCAAGGTTAATATAAAACAGGAAATAATATAAATTCGGCTTTTGAGTGCATAATTTTTATACTCGTTCACATCATCTAAATACAATTGTCTTTTAAGTTGTTGATTTATTCTGTAGTTAGAACCTAAATCTTAAAAACAATGAAAACATATTAAAAATTTCATTAAATTTATGTTAAATATATATTTCATATCTAATAAATAAAACCCGCGAAGATTACTACCACAAAATTACCCAAGTTTTGATAACAGTAAAAACATAATCCATTCGTGGTATAGTGGTATCACGTTTTTGAAAATACACGACACGGTGTAGTGTAGTCCGTGAGTATAACTATCTACAACCTTGAGCATGAATCATAGACCTATAAATATTATCAGGTCTATGACATGAACATAATATTATTTCAATAATATATACTCATATTTAGTGCTTTTAGCATAATTTCTCTGTTTAAACCATTACTCATAATTTAAACCGTGGTGATCAACACGGACATACATAAAAGATGAAAACGGCGACAGTGAAAGTAGTTCTGGCTGCCACAGAAAATGATAAGGTTTGATAAATTTCAGAAGAAATCAGACAAAAGATAATCGAAAACTAACCAAATTTGAACCGTTATCGATTTTTTACTCACCGGTGTACTCAAAAAATAAAACCGGTTTATTCAACCGAATTTCTCTGAATGTCTGTTTTTCCCACCGGTTCCCTCAAAAAATTCTACGGTTCGCACCGGTGTTTATTTTTTAGACACCGGTGTTTATTTTTTAGACACCGGTTTGTTTTTTACACACCGGTTTGGTCTATCGAATTTCTTGATAGTTACAACCATAGTCATATGGAGACACAATGGAGAGATATGATCTGCCTTTATTTGTCTATGATGTCAATGGCGATACGGCTTGGCGATTTATTGTCTTACACAGAGATCGACTAACTAATTATTTACCTAACTAATAATTTTTCTTATTATTTGATTATTATACATTATAAAATTAAATACGTGCCGAACAAGAACCGGTTGCTCCTCGTGTTGTGATTAGTGACTGCTGCTAGCTGCGGTTATAAAAGCGTACGTAATGTAGTTTAATAATTCTGGTTTCACAAACGTGCATTTAAACATCACATATGTACAACAAAAAAATCATTAATATATAAATTAATACATAAAATGTAGGTAAATTATTGTGTGAAACTACACACTAAGTTTAACTGCACAAACTTTAGTTTTGGCAAACTAATTAAACGTGTATATGGAAATCGTTAGACTGCTCAGTTCGAAATTTTGCACTGAGTGAGACACAAATAAATTAATAGTATCATGCGAAAAATGTAGTGTATCATATATTAATTGCCATTTTTTTTAATGACATATCTCGAGAACAAAGAACTACTGTTCAGTAAATGACATTTCTGTTACAGTAGTAAATTAGGACAGAACAAAAATTAATGTCAATAACTGAACATGTAAACCTAAATAATTTAATCAGTTTGGTTAGATAAATGGACTACACAAAACATGACTTAATTTGTTTGTGCAGTTTAACTGAGCACGTGAACAGGCCAAAACAGTAATTTTCTTTATAATTTTAATTTAAAAAAATTGTTCAAGAAGAAACTTTTGGAACCCTTTACTACCATTTTTACCTTTTTAAAAATCTGAAGTGCATATAAATATAAAAACAAGTTTCAAAATGAAATTCAATTTTACATAATATTTTTAATTTTCTAACAATAAAATGTATTAATGATGAATGTCATAATCATTAATATTATTATTTAATAACAATATTATGTACAATTATTCTCTTATATATTAATATATTTCTCATTTCAAAAATGTGTCTTTTAAGGTAACAATATTAATAAATTATAATTTAAACTGTTAATGTTTTATGCTCGTCTACTTTTTATACATTTTTAATTAAAAATTGAATTATATTATTTATATTATTGAATAAATACATATGATATGTATTATTACTTTTTAAATAAAAAATTAAAACTTAATAATGAAGAGGAAGTAAATTTCTTTCTACTTATAGATGACAAAAGGCTTAGTCAACTACTAATATAAGTTATTTAGAATAGTCAATTTTCAACATTTTGCATTATAAAAAATAAGTAGTATTAACTCCATAATTTATATTCATGTAATAATATAAGTAAATTTAAATAAATACCTATATAGTATTTGACATTTTGAAAATTATTCTTTTAATTTGATTAGCCTATTCATAATTTATAGATAGCTGGCCTATTTTTCTATTTTAAATTCATATTAATATGTATTAATATTTACAGATTATAATTATGGATCTTCAAGATACTGGTGAAACAGATACTCGAATTAGTTCAAACAATGATGCAAAAAAATGTTGTGATAATTCTTTAGCAAATAACATTAGTAATGAAACTAAAACAAAAAATGAGTAAGCACCAGTTGTTTTATAATATTGTAAAGTAAATTGTGTAATTCTAAATAGTATTTTGTAGGAAGAGAACGGATTATTTAAGTTGGGACGATTTTTTTATGGCAACAGCATTTTTAGTGGCTAAACGTAGTAAAGATCCTGTAACTCAAGTTGGCGCTTGTATTGTGAATCAAGAAAAAAAAATTGTTGGCACAGGATACAATGGAATGCCTATTGGATGTAATGATGATGAATTCCCATGGGGTAAAAATAACCCAGTAGACAATAAATATTTATATGGTAATTAAGTTAAATTATATTTCAATATTTCATGTAACATTAATAATATGTAATAATACATCTAACTTTCATTTAACTATTACAGTATGTCATGCAGAAATGAATGCTGTTTTAAATAAAAATTCAGCAGATGTCAATAATTGTACAATATATGTGGCACTTTTTCCGTGTAATGAATGTGCCAAAATAATTATTCAATCTGGTATCAAAGAAGTAGTGTATTTGTCAGATAAATATAGTTACAAAAAAAAAATGATTGCTGCTAAAAAGATGTTTAATGCGTCAGGTGTAATTTTTAGACAATATATTCCATCTAAACAGCATCTTGTACTTGATTTTTCAGAAATAAATTCCAATATGACACAAATGCCTTGTACACCAGAGAAATCGAATGACAATTAATTTTTAAATTAATAATTTAAGTGAAATTTTATTATATTGTTGTTAAATAGATAGTATTTGAAATATTTACTGTACCTATTTATGTCAACATAACTAATTAATATCACTTAGTATTATTAATCTTTATTTGTATTTGATAAAAATAAATATCTTGTCATTTTTATGTTTGACACTAGTTTTAGATATAATACTCAATATACTTAAATTGATTTTTATAATCAACAGCTCAAAGCATAGTAATATAGAATGTACAACATAAAGAATGTTTAATATACATAATAAACACCAATGTTATTTTTTAACAAAATGAGATGATTTACTTCATAATAATCATTGTTAAATAAGTGAGGATAATATATTATTATGAAATCAATCTAATGTTGTATAGATTGTAATTAGAGTTTTTAATATACATTAATTATATAAAAAAAAATCACATAAAAATATACAACTAAATAAAATATATTTCAACAAAAAAAAAAAAACATGGTTAAAAGAATATCACAGTATGTAAATAAGATATTATTAACATAATTATCAGGTACATTAAAATTAAATAAGTATATGTTATTGGCAATATGGATGATCTGATACAGTCAATCTCATGGCAATGTAGAACAAAACAGGGTATATTTTAAAAGTTTAGATGCAACATGTAAAATACAGATAGTGAACTTTGATCCATACAGCTTTAAGAAACTGATGATTGTAATATCTCAATTATTAAAAAACTGGAATTAATCATTCTGGGCTTTGGCATACAAATATCACCAAATTTGTAGTTTATTTGATTGTAAAAATTCTTAAAAATAATACATTATGTACATAGTTAAAAATTTAAAATTTCAATTATAATTGTGGACACGGAAATTAAGCAGTGGCTTTGCAATAGCAAAGAAAATGCCAAATTAAAATTAAACCATCTAAGAAGTTGGGAAATTATTAGGAAATTTTTAATTTTTTTTAAAAAGTGGTAATGAAGTGAAATGATATAGTAGCTTTACGTTGTACAATTTTATATGTAATGTGTACACTTCAACAAAGTCAAGATAGCCGAACTGTATAAAAACAATATACAGTGGAACCTTGATTATCTGTGCATACTCTTCAGAAAAAGTAAAAATAAGTATGGACTACATATTATAAATAATTATAATCGACCACATAATATACGATATCAGTGACATTTTTGACAATAACAATATGACCATATATATATATATATATATCTAATATTTATTTTGGGATATGTAGTTATTGAAGATAAATTATAAATTATTATATTATATTATATATTATTCATTATTATAAAAATTCTCGATTAACCGTGGTTTTCATTTATCTGGATGACCCACCCCTTTCTCACCATTACCCCAAATAATTGAGGTTTCACTATATATATATATATATATATCCAAAATGGTGCATATTGAAAGATCAACACACAAAACATTGGATTCGGTATCAAAAACAAAACTGGGAGAAATGTGTCGAACATGCAGAAAAGATCCAACATGAAGACAGTGAAGAGATATTATGTGATAGACTGTTGGAGTCAATTATTTTAACATTTGTATCTGATGACAATGATTTTGGAGAAGATTACATCCAAATGCTTTTTTAAAAAATTGTTATACTTGTATTTTATTAATTCTTCCACTGACTATTGTTAATAGATCTATTTATTAAGCATATGCATAATTTATTTCATTATTAATTATAAATATCATTTTATTCATCAAAAAATAAAAATAATATCCATTTAAAAAAAAACAGTTTTTTTATGATTTGACAAATATTATCGTAAAAAACTGCTGCTTAGTGTATGCCAGACATCACTCATATTTTGTGTCCACAATTATATATGTTGAAATAAGTAATGACTGCAGTAAATATCATAAATATAGTAATACAGCTATTTTTATTTTAAAAATATAATTTCATTTAGTGCTTAGAAATTAAATAAAAAGCCTAGGTAACATTAAACAAACTTGTGTATTTTATGTTTTATGCATATTGTTTAAAACCAGTAGGAAATATTAAAAATACCAAAATTATCTATATTGCTGATAACTTATATAACTAATAAATAAACATGTATAATACTTAATAGTAAACATGTATTTTTCAATGCCTATATTTTCAAAGCATTAATTATTGACTTGCCACTGAAACAAAAAAAATACGAACCATATAATATTAAAAACAATTTCAATAAAATAAATTATACTACCATACTACCAACTTTTATAACTATACTCGTGTCAATAATATTTGAATATAATTGAAAAAAATTCAAGACATATAATTATCAAACATTTTGCATAAATAATTAACCTACAAGTATAATATTCATTTAAAATAATAACAAATCATATTATAAAAAAAAAATTAATTCTACTAGTCAAATAATATTAACACTGCCTATACCAACAAATTTTGGATTTATATACCAGGCTTACATATAGTCATTAGAGTACAATGCATTATACTATGTATTTAGTTAAACATGAATATTAACGCACATTTCATAAGTCATATTAAGCATATTCGACAATTTAACTTTTATTCTGATATTAAAAAATACATATTAAACAGTAAGCGGATTAATATTTTAAGTGAGAACTGAACATTAAATAATGTTTTATTAGTTTTATCCTCATATTTAAAATGTTTATAAATTATAAACACACACACTAATAAATTGTTAACTACGTAATAGCTGTTTTATCTGACTGCATATTATAAACATTATAATAGTTACAGAACACTGTAAAATATTCTAAAAATAATATAAAATAATATTCATGAAAAATTTTTAAATGTAAAATTTCATTAACAATTTTTGAATAAAATATATTACAAATTAACAACTACCTAATTTGATAGTATAACAATTATTAATACCTTTAATCCAGTACTTGGTCCCACATTAGCTGATCTGTCTGCTTCATCACGTTTTTGTTGTTCCCGTTGCATACGTTTCACACGTTCAGGATTCTTAATTCCTCGATTTTCTTGTTCTTTTAAACGTTTTTCAGCCGCAGCAGCTTGTTGTTCTCGAGCAACAGCCTATATTCAAATGTCTATGTTTATAAATGTAAAACACAAGACAAAATATCTATGTTTACCAAATCTACTCGAATCGATTCATCAGAACTACGACAGCAACATAGCAAATTGTATACATTCCAACCCATGATCAAAAAGAAATTTCAACTTTTATAAATATTTTGTGAATATAAACTATGATCGTTATTTTTTTTCTCTTAATTATTGCATAGCCAGTAATAAATAATTTAATTATTTTCAGATCTATAAAGACGTTCTCCCTACTTGTTCATGAAACCTAATTTGTTTAATTTCTACTTCAACAAATTTGTTACTTAAATAATAATTATAACTGAATGATATAAAAAAAGCTGCTATAATGAGTATAATGTTTATGTAATTACATAATACATTTATCATAAATATTATCACGATTATTTACAATACTATTATCTATACACAAAAAAAATAGATCATAGAGTAACTAATTACTTAATTTATCTATAACACTATAAAGTACTAGAATACTAGACTATATATTAATAATCATTATTATTATCCACGGTACATAATGTGCCATGGAACTTGATGCTATGGTATTATGGTAATACCATAGACATTAAACTCCAGAGGTTCCCAACTGAGGTGCCGCGCCCCATGGCATCTAATCTACATTGTTGACACCCCCTTATTCGTTTTTTTTTTTCATATTTACCAACATAAATATGAAGTAACCTTCACAGTGGTACGGTGACAATACAGTTTGCCCATGGCTCAATGTTTTCGTTGTACCATATTATCTTACAGAGTATACACGCTCCCGTATGTACGCGTGAAATTAACATTATTTTTTTTCTAAAAAACGGTAAATTTGATAAATCCGTTTACACGTGTAATTATTCACGTATGCACGTGTATTCGCGTATTCACGGATTTCAGTTTAAACAAGTATACAAGTATACACAATGCAATAATAACCACTTTGTCGACTCGACACTGACAGTACGTAAATGTCGGACATCCCCTATTCATATTTACACTACAGTACCAAGGGGCTATATAACAATCACTTAATATCCGTGAATGCGTAAATAACATTAAAACACGTGAACACAGATATTTAATTCACTTATATTAACTGTACGTGAATACTAATTGTTCATTTACATGGACACAGTACACTTATTATTTTAACAAAATGGCATTTTGGTAAGTACACTTTTTATAGAGTATCTATGAACTTGTGAATTTGTTTGTTTTAATTTTTTCCAATAATAGAAGTACATAACTTCTACGAGATGCCAGAGTCAGACACTTTTAGGAACCTGTGTACATTTATAAGAATAATGATGATGGAAAAGATATAAAAATGATGGAATCTAAAAAAAGAGCTTTAGTGACGGGTGCGCCACTGTAGTAGGTAGGAAGTCTGGAAGGCGTAGGATACTAAGATACATATAAAGTTATTTAATTTAAAACTGTAATCAACGAAAAAAGATTTGGAGCGAAGTTTGGTTGTATATGATTTATAAGGTCGTATTATTTATGATTTTCGTAAAAAATTTGATTTTAATTTTTATATAAAAAAAAAAAAATATACTATTTTACACTAACTTTTTTTTTTGATCACTAAGTAAGACTTAAAATGAACCTTCTGTCAAATTTTCAAGTATTATTATTTAGCCTAACAATTTTTTCCACGTAGTACCTGCCGAATAAAAATGTTGTAAATAACTCGCAATATATTAAAATGTCTATCAATAGCTCAACAATATAGTTTAAATGTTTCGAAAATTTAACTACGTCTAGAAAAAAAAATAATATAAGTATTCTGCTAAAATTGTGTGTTTCCACGAATATTTTAAACTGAATTACAACAAAAAGAAAGAATAAAAATAATAAAAGAATTATTTTCGTAAATTTTCTCGTACTTATTTTAATGTATTTTTCGGTTTTACTCAATCATTAAATAAAACTACAAAGAAAATCAAAAACGAATTTCTTAGTCACCAATAAGATCAAAAATTCATCAAAAAAAGATCTTTTGTTGTTTTTTTATTGGAGCAATACAATTTTTAGAAAACATAAGTTGTAAAAATTTAAAATAATGAAATCAGTAATGCGCCACAACATACTGTAAATATTTTCCGTTTTACTTGTAATAGTGTTTCCGGTTTTTCGCAATTATTTTTAAAACCCCTTGTACAATCAAAAAATGACCTTTTCATTGCATCAACTAAACCAAATTTCCTTTCAGAAAAGGTTCTAAACTTTAAACTCCTAAACAACAATTACTAATGAAAATAAAAACTGTAACTTCTGGGTGGGGAAATCTATAAATGGATTGAACGACGGAGAAAAGTTCAAAATGCTAAAACTAAACTGTGCGTTTAAAAAATTGTGTCCTTAAAAGTTGTGATGAAAATTGCATGGAATAAAAACTAAAAAACAACTATCAACTGATAACACATGAACTCAGGCTTCAATTATTAAACAGCTGTTATTCATTCGTATTGTTATTGACCTTTCCAAATATCATTACACCCGTTTACCATCATCTATATTAGATTTTAGGAGTGTGAGGTTGATTTGTCGTCTACTTACTACAAAATCTCCAGACATCAATAGTAATTTCACACTCTACAATGTTGTCCAGATTAGCTTTACGTTCAGGTAGTAGACATATCTTTACATTATACTATTATATCGTTTTGTTTGATATGTGGTTTTTTCAGAAATTTTTCGAGCCCCATTATGTACCAGTGTACGTTGTGCTCAAACCAAACCGGCAGTCGTCAGTACTAATGAATCAATCATTGTACCAGGATTCCCAAAACCCAATGGTCAACCACAGCCAAATCCATTTGATGGACCTGAACGAGACTTGGTGAATTTTCCTAGGCCTACTAGGTTGGAATTTCCATCTAAAACTAGGTATTTGTTTGTCCCGGAAGAATGGTTTGAATTTTTTTACAAGAAGACCGGAGTTACAGGTATAAGTTATTGTCTATTTTTACTGTACCTAGTAAAAATATTAGTAAAATTATATTAATTTAAATTGGGTCAACAATTTTATTTCAAACAGTGAAATAATGGGAATAATTCTGGTTTGGCAAAATGTTTGTATTTTTTACAAAATGTCTTCATGTATAATTAGAATGTAATAAAAAAATTTTCATTTAGAAGTTGTATTTAAAAAAAAATGTAGTGTGGGTGCCTTTGATTACTGGCATTTGTTTGCTTATGTGAAAATTTCAATTGAAAATAAACAATGATTTATTTGCAAATTCTGTTGGATAGTTCACGGGCTTAAAACTTAATATAGCTAAATATGATAAGTGAGTTTTGATTTATTAATGAATAGCTTTTAAAACATCCATTTTGAAAAAAAAATACTTGTGAAAATATTGAATTTGTTTTCTTAACTAAAATTACGCCATACAATCTTATCTTAAAATAAAAACTACCATCACAAATCATATTTTATAATAAGTTAATCTTAACTATCTTACATTTCTAAAAGAACCTACTTATTTGTTTTTGACCTTATTTATGGTGCGTCCGACTTATTAAAGATACAGGGTGTAACTGAACTCTCTGACATTTTTACATGTAACTATTATATAAAAATGTCAAATAATTATGTTACACTCTGTATATTATATACTATTAGGTAAAAAAGTTATTGGTGAAATTTGATTTAAACATCTTTTCTACTTAAAGTGTCATAATTAGGGCTCAGAAGTTACAGGAGCTAAAAAAAAGTAAAATATACATGAAAATATGTTAAATATTCAAAAAAATGTAATAAATACATAACATTTTATTCAAAGTTTATTATTCACAAACATAATGTCATTAACATGTTCAAGAAAAATAAAGACTAAATAAAAATCTTATCGTTAAATTATTAAGTCTAAGACAATAAGAAATAACCACAAATAACTACTTTAAATAATATTGATATTTTTTAGAAAATATGAAATCTACATTATATATGTATAAATATGCGAAAATCAATGAAATAATATGTACTTTTTCACTAAAATTAATGAAATATACATTTAAAATTTTTGATTTTTAAACTCTCCATTGCTTGATCTGCTATAAACCCAGTGGATATAGAAAAATATACAACTTATCACTATTATTGTTTATTTTACATTAAATCTTTTAAATAAAGACTGGAGTCCCGTGCAATTGCATCTTTTTATAGCGAGTTCTAAATTATATAGAAACAAGCTACAAATCCAAGTCAAGACATGTAGATTAATTTAAAGAAATATTTATTTTGCACAAAATTGCAGGTACAAGTTTTTTTTTTTAAAAAAAAAATTACTATTTACTACGATTGGAATTTTATATCTAATAATATAATTATATATATTAAATGTATATATATAATATAAAACAAACAATGCTCAATAACAAGTGTCAATGTAGAATGTGCGTTTTCACAATTAAAATACATATTAAATGACAAATGTTCTAAATGCCTACCAAAAACTTATAATATTATAAAAAAAATAAATAGCAATAAAAATAAAATTTAAAGTACCTATATTGAAAAATTTCTCATATAATTATTAATTATTAATAAAAATTTGTTTTTGCGCAATTTTGCACATTTCAGCATTTTAATTGCACGTTTTTTAAGTGTTAGCTGCACAAAAATCCGGTTTTTACTTATAAGGTTTGTGTGACAAGCTGATACATAGGCCAGGAACTTTATGTCTTAAAAAAAACTTTCAATATGTATGAATTTATCCAAATATGGTTAATGGTTTAAATATTCTCAAAAATATATTTAAAAACTGAAACAACAATTAAATCAACTTGTTCTTATTACAGATAAAAAATAAAAGTTAGATTTTGGTAGATATGACTGATATGAATACATAATGTAGTATTATTATTGTAGTATATTGCATATATTTTTTTTTTTAATCTGTAAATTGTTTGGATTATGTAACTACTCCACCAAAATAATTATCCAATATAATTTGTTTCATAAATAACTTAACTACCTTGGTCCTTGTATCTTTTATAATATTAATAATATGAAAATGTTTTTAAAAAAAATTTAAACATTGATTTATAAATTTCCTTTATTGAGAAGCAATATTGCTTCACAGTTCTTTTCTCTTTTAATATCACAATTATAATTTAATGTGCCTGGAAATAAAATACTACTGATAAATAAAAATTAAACTAAATTAGTGTCTATGTTACAGTTTGTGAAATATACTGTAAAATGTAAAAATGTCATAGCTATTGTTTGAAAACCTATAATAACCTATTTGAATGAAGTATAGTAATATGATTTGATCTAAAACACAAGTACCTACTAAGTTTGTTAGCTTGCCTAATGATTTACCTCAAAATTATATATTTTTAACAATTATTTTGTTATTTTCAATTTGTTAAGTTAAATATTTTTTAAATATGCTTTAAAAATGTACCAACTAAATCCAAAAAAAAAATTACCTTAAAATATGGGCAGTAATATTCTATGTACAGAATTGTGTTTGTTGGTTTACAAAATACATTTTGGTGTGAACAATTTTTTTAATCAAAAAAATATCTGTCTTAATTGTACGTATAATTATTTAAACCCATTAGATATATAATAACTTGGTATTTAACTTGGTTTTATGGATAAAATATATTATGAATGTAATGTCATTTTTTTTATATATTTTTATGAAACACTACGCTTTTTTATAAATTATTTTAAACATATATAACAAATATACTTCCACACAATGATTTTGTTCTCTAGGTCCATATGTTTTTGCTGCTGGTATCACAACTTATGTACTAAGTAAAGAAATATGGGTGGTTGACCATGAGTTCCCTTATGTGTTGGCTACAATAGGTTTGTTTTATTTTGGCTGGAAGAAATTCTCAAAACCTTTGGCTACTTACCTCGATAAAGAAATTGATGTATGTTATTTAAATTGTTTAATTGTGTGAGTTAATCATTTAATATATCAATTTTATTTTAGGATTATGAAGCCGAATGTAATACTTCTCGCCAACATGAGTTGGAAAGTTTAAAAGAAACTATTGAAAGCCAAAAAAAAGAAGTATGGAGAACCGAAGCCCAGAAACATATATTTCAGGCTAAACGTGAAAATATTGCCATACAATTAGAGGCTGTTTACCGTGAAAATGCTATTCAAGTTTACAACCAGGTACTATGTTTAATATTATAGAAGTATTATATTAAAATAATTTTGTTGTACAATATTTCCTTATTAATTAAATTAATTTTTTTAGGTAAAAAAACGCCTGGATTACCAATTGGAATTGGCTAATTTGAAACGCACTGTACAACAAAGACACATGGTTAACTGGATTATTGAAAATGTTCTTAAGTCTCTTACCAATGAACAAGAAAAACAGAGTTTCAAAAGATGTATGGTAGATTTACAAGCATTAGCTGCTGCTAATAAAGCATAAATGTTATTTCAGACAGTTCCATTTTATAGAACATTTATTGTTTAAAAATATAATAATTAATCTTCAGACATATTGTAAGATTGTTGTTCCCTCAGTCGTAGATTTCAAACATTTTGTATGGAATAAAAAAAATAAATATTGAATGCTTATGGATTTATTATTGCTACATATAATATTGTACAACTTCTTGTATTATTATAGTAACTAATTATTACATACCACATAATTATTTAAGTACAGTGTTACATTGCTAATTAGAAAATAAAATGTTTTTTCAATTGTTTTAAGTACTACAACCAATGAAGGAAGTGTTCATTTTTGTTAAGATTTTCTTACTTCAAAAAGTTAGTCATTTTCACTTGAATAGTTGTAGATTTTCGAATTTTACTTTGATTTTTTAAATAGTTGTAAGAATAACAGTAAAATCTTGTTTATGCTAATAAATTATTGCTAACAAGTATAAAATTAATTTATTTCATTAAAATCTAGCTTATATAGCTATGTTAATTAATGATAACTGATAACCAAATAACTAATTTAATATAATTAAACATTTTAATAAGATATTATTTTGAACATGTACTTTCGGTGACCTAAATGATGGTATAGAATGTATAATAAACACTTAATTTTCATTATGTGTATTCAGTTACACTGTATTGCAATAAATTTAATAATTACAGGTAGCAAGCAAGTAATAATATACAATTTTTAAAGCATACAGGCTGAGATGGGTGAACTAGTTTTAAAAAACTTTAATTATGGTTAATATGATTAAGAAGAAATAATTAAAAATTAATTTTTATGTAATACTTCAATTGATGTAAAATAACTGTTTTTTAAATTTGCCTCATGAAACTTGTATAATATATTTTTCATTGGTCTAAAAAGTATTTTCAAAGATCAAAAATCATTATAACACAAATTATAGTTCTTTTTATTCGGAATTTAAAAATAATATATTTTGACAAATAAATAAAAATATAGATAAATATTATAGATATAATATTTGTGTCAAATATTAAGTAATAGAGTAATTTTAAATTTAAAAAATAAATAAATAACAGTCTTTATCTACTTGAATGAACAAAAAAATATATACTTACAAAAATATTCAAAATAAAAATGTTACAAAGTATAATCAAACTTGATAAATATCTATGACAAGGTTGTCATAGGTATACACTACAGATTATATAAACTGTAATCTTGGCATTTTTAAATTTGTTAATAGTATTGACCAACATGGTATTATGGTTTTGATTATAAAAATCCCAACTACTAAAACTGTAAAAAAAGAGTTGATACTGGAGACAGATGCGGCTATTGTTATAGATGGGTAGTTATGTATTTAAATTTATTGTCAAAATTTAATTTTAAAACTAATAAACAAAACAATAAAAAAGACTGACATATTTTATACATGGTGGGAAACTGTTGTAGATGAAAAGTTGAGAAGGTAGAAGGGATATTGTATGTATATCTGTACGCAATGATTAACTATTGCTAAGAAAAAAGATTCTGAGCAGAGTTTGGTTAATGTTTTTGCTTAGCCAATAATATGTATATCATATTATAGTAAAATAATACGATATGCATTATATATTTTCTTTATTAATATTTGTTTAATATTGTATGTATTTTCCCATTTATGGAAAAATCAAAAAATGGCCTAGCTAAATAAAGTACCAATGCAATTTGATTTCCTTTCAAAAAAAGTACTTTCATTGTAAATTGGAGCAAAATTGCTGGAAGAAAATTTGTTCACAGGAAAAAAATTATTTTCAATTATTCTGAGAACCCCTTGAAAAAATAAAAAAAGATCCCTCTCTTCAATACACCAACTATAGAAAATTACCTTTCAGAAAAGGTGTTATAGTGTACACTTTGGAGTAAGTTTTCTTGTAGAAGATTTGTTCATATTTAAAAAAAAAAAATCCACACACATAATAAAACCAATAGATTCCTGACTACACTCTGAATCTAAAATTAATATACTTCTCTCTTAACTTGAAATAGACATGGTTCTCAGCCTTGGAGGTATTAGTGGAATGTGATAGAAAAATACAATTTTAAATTTGATGAAATTCATGTTATTAGAGACATCAGATATAAATCCCAAATTGTTTATGATTTCACTATGACCAGCATTATGTATGATCTGACCGCGGCCCCCTTTTTCAAATCACATTTCAATAACAGGTACTTTCAAGATAAACCTGTGTTGATACCAAGCAGGGTAAAAAGCATTTAACTAAGTACTTTCAATTCTAAGTGCATCAATGAATGTTTAGGTGGTACTATTTGTGCCTTTTTTTTCTGTGTATACTTTTTTAACAGAAATTTTGCACCAATCAAAAAACGAAATGTTCTTTCTTTGTAACTATTATTTTATACCTAGTTGGTGCATTGGGGAGGTAATTTTTTGATTTTTCATTAAGCTTAGGAAAAAATGTAAAAAATGCGTGCCTACAAATATCTATCTACGGTGTTAACAATTTCATCATGTGGTTTTTTTTTTTAATTTTCGTTTTTTCCGAGAAATCTCGCTCCGTATTCAAGAGTATCATATTTTCTATGAAAAAACCTATCGGCTACCACTATAGGTCGAAAGTTTTAATAGTATAGGAAGTATGATAGGTAATTTAGTTTATATGCTGAAAGCAACGATAAATAATTACCATCAAAAATTGATTTTAAGTGGAGCCAGTGACGTATTTGTTATTATTGTTACCATTTCCTACAACAATTTTTTTCTCTGATAGTAAAATGTAATACCTTCAAATCACACTTGCAGGTTATATTAAAATTTAAAATTATAATTATAATTCTAATCAAGAAAAAATGGTTTCATAATTTATTATCAGTGGTGTATTAAGGGGGGAGTTAGGAAGTTGATTCTCATGTATCTGTAAGTAATAATATTATGTAGGTACAGTTTACACAATGTGTGTAAACTTACATTGTATAATATTTGTTTTAAAATGTTTATTTACAAAATATTTTTTATTAATTTAATTAATTAATGCTCGATAACCATATCAAGGAAGGAGACCTATGACACTATAATGGGCCAAATATTAAATATTACAAAACTGCTTAACTACAGACTCACCTGCAGCTAAGCACGAGACATATTATTATATGCATAGAAATGTCTATAATAATTATAAGACTTAAAATGAAGTATCCGCACTTTAATTAAGTGTAAAAAATTATAAGTTTATTGCTTTTTCTTTTGTATAAATATTATAGTTGTCCTTAATCATTCTATTTGATACTATAAAAAAGTAATTTAAGTTAAATTTGGTGATGATTACTCGCTCACTTTCCGTGCTTCAAGATGGTTAAAATATGGTCAATAAGGGTGGATTTTTGAGTTTTACTATGATACTATAGCACGTAGAATAATAACATTTAAATGTTTTTTTTAAGAAAATAACATTCTCTAAATAGGTATATGAATTTTATAAAATTTATCCAAAATCAATTGGTTTCTATGAAAAACCAAGGGTTTTATTTAATTGGTGAAAATATACAAATATAGATTTGTCATATGAAATTAAAATGTTAATGTAAACACAACGCGGCTAATTATTATAGTTATTTGTGTATTTTAAGGATTAAATACATTTTAGTATGAAGATGAACACGTGAACCTTCATTATATTTTTTTATTCATTCACGTGAAATTATTCATTTTTCATATAGATCTCTATAAAAAAATTAAACAAATTAAAATGACATTTAATTGTTATTGATACAAAACAATTGAAATATAAATATATGTGAGAATATCTGTATTCATCATTGACGTTTTCGTGACTAAGAAATTTAAGTTTCCTAAATTAACTATTTTAATAACATCGAAACCACCTTTATCCACATAGCCCATTTGGTGACCGTATTATTCGCACATTCCATATAGGAAAATAAGCTATAAGTAGGCACGTATGAAGCCTCCCCCCGAAAATTCTTCAAAAGTTGTATACTTTATGCAACATTTATTTATTGTGATTGTATAAGTTAAGGTACACAAGTTCGCCTTTTCTTCTAATAAAATGCAATCAATTATTGAGAATAGTACTTTTAATTTATTAAGTTTGGCTTGTAGGTAGCTCATGTAAAATTGTATCATTAGAAACAAACGGAACAATATTTGACAAGTTAGATTTACTGGATTGGACGATTGGTTCTACTAAACATTTATTATACAATTATAACATCGACATCGAAGAGATTTTGAACAAATCTGCCAGATTACCACGAAAGTACAGTTTTATACTTTAGTACATTAACTATACCTATAACTATAAGTTATACCTACTTCATATAATATTTTTAATCTAACTCTTATTATTAATTTTTGGACTTTTTTAAATTTATTTAAATTAATTTCAAGTATAAGTAATGATATTTTTTTTTTAGATTCTGAGTGAATGGAGTAGAATGTATTGGTTTTAAAATTATATTTATTTATTTAATTTTTTTCGGTAGATAACTTTTGTACCAGCAATTTTGCTTCGATTTACAATGACAGCATTTTTCCCCAGGAGTTTTCCCAATAAATAAATAATATAAAACCAGGAGAAACGTAGGAAAAACGGAAAGATAGGTACAAATATTATTAAAGAAAATGTTTAATGCATAAAATAATTACATATGTGTAATTATTTTACCATTATACGTCATGTTATATATTGTTGACAAAGCAACACTATCAACCGAACTCTACTCAGAATCGTTTTTTCGTTAGTAATGGTTAATCGTTGCGTACGGATATACATTAAATACCCTTCTGTATCCTACATTTCCAACTTACACCTACAACAGTGGCTGCAACCATTCCCATTATCCTAGGACAGTTTTTTCAAAATATATCTCCATTATTTCTCCTATAATAGTGAAATGTTTTATAATTGCGGTTTAAAAAGATATGCCAAATTTGGATTTTAGTCTATAGGTATAATATTATGCAATATTATAACTTATAAAATTATCAATCAATATTGTACAATGAGAGGCGATTTGATTATATTATTATGCGTAATATTGAATATAGTTAATTTTTTATGAACCCTCGAAATTTTGTTCTGTGTGCATGTCTGACTATAAGTAGGTACTATTTTATAAATACACGTGTTATTATGTGTGTATTTAGTTTTAAATCGCACGTGTTAAAAACACGAGTTTTGAAATAGATACTTCATACACGTGTACATAATTTCCACATACACGTGTTTTTATAATTCTTTTCGTATATTATTTCAATGTGATTCTTTACGACTTCGACAACCTATATACAACTATATAACAAACTTGATTGGTACTATCTTTGCAATAAATGTTATCTGTTACAGAACTTTTGGTGTCAATACTGCCAATGTAGCCATATACATACAGTTCTTCATCTATTAAGTATATTATACGAACTGAGAATATGATATTATACCTAAATAGACATTTGGTATTCGAGATTCGACGGGCGCTTAACAAAAGTGAAAATATTGAAAAAATGATTCACCGTATTTTCTTAACTTCATATCTTATAAAAGACTATTATTTATATTTAAACGACAAATATTAGATCACTTTTGGCTTGGATACCGAATTAATAATTTGTCCTAGATTCACGCGAAAAACCGTTGGGCTTAACAATGAAAATACCACGGTCTTTGCAATAGCACTTTAAAACTTCAATAGGTGTAGAGATAAAGAAGATAACATAATAATGAATCCAATATCCATAATAGTATATTGTTCAGTATTTCTCTACGATTTATTATTATTATTATTATTTAACTAAAACGGATAGGTGTGTTATTATTTAATAATCATTAAATAACAATAATTGGAAAATAGTATAGGTATCTAATCGGTATTCAATAATGTATTGATAACATAGGCATTAGGTATATTAGGCTATACACAAATATAAACAAATAGGTAGTCGTAATATTTTTTTCGTCCTTTTGTTCGATGATCATTATGCGCCAAATTAAAATTGGACCGTGTTACACGCTTGTATAGTCCACATAAGACGATAAGGTATAACATTTAGATACGTATTAACCATTAATGTTCCTACAGAATCGACTTATATATTGTATATAATATTCAACGGTAAAAACTATTTTGCGTGGGAAAATACTGCCTAGGTTATAAACATAGTTGACGAATCAAATGTTTACCATAGATATCGAAAAACTTAAACTAACGTGGCATAGTGCAAGTTCTCTTAATATTATGGTTAGAATTTGGTTTCTCAACTAAATAATCCATAGTCTAAGTAGTTTTTGCCACCGCGAAATAATTGCATTAATTTTAATTTCTTATTTTTTAGTCAAAAAAATCAAAAATGTGTTGGCACCATGTAAATAAATAAAAAATAAAAAAACTTGAACAGCAGGTACGTTTCCTTATTATAAAAACGAAACCTGTCTTAACCACTTTAATATAAAGGAGATTATTCTTCTCTTTATTCTTAGAATAATATAAATAAACTAATTAATAATAATAATCACTATATAACATTTCAATGATGATCAATTGAATTGTAAATTGCTTACAAAAAATGAATAGATTTCGAAATTGGATCATTTTTGTTGTTTGAAGTCTAGGTACATAATATTATGCGTATACACTATTTCAAAATGGAGTGTCTTCCTCCTCGGAAAATCCTAAATACGCCACTGGGTAGTGAATATAGGTATGTTTACCTATACCTATATACAGGTAGGTACCTACGTGTTTTTCTGAAGTAAGTTATATCTTTATAAAAACTAATAAAACAATATTATTAAAAATATATATATATAAAAAACGACAGCCGAATAGTCAATTATTGCAATCACAATATAAATAACATTGGATTTTCGAATGACCTTGTTGACTCATACAGTTTCCACATTATTATTACCTACCTATGAGATGTTTTTATTTTTTTTATTGCACTGATTATCGTATAATTATTTATTTTTAGAATAATATTGATTAGGTGCTTGGCATATTGTTGTATACACTTGTACTTACTTTTAATAAGTCTAAATTCATTAATTTGAGGATCTATCAAATAGGTACCTTAATTGAAATCATATTGTAGAATTGTTTATATATATAGCTTTTGTCTACAACTTACCTATGCCACATAGGAACCAAATACCTATTTAGTATTTAATATAATTGTAAGTACAGGAAAAAAATCTCCACCTAAATACCTATTTGATACTAATGTCAAGTGGGGAGGTTTCAAGGGCAATGTTACCTTGGGGCCCGGTCAGAAGTATATTTAAAAATGTATATTAATATAAATATATATATATTTTTTTTATCAAAATATTATTTATTTTGGTATCTAACATAGGCACATAAGATAATGTGGGATAAAATATTCCGAAAAATTGTTTTCTAATTTCGTGGTTTTTACTTTTTATGCATGAAATCTAGTGTTTCCCATGTGACAGTTCAGACAAGTTTTGAATTGTTATTGATTCCCACTGTTTGTCATACTGAGAACAAAATTGTCAAGATAATAATTATTTCTAAAGATAAGCAATGACCGATAACAGAAACATAGTGATAACCAAAGATGGATATTCTTTTTAAATAAGTATTTTGTCAAATTTGTAATTTAGTATTTATTTCATTATAATATTGCAATATTGAGTTTTCAGTTTTATCAGATTATCTTCAGTATTTAATAAAATCCATATTACAGTGTTTTATTATGTCTCTTAATTTATTATCGGTGGACCCTAATGGACAACAGGTAATATTACTATTTGAATTACATTTGTTTGAAATCATTATCCAATAGTAAACAAATAGGTACACATTTTAAACATATTACTTGTATACTACACATTTTTAAATAATAATCTGGGTAACTATGTAAATATATTAACTATATAAAATAATAAATTATGTTATGAATAACATAGTATATCTACTGTATTATTCTAAGTACAATTTAACTTCCCTTAATTTTTAAATTACTATTATAAAAACACTAGTGTTAGTTAAGTTTTATAAACATAAAACAAGTAAATTTTTAGTACACAACATTGATCTCAAGTGTTTACGCAATAAACTAGGTATTTATCAGTACCTATTATCTGCTCTTTGAATATGTATAATAGGTTAAAGATGATCTGATTCAAAATGCAAAGTCTAATGTCAATGATATTGTTTTATACTTTTAACAACATTAATATCTATTTATGGTTAATTTACGTATGTGTACAATTAATAAAAAATAATTTAATCCTCAACATTGTTTATGCAGTTAAGTACATAGATTTTTAAATTACAAGGTTTTATAATATTAATCTTTAATATATTTTTTCAATTATATTAATATTGAGTTCAAAAATGTGTTACTGATAAGTGATTTTAGTTTATTTATTAAAACAACAGAACACAATACAATAAATTCATAATTGAATTAATTTATGATGACTAAAATATGTAGCACCAAATATTTTTGTTAAACATATTAATTACATATACACACTTACAGAAATAATGATTAGGTACTTATTAAAATATTATTTGTTTTAAAAATCACCACCAGTTTTGTAATTTAGTATTATTAAATATAATAATAGTCTTGCTATTGAAAAATATCTGTTACATTGGAATACACTAGTAAAATGAATGCAATCATTACTGGTGTCACCCACTACTAGAAAGACATAATAAATGTATTATTTATAGTTTTATAGACACTACTACTGTATATGATATTACTATACTAGCTACTACTGCAAAAAAATAGTACTCATAAAATAATGTCAATTTGAAAAAATGCATGTTAAAAATAATTGTCTTTAATAATATTATATATTATAATCTTGTACTTTTATTGTTATTATGAGTATTATCCTAAAATCTAGTTTTTGTGTGTTATTTATAATTTATAGGTACCTGATATTCATTTTCACATTTACTTAATGTACCATTGTAACATGTACTATTGTATAGATTGTACATTTTCATTAAATAAACGATTAAATTTAAAAAAAAAAGTTACCTTATATTTGTATAAAAATCATATATTATGTAGATAATCTGGTTTACTATATAATGTCTCAAATTAACTTCAATTGACATTAATTAAATAAAATTAGAATAATGATTATTACCTCACTTAATTAGTGATCTATAAACTCTAATGTACAAAAATTAATATATTTTAATAAGATTATATTCCTAGATTTCTATCATAATACTTTTTATCAGCATTATTAAGTAAAAGATACCTTAATATAATTCTGGCTTGGGTCAATAACGGAGTAATGTCACTTTTTGGTGAAATAAGTTATATGGCCAATCACATAAAATTGTATATGCTTTTTCTAGTGATAAAAGGATGTATTTCAATAATTATTATTGTGAGATTTGAAAAGACCAATGTTGTTAGAAAAATTACTGTTGCAATATCAAAAAGGCCCAAAAATGTGTTTTATTCTTAATTTCCCAAAATTGATTAAAAGTGAGATTGGTTCTTTTTGACCTAAGCTCCAGAATTATACTAGTTACCTCACCATTTACTTATTGATATGGTTTAATAATTTTACTTTTTATATTTTATAACTACATTCTGCTATTTTAAGTTAGTTACAAGTTTAGATTTATTGAATGCTTGAAGTTATTTAAAGTATACACTAAAAATATTTTGGCATGATAAAATTGTGTTCAGTAATCAAGTAGGTAGGTCCTACATTGTATATGAATAATTAATAATTATTTTTAATTTGAATTTTAAGCAAAGAAAGTTGTACAGTGGTTTTTTAGTATGTCTTTATTTCATTATGCGGCTATTTGTTCATTTATAATTTAATGTACGGCCTACTTACATTTTCACTATTTTAGACATTGATTGTTCAATAATATGTATTATGCATTTAGACGTTAACATATTTTCATTATAAAGTTATAGCAACTTAAAGTTTACAAGGGTAAAGATGTTATGACCACTTGCTAAACATTTTAACTTTGCTCATTAGTTGTGTTATATAAACCTACTGACTTGTGAATCTAAACATGATGTACAGTATTAAGTATACAGTTCTTTAAGTTTTAATAAACTTCACTATGTGATATGAGATTGTGTTTGTACTGTATGTAGGAGTATGAATGTGAAATGAATCATTATCAATATTTTTGTATCCCACGAAGAACATAGACCACATATTGAAATAACACTGTTTTTTTTCTAGTTTGCACGTTTTTGGTATACCTAGTAAGAGCCTCTTTAACATTAATATTTGTATGCAATAGATTTAAACTAAACCTTAGAGGATTATAAATGGAAATTACCTATACATTTTCTATAAATAGGTAATTAAACAAATTAACACATAAGAGTGGTTGATTTTAAATTTGATTTTCTATTAATTAATTACCTATTTAATTATTTTTTAAAAACATTATAAATTTGTTTTATGCATTTTTAGTAAGTATGTCACATTTTTTGTTTATATCAATTTCATAAAATAAAATACAAAATAATTTTTAATGTAAAAAAAATATATGAAGGATTACCTAGGTACCTATCTACATTTGAAATGAGTAAGAGTCTTTATTTATCTTATTAATAAAACATCATACAATCAGCATGTACCTATAGATAAATATATCCATAAACACATATTTTAATAGTTAATACGTACGTACATTATGTATAATTTAAATTTGCTTATCTTTTAAGTATTAAAACATATAATTGTGCTAAGTATTCTCGGTTTCTAATGATAGTACACTTGAGATCACGTAAAAAATAATTATTGTTTTTTAAGTTTTCATTATCATTGATGTTAAATGTGAAATTTAAGTTTCAGTTTACTTGTTACCTAACTTTTTGAAGTACATAACGATTTATCAAATAATAATTTTAAAAAAAAGGTGTATAACAGTGCGTCACTGTTATAGGTGGGAGGTTGGAAAGGTAAGATACATAAAATTGTTTCTATAAAAAATGTGGAGTTTATTATGAAAAAACGGTACATTACCTTTTATTCAAAGTATTGTTTATCACAGCCAGTACTTTTTCCCAGCCTTCTAACAGCATTCGGATACAATGTCGGAATAAATACTCATCTTTCGAGGCTATCCCCGAATCCACACAATTTTCGGTATCCATCGGTATCCATGACGTAAGCGTTATTCAGACAGACCAAGTACCATCGACCGGAACAGGTGATTCGGAAGGGGAAATACTTGGGTTGGACTTATAATTTAAGTGTTTTCAAATAGGTTTTGACCAGTACTGCGACATGTTGAGCATTATCACGTAGGAAAATAATTTTGTCGCGTCTGGAGTAGTAATGCTTTCGCTCAGTTTGAGTAGTTTATAATACATAAGACCAAGCAGATCACACAACATAAGTTTTTTCCCATGATTATTCGATTTAGCTATCGATATTGAAGCATGGCCAGGTGGTCTCCGTGATTTTCGATTCTTTGGGTTATCGTAGTGGATCCATTTTTCATCACTTTATATTTAATACTTCACATATTTTATGCCGGACGGCAAGCAACATTTTGTACATTCAAAATCGGGGTTCAACATCTCTCGGCTTCATATGGAACCCATTTACTCGTTATTGAATCATTCCCAACGATTTTAAATTTTGAGTTCTTAATTGTATAATGCCAATAAATTCATTTTCGTTTTTATAGAAAGATATCCAGTAATGGTCTATAGTAAATTTAAAAATGTACCGTATTGTAATGTACCTGTTTTCTGATTTCAGTCATATAACCTAACACAGTTTTTTTCTATAATAAGTCCATTACAAATTTTTTTGATTTTTTTTAAATAGCTGATACTTGAGATCGGTGCGCCACTGTTGTAGGCGGGTATTTGGAATGGTGGGTTACCGAAAGTTGTTTAATTTATACCTTTAACCAACGATTAAATATTGTTAATAAAAAACGATTCGGAGCGAAGTTCGGTTATACATGTTTTGAAAGGCCGTAATGTTTACAATTTTTGTCGAAATTTGATTTTAAAACATAAAAAAAAAAAGATGGACATACTTCGAACGGTCTTTAGGATCACAATAGGTAGGTAGCACCACTAGATTTGAAAATATAGTTATATCTAACATACCATATAATATCAGAACTTCATAATCTATAATTTCGAAACTAAGTTAGTCCACTCAATTCTGACTTCACCATCGTTCTTAAATCAGTAATATATATATATATGTTCAAAACAAAAAATTGAAAAATTGGTTTTGTTCCACATCATTTTTTATCCAAAAGACTTTCCTCAAAATTTGATTTTAAAATTCTTTTATAAAAAATACTACTACATTAAACTCAAATTTTCAAAAAGTAAGACTTTTAATGAACTTACTGTTGAATTTGTATGGATTTCTGTTTAGTCTAACAATTGTCCGTAACAAATTACATATACAATTAAAATGTCTACAAAAAGCTCAAAAATGGCTTAAATTTTTTGAAAATTTTACCTCGTCTAGAAAAGGTAAATTTCTTGTCTTAATTTCAAGTTCATAAAATCGATACGAATATTTAAAATCATAAATGGTTAGAATTAAACCTTAAAAATCCCGATTATTAAGAAAACTACTTTGGATATTGCAAGACGATTGATTCGATCAATGGCAAAATATTAAAAGGAACACTTGTGATTTTTAGATAGGATCAATATTTCTGGTAGAAAACATCGTATAAACACAATAAAAACAATGAAAACGGTAACACCGCTGTACGTCGTAAATACTTGACATTTTACCAATAATTTTCTTTCCAGTTTTTCACAATTATTTTGAAAATCAGCTCGGGAAAAAAATTAATTCATCGGAGTAAGATTTCTGGTATAAAAGTTGTTTTCAGACAAAAAAAAAACAGATTATAGTAAAACTAATAAATCCCTCGCTACGCTTCGAATTTAAAATATTGAAAATAAAGAATAAATTCTTTGGTAATGTATAATAACATGTTAATTTATTTTTGTAAAAACAAAAATTTACCTATCAAATTATAACGAATATTTAAATATTTCTCGGCGCGTGACAATATTTGTATCATAAAAATCATGATGAAAATTATTTTAAAGGTTAATGCCTTAAAACACGTTTTTATTTATTATAAAATATACGGACTGAGTCCTTCCAATAATTAGGTAGAATAACATATAAGTTAAGATTAAACAATAGAAAATATACAGATATTAAAAAATATGTTATTTGTTTAGTCAAGTGTAACAATAAAACGATTTAAAGTGGGGTCCGTGTTGGCATGCGACATCAAACGTCTTATAGGTTCATTACTCATGTGATTGGTGGAACTGAAGGGTATGCGAAACATAGAAGTTGAGTTTATCTAGTTAGGGAACTTTCAATGTATTGTTGGAAAGTATGGTTAACGAACCAATAACAACTATCAGAAGATCTTTTAAAAATTTGTTTCCAAAATAACATCTGCGCTCAGCTAAGGAAACTAAACCTAGATGAGTGGCAACAGGATAATAATCGTGTGGAAGACAATCAATACCCTGAAAGTAGCTGGCAGATCGATGAAACCTTCACTGAACCCTTTCAAGCTGGCAAGCGTTAACAGCAGTATAGGGTTCCCAAATTACGGCACCATATTCTACTACATAGTACTATACAATATAATACAGTATAATATACTATTCTGCTTTACAATATGTTATGTTCCACGTCAATACAACAATACAATTATTTAGAAAAATATAATATGATATAATATTAATCCAAAAACAGGATATAATATGATAGAATTTTAATATCAAATTTTCACGAAAATCGTAAATTTTACGACCTTTATTTAAAACTGATCTCCGCTTCGTCTTACGTCGAGAATCGTTTTTCGTTAGCGATTTTAATCGTTGGGTATACAGATGTACATTAAATTCTCCCTCTAAATCCTACCTTTCTAACTTTTAACCTATAGCAGTGGCCAAACTATCGTACGAAGTATGTCCGTCTTTTGTTTTACTTTTTTTTTAATTAACTTAATCTGTTTTATATATTAGATCTCAACACCATATTCTCATAAGCCTTCTTAGAGTAATTTCCGGGATGTTATTTGAGTTAAGGTATAAAGGGCAAGTATTAAAAGACTTTATTTTCTTTTTGAACCGACAGCAGTGAGAGCTCTGTTTTCACAATACTTCCCTACTGCTGCCTGAGTATTATAAAACTTGTATGATTTAGAAGACGAGACAATCATATATTTAATTTTAAATAAATTCAACATTTTGTGAGCAAAACAAAATATATGATTTTCAAACGAACATACATTACATACCTATTCGGTATTTTTTTTTTAAATTCAATTTTTACAAGCGTATACCTAACGGTAAAATAGGTAGGAATTTCAGATAAGGTAAAACGATTTACATAACAATAAACGATTGGTAATAAGCTCGGGTTATCAAAATATATTATGTTCAATAATATAGGTAGGTAACCCATGTTATTTTATGGCTCGAACTCTTGAATTGTTTTTTTTTCTTGTGTCGACAAAATACTAAACTGGTCTTGTTGAAAACCTGTAAGTAAGTTGCAAATTCCACTGACGAAGTGGTATTTAATTTTTTTTTCTTCTGAAATTACATAAAATAATTTCTGGTAAACAAATTATAATGTAGATGGGTATATACATTATTATTATTTATTGTACAGTTAATAACTGTTTTTATGCATGCTCTTCAGCATAGGCGTTGTCTAAGAATTTACTGTCAATTTTTTCCAATGAAATACGATTTGTTTTTACTTTTTCATAGCAATTCTGCTGTTTCATAGCACTAATCGATACAGGTATTATATATTCAGAGACCTGAACTCTATTCTCAAATCAAACGAAATGCGTTTTTGAATGAAAATAATAAAAACTGATCGAAAGTTGTACATTTCCGATTGATTTTAATCAACTACTGTTTGTTTTAAAAATAGGTCACTAGAGTACAAAATTATTTTTAAAAGATCATACTATTGTTTTCAGGATTTTCAAAAATATAAATCGTAATATTAGTCAAAATTTGATGATAAAATTCTTATATAAAAAAAATTCTACATTACTTCACACAATTTTTTTTTTTTTTGACCATAAATTTGTATGTATTTCTATTTAGTCTAACAATTTTATCTACAGAGTACCTACCGAATAAAAATTACTTAAAAACTCGCAAAATTAAAATGTTCATAAATAACTCAAAAATAGCACAAATGTTTAAAATAAAAGTATTTTCTACGTTTTTCCCCGTATTTCTTAATTATTATGAAAACCGCTTAGAAAATCGAAAAATGACTTTCCTAATGTATCAAGTCGATAAATTGCCTTTCAGAAAATGTGCTATACTTGATACATCGAAGGAAGGTTTCTGGTAGAAAAATTGTTCACAGAAAGAAAAAAATAAACATCATTGTCAAATCAATTCATTCCTCATCGCTACACTCTAAAAATAATCGAAAAACGATCGAAAAAAGCCAAAAATAATTTTAAAATTTCATAATAAAACTCATGAATCTTTATTATACTTCTCTCGCGGATACCTATAGCGATGACGGACGTGACCAGTAGATAAGATAACAAAAAATAAGCGTTGGATAATAGTGTACAAAGGTGAAATTATTTAAAATTCATATGGGCGAACAAATCTCGGTGTTCGTTAATGGCTTACGTAATCACAAAGTAATAAACATGCATACAAATGTAGACAAAACTAAGTAGTAAAAAAACATGTTTTTTTTTTTTTTTAAATTGAAATAAGCAAAATAAAGTACTCTTAAATTTAATTTTTGAACTCTTTGTAACATGATTTACGTGTAGGAATGGTAATAAAACATCCATGTGTATTTTCCCAAATACACAGATTTTTATTTAAACTTTCGATATTCTCAACATAGATGGTCTGAAAAAAACATATCGGTACATCGATGTTCACAAAAAATTGCCATCTCTACATACCTGTGGATAACTTTCAGTTTCAGTTAGATTTAATATCAAGCCAAACAAATAAGTAAATTCCGTCATAAATCTCGAACCCTGATTATAATATATTCTAATATTTTGTTACTATATTATAATGTTGTATACCTAACTACTGCACGGCTTAGGTTAAATATAATATAATGAGTCACCGAAAAAAAAAAACAGGTAGCTAACTTAACCTTGAACGTTTGAATATTATGTCAATTTAATTAAGCTAAAACATGCAATGTGTATAATGCGAGTATACCTACCTAAAAATTGCAAATTTAACTTTTCGATTTCCGCCCGTGTACATGTATAGATGTATTGAAGATCCGAACGACCGCCGCAAGGTTTAAAGTACTGTTGACTGTTTTGTAAAATAATAATTATATATCTGGTTAATAAATCATTTTGATTTCGTCGTAATAAAGTATCGAGTATTCGTGTGTTTAATTAATAGTGCCTGTTCGCAACAGGAAAAACAAGTGCTCGAGTTGTTCTTTATACATGTCGATCAATCTTTGATAAGACACTAATTATCTAGGAAAATATTAACTTTTTTTGGAATCCCTAAAATTTTACACTACCTCTATTTTTTATCACTTTTATTTTTGAGGGTAAACCGCTACTCGCGTTCGATTGCAACCTGCATTAAAAAAAATCGTATAAATAGACGAAGTTTTAGTTTAAAAACATTTGATGTTGACATTTTTAATTTTCGCTAATCTGTTGACGAGATACTGCACTTTTAAGTTTTATTAGTGAGAAATTATGTAGCGGAGCGTTGTTCAAACGCTGCGTCACCGCACAAATGTGTGCTGTTCCACTAAGACACCCCTGCCTATACTTAAAAGTTGGTGCTGAGGTTAAGAGTGTTTGGAATTTCGAATGGTCGTATTAGAGTAATATTATTGTTGTGCTCGGGTCTGAATCGTTTTTCGTTTACAATGGTTTATCGTTGCGTATAAAGTTTAAATTACTCTACATTTGCTCGCCCCTTGTCCAACTTTACTCCTAAATCAGAGGCACATGCTCATACGGGTTTTTTTCAAATATATTAATATGACGAATAGTATAATGTCAGTGTAATATTTGTACCGCGTATCGTAGCGATTCGGCCGCACATCCGGGTGTAATTAATGATATACTCGTTATTCATTTAGTAACTATAGTAAATAATTTCGATACGTTTTATTATTGTTGACATTTTTTTTTAATGCATATATCGCGTGCACGTATTTTACATGTTCATACATTTTATCGTCTTCGTCTCGTCGGCCGAAATAATCGGTTAAAATCCCCGGACGTGCTGCTGTACCAACCACGAAACATTATTGTCCGGCGCGCGTGTTATCATTGTAACAATGACGACGGTGCCCGAATCACGAAAACCGTACCATCTCGGCTGTTATGTTTATAAACAATTCATTTTGGAACGGGGCGAGGTAAGACGCGACGATTTATATTCCGCCCGTATTTCTATGCAATATTAACGTAGTACATATGAACATTGTTTCGGCACCCCGCAGCCGATGATGTACGAATTAACGGCCGCATCCGAATTGCGTGTCAAAAAAAAAAAAAAAATAATAAAAAAATATATATATGTATATATTGGTCGATAGCCGAGTTGCGTGCTCTTTTTTTTTCACTGCCGGAGTCGAGTTGCGTGTGCGGTTTTTTATTTTTTTTTTACCGGAGTCGAGTTGCGTGCGCGTATTTCGTGGTGTGACAGGCCCGAAATTGCGTGCCCCAGCGTGTTTTCACTTTTCGCCGACCCGTGAAATACGGTCACCCGGTAAATTCGATACGTCGTAATAATATGGGTTTACTCCGAGGAACGAGACTGGATTAGTTAATTGTTGGACATCCCGGCATCCAGATCTCAATATTATCAACGATTTCCGATATAATATTTTAACACCTACGACCGGGAATAAACGAAATGGACGTAATGTACAGTGAAAAAAATAAAAAACTGTACATTATTAACGGGTATAAATTTCATTTCAATAAATTTTTAAATAATAATATTGAGAGATGGGCGTGCACCAAAAGAACGTGTAAATCTTATTTTAAATTGAGCGGAAGCAACAGTGCGATTATTTTTAGTGTTTTAAATCACAACCACGAAAGAGATGATGTAAATATTTTGACACGACAAAAATTAAGCAATCAATTAAAACATAAAGTTCTGGACGATCTGTGTGAAAAGCCGTGCAAAATTGTGCACCGTGAGTCACGTGAAGGGCACATTTATAGTAGTTTGACTGTCACAGACACGGTACGTATTCGAAACAATATTCACTGTATCCAACGTATTCGCGTTCAATTGTGAATCCAAAGTTACCGACAAATTTAGACAAACTACATTCGCCTCCAACATAGTCGGGTGAAATCAAGACAAATCGAAATGAATTACCTACCTGACTATGTCCATAAATAATTGTGAACAAATTATTGTAGTATTTGTGACCCAAACTAACTTGTAATATTTAACTGAAAGTGTCGTTTTATATGTTTATGGTACGTATAAAAGTTGACCCCTTATCTGCAGTCTGTAATTTAATTTAATTATAGATTCTGAACGTAGCGAGAAATGTTCATATTAAATATCATTGTAAAATTACGTTAATTTCGTTTTTTATTCTGTAAACAACTTTTCTACTAGAAATCTTGTTCCGGTGTATCGAGTGTAGCGACTTTTTTTAAAGGAAATTTTGTTTCGTTAATACTCGTAGAGGTGATTTTTTTCATTTTCCTAGCGGATTTCATAACAACTGGGAAAGAACGGGGAAATTGTACGTACATGTATACAAAAAACTTCGCTCCGAATCGTTTTTCGTTAGCAATGGTCTATCGTTGCGTACAGATATAAATTAAATTCCCCCTTATATCCTACCTTCCCAACTTCTCACCTACGACAGTGGCCCACCTATCGTGCGGAGTATGTACGTCTTTTTTAACTTTACTTTGAACGATTTTGACAATGTGATAATTTGTAAAGTACATTTTATTTAATGTTGGTTTTAATCATTACTATAACACATAATTCATTGTACATATACTTGTGCTTATCTTTATTTGAAACCGTTAATTTTATAATTCAATACGTTTTATCCGGTCGGGTATTTGTATCGTTTTTGACGGTTTTGATTAGTACAATTCATTATGTATGTATCAGTGGCGAATTGAGCGTTTTATCAAGGAGAGAACTAATGAATTTGGAAACTGTTTATCCAGATATACGTGGGCTAAAAAAATAATCGAGATGTTACTTTTGTAATTAATTTATTACCTACTCATTCCGCCCGAAAATATCATTCATTCATTCATATTTATTCACGTATTTAATTCATATACCTAACTAAGGTAATGCACTACGTGTTTATGAGACCTACCCATTTGTCGGACAAATGTAAATGACGGAATTGTAGCCACAGCGGTCCGTAGCCAACTCCGAAAACATAAAAAGTCCGTCATGTCCGAACCTCCCGGGAAGAAATTTAATATCTAAAACTTTTGGCCGTTGATAAAACACGACTGGCGGAAATAAAGGCGGAGGGGGAACGGGAGAAAATAACGTCGGCAGGTGGTCACATTTTGTAACAGAAAAGTCGGCAAGACCCGAGGACCCTAATACGAAATTATGTTATTGTGATACATTTGACGAAGAAAACTGCAGTTGGCAACAGAGTAATATTGTATCTGGAGCCCCTTATCAATTTTCGGCAACCGGCAATATCCGCCCTGTTATGCGTGATGTACGTACAATTGTAGTGTATCGCACAGTGGTGCACACGGAACACCACTCCATTGCACGATAATAATATTATAATGAATTACAATGACATTAGCGCGATAAAAATTAGGTTTTTTTTTTTAATTTTTTTTTTTTTTCTTATAAAAATAATAACGTTTTGAAACCGTGATACGGCGACAATACGAAATATAGGTGTGCGGAATACTGAACGTAAACGGAACAATTGACGAATCCGAAACACATTGTAACAATCGCAGAGTGCAGGATTACTGATTAAAGATGACGTTACGCGCGCTCTTGGTTGCCGTTTCCCGTCTTACGAACCGCGCGGCATACCGTTGAAACATGCACAGAACCCCTCGCTTAGTTTTTTGGGCCTGGGGACGCCTGTTGTAAAATCGGAAGAGGACGCTGGGCAAGACGACGCGTATTTTCCCGGTTTTCTCCGAACACTACGGTCGGTTTACCGTTTATTATAAACATCGATTTTTTTCGATTTTTTTTTTTTTTTATATATATCTAAATCGCCAACGTCTCGCCCTCCGGAATATTGTTCCATGTTCGTATCGTAACAGACATAAAAAAAAGAGACGCTTTTACTCCGAAACCGACGACAACCGAGCGAGCACTGCGCGCGGGCGACGCGTAATCTAATGGTGTTTTCACATTTGCAATGTCGAATAAATCTGTATTTACATCGTTCCCCGGTCATTCTAACGCAATTATTGGCGACTAGTACATTATTATTCTTTTGGTAAACGGTTTTATATAAATCGTATTATTTGCGATAGCGTTTTTAAACCGCAGACGCTCGAGCAGAAATTGACAATCAATATTGCCGTTAACGTGTTTAAATAAAAACAATTTATAAATGTTTGGGTATAAGGCCACATCGCGACTATTAGTAATCGGTGTAAGTTAATGATAAGTATGGGTTAGTCATCTAACCCACTTTATACTCGTGTGCGGTTGGATACAGGTTTGGCTTAAGAAAATGTGCGTATTGAGGTTTTTTTTTTTATATTAATCTAGTTTTTTTTTTTTGTTATCATATACAAACTGTAGTAATAGGCGCCGACGTGTTTTTAAATTTTTCTGACCGAAAATCATGGAAATTCGAATTGCACACCGGTGGATTTGTTATTGGGCACGGCTGCAACAATACGAATTCGTTATGGAAAATTAAGTTTTTGCATCGCTTAAACCCTAGGCGGCGTAGTAGGGGTGTGTACAATAATAATGGACAGAACAAACAAAAAAAAAGAAAAAAAACCCGAAACCCAAAGTTCGGGCGGACATTTTGTATCCTCCCTCATAATCAACCACCACCACCCCCAACCCCCGCCGTCCCTCTTCAACGACGCTCGTTTTCGTATTCGAATAAAACCCACTCGATTTAATCGCGCGTATCGGCAAGCGCGCCGTGATGTCGTGGCGTGTCGTGCCGCGCGTCATAAATATTACGATAATAACACAACGTACGCGTGTATTTATTAGCGCGCCCCGGTACCCTAAAATATCGACCGAGTATACAATCTCAGGGGGGGAGGGGGTGTCGGGTGGCGGTGAGGGGAAAGGTAACCCCGCTCGCCGCGGGGCCGGGCAGCCGCGGCGCGTCGAAAGGCCGCCGTGGTCGCAATAAGCGGTGCCCGGCATTAGCGAATATAGCGGCCGCCCGAAACGCAATACCTACGGAACTTGCGTGAACGACGGCGACGGCTACGACGACGATGATATTGTATTTTATTATTATCGCCTTCTCGCGCGTTATTATTATTATTATTATTATTATTGTCGAATTAATATCGCCGGGACTTTATTTCGCGGCGAGGAGCAGCTTTCCCGCGATGTGGGGAGGGGGGGGGAGCCCGCGAGTATCGAGCGCAATATTGGCGTGTCGCAGATTAGATAAAGGCCGGGCAACCGTATCGTACGCAAACGCCTGTCGAGTCTCGTATTATTATTATTATTATTATTATTATTATTATTATTATTGTAATATTGTACATGTATATATATTGAGAAAAAAAAACTGGTTTCATGAGTGAGGGAAGGCCAGCGCAGTGTTATGTTGGCGTGTTGCAGTGACGGATGTACGGTGTCTGACGTCGTCCGCGCACAACCGACTGCGGAGTGCTGATATTTGTCAAACGCCGTAACATTATTGCTGTTACGTTCTGTTGCTGTACACGCTGCCGCCGGAGTGGCCGATTTGATTTTTCGTACTTTTCGTATTTTATTTTTTTTTCCCCTCTATTCCCCCTTTCGTTCCGTATCAATAACGGTCGCGCTCGCGCAACACCTATCCAATCGTCATGGCCGAGGAAACGAACGTCGGATATTCGGGAATCAATATTTCCACCACAAACGTCGCCGCCACCAAGGTAAATACATCACCCGGAAATCCCGGGTAACGTTATTCTGGCCGTTTGCCCGCCCGTCCGACGGCGTTTTATTATTATTATTTTTTTTTTTCACGATCGTTTCCGAATAAACTTTGTTGTTGCACGAAATTTCGGTTTCGAAAAAAAAAAAAATTAAATAAATAAATTTATAGTGTAGTTGTCGTCGTTGTCTTGTATTACGTTATTTTTACGGGCCGCGTTCGAATAAATCCCGTTCGGAAGGCCCGTACAATAATAATAATTATTGTTATTTTTATCATCATCGTTGTTTCGAGATAGTAGGAAATAGTGTGTGTGGTTTTTTTTTTTTTTTTTATTCATCCCCGTCAGACACCAGCCGACGGCCATCGGTACTCGCGGGTGTCGCCGATTGATATTTTCGAAGGGGGCGCCCCCGTCAGGAATCCGGAAATTTTTCCGGCCATCAAAATCCAAAGTGCGTGTTTTCAACATGAGGACATGGTGTGGGTAGGTGAGATCGTTATACAATTGACAGCAACGAGAATAACATATTTTTATTTTATTTTTTTCCGGTTATTTATTATTTATAATTATTCGCTATTGTCCATTACGAACGTTAAAAACGTACGGCCTAAACGCGATAAAAATAGAAAATTATCCAGCGAGATAATTGACGACCGTCTTGTTCAAAAGCAGGAAATTAAGGTTCTAAAATAACGCGCGCGCGTTATGTAACTTTCGTTTTCTTCCCACCCGTCGTTTGGGGTGCGCACCGGGGTGGGGGAGGGGGGGGGATTGATCACTCGACGGGTAAACTTAACCGGGCAACGTTATTTGAAAATTGTACTTCGACTCCGGGGGGGGGGGGGGGAAGAAATTAAAGTAACAATAACAATACTCATATCGTTCGGTATGACGTACCCGCGCGCGTTCAAAGGCGATTTTCCCACGTAAAATATCAACCTGTTCAAATGTAACGAATCTGCACGTAGTCGTTCGGCGTTTGAATCGACGGCGGTTACGCGTCCGTTCCGATGCCGTCAATTACAATTTTCAGTCGATACACATCGAAAACGTCGGCAATTAAATGATTCACACTCGATTTACAATAATTAAACCGCGCGAGACCGCATTATTATTTGTATATGTTGCCCGTCCATACAAATTGATAGAAACTGAAAAACGCATATTTTTTTTTTTTTATTTTTTTTATTGCCCGCGAACGATTATTTAATATTTTTTTTTTTTTTCGTAAAGAAAAATTTCCGTTCGGTTTTCTTTATGCGCATTGTGCGCGCGCGTGTTATCTGTTTGCATTCGTTCCCACTCCATCGTCGTGCGTTTAATTTTGTAGTTTTCGTTTCAACGTGGAACTGATGAACAAATAATTAAGTAACAGGTATTAAACGTATTTTCGCGATAGGTAATATAAATAACCGGAGGCATTTGTAGGTCACGGTGTCTCTTTAAAGACACAATACACCGTGAATGGAATCATTTCGTGGTCTGGCGCAGTGTGCTATTCAAATGAGATCCGAAAGAAAATAAAAACAATATTTTAAATGTGAATATACTAAAATAACCACGTACACGTTTAAATATCGCGGCCTTTCCACGCGCATTTATAACCGGACTCCGCTCAGAACCGTTTTTCGTTACACGTTTAGCAACGGTTAATCTTCGCGTACGTTTAATTTCCACTCGGGTACCATCCCGACTTTTCATAACTACGTCGGTGGCCGACCCACGCGCGAATTGTGTTGTGTCGGTCTTTTTTTTAAATTTTAAAAACCATGTTTTCGACCAAGAATTTTGCTCCGATCCAATAGTGACTGGAGATCGGTTTTGTTCATTTCAACACATAGTCACTGACCGATAAAGTGGTTTTTTTTATATTTAAAATGTTTTTCATGAAAAGTGGGAAAAACCAATAAAGACGAAATTCACTGGTTTTTTTTTCAAATTGCGGCACTGCGATTTCATTATTTTAAATTGTCACCCTTTCCGTTTTCTACCATATTGTACCAATATTGCTCCAATGGAAAAACATATCAGAGGTCTTTTTTTTTATTGAATTTTTAATTTAGTTGGTGAACAAAGTCGTTTTTTGATTCAGTTTAAAATATTCGTAGAGATTTAAAATGTTGACAGAAAAATGTATATTTACTCTTTCTAGATGTGATGAAACTTTTAGAACATTTGAGTAATTTTTGAGCTGTTTATAGATATTTAAATTTTACAAGTTTTTTTACGTTATTTTTTATTTGGTAGATAATTTGTTAGAGTTAACGAGAATGATTGAATTTGATAGGAGGTTCATTTTAAGTCGTACTGAGTAGTCAAAAAAAAAAGTTGAATGTAGATTTTTATTATATATATATGATTTAAAATCAAATTAAATTTTGACAAAAATCATAAATATTTCGCTTTTCAGAACATATACAACCGAACTTCACTGCGAATCGTTTTCATCTTTTAATAGTTTATCATTGTTTATAGGAATAAATTGTATAACTTTGTTACCCACCTTCCCCACAGCTCACCTAAAACAGTGGCTGCACTCGTCCTCAGTATCAACAATTTTTATTTGTTTCTAATTTATGTTAATTAATAATATTTAGACTGAGGGTCAACCGAGAGATAATTAAGTTTTTTAGAGATTTATGGATTTTTTTTTTCTGGAGGCATTCAATATTCATCAAATTATTTATAATTTATTATGGATAGACTATTTTGAACAGACACACAGAGTGTATTTTATAAAAGCCATTTTTCAAACAGTACTTCGCACATTCTTTTGAAAAGTTTCAAAGTTGAAAATAAAGCACATGTCTACCTATTTAAATTTTACAAGCCAAAGTTGTTTTTTTGTTTTAATATAAGAATATAATACAGATTCAAGTGAGTTAATAGGAAACTTAATTTAAAATCAATGCCCAGAAATAATATATATATATATATCAAATCATTGTTTACTATAATATACCACTGCTCCAGTACACATGTTGATAATCAAATTGATATTTTAAAGTTATATTAAAAATTGATACCTATTTGAAAACACTAATGATATATATTATCATTTTTGGTTTTTGCAATTTATCTCAAGTATATAACAAGTAAAATTATAATAATATTTCCTTTTGCCACAACAGTTAACAAACGAAATAGCATTTTTCTTATAAATTAGATAGTAGGTATATTGTCATATTGATGTTTGAATTATAAATATATAATCAATAAAAATATTAAATGTACTTACATAAAACACAGAAAACACTTAAAAAAATTATATTACCTGTACTAACAACTCATAAAAACTTGTAAATTTTATTTCCAATTTGTCCAGTTGACCATACCAGTAGATAAAAATTAAAGTTAATTCATAGTGTGAATTATTAGTACTACCTAAGTGTTTATATGAATTTCATACTAAGGTGAAAGAAGTGAGTGTCTGAATCACCCACATCATTTGTTTAAAGTCGTATGGTTTTTTTTTGTTCGCTTATTTGTGTATATTTTTGGTTATTGGAAGTTTTTGATTGTGTGCTTACAACAGTGTAGGAATTTATATTTGTTATATTAAATGGATAATCAAATTAAAAATCAAATGTTACCTACTAAAAAAAATAATAATAAAAAAATCCAATTTTATTTTGGTTGAAACATTATTAATGGTTAATATTAATAATACCTATTAGTAACTAATAATATTACAATTAATTTTAAACAACTGTTTTTTTAAAATTGTACTCATAAAGTAATATTATTAAACTTATTTTCATTTTGTTTATAGCCAAAAGGACACTCTAGAGTTCCTTCTAGTACAGATTTGAAAGAGTTCAAAGAAGTTACCCAACGTGATTCATTAGTGCAACTTGAAAAAGAAATTGAATCATTGCTCGCAACTACACCTGAGGACAACAAAAGTCTAGCTAAATCACAGTTTACTGCATTTTCCCGTTTATTCCAACGGTTTTTAGAAGAATCTGGTCCATCAGTTGATTGGGATCAAATTGAAAAATTGCCTACTGACGCTGTAAGTAAATAATATTGTAGATAATTTAATAATATATGCCATATAATACATATATTTAAAATATTCATACGTCATTACCTGATATTTTATTGACTTTATAATTTGACCTACAGATATTTTTTATCGTGTTTTTCCTCTATTCAATAATCTGATACCCATTTGTTTTTGATAACATTTTTTTAATGACCCGAAACAGTACTTGTGATCATTTGATTATATAAATTAATATGATGAATACTGTTATACAACAGAATATTCAAAACAAAAATGTAGAAATTATTTATTGACAATACATTATTAATATAAAATACCATTGCTATCATCTGAAAATGTATTTATATTTTTATGTATAATCTTATTCTCACAAGTTACAGCTTGACTTCCTTGTCAGATTTATTGTGAAGTCAAGGTTTGATTACCTTTAATATTGATTTGAAACATTGAAAAACACATAATTATTACTCATTATATTATTACAGTTTGTTTGAATGAGGAAATACAATTTATAAATTAATAAATAAATAGCTTCTCATTATTATTTTTTAATATGATAAAAACCACATTCATAAGTCCAAACAACAAATATTGTAATTTTTAATTAATTAGAAGTATTAATCTCGAGTGTTTTACTCGAGTAGTTTTGACATTTAGAATATAAATTTATCAAAATTCTACAATAATAAATAAAACAAATTAAGATACATTTCATTGACCTTTAATATCATTAAATCAAATAAATTTTAATGTATATTTAATTTATTTTCAAAATTAATACCTATTGATCCAAAACGGCACAGTACTATTGAATTTGTAAAGTTGTCTAGAATTTTAATTTCAGTATTTTTTAAACAGATATGAAAATATTCATTATGATTTAAAATGTACTGCAACAGTTTTTAATAATAATTAATATTTAATATATTTTGTGATTTAGATCAGAGATTATGAAACACTCTCAAAACCAAGCCCCGATGACATACATAAGAAACTCGAAAAATTGGTGGTTGTTAAGCTTAATGGAGGTCTTGGAACATCTATGGGTTGCCGTGGTCCAAAATCTGTCATACAAGTTAGAAACGATCTCACTTTTCTTGACCTGACAGTCCAACAAATTGAAGTAAGTAATTATTGTTATTGTTCCACAATGATACAATAAAACTTAAGACATGCATATGTCAATAATAATATTTTGTTCTGGGTCCTAAATTTTGTTGGTCATTGCTAGTATAATTTTCAGTCATAATACTTCTCTAAAACAAAAATTCAAAACAGATTCAATTATGTTAGACCAAATATAATAAATGTATAATAAAATGTAATGTATATTAATCCTTTTTTTTTCAGCATTTAAATAAAAAATATAATGTAAATGTTCCATTGGTTTTAATGAACTCTTTTAATACGGATAACGATACTGAGCAGATTATTCGCAAATATAAAGGGCTTCAAGTTGAGATTTATACATTCAATCAAAGCTGCTTTCCTCGGGTAGCTAAAGAATCATTATTACCAATTGCGAAAAACTGTAATATCGAAAGCAATATTGAAGCGTAAGATAATTAATTATATTTAGTTAAATAAAAATGTTTAATACATTTTGTATTTTAGATGGTACCCTCCAGGCCACGGAGATTTTTATGACAGTTTTAAAAATTCAGGCTTATTACAAAAGTTTATTGACAGCGTAAGTTTTGTTTTATTTCATTATGTAATAACTAAACAAATATACTTTTAACATTTTGATTTATTAAAATAATTTCATTGTTACTAACCATTTCAAATCACTTTTTTAGGGTCGTGATTACTGTTTCATCTCAAACATTGATAATTTAGGCGCAACTGTAGACTTAAATATTCTCAATATGTTGCTAATGGGCCCCGAAACTAATTCCTTGGAATTTGTAATGGAAGTTACCAATAAGACCAAAGCTGATGTTAAAGGTGGTACATTAATTCAATATGAAAATAAATTGAGACTATTGGAAATAGCACAAGTACCGAAAGAACATCTTGAAGAATTTAAATCAGTTAAAAAGTTCAAGTTTTTCAACACAAATAATTTATGGATTAAGCTTAACGCTATTGAAAAAGTTCTAAATGAAGGATCCATGAATTTGGAGATTATAGTCAACAACAAAACATTAGACAATAATTTAAATATCATACAACTTGAAACTGCAGTTGGTGCTGCTATGAAATCATTTAGTGGTGGTCTAGGTATTTAAAAGAAAAAATGTGATATAAACTTTTTGAAATAAATGTTTATTTTATTTTTGTTTTAAAATAGGTATAAATGTACCCCGAAGCCGTTTCTTACCAGTGAAAAAAACATCTGATCTATTGTTAGTGATGAGCAACTTGTACAATATGCGTAACGGATCACTAGCTATGAGTCCTCTAAGAATGTTTCCAACAACTCCGTTAGTAAAACTTGGCGATAAAGATTTTGCCAAAGTCAAAGACTTTTTGTCTCGTTTTGCAACAATTCCTGATATACTTGAATTAGATCATTTGACAGTTTCAGGCGATGTAACATTTGGTCGTAATGTGTCTTTAAAAGTAAGAATCGTGTATTTTATGAAACTTAGTTAACTCAAAATTGAAAATACCTCAAATTGTACATTCAGTCCTCCCTAGAATATTTCCTAATTAAATATATATGTTCGAATAACTAGAGGTTCCATAGTGTATTTCAATAGTATACATGTAATTTTTGTAAATTGAGCCAATTTATTATTAAAACCAACTAGAGATCAGTGCTATGATCAACATAAAAAAATTGTCAAAATAAAAATAACTATTTATTCTTTTTAAATGAGCAATAAATTATTTATGTATGTAGATATGAAAATTAGATATATAAACAAAAATGTATTCTTGTTCTGTATAGCTTAGCTGGCCTTATAGTACCATTATTGCTACCAACTATCTCATTCCATCAGTTTCTTATCATAATGTGCTTGAATCAGCTTTAAATTTTCGCTAGCTATTTTTTTTTCAGATTCGCCTTCTAATACTTATACCTAAGAAAATTAGGTTCTCCCATAGATATTTTGTTATGTCTTTTTATATCCTTGTATATACCTACTTACAAGTTTCTTTTATCCTTATTGTACCATGCTCGCACATATATTTTGAGTTATTCTAATCAATACTGTAATTTATTGTTTTAAGGGCACAGTAATTATAATTGCAAACCACGGTGATCGAATTGACATACCATCAAACGCTACTCTTGAAAACAAGATAGTATCTGGAAATCTGAGAATACTGGATCACTAGAAAAGTTAAATATAATTTTATTGCTACTTATTTTTAAAGTACATGTTATGTATTTTAGATATCCATTTGTTGTTTTTATTTATTTTCAAAATTATGTTAGTGAATTATTTATTATTGTTATTTATAATCCGAATAGGACAGTTATAATTTGCCATACTACCAAATATTTTAAGTGTGCAAATTTATTATAGAGAATGTTTATACTCATAGTCTTATTGCTTAAATATGTCGTATGTGTGTTTGTGTATAATTATTGAAATCAAAATAAACTAACATATTATATTATTTAGAAATAAATTAAATTACGAGATGTCCAGAAAGTAACGTTACAACATGTGTTAAAAATTGAAAAACGAATATATTTAAATGAAATTTACAAGATAAGTGTTAAAACATGTCATTATTTTTCTACATAATCGCCATTAAAGTCCATATATTTTTTAAGCCTAGGGACCAGTTTATCCTTGTCATATACCTTCCGCTCCACTTCCCAAAGCCACTTTTTGACAGCATCCTGGACCTCCTCGTCATATGATAATCGGTTGGTACCAGGTCCTAGGATAGGGTGAACTAGTCACAATATCCACCCAAATGAAACAAGCAGGTCCTGAGTGAGACTGGCGTTGTCATGAAGGAGTGACACATCACGAGTCAGCATACCTCTCCTTTTGTCTTTGATTTTTTTTTTCAACTTCTTGAGTGTCACAGTATGCAGCAGCATTATGGTGGTCCTTTTTGACATAAAATAGACCAATAATATCCCTTTCCGGTCCTAAAAGACAGATGCCATGATCTTCCTCTCTGATAATTGAACCTTGAATTTTTTGGTTGATGGTGAATTGCTATGACGCCACTGTAGAGACTGCCTTTTTGACTCGGGAGTATAGTGACACACCCACGTTTCGTCACCAGTTACAATTGAGTCAAGAAAAATTTCACCCTGGCTTTCACAACGCTCAAGAAATTCGCGTGCAGGCCAAAACACGATTTTGACGATGTTCTGCTGGAGTCAACATTTTTGACACCCACCTTGCACACAACTTCTTATAAGCAAGTTTTTCTGATATGATTTAACCCAGGAGACTTCGTGAGATGTGTGGGAAATTTTCACTAAGGGTGTCAAGAGTCACACGACGATCATCGCGAACTTTATTTACAACCTGGTGCAGAAGCTCATCTGAAATTGCGGATGGTCTTCCACTCCTTTCTTCGTCGTGAGTGTCAGTACGGCTTTCTTTAAATAACCTAACTCACTTGGTATCATGCTGACGTGTCATCATCTCGGATCCATACGTTTCCACAAGCTGGCGATGAATACTGGCTGCGGATTCGTTACACAAAGCAAGGAACCGAATAACAGAGCGTATTTCACATCTGCGGTAGGTGGAGCGATCGGAGGACGAATTGTTTGACGCCTTTAGCTGCTGTGACGACATTTTGTAACGGACTGAGGCGTTTGATGATTTGGTGAAAATAATTGTACATAGAAAAGACTAAGTCTATAATACTTAAATTTTATCATTAGAACTGGTTTAAGAACATAAATGTACATATATGAAACTACTATTGTATTGTGAAATAAACAGTTGCCTACAGTTTTATACATTAAAATGTAAAATTGTTGCGTACATTTACGTTATGTCTCTGAAACGTTAATTGATTACATTAACAAATGCTGAAAAGGTGAACATAATCAACGAGGTGACTCAATGTGGTAAACCTAAAAATTAAATTTCTAAACAATTTAATATTCCGCCGAGTACACTTTCAACTATATAGAAAAATTAAGATGAAATTTTTCAAATGTACAAAACTAATAAAGCGACTATGAAAATAATTAAGACTTTCCGAGTATTTAGTTATACAAGTTAGGTTACTTGATTCATAATTAGTTTTCACAATGTAAATATTTAAACGTTCTAATAAGTGAACAAATTTTAAAGGAAACGTTTGAGCTTTTTGCAACTAAACTTGGTCAACAGTTTAAAACTACTGGAGTCTTTGTTTAAGTGATTGGAAAATTAGGAATAACGTCGGGCTTATTTTTGAAGTGTTTACCAAATCAAACATTTGTTTTAGGAGATGGTTGTTGTTCAAGAGGAAAAATTAATAAAGAAACAGTTAAAATTCTTTTAGGATTTATTTTAACGATAAAATTAAACAGCTATTCGTTTTAAAATCCACAAAACCTATATGTTTAAAAGGTGTTAAAAATTATCTATTCGATTTTAAATCAAATAAAAAATCGAGGTTGAGCAATAAATTGTTTAAAAAATGGTTGTCTAATTTTGGTAAAAAAATAAGTTTAAAAAGAAAAAGTGGGTACTTTTATTATTTGATAATTATTATACTGCTCAAAAAACAAATATAATTCAATTCTGTTGGTGTAGAACTTCTTCCACCAAATATGACTTCACAATTTCAGCCTATAAACCAAGGCGTAATACAAAAAATTAAAATTGCATATTGTAAAGAAGTCATTTGCAAAATGATTAATGGTATATTAACAAAGGCAACAGAACTTTTTCGTTTAACTTGTTACAAACAATGCAAATGTGTTATAACATAGCCAAATATCAAGCAGAATACAATCGTTGTTTTATCAAATCTGGAATTTGGTCTGAAGAAAAAGAAATCAAAAATACTCATGAAGTATGGAGGTAAAGATTGGGCAGTTAGGGCCCATAGAAAAATCTTAAACAGTAAACTCTTGGATCGAAAAAACCTTTTCGGTCGTTTTGTAAGGAGTAAAAGTTAGGCAACTTATATGACAGGCATCATCCGAGTCATGTCAACGTGGTGCATGTATAAATGAAATTAAAATTATTCATTAATTACTAGAAAAAAATAACTTTAGTTCAGAATAATATAGACAGCCAATTAATGTATTCAAGATTTTAATTTTTTAAATTTCAAGATTTTGCCGGCCTCCCAATACCGATCGGACAGTTATAGTAAATCAATAATAATCACGATCAATGAGAACCTTAAATAACATTTCAAGAATTTGTCATTTTGTGAATGCATAATGCAACTAATTCCTAAATCTGACTCAAACGAAGATAGTGAAGATCAATATCCAGTAGTTTTGTTAAATAAAGAAGTACCATCATCGTTCAATAATATAAAGAATGTTTATTGCTAAAAGTGAAGGTACAGATGTGATACTGTTCAAATATTTAAAAGAAATTGAAAACCATTTATCAAAACAACCCAAACATCAAACTCATTTTTCAAATTATTTTTATAAGTGATAAGAATCATACATCTTATCATTTCACTTATATGTTTAAAATTGTATCTTACAATTGTATTAAAAAACAATATAATAATAGTAAACTTAAATTTTTGTTTTAAAAAAAAAATTGAGAACTCATAAAATTTATAAATCGAATTAATTTTTATCTCCCTTAGAATTCAAGTTATCGAAACTGTAATGATGGCGTTTTAAGGTAATTTACTATGTACTTTTTGATTTGGAAATTAAAATTCTATAGGTACATTTCCTACTAACCTATACATTTCGTATATTTAAGAGAAGATAAAGGTGAAATTCAGAGATCAGTGAATATATTTTATGCTTAAGCTAAATTGGTTATTTTAGAGCTTATGGTTTTATAAAGATGTTAAATTTTTTTTTTCTGTGGACAACTTTTCTATCAAAGGAATTACCCCGATTTTTAATTAATGTTTTCATATATGACTGTATGATGTATTTTAAATTCCGAGTGGAGCGGAGAATGTATTGGTTTTACATTGATGTTATTTTAGATTCAGAGCGTATTGGTTTTGGTTTTTTTTTTTCTGTCTGTGAACAACTTTTCTATCAGAAAACTTGCTCTGAAATTTGGACTATAACACCTTTTCTGAACGGTAGTTTTCTTTCGTTGATACATTGAGGCCATTTTTTGTTAGCTTTGTTTTTTGAATGCAATACAGTAAAAAATACTGATAGCTTGAAATTTTAACAAAAAATGCGCAATTGTTTTTATAAACATGATAAAATATTCAAAATATCTGAGCCATTTTAATTTTCTTTAGAAGGCCCTACCAAAATTATAAATATATAAATTAGCTTTAGATTAAATTTGGATTAAAATCATAAATATTAAGACTTTTCAAATCATGTAAAACCTAACTTTGCTCAGAATTGTTTTTCATTAACAAATTATGTTAATAATTCCATACACAGTTCACATAAATAAATACAATTTTTTAAATTACATATTTAAAAAGTATATTTTTTAATCATAAAAACTAAAATCATTTATAAATTACAATGTCTTAAATAAATGTTACCCTTTTTTATCAAATTGTATTTTACATAATGGTAAAATTGACACAATATCAACAATATTACAAAACAAATTTGTATACATTTGAATAAATGATTTATATAATTATTGAAATAATAATTCTATAGAATAAATAATAATAAAAGTTAATGTTTTTAAAAAAATAGATTCAGCTCATCATTATATTATTGTAAGTGTTAGTAAAGAACTAACTATAAACCCATAGGTACATATGGTTTGTTTTGATATATTTACAATAAAAATAATTTTGCCAAACATTTTTGTGAATAAAAGAATAGTTGTTATACATTTTGGAATAATTGAATTTATGTACTTTTATTTAAACGGTAAACAGTTGGAAATTGGATACATACTGGGGATTTTTTTTCTTTAAAATTTGATCAATAAAAATACTTAACAGAATATAGCAAAATATAATTTAATATCACTGAACTCAGTGTTAAAAAGACGAAAGACTAACGACATATTGTACATAATAGTCACTCTGAGTTAATGTGTTTCCGGAAATTTTATACAAAACCAAGACTTTTGCATTTTCTAAATCTATAAAATTATTAGTAATAGCAGAAGATACTGAATTATAAAATTTAGGTTGCTTATTCAAATTTGGACCATAAGCTGTTTTATTATATCTTCTATAATCACACGTGTATTTTAATGCTATTGACAGATCATCAGTGTGTACAATACAGTACACAGTATCCTGTAAATACAAATTGTAATAAGAAAAATAATTATTTAATATCATGGGGTCATAAAAAAATAATATGTCAAACAACTAAAACACTATTGTTTGATTTTGGTGATATCATGTAGAAAATCAAAAAAGTAGATTGAGTTACCATTCATCTACAATTGTGTATGTTAAAAAAATAAAATGTATACATATAATATAATAAAAGAACGATAAAGAAAATTAAATTAAATTATTGGACATTAATTTAGGAATTCGCCAATTCAGGAGAGGTTCTGAAAATTATATGAATTTAAAAGATATTTATAATATATAGATGCCTATTTTTTAGATGTTTTGTTGAAATTATATTAGTGTCTGGGGGGGTCTAGAGTCTAGAAATGGAGAACTATAGTCACAGCAATCAATAAAATCTAATAACGATTTTAAGAGCTTTTTCTCTGCCACTAGTCCAGACATCCTGAATCCCCCAGTAAGTCAAACACTGGAATGACCTAGTATGATACAGAAATTGTTAGTTGATATTTTTTTAATAATTTATCAAATTGACGTGGTGATTAAATATACTACCTACTGGTCCACATTACCAAATACCTACTAATTCAGTGTATGATGTGGACCGAGGAAGGATTAAAAGAAAATTGTGCATTTACTATGAAGATTAAACCTAATTTAGGTAGGTACTAATACTTGTCTAAATTATATTTCATAATTCAATACGATACTAGTATCTACCTAGGTAGGTTTTAAATATAAACAATAAGACTATACTACTACTAGTCACTAAACCGATTAATTTTCTTGTAATTTCTTTACCACATAGTATGTTTCACACATTTCTTGTCGTAACTTAAATCGGCCATATTGAAAAGGATTTTGAACCCTGACAATGCTTTTAATGGCATGCTGTGTAAATAATTCTTTTACCGTTCTATACTCTTCAGTATTATCGTTCACTGTAAATAACTTGTAACTTTCATTATAGTTTACATCTTTTTCCCACTCATTGGGCAAGTTTTCCAATACAAATGAAAACATTTCTGCACTCATGATCTGGAAATAAATAAATAACCGATAAACAAGTTGTAGCAATGAGAGACATTTAGTCTAGGACATAACAATATGAGGTAAAGAAGTTACCGGGCAAGTCAAAATGATTCCTTACGGGATACTCGGGTAAATTAATCGAGACCTAAACAGTTTCCGGGAATAATTCTAGCGAAAACTCGAAAGAAAGTTCTTAAGGACGACCCGAGTTATAAGGCGGTACGGGAACATTTTAAATATGGCGCATTAGAATTTTTTTTTTTGGGGGGGGGGAGGGGTCGGGGCGATTTCATGTCGGAGGTACTTACGTAATAAATGGATTCCATTAATATCATAAAAAATATCGAATTCTACGAACAATATTCGTGTCGTCAAATATTAAAAAATTATACGAGTAACAACGGTGTAGGTACATTATTTTATGCAAGAAACGTTTCCAAATCTGCCCACGGTCAATAAAATAACATTGTCCGCGTCTTCTATACCTACACAGTTTTTACTACAATAATCGAACGAAAATTATACCGCACGAGTGTATCAGACAAAATACTAATATTATAAATATGAAAATGGTCAAATGTTATTTGTCACAAAATTATTACTGGGTAAGGTTAATCTCGAAGGTCGATAATAAAACTCCGTATTGAACGGCGTCGTAAACAGTATGCGATAAGTGAATTGGTGTGTATTGACATTATTATTATTATTATTATTTTTTTTTTTTTATAGTTTGTTTATATAATAAAACAAATTGTAGAGTTCTTGCTCGTAATCCATAATATATATTATACAGAGTGTTTCACGAAGATATACTCATTTTAATATCTCCGAGGACATTATAGACAAACAAATTCCTGGGGTATTTGTATTACTCGCCGGGATAAGGACTACATTATATTGCAATTGATTTTTTTATATATCGGTCAAATTTAAAAAAAAAAAAAAATTCGAATACAGCCATTTCATAAAGTTTATTATTTTTTTTTTTTTTTAAAAATGCTGTTTTTACTCTCATTTAATTCGGGATTTTTAATGGTTGAACGCCACACGCGGGCGAATAGTAAAAACGGCGGGCGGACGGGTAGGCACACGTCAATAACGAACAAAAATCGTAGCGCCGAAAATATTATCGTCGTCTTCTACAGAACCGCGGGTACTGCGGTTTCGCGGCAACGGCGGTCGGACGCAACAGGCCTGTTGCACACGTCGTCACGTGGTCCCGGTTCGGTTTATTCGCAAATAAAACCGCGGAACCGCAAATTCGACCGGAATTGTATTTACCGACCGAACCGAGGGTACCGCGTTTCGGCTTTTCGATATTCGAGTCCGGTCGAAACACGGATCGGCCGCAAATACAATGCGCACCGAAACATTTTCGGCCGTTTCACGCGTCCGCTCGATTCTTTCGGATTTTATTTTTTTTGATTTTTTCGCCAAAATTAATGAAAAATAATAATAATAATAATGCGATCCCCCGGAGTGGTCCCTTCTGTGGTGGGCGGTCCTACCGTTTGTTTGAGAACGCGATATTGAGTTCACGGTGGTCCCGCGACGCGATTCGTTCAAAACAAAATGAACCGCGACCGACTTTCAGCGACCAGAGAACAACCGACGAAAACGGTACGCAAGTACAGAGGGACCGGGAGCGGGGTTTGTAGGGGCGGGGTGTACGGCAAACGAATACCGCCCCGATACGGGCGGGTACTAAAATCGTTCATCACAATAATTGTGCGCACGCCTATTCACTTGTACTTACTCGTGGACGGGCCTCTCGGTCCGCGGGCGAAATGCGAATACAGGGAACAGACTGCCCGGGGGGGGGGAGGTGTCGGTGGTCTGCGCGGCGGGCGTGCCGGAGTGTGTGGGGCCCGACAGTCGCGGGATTACCGTTCGTGTGCACCGAAAACCCTCACGGCGGAACGCGGGGGGGCGTGGGGGGTGCGGTGGGATATGACGCCGGAATACCGATGTTCGGACGGGAGCGGACGAACGCTGGACGATCGCGGACGCGTACGAATTCAGACTGCACACGGGAACCGCGCGCCGAAGTGTAAAGAACGAAACGATCGGAAAAACAACGCGGCAATGGGTACGCAAGAGAGCGCGGTCGAGCGAGAGACGACAACATTGCCGGTGGTGTCCTCGCGCGCTATTTACGCTACAGCGAAAATTCCGTCGGGATTTTCGGACGCGAAACCGGATTTTCCATTCGGAACGGTAACGATATTGCCCGTATTAATAAATTGTTATTCCGTCATGTTCCATTACGGTTTACGATATGATTACGTTTACGCGCACGTAACGAGCAATAGCAATCGCAACGGAATGATTTCCCCGCTTGCTGTGCACATAACGCTATTTTCGTCGCCGACAACGCAAACACCGGCATTATAATGATACGCACACAATTGTCGGTGTTTAAACGTTTTTCCCGGGTTAAATCGATATTATTGTTGGTATTGGTGTCGCGTTAAACCGAAAACCGATAATACAGTTAATGCGTTTCGTTTGTCGACCCGATAACGATATTTGCGTGCTGCAGGTACGTGTAATACCGCCCGGACGACGAAACGATCCACGTAAAATCGTAACGTATCATTGTCGTATACAGAGTGTTTGGAACTTTTACGGTGATGTTTCGCGGTTGATCGGTCCGGCCGCGTTTCAAATATTACCCCACACACACCCCCCCCCCCCCCCCNCCCCCCACCTCTCTCGAACGTTCACCGCCGTTTGCGAAGCGAGAACTATAGCACTGCGTTAGGTGTCGTCCGTGGAATTCGTTTGGAAAATCGAAAAAAAATCCCCCCCCTTCGATTCCGCCCCTCTGTTTCCCGTCGAAAACCGTCGACGGCCCGCCCGTATATGTATTTTGCACTGCCCGTGCGCATTTGCAATGCCGAAGGAACGCGTGCACGCCACGGTGGGTTTGAAATTCAAAACTTCGTCCCGACCGTTCCATTGCGAAAACCATAATTCGGCCGCTGCTATTTCGGTGAAGTTTCGGCGGGTTACGGTCGGGTCCGGTCGTTCAAGCCGTTTCGCGCGAGCGTCTGCGATCGTCGACCGACGTTGGTTTTTTTTTTTTATCGGGTACCGTCCTTCGGTGCGCTTTTACCAACGACTAAGGTGGGGGGGACCCCCCGGGGAAGCGGTTGATTGGGGCTAAAAACGGCAACGGAACGTGCGCGGAAAAATCCTAAGACACCCGCGAACGAAAAAGAAATCTGGTAAATAATTAAGTGCGGGGAAAAAAACACTGTTCAGAGTTCGCCATTCGAAGCCACACGGTGTACGTTTGTTCGTGCGCGCGAAGAAAATGTTGAAAAAATATTAGACCGAGACGGTAAACGAACAACGATAACAATAAATAGCCACGTTAAATAATATCGGAGTCTCGTGTGTTCGGGTATTGATTAAAACACGTTGGCGAAGAAAAATTATTACAAAAAAATCGGTTTGTTCAGCAAACATTAAATATACGCGTAATACGCACTGCGCGAAAATCCGCGAAATGCGCATTTTAACACGTTCGGTTTTCAAACTTTCCGTCGCGCGGGAAAAATGTCTAGTTTGGCCTGCTATAAGCCCAGCGCTTGCGGGACAATATGCAACTCCTGTGACTTCCTGTGAGCCCTGCTGACAACGGTCAGACGAGCGACAAACATTATCGGGCTGCCGTACAGTCGCCGATAAAAACGCCATCGCGCAATCAGATTTTCAAAACGCTCGTTTTTTCGCACGGTTCATAGCCACTGTTGACGTTATCTCGTTTACCAATACCGTCGTCAACGTGTCATTTTGGCCGTCATTCCGTACGCACGCATTCACAGCGGGGTCTTCCAAAAATGTGCTCCGTGTTCCTCTACAGTCCTTTCAGTGTACCCGCCGGCGGGCGGACGGCGCGTGCCCTCTCCCGGATATCGTTTTGGTTATTGTTTAGTTCTGCGTGTTTTAATCATTACAAATCATTACAATTACAAGGCGCGAGCGTTACATTTATTAGTGGCCGCCCTGGTTCAGGAAATATTTTCCCGGCCGCGGGCACGGCAGATTTCGTACACAGAACTCTCGAAAATGTAAATTAAAATTGTAAACGTGTGCGATGCGGACGGCCCATTTATTGAGAGCGGGTGTAGAACTGTCCGAACACAACGGTTAGCGATCAGCGTTCTTAAAACGCGGGTTCGTCGAGAGTACGCGATGACATTATGATTTTCAAAAAAACGACGATACGCGTAACCCACCGCCCCCCCCCATCACCGAATATAACATCGCCGACACGGTACGTATACCTGCCGTTTACGGTTTACGGTTTCGCGACAGATTAAAATCATGAATCGGCGGCGTTGGCGGGCGTAACGCCGCCGATTTCGTGTCGGTTCCCAGACAACCGCGGTACATCCTCTACCCTCCGGACTTGAATTTTTAAACTGCGGCTCGTGACGCTCGCTATAGCGCACGCCGCATAGCGTCTAAAGGCCGCGGTCATGACCGGCAAACGTCTACGCCGGGGTACCTGCCTACCCGCTATTGGTTATAACGACCAACTCGGCCACACACTCAGTATGTCGGGGGTCCGGGACACATCTCGCCCGCCAAAACCTAGCGATTTGACCAACGACTGCACTGCTGCGGTGCACAATGCGGGAAGCTATGATGTCCGACACACAGTCGGGTATTGCGGTGCGTGCGTGTAACCGCTGTCAAAATGCATCGCAAAATATTTTCTCGGCGGTTTTTTCGGAATTTCGGTTTACAAACGAAAGTCGCTCGCGCGCCGACATACCGACGTGTGTACGCGCGACGTGTCGTACGGAATAATAACGGCAGTGTTGAATTTACAGGCGACTCTCCCTTCCACCAAGGACTCCTCCCCACTCAGGCACCGTTACGGTTTCAATAAAATGTCTAAAACGGAATCATTTTTCAATCGATACCTTTGAAATGCACATGGTATTTCAATAACCCCCCCCAGGAAAAATGTTGAAAATCCGCCGCCGAATATGGCTACGATTTTCGATAATGTTGTTAATATTAAGTTCATCAAACGATTTTATGACAAAAATAATAAACCGTGAAAAAAAAAAAAACCCGCGTCATCTTCGAATTAAAAATATAATCCCACCGGTCGACTGCATTATAAATTTTTAACCACTCTGTATAACTGTTTTTCGTGTTTAATAAATATGTGTACGTATACATTATAATATTATTGTTTTGCATGCTATGAGTTTTGCGTCGATAATATTGAACTGACGCTTATTTTATTTTTGTTGAAACGATTTTCAAAATGGTCTGTATTTTAGTAATGAATGTTATTATAAGTAACGATTGAATGGAAAATAACTTTAGTCATTATTAATGCTTATCAGACGTAACGCAAACAATGAATCATAAAAAAACGATATTTCCACGAAATAATTTTTTGTTTTTTACAGTTTTAGCAAATATACATAAATAAGTAAAATGAAAAAAAGTGCGGATATTGCTGATGGCCGTGCCACCGTGGTTGCGCGGGGAGTTGGAAAGGTGGAAATTATGGAGTAGTTTAATTTATATCTGTACGCAACGATACGTGTTTAATAGCGAAAACCGATTCTGAGCGAAGTTCGTTTAAATAACATGTTTTAACAAATAAAATAACAAATGCCATGATTATAGTACGGTTTTCGTTAAAATCTAAACGCTTATGGATAAAAAAAAAACTCGATTCAAATTGAATAAACCATCGTTTTTTTTTTTTTTTCACTAATATTTTATTAGATTTACAACGTAAATTACTCTGTATACTGTATTCTAATTCGCGTTAAATACAAATTAAATGTTCTACATATCTGACCTAAAATATAAACGTATTGTTTATTTATCTTTTAATAAGTTATACTATGAGATAAATATTTTATTCGGCTCAAGGCTATGACGATAATAAGAACTCTTTTTAAAGAGGCGGTATTTTTTGAAACTACGAAAAAAAAAATTTAAAAACATCTATACACAAATACTTAAATTTATTAAATTTCAATATTTATTTTTAACGTTGTGCTTTCGTACATGTTATGAAAAAAACGTGCATTATCGAATTATATCCACCTTAGAAACAATTATTGTAAATTATTTTACGAACGCTATCTGTAACTAAAAATATTAGTTTTTACATTTTACATATTCATATTATGCGTCTTCAGATAAAATTCATATAATTTTCATTTTTCGTAAAATATTGAATCGGCCACAGACATATACAGTGAGATAAACTTTTACCTTTAAACACGTACAAACCGATTGCGATGTGTTTAATAATAGATGCTAGATGGTTTATCATTTTGTTTAGAAGTAAAAATAATTTATGCGATTTTCTACATCGGAAAACCGTGTGGCCGTCAGACTGTTAACTTATTCATAAGTTATGACTAAAGACCGGATTTAATTGCATTTAAAACACACAAAAATTGCATAATATATTGCACTATAAAAATGCAAAAGTTATATAAAAAAAATTAGATAAATGTTACTTTTTTTAATTAAATTTGATAATTAGATACATTACTAAATTATTTTCATTAAAATTAAATCTTCTATTACTTAAAATATGTTTTTACAAAAAAAACTACGGTCTACGTCTACACCAGTTATTGGTGCATATTTAAAACAATTTAATAAAGTAGGCGTTGTATCTAAATTAACATTTGTTTTATCTGACATGATGTCATAGTAAGACTTTAAAGTTTTACACCCTTCATTTTTTTCAATTACATACATATATTTTTCTTTAATTTTTTCCCCGTTTGGACCAGGAATATTTGTTAAAATATCTTCAATATTTCTAATAATATCCATGCTTTTCTTCGGTAGTTCACTATTAGATTCTTCCAAATTTTTAAGATTCATGGATAACTCGGATAAGTGTAATTTCACTTATGCTAAACCACATGCATTATTTTGTACAAGCTGTTTCAGCTTTTCGACACTTGTAGCATCATCTGTTAAACTTTCAATCGCGTTTTTAAACACTTCAAAATCATTTGCATAAAATAATGGAGCATTTAACCACGTTCCCCATCTTGTAATAATAGGTTCGGGTGGTAAAGGTATGCCCGGCATTTCTTTTCTGTATTCATTTATTCTCGATGGTGCCACTATATATGTAGACGCTTATCGTTCGTTGGGCTCTCTTAGCTTCTAGACAATTCCAGACGAACGATAAACGCCTATGATTTAAAAACGTAGAGAAAACTGCAACAAATTGCATTACAAAATTAAATAGACAGAATATTTTTATTATATATCGGCTATATATTTAATCAGATCTGATTTATCTTCATTGGAAAAAAAAGTTGCAATGTCAATTAAATCCGGTCTTTAATTATAACTATTTATCATACAATGCAATAAGTAATCTATTGCATGCAACGTGTGTTGTCTGGTCGGCACTCGTCGTAGCAAATACCCATAGAGTCTATGGGGTATTTGCTACATAGGTCTATGGCATAGACCAATAAATTAAGTTTTTTTTAGGTCTATGCAAATATCTTATCCGTTTTTTTAAAAATTAACCGTTTTTAATTTTACAAACAAACATTTTTAATTTCCTACAAACAATAGCTATAGCTGTATTAAGCTGAATATTTATTTCACTATTCGAACGTACGGACGAATCAAACGTCCAGTACGACAGTTCGGTAATTATTAAAATCTAATATTTTGTATTTTATAATTGGATTTAATAGTTTTTGTCAATACTGTTATAATATATTGTGTGTAATATTGTTTGAAGTATATCTATATTTATGTATCACGCATACTATTATTATGTATTATAGTTAATTTCACTTATTATTTTTATCAGCAATTATTGTTTTGTATTGACGATTATTATTGAATAATTTCCCTCGTTTTCAGATTCATAGGTCACTCAATGATGTCCCATGGACATCTTATGCGAAGAGAAGAACCAACACCGTGCCAAACCTGCGGGGAACTTCCTACAGTCTAACACCTCTTCGTGTACTGACGAAACCGTATAGAAACCAGATAAAAACCTAAGGAATGCCTAACAATCTTTTCGAAACTCTAAGTCCAATTGAAGAAAACGTCAACCTGTATTTTTTTCTACAATATGTAATTGTTTAATACCTATTAAATATATCACGGTGTCACGTGCCTATCGTTAAGAATGCGTTTTTTGCGTTATTTTAAATGCTTTTATAGTTTCACATGAGATACGAGTACCTATATGGCGTAGGTATGATATTGTAATTACGGTTGGTGCCTACGTATAGTTTCGGTTTTTCAATTTCCCCATAAGGTAACCTTGATTGTTATAACCTCCTAATAGTCATTACAAGTCGGTAAATCGCAATATTATCTTTGCAACAAACGTAACTGTATTATATAGGATTTTCTTGAGTGGTTGACTTTCATTTTTTATCATAAAGTATCTACTTCAACCTAAACTAATATTCCAAACTAATATATAGTGTTCCAATATTGAGTGTTATATTTAACGACACAATTAGGAAATTCAAAGTGCATAAAATATAAATTGAGTACCTACAGCACATTTTGCGTTCTACAACACACAATTTAAACAAATTGTTTTTAAAGTATTCCCTGCACAATATTCTTATTTGTATCGGGCAAATCAATAAATTCCTATAGTTGTGGCAATTTTTTTTTTTTTATAATACATTATAATAATTTATAGCAATACACATAAAAAGTAGCCATTGTTAATATATTTAAATACTAATTATAAAAAGGTTCACGATAAGACATATTTTAAACAATCAGACATTATAGCTGTAATTAACAATATCTAACTCAATATATTGAAACAGCAGAAAACACATTCACTGTAACTGTGATTAACTATGTATTATTTTGATAATAATATTTGTACAGTTACAGTTTATAAATAACACTATGGACAGCAAGCATATTTATAATACAAACAAGTTTTTAATAATAGTTTAATTGGTAAATGTTCAAGGTTAGGTTAACCTCTAATAGAGAAAACTAGGGGCATATATAAGGGAAGGCGATAAGGCCAACCGCCCCCCTAGGTATTGTTGAATTTGTTTCATGTACAGGTACTTACTTATTTTATTATTATTAATCAAAATTAAAAAAAAAAATAGTTTTTTTTTTTACCCAACTAATATACCAGGAGTTCATAACAATAATATACAAAAATTATTATTTAAAAATTCCAAATTTACAATATAACATATATTTGGTACCTATAATACCGACAGTATATTATTTTATACTATTCTATGTACGGTTTTTCAAGCAATACATTAGAAAAATAAGATAAATTTATACAGATAGATTTCTAATAAAAGTAGACAATAAGCAATAATATACGTAAAACATGTTTTTAAATAACTACTTAATTATTTTTGCAATTTTTATTTTTTTAAATGTATTATATAAATTTACAATGGGTCATTTTTCCAAGCCTTCTTTTTCAATACTTATAAAAATTTTTTCTTAGGATGCGAATAACTGTATTTTTTCCTTGGGGTTTTTCTTCGTCGGGGCTTTTTTTTCCTTATATGGTTTTTGGTCAAGGGCTTTTTTTCCAGGGCTTTATTATTCTTAATTTCTAATAATAATCATCAAAGTGGTCAGAAATCATTTAAGTTTTAAGCAAGCGAAAAGAACGGACAATTTTGAACTGCCGATCTATTTATAATTTGTAATACTGCCGTTTATAGACATACACTTTTATAACTAATAATTTATAAGTAGGATTAAAGTTCGAATTTCGCCCCCCCCCTAGAAGATGAGCTGAATACGCCCCGGAGAAAACTAAATACCCAGTAAACAGCAGAGAAGTATGTTTAGGTTTTATTTAATAAATCACAATCGATGGTTTTAATTTATTAAACTATAAATGAGTATTAACTTGTTTATTTACTTAGTGTCCACAAATCTTCTCCATTAGCTTGTATAGGTAGATACATATTTGTTGTGTTTAAATGCTGGGTACATGTTAATTGAATTTACAATCGGCTTCTTGTAAAATAGGTAAGTAGGTACCTAATTATTTCTTACGTAATATTACATTATTCTAGTAATCTAGTACCTCTCAACAATCTATACTGAAAACACAATGTTCCGATATTTTAACTTTAAAAAAAAGTAACAGTATAATCAATAGTAGTACTCTGAGTAGGTACTCACTTGACTTTTTTTTACTAGCGAACGATCTTGTTGAGTCACCATTCACTAGAACGAGTTTTACTGGGCCATAATTGTTCACATCTAATGTTGTTAAAAATCATTAACGGCCGATTTTTTCTTTATAAGATTGTTATTATTATTATTATTTAATCTTTTATTTTGATAAATCAATAATCTGTTATGTATGATTACAATAAGAGGGGCGGGGTGTACATAAAAGGTGATGAGGACACAATTTAAAGACGTTATTTATTGATACCGCTTCGGTAATATATTTAAATATATTATAAATTATAGATTATTATAGTTACAATTGAATGAAGTCCCTGGGCCATTGTCGTTTTAGCCTACGCGGAGGGTTCCCGGTGAGTGAGTGGGAGTAGAGAATTGATATGAAGGGGTTGGTGTGTTGGGGGAAGGCGGTAGTGAAATTTGTTACAGTGTTGTTTGGCTGTGTCTTTGATAAAAGGAATATTTAGGTCACTATGAAGTTTGATATATACGGAGGGGCGTTAGTAATGAGTCGGAACACTTTCGATTGGAATATTTGAATTTTATTTGTGTTCGATTTTTTTAGCAGAGCCCCAAAGCTGAATGTCATAAGTCCTCATTATATTATCAGATTATAATATAAAAATATCACTTTTGAAAATAAAAAATGGAACCACCTGGTTATTCCAATGATGCCTACAATTCTTCTATGGACGTGTTGTTTAAATCTAATATTTATCTATATTTTTACTGGTTTTTAGCATTCACGCATTTACGCCGTCTCAGGAAAATAATATTGTTACCAACGTTAATAGACAACGCGATAATACAGAATATGACAAAAATAACAATAACAACAAAAATCCAGTGATTACATATTATTATTTATTGATATTAAATTATGAAATAGATATTAATTAATAATTCGTTTCTTCCTATACGATAAACAGGAAACAGCGCTCGCTCGGCACGAGTTTTATTCTCATGTAAACAGTAAAATACTAAAATACCTGGAAAAACCATTGATATTCACAACAAATGAATTGGATAATTTATTTTGTTTTAAAGTGGAAACTAAAATCGAAATCGGAACATAATATTGAATCGATATTTTCCAGTAATTTAAAAATCATAAAATTAACATTTTATTTTTAAATCAAAACAGAAAAACAAATATGGATATTTTCTCTGAAAATCTGCCACTCATCAAATCAAATTGAAATCAACACCTCGGGGCAATTGCTCCCCTTGCTCCACGCAAGATTCGGCTCTGTCTGAAGGGAGCATATATAAACAAATTTAATTTATTTCTGTTCGCGATAGTAAACTATTTTCTGGTAAAAAAAATATATAAATAAAAAAAATGTATGTATAAAAAAAAAAAGAAAAGAGAGCTGATACTCGGGGACGGGAGCGGTCGCTGTTGTAAGTGAAAAGTTGAGAAGGCGGGATACATGAGGTTATTTCATTTATATCTGTAAACAACGATAAACCATTGTTGACGAAAGACGATTCCGAGCGCAGTTCGGTAATACATAATTTGAAGTGCCGTAATTTTTTTTTTTAACCTAACCTTCCTACGTTTTTTTCCCGATTATTATGAAAACTAATTCGAAAATCAAAAACAAAACGTAACTGCATCATTAAAAACAAGATTAATAATTCAACAAAAAAGGTCTCTTGTCGTTTTTCAATTGGAGCCATATTTGTGCTAGAAAACGTGGGTTACCACGTTTTCTACTTATTTAAAATAACGAAATCGTGAAAAAATCGTATTTTTTTCCAGGCAAGTTATTTTAATTTTAAATACCGTTTGGAAAATCAAAAAATGACCAATGTATTTATCAAGTAGATAAAATTGACTTTCACAAAAGGTGCTACACTCATCAGAGTAAGTTTTCTAGGATAAAAGTGGTCTACAGTATATAAAAAAAAAATAAAATACCATTGTAAAAAAATTAAAAAAAGTCATCTGATGATTTTGGAAATTTTACCACGTCTAGGTAAGTCCAATATAAGTATTATTACCAAGTTTCAAGTCTCTACTTGTATTTATAACCGAATTATAGCAAAAAAACTCCCAAAAATCAAAATTCCTTAAAAGCTCAAAAGTGGCTCAAAAGTTTTGGCGATGATACCGTAAGAAAGTAAATCAAAAAGGTAACAAAAAGAGGTCTCTTGTGATTTTTCGATTAAATCATTTTTTCTGGTAGAAAACGTCGTCCATGTTTTTTTAAAATAATGAAATCGTGAGTTTGTACGTTTTCCTACGTTTTTTCCCACTTAAGTGCTTTTATTTAAAAAATGGCGTCGAAAATCACAAAAACGACCTGTTTAACGTATAATGTAGACAACATGAGCTTTCAGAAAAGTTGAAATACGTAAAAATCGGAGCAAGTTTACTAGGAAAAAACGTGTCCACACATGAAAGATAGAAAAAAAAAAACCATTTAAAACCAATAGCTCCTCTCACTACGCTCGGAATCTAAAATGAACAAATGCGTCGCCTGGAGTATAATGATAAGTGTATTATACGCATTTTTTTTTTATTTGTATGCATACATTTTTGTATTTATATATTTTTTTTTTACCATATTTATTTATTAACCATTTTAATAATTTTGTTTTTGCTTTATTATTGATAAACTATTCCCAATGAAAAACGAAAAAACCTTTTTTTTTTCTCATAGACAACTTTTCTTTTAGCAATTTTGCTCAAATTTACAATGACAGCACTTTTTCTGAATGAAAACCTGATTGGGGAGGTACTTTAGAGAGGTCATTTTTTGATTTTTCCCAATAAATAGTAAAAACGTAGGAAAAACGGGAAAATAGATACAATATTATTAAATAAAAATATGTAATGCATATCGCAGTGGCGCACAGAGGAATTTCGACAGCCCGTGCAATTAACAAAAGTATATCCACCCGCCCAATGCCGAGCAAAAAAATGCAAAGAAAAAGGTCATCCCTGTCTTATACACCTGACCCTCCAATCAAAATTCATAACGAGCAAAAATGTTTACCGTCGGTTGTCACTTACTGTCATTTATGTGTAGTATTTGCTCGCGTCATTTTGGTGTCTGCATAATATGATTTGTAATATAAATTACTAGGTGTGCAGAACGTAGTGCACAGTACGTACACGCTTAGGCATGAAAAAAAAAAAAATAAATAGTTAAAAATAATATTATTCATTGTTATTATTACTATGACGTATTTGATATATCTCCGGTCTGTTGTTGGCTGCTCGGACATTTTGGCCATCAATGGAAAACATTCTGGAATCCTGTGATAACGTCATTCCAACAATAAACTGATATAGTGATATCAAAATGGTAAACAATCGCAAATGTAATAACTTTTTTTTTTTTTGCACAGAATGACATAGTATTTGTTGACACCGAGACGCCTTAAAGAATTGTAATTCGGAAAAATATGTAAATTCGTTTAGGTAATTGTTTGTGTTACCGTTAAAATTGTTCGATTTAGGTAGTGTTCTGTTTTAAATTCTTTGTTATCCGCGTTATGGGATTTTGCCTTCTGAATGGACACTTTTAATTGGCGAGTATAATTTTAATAATCATTGAAAACATTGTACTTTTACAATATTATTTATGTGTAAGGCAACAGTAAATTTTATTTCATGAATATTGTATTTTGTTGTTTAGGTATCGGGAGAGAACTTCCTCACCCCAACAATCCAAACCACAGGGTTCATGTGACTTGACAAATTTACAGTTGAGATTTTTGTGCCCACAAGACATTAATGAGGTAGGTAATAAGTTTGTTTAATTGAGTACCTAATCAAATTTCATCGTCTGTAGAGGTATATACTCTTAAACTAAACAAACTGTCACATTGCAGTGATTATAAATAAGGATACATATATTTTAATGTGGTGATCTGAGACTTGCCGTTTCTAACCAGAGATGTTGGCATTTTCAAAACATACATTCATTATTACTAATTACCGTGACAATATAAATATATAATTATTAATTTTTGAAATTACGCTATTCAAGTGTGTAATTATTAATAGTTGTACTCATATATCTACTTATGTATGTATTTAATAAACATAATATATGTTTAAATGTTTAATTGTGATTTAAATTATGCATTTAGGTATACCTATATAATGTGTTGCGTTAATTTGTTTTTGTTAGGATTCGTTTTTTACTAGGCTACCAATGTCTACAGTAAAAACGTGATGTTTTTATTTCGTGTTATACCTGTATTGATACTGTTTTTGTTTGGGAGGGAACTTGATACTAATTAAATATCTATGTATTAGGTAAATAATATGTAGGTACATTTTGAAGTGATAAATATTAAATACATTTTTTTTTTTTTTTTTTATGTAAAATAAAAGGTTTTGGAGAAGATTTATACATAGTACCCTTGTGACTAACATAGGTATGTTTCATAATTAAACATTATTCAGTATTTTTTCCGTACATTCATTTTTGTATTACAAATTATTAACCATTTTTAGTATCATTAGAAGGCCCACACAACTTTGAACAATTGTGTCTAATAAGTTGTTCCGGTTTATCATTTTTCTTTTTATTAATCAGCTGTTCAAATGTATTGTTTAAATATTATAGGTACCTATTACATGGTCATAAACTCATAATAATATGAACAATTAACTTTGAGAAGTTGGTAAAAATTAATAAATAATTAGTCAAATGTTAAAGTTAAAAATTTATTTAGTAATTATGTTTAATTTTTGAATATTGTGGAACTAATAATGCATTGTAGTGAACTTGTTTATTTTTTACTTGTTAGCGTTTACTTTTAAACTTCATAGATAATTTATTTAAAGCGACATTGAATATCAATTCAATTAATTTTATTTTAGGTTAACACTTTGTGTGTGGATTGTTTTCCTGTTGAATATCCTAGATCGTGGTATGAAGATATCACATCAAATCCAAAGTTTTATTCTTTGGCTGCAATTCATAAATCTGCCATAGTCGGCATCATAGTAGCTGAAATAAAACTGTACATAAAGTTATCTCCTAAGGTAAAATGCTAAAAAATTCTTGCTTTTTCATCATCTTATATTAAATTTGAGAGCTATGGCAATAAAAAAAATGAATAATTAATAATTTTATTTCGCTAACTAAAAATCAAACTGTAACTAATATTATTGATCTATAAATTATATTTTTAGGAAAGAGAAGTCGTTTCACCGTCTGCTGGAAAATTTACCCAAGTTGGATATATTTTGAGTTTAGGTGTCATTAAATCGTACAGGCGAAGTGGTATTGCATCTTTATTGTTGGACAATCTTGTTTCACATTTATCGTCCTTGGAATCCCACAATTGTAAGGCGATATTTTTGCATGTACTTTCTAGTAACTCATCAGCAATTTCCTTTTACGAGAGAAAAAATTTTAGGTAAATCTAACAATTTTTATTATTTACATTATATTTTATAATTAAATTAAAAACTATAACATGTTAATTTTTATAGACTCCATTCATTTCATCCGTACTATTATATGATCAATGGAATAAACAAAGATGGATTTGTTTATGTGTTATACATAAATGGTGGACACCAACAATGGAAGATAACATATCCTTTTAAAAAAAAAAATTATTATTCAATGTTCTTTCTGTGTTTAAGAAAAAACTCGTGTAAGCATAACTTATTTAGTCCTTATTAACAGGCAACACTCATTACATTTGTTGAACTTAGTAAAACCATTTAGGTTTAATCAAAACTTATAATCTGAGTTATTTATTTTTTTGTTGGCATACTAGGAACTGGTTTTGTAGTATAACTTGTTTTTAAAAACTTTAATCCTAAATGACCAAACTTACATTCTATTTTTTTTCTTAAAGTGCTAGCTTTAAGTGAGAAAAATTTACTTAGTATCTGCTAAAGTTGTGTGCTAAAAGATGTTTTCTCATCAAAATTATATTAATTATGTACCCAATTATTTACAATTTTTTCCTTAACTGTGTTATGATTACTGATGTTTTGAACTATTTGTATACTGCCATTTGTGAATTGGGCGTTGTGAGATGGACAATCAGCAAAGCCCGAAAAACAGCAAGACGTTTTTGGCCAAGGATAAGACGAATCGCAACACAAAACACCAGTACTATAATGATTGATTGTAGCTGAGGTACTTTAATTAATTGTGATCTATATTTTTTATCTAATTTATTCTGCCATTAAATTAATGTCTTTGATATACATTTACATTTTATTTAATTAATCAATTATATAATATAATAATGTTTTTTCATTTTTAAGCTTTAATTACTAATGAATTAAATATTAATGGAACATAAAATTCCATGAATAAAAACTATTAATTTTTAACATAGTATGACATTAATTTATCATATTGAATAAATGTGATTTCATTAATTTACAATCGGACAAACAATTGAACGCAATAATATTATAATAACCAGTGAACAAATACTTTAATATTTTTATTGCAATTATTATATTTCTTGAATAATTTAAAATCTATTACAGTTATTTTTTTTCACATTGAGGAAAAAAAATGTTTGCCTACAAATTTTAAACAATTTATATTGTATTTATTGTAACTTTATTTCTACTCGTGTCAAAACTATACTCAGCAATTTTTTTTTTTCAGAATTGTATTTAACAATTTTCTTCATTTTGTATATTTGTAACTACTAAACAAATAATATTATTTTGTTACATCGATAACAAGGTGTTTAGTGAATTATAAATAGATGTTATTTTTACAATCTCAAAAATAAAAAAAAAAAGAACAATGTGTTCCTTTTTTTTTTAGACATTTCTAGTCATTTCATATGATGCCTAAGACACAAAACAAATGTACCTTTTTTTTTTTAGCTTTATGCTTGCGAAATAATCATAATTTTTTCTATTGTTATTCATATATTAATAGGAACGTTTTTTTTTAAAATTCATTTTGATTAACTATTAATTATTATTTATTTTAATTTATAATTTTTGCCTTGTGTACATTCATAGGTATGTTAATTTTTTTCTCTTTAATATTATGTTTTGTTTAATGTTTAACTTATTTATGTTATTTTATTTTATAGTTTAAAGTAAACAGTTTTTGTTTTGTTAGGATGTTTTAATAAGGATCTATTTTTTTATTATTATTAATGTAGTACTTTTTTTTTTCTTGTTACTTATATTTTATTAATATAATATCTTCTTGAACATATAATAACCAGTTTTCAAATTTAACTATTTATACATGACTTTGAATTTTTATTACATTATTATTAATAAATTTCAGATATATCTGAATTAAACTTTAAAAATGTTGCTATTTTTATACTATTCTTAGATTTTATTATTATAATATATTATGATGTAATGAATTAACATATTAAGTAATAAAAATTATAAAGCTATCTAAGCAAATTTATAACCATATAATTAATAAGGTTTTAAAATTATGTGTTATAAAATTACTTATAAACTGTATTGTGGCAGGAACTTTTTGTTTTGGAAGACATGTAAAAACATGCAAAAATTGTAACAATTCTAAACAGACACGAGAAGACTGACATATACATTGTCAGGAGATGAATGGTTATGTCATAATACTTCTATGATCCTTATCATATACTAAAAAATGTTTCAAACATCTGGTGTAATGCCCATTAACAATGTATGGAAATTGAAATAGATTACATAACATGCAATAATTGTATGTCCATTAAACCTTACATAATTTATTGTTATTAGATACCTATTTATAATAATCAAAGTGTCCAAAATGGTATTTGTATAATAATAATTAGTATTTATCAAGAAAAACAAAGGAGAAATAATTCTTTGAGTGACGTCTCACTGATTTTGATAATTTTAATTTTTGTAGTTTATTATAACTAAAACACAAATTATAAGCACTAAAAAGTATTAAAATATATAATAATAAAATTTGTTTTCAAAATTAATCGCGTTAAAAAAAATACACTATTTTTTATTTGATTTACAAATTAAACAACTGGTAATAATTAATTTAAAAAAAAATAAAATTTGTTTAGAGCATTTTCTGTACATATTAATATATTTTTAAAATTGTATTCATTATTAAAATGATAAACGGCGTTTTAGATTGGTATGTCGATTACTGATGTCTGACACAAAAGTTTACGTCATAACCGATTAGTAATCTAAACTTATTTAAATTACTATTTAGTGCCTATAAAATTAATTTTTGATTTTTCAAGATGACAAAATGTTATTTTATGCATTTTTTTTTTAAATGTGAGCTTCAATATACTATTGTATATTTTAAATAAGTTACATAATACATTAATACATTTTAAACTTTGTACAAAGATGCAATAAACAATTAAGTATGGAAAAAAATTTTTTCATTATTTTTAAATTGTTATGGTTTGTGTATATTATTTATAATCAATGATATTACCAACAAAACTTCAAATATGTGAAAAGGGAAAAATATGCAATCACATAGAAATCCCTGCTCTAATTATAACAATAGTAGAAGAGTGAATCATTATTTGTGTAGCAGCACATCTATAGTTTTTGGACTTTTTCTCCTACATATACTTAAAAGTAGAGCATATCATTAACAGGTTGACGGAAATTATAAGTTTCAATACAAAAATATAGTTGACTACTATTCAGTCTATAGATGGAATTTTTGTTATAGGTTGTCATTTGAAAAATTAAGGTTCAATCCCAATAATTAGGGTGATAAAAAGTAATGGTAATGTAACATTTTGTTCATATTTTTGGGGAACATTATTATATGAAGTTCACCTAAAGTCCATAGCTATAAAATATTGTTAGTAATAAGTACTCAATCAATACAATTTTTTTAAAAATATTCAATTGTTTTATTAAAATAATGTTTTAACTAGTTTAATAATCAAAATTATAATAAAACTTTGAAAAAAAATTCATTGACTAAGATATTTTACTCGAGTACACAATATATAGCTGGTAAACAAAAATAGATATTTTTACTCTTCACCTAGGTCTGAACCTATTTTAATACCCATTGATCTAAATATACCATGAACCTACACAATTTTATAATGGACATGTTTCTTTTAACCATTTCAGTATTATTGGCGTGTAGTAGGTGATAATTACATCACCTCCTATAGGAACAGAAAAAATTAAAATTAATACAGTTTTGAAAAATCATAATTTTCGATATTGTGTATACCAGCTCGCCGCATGCTTCTTAAAATCTCGGTTAAACCTTCTTTCAACCCATAAACGCCTCCTTGTACAGCATGATGTATCATCGCATATTCACCAGATACCTACTCCAAAAATAGAAATATTACTAATAAATATTAAATTATTGTTATTTTTTTTCAAATCTTGATATACCTGATAAATAAACAACGGTATGTTTGGATGATTGTTTTTAATTTGTCTAACTATATCAAGATACATCATTCCGGGTTTTACCATAGTCATATCACAAGACTCGTGGATATCTCTATTCTGTAACAATCTAATGTTAATACAACAATTTTTAAGGTTTATTCAGTGCTATTAGTTATTTATATTAGTACCTAGATAAAGTTTTTAATTAATTACAAATTTATTGATAATACATACAAATTTAATAATAATAAAATATATATACAGTCTATTATTTTTAAAATAATTAGGGCTCTTCTTTTAAATTAGTTTTTAATTTTGAATAGTTGCTATTTTATTATTATTACTATTAATATAACTAATTAAATCATTCTTTTTCCCAGTTTACACTAAAAGTGCTAATAGAAATTTGATATCATTGTTAATAATACTAACCACCACTCTTTCAGCAATGCTTGAACTCCCAACTGGAATTTGGTATGACGAACGATTGCTAAAGCTCGGTGAACAATTTGCAGCATCCCTGAAGGGTCCATAAAATACTGAACAAAATTTTGCGGAATATGACAGTACACACACTCGGCTCAACAATTTCTCTTTCATTAAACTATTTTTAATAGCCGAAATGTGTCCCTCCATCATACAAGATGGAGCAACAATATCGGCACCTAAAAAATAATAATATGTTAATTATTTGTAGAGTACAAGTTAGAATTAATAATTTTATGGTTGAACATAGTGTAAGTATATAACTAAGTTTTGGTATAGATCTAATTGAAAGAACAAGTGGTTGACTAAAATTGTTTACTATCTTATATTAATTTCATTAATCACACATTTAAAAATGAAATTCATTATTTTTTTAATAAAATGTATAATATCAACAAATTATGTTTTACCAGCTAGAGCATAAGATAATGCTATTTCTCCTAATCGTTTTATACTTTGTTCATTGTCTATACATTGATTCTCAACGATTCCACAATGCCCATCAGACGTATATGGACATAGACATACCTGTAAAAACAAATAATTACAGTTAAAAAAAAAAATAAATATACTTCACCAAATTCTAGTTTATTTTTTCTCTACTGTACCTACCCATCACTGTTGTAAATTATAATTTTCGAGCTTAATAATCAAAAAATTCTGAATAAAAAAAAAAAATCTTAGTGATACAATAAGTTTAATTGAAGTGTTTAGAAAATATAACTTTAAAATTAAGTGCAAGAATTCATTTTAAAAATACATGAATGACACAATGTGTAATATTTAGATATTAGATCACCAATTAAAATAAAATATACTTACGTCACAAGCTATTGTCAATTCGGGATACCATTTTTTCAATAACGGTAAAGCTTGAATAACTGGATTCTCAGGAGAATCAGCATGTTTTCCATGTTGATTCTGTCAATAATTTTTAAAATATTTAAGTATTGTAAATAATAATTTAAAAAAAAAAAAAAAATTTTTTTTACTTTTGGTAACTTATTAATCACTCCAAATACCAACAGAGACTTCAGTCCAGACTCGACGACAGGATCCAGCATTGATTTGACATGGTTTAGTCCATATCGATAAATGCCGGGCATAGATTTTATTTCTTCTTTTAGATCCATATCGTCTCTGTCAAACAAAAATTACGTAACTATATTATAACCGTTGATGTTTTAAACTAGTAGGTTGATCATAATAATATACTCACAAAATGAAAATAGGATACATTAAATTAAAAGGGGTGATTTGGGTGTTTAGACAGTGCCATTGTCTGAGAGTATCGTTGAAATATCCACTTTGAATGACTTTGTCGATGCTATTCATGTCGATGTTAACACAAAATAAACTGTAAAATAAAAAAAAAATTGGTACCTGATTGAATATTTATTATATCATATAATATAAAAAACAATTTACTTACCAATAAAATAGAAAAAAAATCAAATACTTAATACTATACTAGCGGAAAACACAGTGATATCTTGATGAATTTTGTAAAGTTTTCGTTGACTTTCACTTATGTTATTTTTTCAACTATGACCTATGGGTTACACATTCACCGTAACCATCGAAAATTACGAGATAATCACTTAATACGAACTAGTTAAATCAGGCCAATAGATCAATATGTTTCATTGACAATATTTGATAAGCAATTCCAGTGGTTCTCAAACTGGGTAAACACTGCCGAAAAGAAAACGGTAGTAATGACGTGCAGCAGAAAGAAATCTCGTTGGCAAAATTGTATTAGTTAAAGAAGTGTTATTTAAAACTGTATAATAAAAAAAAAGAGCTGAGGGAACTTGTGCGGTCACTGTTGTAGGTGGTTAGTTGGGAAGGTGGGATACCTACATATAGTTTTTACTTAATAATTAGTAATATAATTTATACTTGAAAAATCAGCGATAAACCATCGATAACGCGAAACGATTCACAGCGAAGTTCGGATATTATGCATGTTTTAAAATGCCATAATATCTTCGATTTTCGTCAAAATTTGATATTAAAACTCTTATAAAAAAAAAAACAAATTTTTAAAAATACTACCTACATTACACTACATTTTTTTTGTTTTCATAAGTTTTAACATCAAATTTCGACGAAAATCGTAAATATTATGGCCTCTGGCCACCGAACACGACTTGTAATGAACAGCCTGTCAAATTTTCAAGCATTTCCGTGTTTTAGCCGAACAATTTTATCCACGGAGTACCGGAGCCGTAAATAGAGGCCAAACACCGGGGGTGCCGAAATTATGCAGAGGACACGAGCTCGTGGGGCTGCCCAAACACCACATTCAAATTGTATAGTTACCATAACCATTCTTAAATGTTCAGCAAAAACATAAGCACACTAGTATTTAAGTATATGAACAGTAATACATCTGATAAATACACATATTTATAGGTGCATTACATTTGTCGGTTGCACTGTCGGTACCGAAATGCGCCGAAGTAATACGAGCTGTGGGCGTGCGTAATGGCCAATACTATTTATTTATTTGAACGATAATAAATATCGCAAAAACCACGCGCCGGGGCTAATAATGTTGGCAATAATATTAATCTGGTTTATTGTACGCGTATTCAATCGAATCGTAGTAAATTATGTTTCTTATTAAATTTGTTTTATTCACTGTCGTTTTTAAAATTGTATCTTTCTGAATTGTTTTATAATCATTCCTTTAAACTTTTTCGATAGTTTATTAAGTTCCCTTCATCGGTATAACAGTAGTGTTTATTTTTTTTTCCATCTTTTCGTAAATCTTCTTTTTTTTTTTCCTTTATGGCCTTATTTGCACGCGAACTCTTCGAGCCAAGACTGCTGGTAGCCGTGGATGACATCAAGTTCAAGGAACAAGGATTGGGATTCGGCGATCGTGTTATATTATAACAGAGCGTAATATTATGGATTTAACTATTTAAGATAAGGTTAGGTTAATCGACACAGTGGATTGGGCCTATTCGGGGATACCGCTATAAACAAAACGCGCCTCATGCAATATCTCATACGCTTTTCGAATAACGTCAAATATACTCGTAATAATATTTCATTGGCGTTTTTCGATAGCTAAGGTGGTGCGGAAAATTACACTTGGGTCATATCCGTATCATTATTGTAATAGTTCGATAAGATTCGATATTTTAGGCATTATATATTTTCTTCAATAATATTTGTTTAATGCTGTACGGATTTTCCCAGTTAATAGAGTGTATTCATGAAAGTATAGAGTATTGTCAAATTGATTAGATATTAAAAAAACTCCCTAGTTTATCGTGGAAAAGATTAAGTTTATCAGGTTCAATTAACCAACTTCTTGACAAAAACGTCAAAGCGGAATGCACAAACGTATCGGAATTATTGACCGCTGTACGAAATTAATTCGAAAATCGATTAACATGTGTTTGTTAAACATTTTTCTTTTGGATCAGTATGTTTTGTGTATGATTTCATTCTTTTTTTAATTATTTATTTCGTTTGTTGTAATATTTTTTTAAATCTTATATATACAATT